CAATTAGTGGAAGCATTGATAAGGTAATTGAAGATCAAGAGGAAAGTGTACATTATGCATTATTGAATTTGCTAAAGCAATTGGTTTAATTGAAATGTTTGAATGCTTGCACTGACTTGATTCTACATTGTTTTAATTAGATTTTAGACAAGATAGATTAAAAATACGGAGTGGATAGAGATATTGGTATTGTAAAAATTTATTAAAACATTCTGAAATTATTACATGAGTACTTAATCAATTATGATCATAAGGAACTGTAAGGCAAAGTTACAACCTATATTTTATCATTATTTACATCTCAACATATTGAGATTCGAAACTTGTGTTTTAAGTACTTGCAGGATGATTTAGAACGCAAAGCTATTCAATTATAATACTAAGCTGGTTAATAAACAACACAAATTGATAGAGTGATTTCTTTAATGAAGGATATTTATTAGCCATCGAAGGAGACTTTGTGGTTGAAAGGAGCAGTTCCTTTGTTATTAAGTCAGAGTACAAAGACACAAGAGTATGATTCATTCATGTTTGATAAGAATCTAAGTGATGAAGCTCATTATTATGATTAGGAATTCAACAATAAGAAATATATTAGATAAAACAATATGTCTTAAATGGCAGGAACTCAATTCGGTTCTTAATTCACTTCATCTTCTTAGCTTTTAAGTTAAGCCATTGGAGCAAGTCAGAATAATCCAGAAAACAAGAATCCCGTCAATTAAAAATAATTGATAAGAGCAACTCAGGAAATAATTTAATAATCATAGTATTTTGATGAGGAAGGATTCAGAATTCCAATGAAATCTAATAGATCTCATCTTTCTTAATTTCTTTAAGCAAACGAAATCAGTTTCTAATAGATTCAACTAACATCAAACAATTAGATCAGATACAAACCAGAGTCTGCCTCTAGTCTTAGAGATCCAACAAAAAAATACTATAAGCTTAAATCACAATAACCAAGTTCATAAATGTACACCTCAACTTAGGAGGGCTTTGAGAAGTTTGTGTAGAATAGAGTTCGTAAATATAGAGAAGGAGATTTGCCAGACATTAAAATAAAGCATAAAGATATTATTGATCCTTTGATTGTCTTATGCTTTGAAGATGAAGAATTGGCAGGAAGAGTATTTACAGCTCTTTTTTAAGAATTGTATGACAGAAACACATCAGCTGAAACTCTTTATGAAGTTCTTTTAGGATTATTACAGAGATCATAATGCAAGACATTCATCTTTATCTCAACTGTCTTAAGAACTCTCCATTAAGTCTTATGCAAATCAGGAATTCTATTGCCAGAAAATAAGATTGTCAAAAAAATCGGATTAGAATCATTGGCTTATTATCAGAGTATGATATTGACTGAAGAGTGTATATTGAGATTGCAAGAAGATAATGAAAATTAAGAAATAAGGAAATCATTCTTTTGGATGGATCTTATGGATTTGCATCAAAGTTAAGGCAACAAAGCTTAAATTGAGGGAATTATTAACGAATTGTTCAAAGATAAGCCAGCCTTTGATTCCATTAAATAGGCTATGGATTATAAACATTAGTACTCATATGTAAGAGCAAATTAGTAGTTGGAAGAGTTATTAGATGAAATAAATTAGGAAGGTTATGATGAAGACACAATTGACGGCAGAATGGTTCATTACTTATAATAGGAGTTCGAAGATACATGTATGAAATTAGGATAATGGGAAAAATTAGATGCTTAATTGAAAGATGTAACATAATTAACAGATCGAGAATTAAATGCGAATTTACCATTAATCAGAAGGACATTCCATAAATATATGTCGATCAATAAAACTGGAGAATTCGATCTTCAGAAAGCCAAGTATTTGGAAAGAAGAACTGAACATCTGGCTGATGAATTTTTGTTAGAAAAAACTCTGATTCTCATCTCAGAATAAGACATTGATTAATCTAGATACTTTCTCCAAAAGGCTTAAAGGAAATTCTTAACCTAATGGTCAAGTTTACTATCTTAAAATGAATTGCTTTCTAAATAACTTAGACATAAGCATTTAGAATAGTTGCAAATGATGCATGAAATGGGAGAAATACAGAGTATTTATAGTGGAGTTGAAATTGACATAGATAAAAAGATGTAAATATTGAACACCTGGGCTGTTCGATCTCCATCTCTTTAAGATAGTTTATATACTTGGAATAGGATCTATTAAAATCGTTTGATCATGGCAAATTAAACTCATCCTGTATTGGGAATGTGGGCGTTACAATTTGCCAAGGGAGTTGTTTAAATGAATTATTTCTAATAAGCTGCGAATCTTTTGTCCATCTGTTTCAAAATTTACAAATGCGAAAACTGGAGCACCTATTCAACTTTGGCTAAACTGAAACTAAAAGAAGAAAGATTCGAAAGTGATTAAAGGGATTTAGAAACCATATATTAGAAATTAAATGACAATTTTGATAGGTATGATCAACATAAAAAATTAAAACTCTTCTTCAGTCAATAAGCTTAAAAAAACACAGATAAATCAGTTTAATTCAGATTTAACATGCTCCCCATAATTAGTAATTAGCATTATTTAAAAATCAATCAAGATTTAGTTTTCATGTTTAATTAAGAATCTAGAAAACATAACAATCGTTATGATTTTAATCCCTTTTATTAACGTTATGCTGATGCTATTATGCAAACATTTAATGGATATTTGGAATTGTAAATACAACTACATGATGAAAATATTAACCAATCTAAATTTTATAATAAAGCAGCTATGTTTTGTGAAAGATGTTTAAGAGTAATTGAACCTGATTCTGGTGGCTCAAACGATTTAAGAAAAATCTTAGAAATTAAAAATATTAGCTTAGATATGATTGCTGATTAATTTGTCAGATATACAATCAGTTCATTTAAATTCAATGCTAATCAATTAAATAAAATTGAAACACTTCTAATTAAAGTACTCAAAGTTGTCTAAAAGTTTCCAAATCAAATTGGCCCTGTATTCTAAGATGCTGTGGAAAAGGGAAATCTAAGTACTTGGATATTCTTATAATATCTACCTCAATTAATACATTTAATTAATGACAATGTGAGATTCTAATATTTCAAGAGAATCTTCGATGATTTCATTAAAAAATACCCGCAATAATTTATTTACTAATTTAATGTGACTTATTAAACTAGAAAGGAATTCAAAGCAGACTCTGAAGCCAGTAAGATGTTCGATAAATTGCATCAATGCATTCCCAAGAATTATGCCTTTATTGAAGCTCTAAATTAATTGACACATCCAGAACATAGATTATAAGCATATCTAAATTAGATTAAAGATAATTCTGAAGATATAGATACCGTTATCGATAAAATTCAAGAAGACTTTTTCTCTAAAAGAGAAGATTTCTATGGAAGTTACAATTTGGCATTTATATAAAAAAAGAAAAATCAACTCAATCAAATATTAAAGAACAAAGCTGATTCACATACTATTAATTAATTCGCATAAGAAATATCAGAGGAAGCAAAATAGATCCATGTCAAGAACCAACAAATGATCCATGATATGTCTCGATGGTTTCAAAATTATAATGAGGAATCTATTGATCAAGTTGGCAAATAAACAGAAATTCTAATTCCTATTCAACTAAGTGGAATGAATGAATTCGATATTTAAATGATACCAAAAATAGCCAGCTTTGATTAGGGGATGCTTGTATTATCTTCTATTAGGAAGCCAAAGAGAATCAAGATATATGGAACTGATGAAAAATAGTATCTGTTTTTAGTCAAAGGAGGTGAGGATTTGAGATTGGATTAGAGAATTGAATTGCTGTTTGATGTCATGAATAAAATTCTACCAGATTCTGATCTAAGTACTTATGGAGTGTTCCCAATGACTAAGTTATTTGGTATGTTATAATGGGTAGATAATACTACTGTGATCAAAGAGATCATAGAAAAAGAACATTAAGAAGAAGAAGGATTGGAGTTATTTAAAAACAAAGCATTATCAAAGAGGGATGAATATGCAGCTAAAGCAGCGAAACGATAAGGATAATATAATGAAAAAAATAAAAATTTTGAAGTTATTGGTGTGTTGTAATGTGAGAATGCCACTGATATAGTTTCAAATTTTAATGAATAGAAAAAGTATGTCAAAGATACATTGTTGAGAAATGGTTTAAACAAATTAAGTGCAAATTTAGAGGCTTTTGTTTTTATCAGAGACAAATTCCTTATTAATTATGCAGGTATATGTGCCTCTGGTTATATTCTTGGTATAGGTGACAGACATTTAGAAAATATACTATTAAATTATTCAAATGGCAACTTAATCGCAATAGATTTTGGATTCTCTTTTGGTTAAGGATTAGCTTTGCCTATTCCTGAATTGATGCCATTTAGATTGACTTAAGTTTTTGAAGGATTAGCCAAACCTATTGGATTGGGAGGATTGTACAAAAGTTAGTTTGTTAAGATAATGTGTGCTTTGAGAAAAAAGAGACACATTTTACTTGATTTCTGTGAAGTATGATGATATTCATTATATTTAGGTGTTTATTAATGATCCATTGATTGAACAAATTAAAATAGGAAAGAATAAAGGAATGTCAGATGAATTTAGATAACGTTTAGAAGAATAATCAAAGATAGAAGAGTAAGTTTATAATAGAACTGGGGATTCTCCAAGCATGATATCGTAAGATTAACAAAAAATAAAGGAAACATGGTATCCAAGAAAGAAAATTGATATTGTTCATAAGAAATTAATAGGAGTTCATTGTTCTTTGATACTTTTGGAAGAATTTGATGAATCTAGACATTAATCAGCAAGATATGCTGATAATCTAAGAAAGGCTATTTAAGGAATTAATCAAAATAGATTAAGACATTAATACTAAAAACATTAAACTTTGTCCGTGATTTAATAGGTGGATTGTTTGATCGATTTGGCTACAGATCCAAATATATTGGGGAGAGCTTGGAAAGGATGGGCTCCATTTATATGAAGAGTATATCATTAATTTTAAGTAATTTATTTCATATTCAATATGCTCTGCTCTACTAATTTCACCATCTCAATTATATCATCCAATAATTCATTTCTATACATCGCTTCAATTTTCAATTTAGGCCCACATTTATAACATTCTTTCTGGTATCCCTTTTTGCATTCAAAACAATAGGAATGACCACATGGTATAATAGTAACAGGTTATTTGATGAATTTATTGCAGAAAGTGCAGGCAAGGCCTTTTTAAATTTCTTTCTATAGAATATAGCTATCATATAATACATGAGTCTTCTCCAAGATGGATATGGTTTCAATTACTTATGTCATGTTCTTTGGTTTTGTATCTCCTAATTTCTTATTGCATTCTTCAAGCTTTTAATTTAGTAATTTAATTTCTGTTTACTAATCCCGAAGTTTTTTTTCTACTTCTCCAATTGATTTTGTAATTTATTCAACAGAATTGGTTTTATCATTTAAGGTCTTAGAGGATGTTTCTATTTTTTATTTATATTCTTCTATTTGATGTGTTAATTAATCAAAGTTTTTTATTTACACATCAAGATTTACTTTCCACTAATTTACTTCTTTCTTCGATTAAAATAAATAATTACATCTTTAGTTTTATTTTGCTCAGCCAATTGTTATTTCAATTAATTTATTCCTTCTTATAATTTAGTATTCTAATCCTAAATATTAAGAGGTGACTTTTTAGCTTATTCTTGCAATTGATTCTTCTCCTTTTGCAATTCCTTGACCTTACTCTAATTATTGTTAAATTCTTATGATAAACATTCCTCCTTTGCAAGGAACTCCTTTTTGTATTGATCCATTTAATTTTTTATTAATAACTTTTCAGCAGATATTGATTCTAAATTCTTTTTCAGTTCGTCCATTATAGCTTGTGATTTATATTTTTTCTCCTTTGAAATATATAATTATTATATGTTACTTCACTTTTTTTTATTGAGTCTTTCAATTTTTTAGAGTCGTCTGGTAAATCTTCTTTAGTTTTTATTTTATGAGTAATATCATTCAATTAGGCATTGAGTGAATCTATAGTTTAGTTTAATTAATGTTCTTTTGCTTGAATAGCCTTTTAAACGGTTTCTAATTGCTGGATTTTGTCTCTATCCTTATCCTACCCTTATTGTCCAATATTTTTATTGGATTCATGGATGGATTTGAGTTTGGATTGAGCAGCCTGATATTGTTGTCCCAAGTCCTATAATTGTTTAGTTTATTCTTCATTCAATATTTTCTCTTTAATTAACTCTTGTCTCACAGATTCAAACCCTTTTTCAATAGTAAAAATCATATCATTGCGTTGCTCAATATCCTTATTGTATTGCTCTAATTTATTATCTATTTGCTTAATGAATTAAGACTCGGCCATAGGACTCTACTTTTTTGATTTCTTATTGAAGTTATCAGTTGCTAAATTTCACATATTATTGAGTTGTATACTTCCAAATTTAAGTTTTCGAGATTGTGTATGCAAACGACCTGGAAATTAATCATCCTCTGATAGCCTTGGTAATTATTGTTGTTAGCGCATTAAATATTAATCATAAATCAATGAGTCAATACGATCAAACTTATAATCAGATATCTGACAATAACAACATAGAAAAATTACAAATGAGAATCCGAATTCTATCTATCTATATCTGAAACTCTAATAGATCATACAAGAAATAGATAAAGGATTTTGTATCTTGGATAATTCATCAATATACATTTAGATAAATACAATCAATCATTATAATATTACAAATTTAATTATCTATTATTTAGTTCTTCAAATTTATCTTCTATTTACTTTCTTAAAAAAATAGATTTAATATTTATAATCTACTAAATGCATATCATAAATAATTATTCATTCATATATCAAATCTTTAATTTGACTTTACCATTCTCCAACTTAATTTAATCAGTCTCCTCTTTTTCTTTTAAAAATACATCATCTTACAAGACTTTCAGTTATTCTCCATCTTTGAATGCAGGCAATCCTAAATAATTCACATTCGCATTACCTCTATATGGGCAATTTGCGCATCTAAAAGCATCTCCAAGATAACAACTACCGCAACCTTTTACAGAATTATTTTTTAATTATTCTAATAACTATTCTTAATCTTATTTCTCTCTAAAATTAATATCATTATTAATTATACTCCATCTCTTTTCTTCCACAAGTGCAATTTGCGCATGCTCTAGGCTTTGATGCACAGCTTTCCACTTATTTGACCTCGACACCATCATTCAATAATTCATTTTCATCTATAGTTTCTTGGTTCCCTTTGAGATCAACCTATTTAAAAAAATTGATTTGATTCTAAAATTTTTATTCAATGTAATCGTATTTCCCATAACAATTATTGAAGTCTTATTATGGAATATTGATCTTCTTAGTTTATAATGTTCTTTTTATATACTACCCTTAACCTTGGCTGTACAATCCACAAGCTTCAAAGTAAGTTGTAATTTATTGATTAATCTCTCCTTCATAATTTAGGATGCCCTCTTATATTATAAGAATAATAATTTACAATCTTTCAAAATCTATGAAATCTGAACTGCATCTTTGAGTGTTATTTATTAATCACAATCAATCTTATTGAAGGTATTATCTCTAAAGATGAGTATTTATTCTAGACTGGCTATAATAAGTTTATCACTAATTGAGGCTTGTTAATTAATGGTGATTTTAAGGTTCATTTATAATATTTTTAATTTCAATGCCAAAAGTAGTAGATAACTATGTTTTAGAGAGAAGTATAGGAAAAGGACAATTCGGAGAAGTGTTCAAAGGGTACAATAAACAAACAAATGTTGACATAGCAGTGAAATGTGTTAAGAGGTGTTGAGTATATTGATATTTAGGGAACTGTTGAAAGGGAAATTTACAGAGTTATTAGAAAATGAAATTAAAGTATTAAGGACTTGCAATAATGATAATATCATAAAATTATATGATATAAAGAAGACAGCCAACAATATATATCTGATAATGGAGTACTGCAATGAAGGTGATCTATCATGTAATTATAATTTAATCGTAGAGTACTTAAAACAAAAAAAGTTTTTACTTGAAGAAGAAGCAGTTGATTATTTACTTTAGATATTGAATGGTTTTAAAACACTTGTAAAGAATAAGATAATGCACAGGGACTTTAAATTGGCAAATATTCTCAAACATGATGGCAATATTAAGATTGCTGATTTTGGATTTTCCAAATTGTTGAATGACCATCAAGCATTAGCAAACACAATGTTAGGATCTCCTCTTAATATGGCTCCAGAAGTGTTAAATAATTAAGAGTATGACAATAAAGCAGATATATGGTCTATTGGTACTTGTTTCTATGAATTATTATTTGGAAAGTCACCATTTACTGCTACTAACATGGTAGAGTTGCTCAAGAACATTAAAACTAAATAGTTTGTTATCAATAGGAAAGTTAATAATATATCTCCTACAGCTGAGGATTTATTAAAGAAAATGCTCGTGGTTAATCCCAAAGATAGGATATCTTGGCAAGATCTCTTTAATCACGAGATAAATTTCTATCAAGAGGAGAAGTTGAAGTAGGATTTAGAGACTACTCTTAAGGGTGGGGAAGTAATGATGAATATGAATAAATTCTATATCAAAAATAACATGGTTATTGATCATCCAGCTGAAATAAAGAAGAAAGAGGAATTAAATAATCTTGCCATTTAAATAGCCTAAAACGGTCCATAGAATCAATAATAATAATATGATGGGCCATTATTGAAGAAACCCCAAGAAGAAAATAAATTAATAAGATAAGATTCAGTAAAAGTTTAGGGCAATTAAGGATCTAGTTAAGATATTGGTAATGATGAAGTGACTGATAAGGAAACACAAAGAGAAAAAGAAATTAAAGCTAAAAAAAGAAATGCTAATAGGATTTTGCATGAAAGAAATATTTATGTCTTTCTAGCATCTGTTGCTGAAGAAGCAATGAACAATTAGACTATTCAAAATTATGATGTCACTGGCTTCTTTTTAGTCAAAAAGTTGCTGTAATAAATTGATTTCCTAAAGACTATTATTCTAGAAAATAAATAAAATGTCTATGGATTGGAGTATTGAATTAATATCATTTATATTCTAGGTTTTGGGAGTAATTTACTTAGAGTAAGGATTATAAGGATATTCACACATACATTTCCAAAGAATTTGATGTTTTCAAATCCTACTTTGATTCAATCTATGAGAAACTTAGTGAATAAATTCAATATAGTACAAAAGTGGATGATGCAATCAAATAGTCTATTAATAGCAACATTAAATACAATAATCAAGAGATTTTAAACAAATGCTTGTTTGATTATTCAAAGTTATTGATTGATTCTCTAAAAAAGAGTTAGATTTAAGATCAAGTAATTGTGTTAACTTATTTAAGCATCGATAACAGTGGGTTCATGCTGATCGAGTGTTGGATTGCATTCGATTAGAAGAGACATTCTAATTTGTTGATAAAAATACAAACTAGCAATTTAATTTTAAATAATATTATGAAAATGACAATTTATTGGAAATAGAAGCGCTGGCTAAAAAAGTGTTATAAAAGTTTGACAAACTAAAATGAATAACTAGTTGTTCAACATATATCTAGATTATTTATAAACTAGTAATTAATATATAATTTAACATTTATGTCCAGAAAACGAATTGAAGCCCCTCCCTTGACTGATAGATCCTAATTCCGAAGAGTCAGTTAAAAAAGTGTTGATGAATTAAATTAAGTAATCAATTAGTTAAAATAGACGCTTCATGCTCGGATCAACAGCATGGTCGGATTGGATGAGTAATTGTCAACAAAAATTAAATAACTTTAAGTTAGCACTTTCACAACTAAAGACTTAACATCTATAGGATCATCTCTCTAAGACATGGTTACTACATTGCAAAAAGTTTCATTTAATGAAATCATGTACAATCAGCTTCTGAGAGACAACGAAAAGTTAAAGAACGAGCAATCATATTTAAAGGCTTAACTATTTAAACTTAATCACCTCAATTCGAAATTTCAATAAGAGAACTAATAGTTATTAGAGAAGATCAGAAGCTAAGAAGTTGATATCAATAACCTAAATAAAAAGTTAACTGCTGAACAAAAGCTTAATGAGGAATTATGTATGAGCACTTATTAATCCTAGCTAAAAAATTGAAGAGGTCTGAATAAAGAGTGTAAATCATTTTAGAATCCAATATTACAATTTAAAAAGATTAATTGAAACATAATTTGGTTGAAGTTCTGACTGAAAATGAACATATCAAGAAAGATGCCATTCAAAAATAGAAGGATTTCTAAAAGTACATATTTGATAATATTATATGTAGACTTCAAATGGTCAATAATTCTCTAAATTAAAAATTATAGAGATTGAATAATAGGTTTTAAATTAGAAGCAAAGTTTAAAGTGAAGAGGACTTTATAGATTAAGAGAAGATGGTTATTACATTTACTGAAATACCTAATAACTTTGTTTTTAGACACGTATTCTAAAATCTAGAATGCAAATGTAATAATTGACATTTAAATTAGAGTTTATCTAATCAGTTTTAGAGTTTTCGACTGAAGACTTTTTAGTCCACATCAATTCTATTAATCCTGAAACTAAGAAGATGTAATTGACATGGCTCTTTAATTATATGATAAATTACAAAGATTTCAGCTTAGCTCATAATGTCTTTATTATCAAATTGTCTAAATTGATGCAAATTTATTCCTATGATGAAATGTATAATTTCTTTACTACATTATCTTCCTTCTTTAAAGTCTCTCACATCTATTTATGGTTACGAGATTTCTAAACAGGATTCTTTATCAATTAATTAGATGGCAAGTAAAAAAAAATAATTTGCACAAAGGGAGCCTTTAGAGATTGTTTAGACACTCGGGAATCGGTTAATAAGCTCACTGCTCATAAACACATCATGTATTAAAATGATTTGGGAGAAGACATATATCAAGATAGTACTTACATCTTTCCTATCATAACTGATGCTGCTCTACCAGCAGGATTGATTGAATTTCATCATCCTATTTAGAGTAATAATTTTAGTGACATCTAATATTTCGCATCAATCTTAGGGTTGTATACAAAGATTCAAATCTAAAAGATTGATGAGGAGATGCACAAAAACTAGCTATTGAAATAAACAGACATTTTATAATGGCAATTTTTAAAGTTAATGAAAGCAATTGATAAATTTCATTTTTGTGAATTAATGAAAGAAATGCAATGTAAAATTATGCAATTATCAACATCTGAAATTGTTTTTGTTGAAAATAATGGTTTATGGAAGTATCATAATTAAGAAATAAGGAAATTAGATAATTTGGCTGGTGTATGTGGTTAGGTGGCTATTAGCAAACAACCTGCATATTTTGCTAATATCTCAAAAGAACTTAATTTCAATCAAATAGTTGACATGTATTCAATTGCTCCTTTATTCGTTTATCCTATCGTTCACAATAATCAAACTTATGCTCTTATTTAAGTATCACTTACTAACAAACAAATCGATAAATATAGGTTTAAAGATCCCTTGATTAGTTTATCATCACAATCCAATTAAGCAAGACTGTTTTGTGATTATGTTACTACGGCCTATATACATAAGTTTTTATGAATATAAAAAGCCTTATTAAATTTTGAACAATATATATATTTAAATAAAAATTAATGTAAAGAACTGATGTTTTAGCTAACAGAACAAACATTTTAATTGTCTTTTTAATCATCTGTTTCCTTGTGGCATTTTTTGGAAGACAATCATCGGAGTATCAAACAATTTCAGAGCGATATGAGCCTGAAGTGACAGAATCAGAAATTCGATATTATTTGGAAAATGAATTTAATATTAATGATAGTGATCAATTTGGCATTCAAACCATATAGGATTGGTTACCTATTTAATCTGAATTAGCCCACCTCAATTTGGCATTGGAGTATTTTTCACGCTTAAATTTGGAAAAACTCTTGAATAAGCAATCCTTATTGGAGTAAGAAGTTAATTTATGTTTGAATTTACATTTGAATTAAGAATTAGAAAAATATGTGAATGAAATTAATTAAAGTCAAATAAATCAAACGATCAATTAAGATGTACTTGTAAATTACAACACTTTGTTTGAAAAAAAAATCTCATTAAATGATGGAATAGTGCAGAAAAAAATTGAATTGGATGCTTTGTCATTAGAAGAAAAAGATTTGAAATAGCTTACAATCCAATATTAGCTAAAAGAATTCGAAACTATTAAACTAACAAACAAATAAAAATAATTTCAAAAATATATTGATGATATTGGTTGGTATGAATAATAAATAAAAGAACATAATGAAAAAAGGTTATTATATTTGTAAGAATTAAAAAATTAAGAAGATTTAACAGAAGAATATAAAAAAGATTAAGAATTGGCTAAAAATATGACCAGACTCTTCAAACCTGCAGGTACAAAATCTGTGGAAATTCATGATGAAAAATTGGGAGGAATTGTTAATGTGATAGATTAAAATATCAAATAATATAACACTAGCGAAGTTTTCTTAAATGGGTTGAATTTCCATCGGGATATTGAGCAAAATTATTTAGAAAAAATTGAAAAAAATATTTAAAAATATTAGGTCTCTGTAGACAGTAAAAGAAAAGAAAAGGCCAAATTGGAACAAGAAATTGAAGATCTAGAAAAATAAAAAAAAGAAAAAAATGAAGTTTATTTGAATGCAGTTAATAGATTAGAAGTAATAAGAAGAAGACAAAATGATTTGAAGGAATAAACCTAAGCTGAAAAAAAATTGTTGGATTAGGTTATTTATGAATTGAAGTATTATCATCCACAAAGCGAACTTTAAAATAATGAGAAAACTGATGCATAAAAGAAATTTAAAGGTAATCAAGTATAATTTATTATTAGAATATTTATATTAACATTTGAGAGAGGATTAATTATGCGTTGAAAAATGTATTGAATATGATTCTCTAAATCAATAAATTAATATTGCAAGATATAAAATTTCTTTGAAATCAATTTAAAAACATTTCTCAGAATTGGAATTGAAATTTAAGGAATTCAAAATTTGAAATTTATAAAAGATATACATAAATATTGATGTCAAACTTAACATCAAACTAAACTTTAAAGCAATTTATTTTTTTTATCAATTTAAATTTATTGTGCCGTTTATTATCCTTTGATGGAGCTTTATCTTCCTAAGGGTCTTCCTTTGAATTCGCTTTAATCATTATTTGTCTCTGATTCACTCTTTGATTCTTTATTTGAATCTTCAGAATGTATTTTTAAAACTCTCTCCTCTTCTTAAGGATATGAAGACAACAATTCATTATTGTCCTTCTTCATTTTTCCAAGCACAGAGGGATCCTCCTGCAATTTAGTAGAAATGGTCTTTCTTTGCAACATTTCCCCCATGTTAATTTTTTCTTCCTAAAGCAAAGCTTATTTGGCTTTATTGACAGATTCTTTGGACATTGGATGAATTTAATTTGAATTAGAATTTCCTTTTCTTAGATCAGTGGCTTAAGATAAACCAATTAAATACCAAGTTATCTTAAAGCAAATAAGGATGTTTCTTATTCCTATGTCAACCCCAAGAACGTAGATTATTTATTAACAATTCTTGGAGTTCCTAAACATAATGTTCTTTCTTTGTCACTCATTTAACTTAATACATTGTTCATTCTATTTCCACCAATTGTTTTTTCAAACATTTATTTATTTTTTTCAATCTGTTCCTATTTATCTGTGGATTCTATCTTTCCATTTTTTGTATTTTTTTAGATAACATTTAAAATACTGCTGTATTCAATTGAATACTTCTTACAAATTTTATCCTAGAATTCAACAAATTCATCGTCTTCTTTCATCTATTAACATTTATCTACTATTGATTTATAGATAATTCTCTTAGCTAAAAAACCTGCTCTTAAAGATTATATGCAATCGTCTGGCAGTTTAGTTACATCTTCTGCTTACAATTAATAAAGCTAACTTTAGATGTATTTATACAGTTGACTCGCATATAGATATACTTCCATATTCTGATCCCTATTCAAATAATAGTCTTTATTCATTGAACACTCCAGTATTTTGAATGCATCCAACAATAATGAAATTACGACTCTTTGTAGAAGTAAATATTAAGGTTGTCCCTTTTGTCTAAAAATACAAGCTGGCTGTTCCTCCTTCTGGAACTGTCATTATACTACCAAATTTCTTTTTTGTTTCCTTAAATAATGGTAACAGAGTCTATTTTTTTTAAATGTCAAAAGATCTAATTGGAATGCAACGTTATAAATTTTGTGATTTTAATTCTAATTCCTACAATTCGGTGCTCTTTTTAATTTTGTACAAATAAATAATACATTTTTAAAAGAGTTGAATAGTTATCTGTCGACCTAAAAGGCAATAGCTCCTTATCCAAACTCAACTTCTTCATTCTAAACCACTTCTGCCTTTTTGTACACTCTTGTTTTTGAAGTTAATTCGCCTAATTTTAATGTATTCTTATACCTTCTTAAACAAAATATATTGGATTTGTTCCATCATTACTTGTCGCTATTTTTATATACCTTATTATCTAACGTAATTATATATTCTAAACTTCATTAATTTGATCTCCTTTGAGGTTACTTTCCAACCACATGTATGCAGCTGGTCCACTAAAATTCTTAATACAATGCTTTAGATAAACAACATCATCATCTGTCATATTTGAACCTGCACATTACATGATTCATAAACTAAATACCTTGCTCTATTATCTATCTCATCTATTCTTTTCTAATATCATCCCAATTTGTTTTTGTGTTAACTTAAGACAATTTTTATTACATTTTAGCAATAAAATTAATTAATCAAAATTTTTACAAGATTAAAGATACTATTTCTTTCTCTATATCCATGAGAATAAATCAACTAAATGTAACTTCTCTATTAAAAATTTATATCTAATTATAAGTGGAAAATACGTAATTTTATCATTTTTAAATAATTAATTAATCACAATAATACTAATTTAATTATTGTATATATTTTCTTTCTACAAACTAATGATTCTTAAAATAACTTCTATTCATTAATTTTCGTGAATGCAATTGAACTAAAATAAGTTATGATTTGAGTAAAAATACATTAAATTATTTTTTGATGGAATATTTTCATCAGATCTGTAATGTATATTCATTCATATATAGTACAGAATCTATCATTTATAATTGGTTGAAGTATTTTAAAAATTCATTTCTAAATCCGAAAAATGAAGAATAATATTTATTAATAAAATTAATCTGTTAATTTCTAAACAAATATCCATATTTGCAAATGTCAATCAAAGTCAAAATTTCTAAAAGAGGACAACAATATGAATTGTAATCAAAAGAAAATTACAACCCATTTGGTAATTTATCACTTTGCCCTAAATCAATAATTGCATTAGCTTAATCCTCTTATGATTCATAACTTATAGAATTTACTCTTAATTAACTTAAAACACCATGTAACTTAAAACATGAAACACATTTACTAAGAATGAGATAAATAGCAGATAAATAGGAGACATTTGTATATGGCTAAATCAACGTCAATAGTCAAATTGAAACATAAGTGTAATACAGCGATCATTCATTTTATGATTAAATGGACACTAGTCACAGAAAGAATAGTTTACATTATTTTGATGAATCTCATCAACACTTTTGATTATAGTTACTATAAATTATGTATTCTAAAAATGATTATTTTCTAACTATTTATCAAACTAATTTAAGAGTGATAGCAGATAAATAATTAATTTATTTGTTAAATTGTATTTTCAATGTTAAAACAAAATTTCAATAAATTTAGAAATAATTTCTACAAAGAATGAAAATAATTATACATATATTAATAATATTTCATTAAGGCTATAACGATTAACCAGTTTTATTATCCAAAAATTGTTAAGCTGCATCATTTAATGGATCGACTATTTGGATTATAAAATATTGTACCTTGAGAACCTTCATCAAGAAATTTCAACTTGATGGTTCCATTATAGATTAGATTTCCTGTAACCAAAACAAAGAATCCAATCAACTCTAAAACAATGGCCTCCCATCTTGTATTTTCCCATTTTGCCTCGGGATCGATCCAAGTGATAGCCAATGAAACTGCCCATATAATTAATGTTCTTGAAACATCAACAAGAGATCTAATTCATAAAAAGATATGATTACCTGGCCAAGGAGGATACATATTTAGTAACTGAGACACCACAGATATTGAATGTTGCAATTGTAAATATACCTAGAATAACCCAGAAGAGTAATAAGCCATTGGCAAAGATTTGCAAGAAATACAAATCCGCTCTTTCAAAATAAAACATGTCTGTCATTCGTTTTTATATGCAGCTGTTATTCATGGAGGAGGGACATTAGATAAAAGTCAATGCTATTGCCAAAACCACATAGACTGAAAAACCCCACAATCCTTCAATACCAACGATTTCAAAAGGATGTAAATAGTAAACATCAAATAACTTCTCTTCAGATACAAACTAAAGTCCATTCATCACAACAGATAGTAACAATAATCCAACTGATATGAAGTAAGCAGCTCCAACATCAGAACTTGTATCTGAATCATCATCATTATCTTTTTTTGGAGGGAAGAAAAATGAACTCATTCCTACTAATGTTATACCAACCAAGACGAAACCGCATCCAAACCATTATTATCTTTTAATGTGTCTCTTTAAGAAGCATGTAGACATAATTGCTGTTGAGATGATTGCTCCTCCTCTTAACATTTGATAAATTGAAGGGGGAATGTAATTTAAGGAAATATAAGCTAATGTTGATGCAGTTAAATCACACATTGCTGGAATTGCCACCCAACCGTAGTTGACTTTTGTTTTTAATCTATCCTATATCAAAATTCTATATATACCCTTTTGCTGCTGCTTCAATACATCCTTATTTATAATCTGGCTACTTCTTAACATTTAGAAATAGTAAAATGCACAAAGACTCCCCTAAAAACATTGTGACTGCTTGCATAAAAGGATGATTGAAATTCGTTGCTTCCCATCCATCAACAGTAACCTTGCTTGTATTTTACAATTTATAGACTATTAATGAGATATCTTCAAGCTAATACCTATTGTGTTTGCTGCCCCAGAGAGAATCATGGCAGTGATCAAAAGCGTAATGAATGACGACGATTTATCTCCCATTTTATTAATAAAATTAATTAAATCGCCCTCCATAAAGGATTTTTTTAGCAATTATTTACGAATAGACGAAATTCAATACATCATAAAACAATTATAAAAGCTTATTTAAATATATTTTCTTTAATCATTCATGTAATTAATATAATTATTTAATTTAGATAAAAAATCTTTTTCTGAACAAATTTTATGAAAATGTTTTACTAAATAGATTCCATTATGGTTATCTACATGAGTCTCAAACATTTTAAATGGCATATTAATAGACAAATAAATTATAATAAATATTTTGAACAATATTTAAAATATCGTTTTTATTAAACATTTGTATTTGGTAATGTTATCAAAACTAAATATAGTCTAAAATTATGAATTATTTGATCGATCCATGGGTTGTTTTTAATAATCATAAATCTTTCAAGTCTGTTCTATTTCAAATTATAACTGCTAATACACAGATTCCATTAATATCTACAAAAATGATGCTGAAATGATTATACTCACGAATCAAATATATATGTTTAATCATCTCTTTGGTTGGTTTGTTCATCTATAAACCTTTAGGAGATCACTTCTATTATTTTGAAATTACTTCAACATTTCTATTGACAATTTGATAATTCTTAATACATAAACTAAATAATTACATAGCTAATAAGTAATAGGGAATGTAAGATTTCAGAATTTATAAAATTGAAAAAAATAAGGAAGAGAGTTTTAAACTACCTAATCTATCTATATTTTTGATTAATTCATAATCCAAAAAATGATTTGGTTCTATTTTAATATTTCAATTAAAATTTACCAGTATTGAGTAATACAAATCAAATGATTGAGTAATGTTAAGACAATTATAATTATCTTAAGCAGAATTTATTATGAAGACTAATATCATTATTACAGGGAAGTGTTAAAAGAAAATTATTATATGAAATATTTGGATCATGGCACTTTATTCTTCTTTTACTATAAAAATCTAAATACGGAAAAACCTAGGTTCTCGCTCTAACTTCTTATTCTAACATTCTTAAGATTATTTTTTGAATACATATTCCTTCAATGCCTTTAAACAGGGAATGTGATTAGCAGGCCTAAGTTTCTCATCTGTTTCTGATTCTTCAAAAATGACATCCTCTGGAGAATAAACTGTCAATTTTTATTATTATATTTTTGGCCCTTTAGGTGGCTCGAGGCTTAAGGGATCGAGTATTTAAGGAGACTCTTTTGGTCTTTGTTTTTTAAAACAAATACCTAATATAAGGTTTTGGAGGTGGCTTATCATAGGTATCTAAATATTCTTAATATGTCATTGAGGAATGATATCTCTATCGAATTTCTTAAATGTAAAGATTGTCCATAATTTTTAAATATAAATAATAAAATCTAAATAAATACTCATTATTTATTTATTCCTTCTGGTTGTATGAATTCTACTTCATCCAAAGCATAATAAAATAAAACACAAGGGTACAATGCCTGATCAGATTTTGGAATATCCAGTTTGAAAGTTGTGTTAGACTGAAATATATTAACATTTAACCTTTTGTTTATGGAATATAATAGATTAGTTAATTGGATCATAAGTGCAAACAATAATATCACCCTTTCCAAATTTGAAGCATTTAACAACATTATTTTGATTCGAAGTAGTACTTGACCAAGCACCCCCATTTGATGACACCATATAACCTCCATGTCCAAGGGATTGAAATGCAAATCCAAATTATTTACTTTACACTATAGATAAATCGCAGACCCCTACTGCAATCCAATTACTTTAATGAACACACTAGAAAGCGTATAAAATCAATTTACATTTAATTTGAAACCAAATACAGTAGTCTAATTTTTGTCTAAAGCTGGAGTCATAACAGCAAACTTGTATCCATGAGTTGAATTGCTTGCTTTAAATAGGTTTATAGACATACCTTTTACGATCTTTGGTTATAAAATATCAACTTATGGATGTTTATTGTTTGGTAAAAATTGAAATTGGCATGCCTTTTAGAATATTGTTTTCTATGTTTTTGATTATAACAATTCAATTTGTTATTCAATACCCTAAATAAGTTGCGTTTCTAATTAATGCAAATGATCTTTTTGATCTTTTATGTGAAAATCGAAAATCCTACTGATTTCCTCATAATTTAAATCTTTTTCTGGGATTTCTTATACTAATGTGTCAAGCAAATTCTTAACCGAATTACTTAGCATTTCTACATTAGTTTAATTTTATATAATTGTTTCAATAACTGCAACTATCTCATTCATTTTTATATTTACATTAACTTCCATTGCTAAATTCTCTCATCCTCACAAACTTCCTTAAATTTTCAAAAAAGTCCTGTTCTAAAGTCAATATCTTTGATAGTTTATTGTTAATTTGTGCTTTCAAGTCCTAAATGTAAATCAGCGATTTTTCTTCTTATTCATTAATCTTCTTAATGAGCAAATCCTTTTCATTTTATTTTAGTGAAATATTTTAATACTCTCTAGATGTTGAAAAAGAATATACCTTAATTATTAATCATATTCACACAACAACAGTTTTAATGGTTTCAATTAATGTCCTTTATGAAATTCTTCTTAACATATACAACAGCACAAAATTTGGTTTTATAAGCAATCCTTCTCCAAACATATTAAACTCATTGATTCTCCACTATGATCGCCTCCTAAAGGACATTGAGGATATTAAAGACTTGAAAATTTTTTAATATTCACTTTGTCATCTGACTTATTCATTTGTTTATAAGTCTTTACCATATTTTGAACCAATTATTTCATTTTTTTATTTAAAAATAAACTCAATGTAAGAAATTTAGATTTTATGAATGTTATATTCAAAAAGAAAGGCTTATCATAACTAAAATAATATTGCACTTTTAAGAAGGATTCACAAATATCCATTAAAATATAATCTTAGCATGGAAGGATTCAAAAGAAAAATTTCAAAGTCTTGATTGATTAATTTCAGTATTATTGATAATAGATGAACTTTGATATATGTTAGCATTAATTTTGGCTTATTTGAATGATAATATTTGTCATATAGATTCCTAAGAATACGACATGCTTATTATTAGATTATGTTTATTTAACAAACTTATACTCAAGAACGCTATTATTTATAATTGGTGGAAAGTATTTTTTGAATAAATTAATTGATGCAGAGTCGGCAGAGATACATGGTTTCTTTAGTACATATTCAACCAGCGAAAATGTTCAGTTAAAATTGTTTAATTTGATGTGAACCTAAAATTTTAAAAAGTAAAAAGTATCTAACTCAATTTGTCAAAGTACATTCTTCCAAATCTTCAGAATAAATTGAATTTGATCATATCCTAATAAGGTAAATTATAATGGTTATTAAATATCTTCGTGAAAGTTGTCTGTATTAAGTATTATTTATATTGTCACCATCTCCTATTTAAATAAATAAAAAGAATTAGGCAATTTTAATTTGCCATAGGAAATGTAACATTTGTTTTACGAAGAAACATTAAAGTTAAGAAAACTTAAACCATAAAGTTCAAAGGAGTAATAGAAAATCCACATAATATGATAGTTATAAATCTAAAAGGCTATAATTTTGATTAGATTAATTGTAATATAATAGTTACAATTTTGATACTCAAATGATACAACATTAATATGATTTTATAAAATGTATATATTTTTATTTGTTATGCATTTTTAATTATCTTAAAACATGAGCTTAGACTTAAGAAGTCCGATAGATGATGGTGTTGATGATGACATATACTCGACTGAATAATTAAGCGAGGATTCCGTTGAATCATTAGAGGACTTCCTTCCTAAAATTCATCAAAAATCAAATCCGTCTTGCATTATGGAAGAAAAGATAATTCAATATCTCAAGCAGTTAAATTTGTTATTTAAAACTGATCCAAGAAAAAAAGAGTTTGAATATTAGTATTTTTTGTTTCTTACACTAGTGAAAAATAAAAAAAAACTATACCGGAGTTTTTAGGTTCTGTTGAGGGTTCGCCTGCTATAAAAAGTATCAAATTAAAAACTAAATAAATGATACTATAAAAAAAAAACTGAAAACAAAGACCTATTACAAAACACAAATATAAATAAATGATGACTTATATTACGATCAAGTAATTTTATTTGAAGTTTTCAGTTTTTATTTACTGTCTTGATTACTTTTTTTAATTCATTACCATCTGGTTTTATTTGGAATGGTAATTTTATCAAATCGTAATGTTCGTTGATTTATTAATTTCAAAGAACCTAAATTTACAGAATTATCTAAAATAACAATTCCAAAAAATTTATCTTTTTTAGAAGATGTTATCTACTATATTCATTTGATATGAAGTTTCTTCTAATCAATCTTTCCTGAGCTGTTACTTTTTAACTGATATTTATAGTCTGATTTAAATAATAATTGATTACAAAGAATTTTAACAATCTAAGCTCTATTTGAACTTCTAACTTTTATATACTTTTTTTCAATATTATTTCTGTCTTAATAAATTTATTCACAATATGTTTAAAAAAACTATAGCCAATATTTGAAGCAAGGACAAAATGTTTTATTTATAACTGATCATTTTTAATAAAAAAAGAAATATATACTAGAAATGAAATCTCCATAATTAATATTTTCCAGAATATGAAATTATTAAAATACATTCTTTCTTATATCTTCATTGTTATGCTTTTTATTTCTTATTTAATAACTCTTCTTTCATTTCATTTTATTATCTGCAATTTTCAATATAACTATATATTTTTTATTAAAACTTAAGCTTATTGTGTAGAATCCAAATTAAGAATTATTAAATAACTCCAATTTTCATCAATATTAAATGTGTATATATATATATATATAATTAATCTGAATAATATATAAAGTATATAATTAAAAATATTTACAAAAGAATGTAATTTCGATTAAAAGATTGAAGTATAATAAGCAATTAATATAATATTTTATTAAAAATATCTCTTACTTTCAATGTCGCAATTAAAATACTATATCCACTAATTTATTCAACGGAGTACCTATTATTGAATGAAAATTCAGAATATTAGGATATCCATACTAGATTTTAGAAATTGGAGTAAAATGGATCACATCATAATTAATTAACTTGATGATCCTTCATTCCAAACTAAAATTAATTTAGAATTGATAATTTCAGATTTATATAAACTCAGAAGAAGTTCATTAATAAAAAATGATTTTTACTTTACAAATATTTAAATGTAATCCTTAAAATGTTTGCTTGCTAATTTCATAATAATAATTATTCTAATTTTTATATTAATAAATTGACTTTATATTAGATATACAATATAAAATTTCATCATTACGATATTCTCTATAAAGAGCAATATCTTGTAGATTCGTTTTATTTCTTTAAATAAATCTCCAATTTTGAACATTGTTCATAAAAACAATAAGATAGAATAGGAAAGTAATATTCAAATTCCTCATTCCCTTAAAGTTGTTTTATTATTAAAATACAACATCCAAGATGATCATTAATTGTTGACATTTATTATTTTCTCACAAATAAAATGTTTGACCGTCTTATTATCAACTCATTCAAATTTTATAATAAAGCCTAAGAAAAAGCATATTGTGTATCAATCAGTTCAATTTGTTAAAGTAAAAATTCTATTGTCGAATCTCTCTAATGCTTCATTTCTTATTTAAAAGAAGTAGGTAATAATAATTAAGAATGATTGGATTTATCCTTTTCTTAAATCAACAAATTTATTTTTCTTCTATTTGAACAAACTAAACCCATCTTTCTGTATGATTTTTTAATTTTATAAAATAAACAATGAACTAAGTAAAGAAGTTCTAAATTACATATTGCAAATTCAATTTAGTTACATTTATTATATCTAATATGACGATTAAACTTTTCATAATTATATTACTTCTATTTCTATTATATAATGTATTTATTTTTAAGATATATATATACGTAATTGAATATCATGAGCTCTGATTTCGATTCTCGAAAAATATTATATTTATTAAGATCTTTAATAAGATTCTAAAAAAATATTATTTTAAGTTTTTAGAAATACATTAATTAAATATATATATGAATTTTTAAAATTAAGGTCCTTTATTTTTAAAGTTGAATGTTCAAGAAAAGGCTCTTAATAAAGATGCTGCAGAATAAATTCACGAAATTTAGTAAATTAAAATTATCAAATAATACCCTCATAATTACGAATAGAATAATGACAATATTATGTATTTACAATAAGCAACATCACAACTATATTATGCAATGTTTTAAATAAAGGATAAAAGTAATTTGTAGATGATACCATTTGCCTTAGAGAAATTTGATGAATAGAATTGGCTCTATAAGGCTATTATAAATATAATTAAAGAAAAATAAAAATTCTTAGATGAACTAATGGGTGAGGAAAAAAACAAATATAAGCAAGTATAAATCAAATGTTTATAATAGGCAATTAGTTGGACCGAGAAAATTACAGATTAATAAGCAGTGTTTGATGAATTTTATCTGGAAATCTTAGAAGTTTATAAATAAATTAGAAGACCATAGAATAATAACTTATTAGTCTTGCAGCAAAACTAAAACACAGATTGTAATAAATTTTTATATTCATTTTGCTTTATTCAAAATTTAAATTTAGAATAAAATTTACAACAATCACTATAAGAAATAGATGATAGAAGCTTAAATAATCAAAGTGCAATGTAATTTGAGAACGTTTAAAAGAAAAATTTGTATCTTAATGTTGCATCTGACATTCAATAAATAGATATCAACTTTTGGACATTTTATATGAAAAACTACAAAGAAACCAACAAACTAATCATTTTATATCCCATTACAAATGAGGAGTAGTTAAATAATAATATAAGCAATTCAGGTGAAGTAAGGCTCAATAATAAAATTAAGGAAAAATTAAAAAATAATACACAACATGAAATTATTATTCCAATCATATGTCATGATTCAGTTTCAGACAATAAAATGAAAATAATTTATAATTCAATCCTTGATTAATAGATTAAAAGTTTCAAACCCGATTGCATTTATTTAGAATTTTTATTATCAAATGATTTTGTCTTAGAATTACCTGCTCTAGAATATCTTATTAGAAAACTATAAAAGAGCGCAAAATTAACTATTCATTTTAGAATTAGCTAATACTAAAACTTTTCAGAATATAAACTATCAAACTATTTGAATGCAATAATTATGGGACTCTAAGGATTCAGACATTCAGAGAGAAGATTTATAATTGATGAAGAATATAAAGGACTCGTAGAGTGGACATTTAAAATGATGAAATTGAAAGATTACAAAAGTAAAAATATAAAATAATCATTCCAAACTACATTACAATAAATTTAAACTTACATTTAAAATACACAGGAAAAGATTTTTGGATATAAATAAGGAAATGATGAATTTAAATGGCTATAGAAAGATAATTGTAGTATTAATTCTTAACATTTGGTTTTTGAAAATAGTATTGTGGTTTATGATAAAACCAAAAATGAAATTTATTATAGTAATTCACCTAAACTCGTGAACAATTAGTCTGAAGGTGTTCCTTAAAAACTTTAATTGTATATATTAAATTTATTCTAAGATAAGCAATAGAGGAGATCAATAATGAAAATCTAATAGACCCCAGTATAATAGAGTTAAAAAATCAATTGATTTTTGCCTATGGGCATACTCAAAATGGTAATAGTTTTTCCGATAAAATATGGAGATATGATTTGCAAAATAATAAGAAGTAAGTTATTCTAATGTCTCGAGACGAGGAATATTAATAATTTAGACATAATTACTATTAAAAATTTAAAGATTCAAATGAGATTGTAAATAAAATTAAATGGAGAAGGGCTCCATAAATTTGTAATAACATTTTTTTTCAAAATGACGAAAATTTTTTATCTTTCCTCCTCATAGGAGGGGAAACTCTAGTGTTAGATAAGGATGGTTAATCCAATTCTAATCTAATAATGAATATAATAGAAGTTGTGATTTTGAATTTGCAAAATAATAAATTTTGCTCTTTTCTTTTGAATAAATAATCAATAGGTAAATTTTCTTCTTTAAAACCTTGGCCATATTAAACAGTTCTTGAAGGAAATTTAAATAACGCATGTTGTTATTTGATTTTAAATGGAAATTAAACTATAAAAAAAAATTATTACTCTTTTCCAAAGAATCCACAATATCTTAAATAAGCATAGCTTATAGTTTAATCATAAAGTTCATTCTAACTTTTCTTCCCAATAATTAAATTCACAGAAGATTTAATAGTATAAATAGACGAACTAATTGATGATTGTAAAGTTTAATATTTTGATGAACAGTCAAGTGGGCAAAATTGTTTTGTATGGAAACTGTTAATCACTAGATATGTTTTCAATTAATTTTCACTACCAAGTCATCCTTTATTTAACAAATTTGAACAAAAATTGAAAGACATGCAATAATAGAATATTCAGTATTGTTTGGTGTGCTTTTAAATTTCTGTTAAACTGAAATTCTAAGTTTCAGAATAAAATCCTTAAAATTACTAAGACTCCATTGTAGAATTCGATTATGAGAAAATTGAGGTTTTGCCGTATAATAATAATATCCAATGACTTTACATCATTATTGTTTTGGGAATAGAATAAAGTTTTGTTATTTATATTTATAAAAATTACTCTATTTTTATTTAATGCCTCTTCCTTTTAGCATTGAATATTATTTAAATGATCATCAAATAATCTAGAAGTTGTTTAATTAGAACAGCAATTTAATTTCTTTTAAATTAGAATAAAATAAAAAGTGCTACTTAATTATGAGGAATGTTTCTTGCAAACTTAGAGGGTTGAGTATAATTCAAAGGTTGAGTTAAATTAGATATCATCTTTCACTATTATTAATGACTCTATTTTTCTTTTAACTTCAAACTAATGATAATCTAGATTCCATTCTATTTTGTAAATTTATTTTCTCTTTTTTCTTATTATTCAATAGAATATTCTATTAAACTTGGGGTTATTTATACCTAAATTCTTTCTTTTCTGGTTTATTCTTTCGTCAACCAACTAACCGTATTATCAAATAATTACTTATTGATTCAGATTTCTATTTTTCAAGTCGTTAACCATTTCTCCAAATTATTGGTTTATTGTATATTATTCAACTTAATTTTAAAAAACGCCTTAATATTTAATATGATAGATGGATTGAGTAATTTAACTAATATTATTAGATATTCAAAGCATCTTTAAGAATAAACAATAAAAATATGAATAAAATTTACTGATTCCTATAAAATATTTAATTTTATTTAACATAAATATGTTCTAAGTGAAACTTTCAGTACTTATTGTTCCACTTGTTAGATGATTGCTGATTAAATAATTGAATACTATTTATAAGATTAAATTATTAATAATATTCATTCAAAATATTTTATTCTCTCTTTTTCTTCTTCTGTAATATCATCAACTACTTACTCCTCTACCTAAACTTAAGCTGGCCATGATCTAACCATTATGGGTCTTCCAGTTCTCTTATGTACAACTTATTCTTTTTATTGCTCCTTTTACTTTTTCTATTGATCTAATAAATCTTGCTCTTATTTCATTTACTTAACTATGTCTTTTCGAGCTTTGATACAATTCTTTTCTTTTTCTAATACTAGCTCTGGAGCTATTTATCTAAACATTTTCAAATCATTTATTCTCTATTCTAATAGTTTTTCAGTCTCTTTTAGCATTTCAATGCCTGTGATATCTTTTCTCGGTTCAACATTAACATCAGTTCTGTATATTTTAGCAATTTAGTTTTCTAAATTTTTTAAAGGTTCAAAAACTTCACTATCACTTCTTATAGCTTTAAGTACTTTAATTTAATCATTCACTTAATCAATTTATTTCAAGAATTCATTTTTTGTTTGTAAAGCAGTTTTCAATTTTTCTTCTAAGGTTTTAATCTTTTAATAATATTTATTTCTTAGATCTTCCACCATTTATTCTCTTTCTTTTGTATTTCCAATAAGAAATAAATTTTTTTCTTCTAATTGCTAGAATATTTCTTCCAATTATTTTGGTTAAGTAAAATATGTTACTTATTCATCATCTGAATCATTCAATAGTTATTATAATTCATTATTAATTTAATTATTTTAATTATTTCTTGATAAGACAACCTATTATTACTATATTTATTATTTTGGTTGCTTTTACTTCATTTGAAATTCTTTTGGAGTAATCTTATCTAAGAACTTTTTATATTTTAAAAGATCTTCTAAATTGTCAATTTTCTATTAGATTTTAGTCATTAGATCTGTCCTATGTTCTTGTAATGCTTTGATTTCATTATTTTTCTCTTATTTTAGTTTAGTCTCTCTTTCTGCTTCTTTAATAGCCTCTCTTGAACTCATCTTATTTTGTTCCAAAAATTTATTAAATAATTCCACATCCTCTTCTATGAGTTATTCACTTTTTTCTAAACCCAATCGATGTAACTTAGTCAATTTCTCAAATTCATCAATCATGCCTCTCTTATGATCAATCAACATCTAAAATAGCAACATTTCTCGTTTTTTATCAATAAATTGATACATAGGTTCTTTTTATCGAACTCTATTCTTAACAGCATTGTCAGCAGCATCAATAATGTTTCTTAAATCATTCATATCAATACATCTTTGCATTATATTCCTTATCATTCTTATCCTCTTCTTTGCCAATTTCATTAATCTCCCTAATACTCAATTTTCCTTTCGACTTTATACCTTTTTCGTGAACTCTAAGATTTTGAAACTTGATTCTTTCTTCCATTTTGATTTACTTTTCTTTTTCTTTCATTTTGAAGATTTCATATTCATCAGGAACATAAAACGGGTTTTCAATACTTTAATTTAATCTTTCCTGTATTTTTGGAAGCTATTATGCCATTTATAATAATTTTTAATTAAAAGAATACTTATGTAATAATATGATCAATCATTGAGGAGGCTTGTTCAATGATGGCCATGCCACACTTAGAGGTATTGAAGGGACTCCTAGAGTGAATTTAAGTAACTAAAGAATTAATCAAAAAAATACACGAATCACACAAGAGAATTATATTTTCCTATTGCAAAGAAATTTCAAACTGTTTCGTAAAGTTCTCATTACATATCCTGCAAAAGTGCATAAGGATTGACTGTATTAGTATCATCCATGATGTAGAAAGTTGTCACACACAACTAATTAGATGATATAAAATAATTTAGACATTTAATTTAGGCGATAAGCAGCCTTTGTTAGTGTTTTATGGTTATAACTGACCAGTATTATATTGTAAAAATCTTGGATAATTTTTAGAACTAGTATTAAAGATGTAGTTAAATTGTTGTTTTAATATAGTATATCATAATTTGTTCAGAGTTTAGCAAATACTTGAATATATATAGATATTTAATTTTATTTCCATATAAATCTATGTATTACATAAAAATCAAAGGAAACATATTGTTGCAAGAGCAATAATAGAAATTATAATAAAATATCAGTAGATTTTAAATTAATAAAGCACTAATTCAATAAAGTTCTTCCTCTTTCTATCCAGGTTCATAATGTTTCAAGCTTATAATCTCAAAAAGAAATTGTGAGAAAAGGGATTTTACTTGATGAATTTTAAATTATTCATTAGGATATTAGTGAAAAAATTTAGGAAAATGATTATGATTTTTTACTGAAATGGAAATTGAAATGACTTTGAAATAATTAATTTATCAACAAAAGAGTTATTAATTTTACAACAGGTTTCTATATTTCCATTCAAGAATAACAAATCATAGTAATTTTAGTAATTATATTATTAATATTTACATGTCTGCTAAGGATTTATTGATTTAATTATTTGGATTGCCAAAAGGAGAAATCATCTTTTAAGATTATTCATGTGCATTAAAAGGATTAATTTCAAAATATGGAAGGGTATTTATAGCTGAAAATCACATTTGTTTTTATGCAAATCTCGCAGGAAGCAAAACTAATTTAGTGATTAAATTAGATGATGTCTCTAAATTGGATAGTAAAAATAAGAGTGATATTGATATCACTTTAAAGGATGGCAGAACATTTTGTTTCAATGGTTTTCATGATAAAGATTAAGTATACAATTTAATGAATGCATTAATATCTGGCCAACCATTATCAAATTAATAGACAATGTAAACTACCACAGATAGTGCTCGAGATGATGATTCCTAAATAGAAAATGCTGAAGTAGAAATTTAATTCCTCTAATAAGGAGCATCCATGGATTAAGAGATGTGCAAATTCACATTTTCTTTTAACTTAGATAAATTTTTTGAATTCTTTTTTGCAGATGATGCACTTGTTTATTCAATTGCAGATCATAGATAATCTGAAAAAGACACAGACATTTAATTAACTAAATGGACTCCAATGGAAGATAATCCAGCAATGTTTTAGAGAGAAATGAAAAATGTTATTAAGTTAACAGGAGTACCTTTCAAAGATAAAAGTAGGATGCATAAGCTTTTTACTTACAAAAAAGAGGCAGACAAATTAATTTATACTTGTACCACTCACACATTAGATGTTCCTTATGGAAATAGCTTTTAAGCTGAAGAAAAGTGGGAAGTATCATAGTTAGAAGATAATAAATGTTTATTGAAAATATTTGCTTCGGTTGTATTTACAAAATCCACAATGATGAAGGGCACTATCATGAGTAAAACAATGTCTGGGTTAAAGGAAGATTATGAAAAATGGATTAACAATGTTAAAATTAGATTAGAAGCGATGGCAAAATCATAAAAATCATAAACATCTAACATCAATCATGAATTTGAAGAGTAATTATTATAACTTACATTAGCTCTAAAAAATTAGATGATAATATTTTAAACAAAATAATGTAAACAAATTAATCTCAATAATAAAAGTAAAATACTTCGCAGAGTTAACTTTATTAAGGGAGAAAATCAGAATTACTTTATTTATTATCCATATTTCTTTTAATTATAATAATGCTCATTTAAATAGGGATTTTAAATAAATAATCATAAAAACTTGAAAACTTAGAATTGTTGGTATTAAAATTATAATAACGATGATATGTAATATTGTAATATTTTTGATTACTTAATCATTCTGTTACTTCACCCTCTGTTGTTTCTTCAGTTATTTCTTCTGTAGTTTCTTCTGTTGTCTCCTCTTATGTCTCCTCTACTGTCTCTTCTGTTGTTTCTTCTCCTTTTTCATCTGTTTCTTAGGTTGTCTCTTCTGCTGCTTTTTCTTCTCCTTGAGTAGTTTCATCAGCTGTTTCAGTAGTTTCTTCTGCAACTTCTTCTTCTCCTGCTTCTCCTGTTTCAGCATTTGAAGTTTATTCATTTGAGGATGAATCTTAGCTTGATGAATCTGATTAGCTTTCTTGTGATTCTGCTTTTGCTTTTGATTCTGAAATACTTGAGCCAGCTGCTTAAGTAGTTTCGGTGGAGGTTTATCCTTTATGATGATGATGAATAGTAATTTCATGAGTTTCATCATCTTAAGATGTAACCTTAACACCAGTTTAAGCTCCGTTACTTGCACATCCTCCTCTTATTATTTCGAGATCTTTAATTTATCCTTTAATCTTGATGACTGTAATTGGAGTGCTTCTGCATTGTTATTTACAATTATTAAGACTGTTAATATATTCTCTCAATAATTTGCATAATTCCTTTTTAGCAGCTGCTCTATCCTCATGATCTATATAATTATTTTATTTATACTTACTTTCAGAATCTAAGGCATGGCATTATTCCCTTAAGACTTTTACTTGACTGAGACCAATTTGGCTTTTTGTGAGGGGTAATTCTAATTTGTGTAATTTTTTTAGCAACTTCTTTCCTGAAACTGAGACTTATGCTTCTAAGAAAGAATGATGTTTTGTTGTTAACATTTTTTCCATTTATTCAAGGATCTTAATATCATGAGAAACAGCTTTTTGATGAACTAACAAATCTTCCCATTGCTTCATTTATTTTTCTACAAAAGAAAATTAATCAGATCTTGAGCAATCCATTGTTTTTACATTAAAATTTGCTAATTCTTCCAAAGACATCATTTACTCAGTGAATGCAAAGGCACTCAAAGCTAAAACCAATAAAATCAAAGCTTTCATTAAAAATAATATTCACAAAAACGAATTCGCAATATTCCTTCTAAAATTATTTATTTAAAATATAAACATCTATTAAATCAAAAAGATTATAATAAATGACATGAAGTCATAGAAGGTCAAATTAAAAATATAATAAATAAATTTAGATGATTATTATCTCAATTATTATTCTAAGATAAATTCCAAATTTGCAACACAGCAATAATGATTGATTTTCTAAATAATCCTTTAATTTTTGGAGCGCGATTTGGCTTTCAAAATAATTTTGCTATTGATTTGCACATATTTGTCTTTAAATATGAAGGATTTCTTAAATTCAAATAGTTTGGCTCACAAAAATAATTTAGATATATTAAACTGCTGCAAAATCATTTTTATTCTGATCTATAAATGAAGTAGATATTACAAAAAGCAAATTTTAGAAACCAATAGAGAATAGTTGAAAATGAAAGAAAACAAAATACTAGAATTAATTTGATAATTATTTCTTAATTAAAAATTAAATTTTATATCATTCACCTTACTTATATATCCAATCCCGAGAAATATCTGTTTCAACTAACCAATCTTTATTAGTAAATGGTAAACTCTCTAATCCAGTTCCCTAATTAAAATTTTCATCTTCATAATATTTTAATGTGATAGTAAATTAAAGTGATACTATAGTTCCATTCGAAATATTATGATGTATTGGAATAGCTTTCCTTTATTTTTCATCTTAAGGAATATTTTTTTTTTTTTCTTGATTCAATCCAATATAAGGTTTTTAATTATCTTTGACTTAACCCTCTATTTCTTTATTTTATCCTTTATTTTTGGTATTCTCTTTTTAATTTTAATTTTTATTTATACGCTTCCAATTTTTGAATTTTATAAAATTAGTAAAAACTGCTTTCCATTGCCATTTGTTGATTTGTGAATTCTTTTCAACTTAACCCTAAATTTCCATCCAATTCACATCTTAATTCATCATATCCAAAATATTAAGGTAATATTTAGAGTTTTTGGAAATCTTATATGCAATATCGAGAAAAATAGTTGATTAGCTTTTCTTCAAAAATATCACTAACTGTGCTTTAGTAGCATTACTAGGGTTCAGCATTGTTTCATAATAATTATTTTTTGTTTGATTCCAGGGTCTTAAAATTAAATAAGCGCATTCTATTATTTCGAATTAATTAATATTCTTAATTGGTAAAACTAACTAATACGGAGATGGCTTAAGAGACCCTTTAAATGGGTTTAATGATCTTCTTATAAATTTAGAGTAAAATACCTTTTTTTCTACATTAACAAATAAGTATTAAATAGAATTCACAGGTTTAAAGGAACTATATATAAATAAAAAGTTACTCGATTAATTCGCCACCAAATAAACTATAAATATCATAACCTTTAAAATTCTATTAAATATGTGGCTAATAACAAACTGTTTGGCCAACAATTTTTTATTACTTATCAGATATCTTATCAGGTGTTTCTATAGGTTGCTCAAAATATTTGTCATTATATTGTTCGTTATTGTCATGCTCTCTCTTAATCGAATCCCAATTATTGTTATCTAAAGAATACACCCAAATAACATCCATTTCATCTTACTTTAAATTTTCAAAGAGTGGACAAGCAAATAAGATTTATGATTAATTTATTATTACTACTGCATTTAACATTTTCCCTTATATATATTTGTTTTCCTTAAATTTATTACTAAGTTGATATTTACAAATTATTACAATTTTATTTTAATATTTTAAAACTGATTTTGTTCACCTTAAAAATTGTTTTCCTCTTGTAAGTTTTAAAAATGATGATAATAGAACTATTAACTCTTAAAATCTAATAAAATAATTATGTTGTGTTAATATGAAATGACTAATCTCTCAAACTCTATTTTGATATCTTATTTGTCCTTATATTCGATTATATAATTCTTATTATTCCCCATCAAAACAATTTTATGTTGATTTTGTAAATCAATCAATTTTTATAATTATTTTTTCAAGAAAAATAATTAGATGTGCATATAATTCTTAAGTTAAACTTAATTTAAAGATTCAATTATAACTTTTATACTCTCTATATCTTAATCTAATTGGATTAATGTTTTTTATGTTCTACATTAAATTCCTGAGAGTCCAAACAAACAAGCATTAACTGTTCTCATAAACTCTAATGTTGAGTTTTCTAAATTTTCAGACTCAACATCATATTTAATATAAATTACAACTGTACAAATCTTCTTTAATTTTCTTATAAATTTAGTTAAAGCAGTCAAATTAATTGAAAATTTTTCATTGTTTTACACATGAACATAAATAATTGTTGGTTTGAATTATATGAGCTTATTCTTTATATGATTATTAAAAATAAATTTCATCTCAAATTCTGAGATAATATTAACCTCATTATAATATGGAATAGTTGTTGATCTATTACATTCTTTGAAACCTTTATGTGTTTTTCCATTATAAATTGAAAAGTATAAATAGAAATTTTTGTAGTAGGAATTGAAATCTTAAAAAAAATACAAGTTGTCTTAAGATTCATGGCCTGTTAAGCTTATGTAGGCAAATTTTGGGAAATCTAAAATGATGTTTTTTTCATAATCTTCGTTATTAATAATACAAATACCTTGACAAAACATAGATTAAATTATTGATGTGCAATGCTATAACTGATTATATTAAGGGTGGAAATTTTATTGTAATAGAATAAGACCAAAATTATTTTAAAACAAATACTAGTTTTATCTAAATCGTTTATTACCTAATTGAAAATCGAATAAAGCTGAAACAACTATTATCTTAATTCTTAATTGTCTCGATCTGTTAAATCATCCAGGAATGTAAGTGCTTTCTAATATTTATCTTTTAGCCATTAAGCCATTTATCTCAATTATGTATCTTTGTAAAATTTGAATTCATTCAACTTATTTAGAAATTACTTCTCAACGAAGCAATACTATGAAAAAGTAATATTGGCTCGTCTTTTCTTAAATGATTCATTGTTATTCAATTTTTATTGATCATCTTTGTTCCTCTTATAAAGTATTTTGGGTACTTCTAATTATGATAGTTCATCATCTTTCAACTTTTAAAGATATTTGACTAGATTTAATTGTTAAGGTTTATTTTTGATCAACTCATAAAGTGTTATGGGTACATCTAATTATGATAATTGTTAATCATTCAACTTTTAAAAATAGTTAACTAGATCAAACCTTGAAGGATCATCTTTGATCCACTTTTAAAGTATTTTTGGTATTCCTAAATATTTTTTTTCATCTTTATTCAACTTTTAAAGACATTTGACGAAAACAAACTTTTATTTCTCATCTTTGATCCATTTACAAAGTATTTGATGGACACCTAAGCTTAACAGTTCTTCTTCATTCAACTTTTTAAGATATTCGGCTAGATCTAACTTCTATGGAGAATTTTTTATCAACTCTTAAAGTGTTTCTGGCACACCTATTTATGATAGTTGGTTTTCATTCAGTTTTTAAAGATATTTGACTGGATCTAATTTTTCTGGATCATCTTTCACAATAAATTCAAGTATTTTGGGTACATCTAATTTTTATAGTTCAATTTCGATTTGTTCATCTTTGAGCTCTTAATATCATTATCACATTCTTTTTACCTTTATGCATTTGTTTAATTAAATACATTGAATAATATACTTGATTCTGAGAATCGCATATGCTCTTTTATATATTCTAAATTTTATCATCTTGGTGATCCTCTAAATTTAAATAGAGTTGTTTTATGACAGCGATAGAGACTTTTTTATTCGTACTCGTGTTATCATTTAAGTGTTTTCCATTGAACTTATATGCAAAAGTTTTTGTATGCTTCATTAAAAATAATTTAATATTTTCTGATTTTTTAAAAATATTTCTATAAATGTATTTGTCATAGACTAATTTAATTGTTGCAAATATCAAAATTACTTAAGACATAGAGACCAAGTAATTAGTATTTCATTTCTTCAGCAAATGAATTTAGTTTGGTTCTTTTTAACGATGCACTTAAAACTAAGTTCTTATTGTTATACTTTATTTGCTATTGAGAGACTATAATCATTTAATAGATTGATTTCTTCTTCGAAATCATCACTTAAGGGTAAGCAAATATGATATTTTATTTCTTTTAATTCTACAATTAAAATCTGATAAATCTATTTCAAATTGATTTTTTTGCCTTTATTTGATAAGGCAAAGATTCCTAATCGAATTATTTGTCGGTGTAAACTTAAAGAAAACACCAAGATAATACTTTTCATTTGTTACAGCTGAAAAATTCAATAATTTAGGAAAATTGGATGAAATGACTCATATCAATCAATCCATGTATTTCTTTATTGTATCTAAAGATTCTTTAACAATGTCTGTGATATTATTCATGTCTCTTCCTTTTTCATTATAGGCTCTTATGTTTTGTAATTTGTAGCATTTTGATCGTATTTTCTAGATAAAGGTTTTATTTTACAATATTTTCGTTTTTTAGTATTAGATTGTTTAGGGTTTGAGAATCACATTTTTAATTTAAAGAAGATAAAATTTTATCTTGCAGAATAAGTTTAAAGAAAATCAATCTCACTATTAATTCCTATAATGATTACATTTTTGGATAATTAGAATAAATCATATGCTTTATTTTCACTTATTTTATATAAATTGTCAAGTTCATTGATTATGATGATGTGTGTTTAGCTCTTTAAGTCTATCCTTAATAATTTTTTAGTGGATATTTTAACAAGAGGAATTCTTAACATTTGATTGATTTTTATATTGCATAGAATTTTTAAGGTTAATAGTTAATTACTGTGCCATAACTTTAAACATTAGTTAATATAATTTACCACATCCTTTATAAACTTTTATTCTTCCTGGATGAGATTACTTATACTATCTTATTGCTCTTATATTAGAGTACTACTTATATAAAATATATTAATTATCAAATATCCTTTTTCTTTTGACTTTTTTGTCTTGCCAATAATCTATCCTAAATTGACTTTGACTAATTTTGCAATTGAGAATCTACTACATTTTATTTATTTTATTGTTCTTCTTAATGAAGTAATATTTTAGGAATGGGTGTTTCATTATTTTCATTTCTGAATTCAATTTTAGGTGATCTCTTCTTAGAAGATGACTCTTCGAACTTTTACGATTATTTAATTTCATTAATTTGAGTTTATGGAGATTCATGATTTTTTATTGAGATATCTGAATTATCTTTATTCTTTTTGCCTTCTTCAAGAAAATTTTGAAGTTGAATAACAAGTTTCTTATTATCGGTTTATTAATATTGATCTTCATTTTTAGGAGTGGCATATTCTGTTGGTTTATCTATTCTATCATTAAAATCTTGGAAATCCTTGAAGTAACTAACATCATTACTGATGATTTAAATAGGTTATTGACTAATCATTAATATTCATAGTTTACATCTTCTTTTCTGAAGACTATAATGATCTTGGTTCTCTTTATGTAAACTTGTCAGCCTATTAAACAATCATCTTAATTTTGTCCAAGAAATAATATTTAATAGGATCCATGAGAGTATCATATTATTAAACACATTCCTAATACATTCCAACCAATTAATCCACCATATTAATTTATTTGATTGGAGACAAATTAAATTTATTCTCCATTGTAGCCATGGTTACAAAAAATTGTTTCGTTAAATTTATTTTCTTTTATGTTCCTTACTAAACTTCGATGTGATTTTATTTGTACAGAAACTCTGGAGTCATAAATTGTTCCTCAATATAAAAAGCTCCTTTTGAACCAGATTTATTCTCTTCTTCCCCTTTCTTCCCTTGAATACTCTCGAAGGCTTATTTGAATATTCTCATTAAATTTAATAAATATATTATAAATTCATTTCTTTTTGATCTCTACATCCTTGGTAGCAGCATACTCACTCCAACTTCCATCATATAATGAGATATTTTTCAACCCTATTCTTTCTAATGCAACATAAATCACTGATGCTGTTACACCTGATCCACATGAACACACGATGTTTTTATTCACATCAACATTGAGACTGTTGAGTATCTCTTTGATTTCCTCAGGCTAATTTATTATTGAAATATGATACAGTCTTCATCAATCCAGTTTTTTAATCAATTAATTGACTGAAAGGCAATGAAGATGAATATGGCATATGACCACTAGACAATCCTGGTCTAGGTTCAGGCACCTCTCCATTAAATCTTGGAGCTGGTCTAGCATCCAAAACCTAATCTCCTTTCTTTCCTTTATTTTAATTCTCTATATTTTTAAGAATGAAATTGAGGTCTCTCAACATATGAGGTTAGGGAGTAGCTTTGTATTTGGCCTCCCTAATTAATGGTGGAGCATCAGAAACTGCACAATTTTCCCTAACCCAAGCTGGAAAACCACCATCTAGAACAGCTATATCTTTATGTCCAAAGTATTTGAATTACCAATAGACTCTTGCAGACGAAAAGATATTCATTCCGTCATAAACCACTATTTGATCGTTATTACTTATTCCCATATCAGATACAGACCTTAATTAGATACATCATGTACCTTTCGAAGTCTTCTGTTTTTGGAAGCATATGTGGTAAAGTTGTTTCTTAAAGGCTGTTTGCATCAATATCAAAACGAATTGCTCCAGGAATATGGGATTTTTTATATTCTAATTCTGCATTGCGATTCATTTAGGGAAGGTACCATGAACAGTCTATTTTCAGCCTTTATTTTACCTAAGACTTTGACTTTATTGAGATTTTATTTCAGATATTGCACGGAAACTAAAGGTGAAGGGAATGATGAAAAGGCATATCTTGCAGATCTGAGAAACATTATTTTAATGATAATATGTAATTTTTACAATTCTTATTTCGATTTTTATATTGAAATATTCTATATTCAAATCAAATACGAATAAATGTAATAATCAGATAAATATTAGATTGTGAGAGTAATTGTGATAATTTTATGCCTTTTGTCAATGATAGGATGTTCTCTAATTTTGTGGACATTATTCAAAACACCAAGATTAAGTAAAAACCCGGGGAGTATTATTTAAAGAATGGCCATAGCTTAAATTGTATTGAAAAGAATGTTATTAGATTATTACATTTTTGATGTTATTTGCTCAATTTTACATTGGTCATGATAGTAGTAATGATGTTGGTGCAGCTTTTATAATTTCATCCAATTTTTGCTCATTTATAGGGTTTATTGAGATATTTTTCTCCTCTGAATATATACTCTATAATGTTTATTTTCCGATAAATCTATACTTTTCACTCAAAACTCAGAACTACAACTTTACTAAACACTTTAAGTTAATGGAGATAATTTTTTTGATGTTTTCATCTGTTTTCACTTTAACAATGGTCCTCGTAAAAGATGTTAGAATAAAGTATGTTTATATATGTAAATAGTTTTGTTGGAGTGTGTGGTTTATTATTACAAGATATGTCTAAAGCTTTTGGTAGCATTTTGGCAATAATCACAATAGGTGTTTTAATATTGCTAATACTTATAGCCTTGGAGAAATCATTATTCAAGACTACTATATACAATAAGGATTCAGAGAAATTTCATAGAAAATATCACAAAGAATTTAAAATTGTTAATATATTGTATACTACAGTATTTCTAGTTTCTTACATGATTCCAACATGTCTTATGTTTTGGAATCAATTAAACTCTTCTCAAAGCGATCATTAATATTTATTTCCAATTATCTATCCCCTAGGGGGTATTTTACTTTTCTTGATCAGAATAAATGACCCTATTGTTAAAAAGTATTTATATAATGTGTTAATTGGAAAGAAGAAAAATTAAAATAATAAATTAAAGGACAAACTGTTACAAAATTAGGATGTATCAAATTAAATTATATAATAGTTCAATGTAATTGATTAGATTAGTATTGATTCAGGACTTGAGATTAGCGTTTGCAATAATAAGAAACTTAGATACACAGTTAAACAAGTGCTCAGTGAAAAATAGATATAGTCAGAATTCACACTCACTTCAGCATTTGGTAGCGGATTTCAAACCAAATTGATTAAGAGTAATTAAGATTTATTCATCATCTTACTGTCTATCAAAAATGCAATCAATTAATGTATTGGATAAACGTCATATTCCCTAAAAAGTTTAAAACCATTTCATTTTAATCATATAACTAAATATTAATTGTTTTTGTAAGATGACTCTAAAGAGATGGATTAGAAGTACAAAAATTTTAATGTATTTTAATTAATTATTTAGAATCTATGTCTGAAGGACTATGTTAATGAAATATGTTATAAACGAGTAATCAATTGTTACAGTTATGCAAGCAACACACTGATTCATCTCTTTAGTTAAATTTTAAATATTGATTTGGATTAACTAAGAACCAGTTTAAGGATTGAATAAAACACTAAAAAAATAGTCAACACTAAACTACCTTCCTCCTATGGACCTACATTTTTGACTTATGATAATTATTTTTCGATAGAAATAATTTCAAAATAGCATAAACTACTCTTAACCAAGGGAGGAGGGTTGATGAATATTTGTAAACGTTATCAAACTGAATATAGTAGGTCAAAAAATGGTAATACATTATTGCCTGCTATTTTGGGATTATATACAATCTAAATTGAAGAAGATAAATTCATTAATGTTGTATTAAAGTTAAACTAATTAAAAATAAACTATCCTTTACAAATAAATTAAATTAGCATCCCAGAAGAACAAGATCACTTAATTTAATAAGATGTTTTTGGTTGGATATAATTAAGTTTAGAGAAAGGATAGTTTAAATTGTTTATAGCCGAAAAGCTATTTGACGATAGATTTTAAATTAAAATAGAGGAAAATGATTTTAAGTTATCGAAAAGTGCAGCCTAAGATTTATTGACTACCTTAAGCAAGGATATCGAAGAGTTTTGCTTTTTCAGAAATCTAACTCTGTCTTTGGTTTACTTCAAATTACCAACGAATAGATTAGATTCGATGTGCAAACACGAGAACTCACTATCTTATCATTACTAATTAATCAAGAATAGCCAATAAATGACCCCATTACAAATGAATGAGTACTTTAAAGGTTTAGGCTAATTTGAATTGGATAGTAAAATAGGGTTTGTTAGAATTTACATAGATAACTTTTGGCAAGAATGGGAGTACATATAAGAGAATGAAAGATGTCTTTATTTTGATAAACTAACGGAATAGTTATCAGAAATAATTTGATTTCTTTATTTGATAACAATTAATTAAAATTAATACGAATTTATTCAATTTGCTAATTCCATGGATTATCTTCTTGTAAATATTTCTACTTTCTTATTTTTATTATCTCCTTAGTCTTTAAAGTCTTTTTTCCTTGACTTCTTCTTTTTGTCACTGTCAACTAAATAATTATAATTGATTATTTACTTCTCTCTATTTAAATTTCTTAAAAGATTTCAAATATTCTTATATAAGGGAATATTTATGTGTTGTTAGAGTAGGAGAATAATCTTAAAAATAGGAAATCATATTGTTCAGGAGTTAAATCGATATCCATATATTCAAATGTTTCAATTATTTGTTTTCTCTCTAATAATCCTTCATATTTACTTGGTAATTAATCGAAATATTATTTCAAACTATTTTTATATTTGCTAATAACCTAATTATCTAAATAAATATCTATACTTGAGTTATTTCCTTTGTTTTCTAAGTTTCAATTTCAGCTGTCATGATTTCAAAGTTCCCAACCAACTTTTACAAAATGCTTCTTACAATTGTTGTAGATTAGGCCAATTAATCATTGTAAACAACGAATTCTTAAGAATTATCTTCAGTGAGGTATCGAGCAACCAATAGAGCCGAATCTTCATCAATTAATAAAAAAGGCTCTCTTTATAATCTTTCCGAGATCTCTTTTAGTTTAATCTCTCCAGTCTTCTTGTTTTTATTGTCAAATAAATATCTTTCCATTGCATCTGGTAATGTTATCTTTTTAGTTCTTAATCTATAATTTAATTCTAATCCTAAATGATCTACGTCATCTTTTTTTATAACCTTAAACTTTTATTATTATTAATTTTTGTCTTAATTGATACTATCTGGAGTATTATTTTAATTCAATGGTCTCTATGTCTTTATATTAAGAGTAGCAGCTGTTGGAGCCAACTTATGCTAAATGGACGGTGCAGTCTCTTTCAACCTAGACTAAGCATTAATGAGCAACAAATGCTTATATTTTTCATCCAGTTCTTCATAAGCTAACTTAAGTTTTTTCAATTCTTCTTGTAATTAATCTTTAATTTTTGCTTCCATCGATGATTTTTCATTTAATTTTTATTTCAACTCAGTTGTGGTTTTATCTAAATATTCAATATCCCTCGTTTTCTATTATAATTCCTTTCTTAATTCCTACTCAATTTTAACTAACCCTATAATTCTTAATTGATTGTTATCTAACTTATTTGCTTTCTAAATTAAATTCTAATTTGTATCCTTATATGCATCCAATTCCTGTTAGAGTCCATCAATATAAGCTAATTTGTCTTTCAGAGTCTATTGAAGATCATCAATCACCTGTTTTTATTTGTTAAGAACTTTTTAATCTGTGTCTATTTAATTTTGGAGCTTAAACTTTTCTTCCTATTCAATGGAGATTTAACCTTAATAAAATGAGTTTTCCTGTTTTAGAGAATTAATGATTTGCATTTAGATGTAAAATTTCTCCTCAAATTAATTAAAATCATGAGTCATTTAAATGATCTATTCATTTCTTTGAGATTATTCTAATAGCGTCCTTAATCTAAGAGTCTCCTCCTAAAATACATTAATTTCTTTTTCCAATTCTTAAATTTTAGTATATTTAATATCATGTTTCAGATTTTATATTTCTTCATTCTATTATTTAATCATAGTTCTCAATTCTTTGATTTACTTCTTCAAAGTTATAGTCAGCAAATTCTATAAGAATTTAATTTATAATTGATACTTCACTGATTCCCAATTTAGTCATCAATGCTAAATCCTACTTGTCAGCAACGTATTTTTATTGCAAATATCCTCCCACATTTTACACAACAGTTTACATTCGCTCAGTATTTTTATTTAAAAACCTCATTTTTGCTTTTAGATCATAGTTTTCTTAAGTTAACTTATTTATAATATCTTTCAAATAGACAGTTTCTGCATATAAATCATCCTAGTTTTTTAAATCGATTTATTTACTTTATCTTTAGTCATGTTAACTGGTATTTTTTTGCTCAAGTCTTACACAACAGGTGAATTTCTATATGAATAGTTTGAAATAATACTTTACAATTTCTGTATGATTAGTTTTACTTTGCGTAACTGAACTATCATTAATTATATTAGTTTTTCTTGTAGATAGTGTTCTAAATTTATTAGGAGATGGTTTCAATACAAATTTATCTAAATCATTCGATTCTCCTACTCCAGGAATTACCATTTTTAAACCATTAGGAGACACCTTTTCAAGTTTTTTAGTATCGTATATTATCCCTGATTAAGGACGACTTCTAATATGACTAAAGGTCTTAGACGCAATCCTTTTGTTATTTAATTTCTATACATTATAAAGCCTTTTGGATGTTATATGTTTTATAAAATAAAAATAAATACTAAAAATTATTCATTTACCATACCTTGAAGATTTTTTCTATGCAGTTAATCAATCTTACTTGTATCAAACTTCTTTCAAAATATCTTACTGTTAGTAAATTTTATTTATTTATAACTCAGTGAGGTTTCAACTCTTATGATTCTTATCATTTAATCAATTAGGTTGTATCATTCCTTAAAGCACTATTTTTAGAATAAAGAATCAAAAAAAAGGAAAGTATTTTAATTATAATTATAACTATTGATGCTTACAAATATGGCAAAATGTAATTCATAATTCTTTTGATTTTTATCTAATTTTAGATTATAACAATATATTTTTGTTAGTAAGTAATGTTCAGCATTTTCTCTAAACTTTAATAATATTAAACACATTTTTATTTTTTAATCGTTGGTTTATATCCTTTTGTAGATAAAATAAAGTGGGAATGCTATTGTTCAGCAAATTAATTGAAGAAAAAGATAAGAGAGTAGAGAATATAGAAATTGCTATAAATAAAGTCAGACATAAATATGTATTCAAATCAACAATGATTTTAGGAAGAGTACTTAATTCAGATATTCTTTTACGAAATTTCTGAATTCATTTATAGTATAATTCTAAACTCGCGGAGAAATAGTACAGTAAGGAAAATCAATTCAATCTCATCTAAAGACTGAAATGAAAAAATAATAACCATCTGAAAAGTAATAAAATTGTTTAAGCAAGTGTTTAAGAATTTGTTTCCTTTTCAAGGGAAAACTTAAATTTATAAATATATGATAGATAAAAAATAATTGAAAATTTAAAAAGTTTGTAATCCACTTTGAAATCATAAGTCCCCAGCCGATATTGGATAATATATCAATGGATAACGATGGGATTTAGCTTGATAATTTTTATCAAAAAATAAAATATTTATTAATTATTATGATGTTATTAATACCTATATGATTATAATTGATAAATTTTCATGATCTTTTACTCATTGTACTTAAGTTAATGAAATTAGAAGTGTTTCATTTTTATTTATTTGGGAGATGCTTGCGATTGTTAGTATCACAATTTACAAATTGATTGCTAATGATGATCTTTATAAAATTATGGAGATATTATTTATTAAATTTAATGGTTTTAGTTAATACGCATTTAATTATAGAAAGAGTTCAAATTCAAGATTTGATAATTAATTGAGTCAATCATCATAAGTGCTGAATTTTGAATATCTTTCAATCTATAAAATTTATTTTTTTTAATCTAGCTATGGATTAAAGCGCATTCTTATACGATAATTTACCCCAACCTTTAGAGAATAATGACCTGAATTCAGAAGAATGTCATCAATACCTGTCTAAATTGAATTTAAATAAAACCTTATTTAGAATTCATAGTCCTGAACCTTCCATTCAAGATGATTACTTTGAAAATGAAATTGACTAATCTTTTGATGTAGATTGCATGTATGTAAATGATAAGAATAAATGTGATTCTGATGAAGATGGAAACATTTAATGTTCTAAAAAGATTTAAAAAGCCAGAAAGTTAAAAAAGAAGAGTCATAACAGAAGAGGACCTCTCTCTGAGAAGGAATTTATAGATATAATCAAAAAATTGGAATAGTGCCAGTAAGTTATGAATATGATTGACAATATGACCCAGATATTAAAAGGATTTAAGCACTAGTTATAGAAACAAAGGACTCCAAGTCTTAACTGAGATAAGTGGATTATTTTGTTTCAATATTTTATATATATTTTGCTGTTGAACAGTTTATTCACTTATGAAAATTAAAGTGATTATTAATTTAAAATTATAAATGATAAAAAAAATATGTCAAATGAGCAAGAAAATTAAACTTACTACAATATAGGTTAGAATTGACACAATTAACAGATTCATAGGTGAAGCTAACTTTCTAGGCCATTAAGTTAATGGGAAATTACTCTTTTCTAAACCTCTAAGCTTATCTAGTCCCAAGCTTAAATACCACATAATCACTAACAAGTAATAAAATTCATAATCTCTCAAAGGTGCTTTCCATTCATTAATTTCTCTAATATTTTATTAATAATATTTACATTTTCGTTCTAGATAACCTTCCAGTACTTTTGGATGGACTTAAATTTCTAATTGGCATTACTTTTATAGTGGAGATTGGTATGTTAAATTGTTCACCTAAGAACGATACAATTTTATCATTTTTAATCTTCCTTTGCTGCTAGAATTGCATCAATTGAATAATGATTTTTTGAATCAATTTCTCAATGTTTTCAGATTATTTTATCTAAAAATCTTCCTCTTTGTTGTCTTTGATGTAGATATCACAGAAGTTCTTGACTTCAGAAAATGCTGGAAGTTGATAAGGCTAATTTTTCTAGAATTTCAATAAATCACAAAAGAAGGAATTTTAATCTTAAGAATATAAAAATGTAAATAAATGCATTATTCCTTGATATTCTGATTCACTAATGTAGTTTAAATTATTGATTGATTTAATAATAGTTATTAATAGTTTAGTAAAAAATGGATAATACACTCTTAAAAGATTTTTCATATGATTTTTATATTAATCTAATTCTCTAAAATGAAAATCCAATTAATATTGATGCCCATTAAATTTAGTATCCATGCATTGAAACAAATTTGAAGGCCTAAATTCTTTAAACAATATTGCTTGAGGAGATTATCCAAATTTATTTTTACATATTTAATATATAGGTTGCAACTCGCTTAAGATAAATCGAGTAATTGGATTATTACTTTTGTATTAAAAATTTTATTGTTTGGTAAGATAATTTAATATCGTATTCTGTGATATTATACAAGACATAAGGGCTTAATCAAATATCAATACTTAATTATAGATTTCATTTTCATAAACTGCAAATTATTATCTAAGGAATAAAACATATGTGGATAAATGGGAAAGTAAAGAGATTTGATTGCATTATCTTTCATTGTGATAGATTTCAAAGGCATTCTCTAAAAATTTATATAATCCTTATTAGTAAGTGATTTATTGTTTTTGTCTTCCACATTCATAAAAGAATCCCCTGCTTTAATAGAAGATTTGGTTTTGTTTGTTGAAGATATCAGTAGTCCTTACAAAATGTTTAAATTATGTGTATGTAGCTTCTAAGTCTTATCCAAATCTATTATTAAAGAATATTGTTAAATATATCAACATCATTTGAGTATCTAAAATAACACTACTTGGCTTGATTTTATAAAATAACTTTTATTATTCATTTGATAGATTTAAATCAATTAATTTGGATACATATAAATGTTCAAACATAGAATACTCTTGTAACAAAATTATCATTTATTGAAATGTGAAAATAGTAACTTACTTATTTTAATTATTGTAAATTGGATTATTTGGTTTGATCTACATTACCATATATTCAATGATTCTTCTGATCAAAATTAAATAAGGATTAAAAGTTAATTATTTTAATAAAAAGTCTTTGGTACCACTTTTCTTTTTGCACTTACTAAATGCACAATCTAGAATTTTTTAGCTGTTTTCTGTAGCATGTAATGCACTTTCTTTAAAATTTACAGCTCCATTTAATAAATAAATCCAAAACATCATTTTAGCGCTAACACAGAATTTAAGTTGATTTTTTTCGACTAAAATGTTATCCTAAAATATTTCTTAGAAAGTTTAAAATTATGAATTCATGTTAACAATAGAAGGATCCTTAAAAAATAATTGTAAATGAGCAGGTAAAATATCAATTTGAACTGGATTAAAGGGATATTCAGAGGGTAATGAGTGATAGAATGATGATTCATTTGGAGAGAGGATGTTAAGAATTTTAATAAAAAATAAGGTATCCTCGATAGATCCAAATCTCATTTAGGTTGTTCTAAAACTACCATTTAATATGCCATCTTATTTGAAAATTAGTTCATACACCAGATGTTAATTTTTCAAAAACTCTTATCCATAGGAATACTCTTTCTATTTAATTAGTTCATAGCTAAGATTTTGTAACCAATTCAAAAACTCATTTCCATTTGCTTTTTATGCGTATTTCAAATCGTCTTCAAATTTGTTCATAATTATTTATATAATAGAAGTAATATTTAAATATATCAAATTTATTCATAAATTGCGCATTTTTCTCGATCTTTAATTTAATTGATAACAACTAACAAGAGAATCTAAAGTAAAAGACAACTAAATAACCTAGAATTATTAGTGGAAGAAAAAAAGCATTAATAATTTGTTTCTAATTACAATTTGTTATAAAAATATTATTAATAAAATATAATAAAACCTTGTAATGAAAAGATCTAAATTGTAGTCCTCAGACATCTTAGATTGGTATAAGAAAAGGTAATTTGTGCATTCTAAATAGATTTCCTCAAAATGTAAAGCCAAATTATTTGTATTTGCCTGAAGAAATCAAATAATAAGTGAGAGCATAAGTTATATTTGAGAATTTGGATAAGAAGAAAGAAAGTATTGTAAATTAGAAAGTATTAATAGATAAATTAGCGATTGATAAATTATATGATATTTGTGTGAAGAGTGGAATGAGCATTAATAGAAATTAAGTAAGAATGCTTTTTGAAAAGATTGATGAAGATAAGAGCAGTATAAAAGTATTATTAAAATAGAATGGATTGATTTGGAGGAATTTTAAAAATCAGTTCTTGATTAAGAAGTAGGAGAATGTAAATTTTAATTGATTATATAGAATTCACCTAAGTTGCTATGAAAGTGAGAAAGAACTTAGATGAAGGATATCTACCGATATACTATAAGAGTTTAATATCACATTTAAGTTTTGTGTCTAATAGAGAAGAACTGATACAGTAGATAAATGATCAGAGTAAAAGCAAAATAGAGAGATTTGAGAAGATTAAAGAAATAATGAAATTACCATATGATGACATAGAAGAAGACAATAATCTGTAAGTTTAGTAGGCAAGGAGGAAGTTGAGTGAATTAAAATAAGATTATGAAGGAGTTTAAAAGGTAGATGCAGAAACATAAGGCTTTATTACATCGATGAATCAGAGATTAGAAGATACCAAGAATAAAGGAGATGATGATTCGTTGTTGTTGAAAAAGCGAATGAAAAGAAAATCCCTACCTCACAATAGTTCCTTGATGTCTTTACCAAAAATAGATCAAAATCATATTAAATGGCACAAGAATTTAAGTTTGATTGATAATCAAGTTCGATAAAGGATCTTTGGTGAAGTGTAAAGTAAGAATAACAAAATAAATTAATTGCTCTCTCCAAGAAGCAAAAAGCAAAAGGATTTAGCATAATTAAAAATTCAATAAACAAAATTTATAAAAAAAGCAAAAAAATAGTTCGATATTCAATTTGATCCCACAAATGAGAATCAATAATCAATTGATTATACTGGTGGGAGAAGTTTCGAAGAAGGTATACTCAGTTTATTCTAATAATAACAATAATAAGGTGGTTTGTGTAACTTCACTAATATCTCGACAATAAAAAATGATAAGAATGATAGAGATGAAATTTTGGATTAGTCTGGAGATCATCTGCCAAAATCTATTTTGAGGAAACTATAGTAATATAAAAATGTTACAAGAGATTCTACTTAAATATTATTAGACAAATCAATCTTATCCAGTTAATAATCGAAGCAATCTGGAAAGTTGACTCCAATTTACTATCAAAGAATGATTCATCAAACTCATACAAATACGGATTCTCTAAACTCAAATGATATGCCTACTCATCCCAAAAGAAGAACTTATTCACAACAAGATTTAAAATATTAAACTGTATCATATTTTAATTATAACATTTAGCCTCATTTTAAACAATCAGAATTTCAACTTCCGTATTTATGAAATTATTTAATGATTATGATACATTAAATTTTGTTTTGATTATCACAACTTTAATCTTTGAATATTTTTTCAATTAATTTAATATAATTTTATGGGGTTTTAGTGTTCTAAATGCTAAATTAATAATGAGAATGAACTCATCCATGCAAACAACGTAGTTACAGAACATAAGCATTGCATCTATATGGAAAATCTTGAGGATAGTTTTGAAAGTGATCCAAGTATAATAGAATCAGTATAACATTGTTATAGATTATCCACCTTCTACTACATTAAACAAGACATTGGAAGAAAAAACCATCCAATTTTCTAAACCATAAAAAGAAAGCCAACATACGACTATGCCATCAGAATGCTTCAAATCCGAGGAGTTATAAATAGACGAGGACTCCAAATTTTTCGGATAAATCAAAGATGGTTAAGCTAATGGTAATGGAAAATTATGGTTAAAAAACGGGGATTATTATGAAGGTGATTTCTTGAATAATTATATGCATGGTAAAGGTATATATAACTATAAAAATGGGCCGATTTTCGAAGGTCAATTTTTATATAATAAACCAGATGGATTTGGTATTGAGTCTTGGCCAGATGGTTCTGTATATGAAGGGTGCTTTAAAGAAGGCAAGAAGAGTGGGAAAGGATGTTATAAATGGTATTAAGGCTGTGTTTATATTGGTGAATGGAAAAATAATAAAATTCATGGCAATGGAAGATACGATTGGCCTGATGGAAGGGTATGTTGATAGATAATAATTCCAGTCTTACTCCGGGAGTTGGGTCAATAATTAAATGCATGGAAGAGGGAAGTACATTTGGTAGGATGGTAAATGCTATGACGGTGAATATTAAAATGATCGTAAATAAGGATTCGGAATATTTTATTGGCCAGATTGCAAATAATATTAAGGCTAATGGAAAGATGGAAAACAACATGGAAAGGGTATAATGATGTATCCAGATGGAAAAAAAAGAGCTGGACAGTGGGAAAATGGGAAATTGATTAAATACACTGAAGACGATAATATTCAAATAATACCAGAAAACTGGTTACAATAGTGATTATAATAACTTGTATAAATATTTATATAAATTTTGGAATTAGTTGAGAATTGAGATAGTTAGATTGCTTGACACATTATATCGTCTGATTAATATATCAATTATGAATCAAGTATGTTAAAAATATATATGTTTAATAAATCATTAGTTGAACATCTAACCACCGAATTGAGGCAAATTTTAGGAAATGCCAGTTGATATAGGTTATTGAATAACTGTTTGTATAGGTTGTTGCACTTCTGTAGGAATAACGTGATGTTTTATAACCACTCCTTTTCTAGCTTCAATGATTTTGGCTTCATATTTTTATTTTAATTCCTTTAAGTATCTTCTAAATTGTTCTTATTATTGATTGTTGAAAGATCTACCATCTTCTACCATATATTCTAGTTCTTCGATATCAAATCTCAGTTTATCAGAGATTCTCCTTTCTTTAATAATTTCATTCTCCAATTTATTGGCTCTATCTTCCCAAATGCCAATGATTCTTTGCAATTCTCTGTTTTCAATATTCAACATTTCCAATTCTGCATCATCCCTCACATATCTATCAACGAATCTATCCACAGGAACTTCTACTATTTTTTCAACTGGCACTTCAACTATCTTCTCAACTGGAACTTCAACAATTTTTTCATAAGGAACTTCCACAATTCTTTCATAAGGAACTTCCACTCTCTTTTCTACAGGCACTTCTACATATCTATCTATTGGCCTGTCTATGTATCTGTCCATATATCTATCTCGAGGAACCTCCACTATTCTTTCATATGGAACCTCCACTATTCGTTCATAAGGCACTTCGACCACTCTCTCATAAGGATAAGGCACTTCATATGGCACAGGTACTTCGACTACCCTGTCAACAGGGACTTCAACTATTCTCTCAACAGGCACTTCTACTCTCTTCTCTACTATTCTATCCACAGGCACTTCAATATATATAGGAACTTCCTTTATGACTTCATAGGGCACTTCTCTGATGACTTCTTTAATCACCTCATATGGTACTTCCTTGATCACTTCTTTAACAACTTCGTAAGGAACTTCTTTAATCACTTCATAAGGAACATCTCTATAATAAGGGACCTCATAAGGAACTTCTATTCTTTAAACTACAGGCACTTCAACAGTTTGCACTTTTGGAACTTCAATATACTAAGGAACTTGTTGATAAACGTATTCGATTTTTGGAATCTCAACAATCTTTTCCACAATTTTAGGTTCTGATGGTACTTCTTTAATCACTTCCTTAATGATTTCAACTGGTTTGACTTCTTACACTTGGTGAGGTTGATTGACATGTACTGTTTTTATTACTTCTACAGGTTTCTCTACAATCTTTTCAACAACTCTTTCTTAAATCTCAATTTGCTTCTTCTTCTTCTTCTTTCTCAACCTCTCTACTTCATCTTCTAATTGCTTTACATACCCATTTTATCTTTCTAATTAGACTGTTAAGTCAAATACTCTTAAATTAATATAGCAAAATACTTTTTATCAGCCACCTTGAGTAAGGATTCTAATTCCCCTATTCTATCAAACATCTCTTGATTTTCTCTCTCTAACTACTGCTTTATTATTAAGGCTTCATCCCTTTATCTACCTACTTCATAAAGTTCCTTCTCAAGAGATTTAATCTTTTTGCACATCTTCTTTAAGCACTTCTTGTTGTCTTCCAAATACAACTCTATCTCTGAGTTGCTCTAATGTTTTGGCTATTATTCCATTTACTTTATGATTCTTTCCATTTCTTAAATTTCTCTTTTTATCGTATCTATTTCTGGGTCCTACACGTGCTATTACGGTCTTTATCTTTTTGGAGTTTCAGCTATTGTCGACACTATAACTTCTTCTTTGCTTTCTTTCAATTTCTTATTCTTTTTTTTCAACTTCTTTATCTCTTTTTCCAAATGGCTTTAATCACTTCCTCCCTAAACCACATAAGCCTGAGGAGAGCACATCTGTTATTGTTAACAACCAAATTATGGTTAACAGACAGATTAATACATTGGTTGACACATTGGTTAACAAGGTTAGCAATAACTTGGAGCACATGAATGTCCAGGACTTCTAGTTACTGTAGCCACTGATTCATTCAATTAATCTGACACTCTTGAAGATGTTAACTTTTATGCTTGATTATTAAAAGACGTTCTCAACTCTTGAATAGCTGATGTCACTTTAGATAATTTGCTTGACCCTGTACTTGTAGTATTTGTATTTACAGGCTATAATATTTTGTGGCCTTCATTGAATCTCACAGATTTTGAAGACTAATTATTCATTATTTAAATTAATAACTGATAATATATTAAAATATTTTATAAATAAAATTATTTTTTTATCAAAGTCAATTGAATTTATTTTAAGATTTATTATTAAAGGAGGGTCTTAAATATTGAGATATTGAAAAGTACATAAACTTTAGAGAATAATAATTTTCTAATGATTTATGCATTCATTTATAGATTATTAATGATAGAAATGTTTATTAATGTGTATTTATAATTTTTGATACTTATGATATAATAATCACAATCCTCTCATTACTTCTTTTCCTCATCGAAGGTTGGGAAATCAGTGTATCCCTTTTCATCTCCTCCAAAATAGGTCTTGAAGTCAAAATTAGTATTGAGTTAGAAACCATTTCTTACTCTATACACTAGATCTGGATTGTTTATATATAATTGCCCAAAGGAAACTGCATCATACAAGCCATCTTTAATATCCTGATTAGCTCTTTCAGGAGTAATAGAATGGTTTGCAAGCAAAATACCTTTGTAATGTGGTCTCAATGATTTGTAAAGATTTTAAATCTACTTATCTGAAGCTGGATAACCATGTCCATCAGCATTTTCTTAGCTCTTGTCTTCGACCAAAGTGACATAAGCCAAATTAAGTTTGGATAATTGTTGTAATAGATAGGTGTACAATTGAATTGGATTGCTATCATTCATGTCTCCAGTATGACCAATAGGTGTTAGTTTGATACTAACTCTTCCTGGGTAGATGGTGTTCAACTTTTGAACAAGTTGGATTACAAATTTGCATCTATTTTCAACACTTCCTCCCCATTGATCTGTTCTTTTATTAGCACTATCTCTAAGGAATTGATCAGGAAGATGTCCATTACCAGCATTGATTTCAACTCCATCGAATCCAGCAGTCTTAGCTCTTTTAGCAGCGTCTACAAATTCTTGTAATGTTAATTGAATTTCAGCATCAGTCATCTCATGTGGTTTCTCAAATGGTTTGTTTTAAGCACTATAGCAATTTCCTCTGATTGCAATGGCAGATGGTGCCCATGGTTCTAATCCATTCTACAATGATGAATGAGTTTTTCTTCCACCATGGAACAGTTGCAAGAATAATCTACCTCCCTTATCATGTACAGCTTTTGTTACTAAAGCCCAGCCTTTAGCTTGATCATCATTGTAAATGCAAGGTGATCCTGGATATGACATGGATCTTTGACTTACTGGAGTGGCTTCACAAACAATTAAACCAGCAGTTGCTCTCTAAGCATAATATTTAGCATTTAATTCAGTTGGAATGTATGGAGCTGGAGTTCTGACTCTATCCATTGCAGACATAGTGATTCTATTTGGTAAATACAAGTCATTGATCTTCAAAGGATTAATCAATTCACTTAGGATATTAGATGGTACTTGATATTTAGGATAGTCAGTGTATCCCTTTTAATCTCCATAGAAAACAGTTCCCCAATCTATATTTCTATTTAATTAATAGCCATTTCTAGCTCTATCAACAAGATCTGGGTTGGATATGAAAAGTTGACCAAAGGCAACAAAATCGAATTTGCCTGTTCTGATTCCTTCATCTGCTTCCTCTAAGGTGATTCCTCCATTAGCCACTATAGCTCCAGTGAAATAGTTTCTGAATGCTGAATAGACACAAGGTATTTGTTTCTTTGATGCTGGATATCCGAAGTCTTAGAAGTTTTCTGGATCATTTTCATTCTTTAGTACAACATAGGCAATTTTGAGATTGCTCAAAGCTCTCAACAATGTTTAATATAACTCCAAAGGATTTGAATCATTCATATCAGCATGATGTGTCACTGGAGTTACTTTGACTCCAACTCTACCTGCTCCAAAGACATCGATTAATTATTAAACAACTTCTAATATGAATTTGCATCTATTTTAAGCACTTCCTCCATAAGCATCAGTTCTTTTATTAGCACTATCTCTTAAGAATTGATCTGGTAGAGTTCCATGTCCTGCATTCAATTCTACTCCATCAAATCCAGCTTTCCTTGCTCTTTCAGCTGCCTCTTTGTATTACTTTACCACTAAATTAATATCTTAAATAGTCATTTCTTAAGGAACTTCATAGTCCTTCTTAGCAATTTGATTCTAGCCTCTAATTCTGATAGCTGATGGTGCCAATGGAATTTATCCATTTTACAAACTAGAATGAGTTTATCTACCACAATGAAATAATTGGATGAAGATATTTCCCTTAACTGAATGTACCTTGTCTACAACCTTTTTCCATCCCTCAGTTTGAGCATCGTTGAATATTGCTGGTGCTCCACCATAAGCCAACGCACGATCACTTATAGAGGATGATTCGGCAACTATAAATCCACCAGCTGCTCTTTGTGCATAGTATTCGGCATGGTGATTTGTAGGGACTAAGTCTTGGCCGCATCTGCCTCTTGTCATGGCAGATAGAGTAATTCTGTTCTTGCACTCCAATCCAGGGGAGACCACTGTTGTAGAAAAGCAGCCTGTTCTTTCGATAAGACCTAATTTGAAAGGTTAGAATAAGGCCTAATAGGGTGTATTTGATTTCTCCATTTTCTCTTAATTAATTGATTACTTTCTTTTCCAAATTCCTAAAATACCCACAAATACTGCGTACTATTTTTAGAAAAATTTAAAAAAATTTCACAAATATGATTTGAATTTATTATTATAAATAAATAATTACTTAATTCAATTTATAAAGAATTTGTGATCCAAGGCTTAAGAACAACTTATTCTTTTATGAGGATCAATTTCTAGCATCTTTACTAATAAATCTCTAAGCAAGGGGTCAAGTATCATTTCCCTCAGAGTCTGCTGATTCTTCACCTTTAGAATACTTTCCTTTGTAGTTGTTCCCTATGGCCATATATAATACTTCCCATTAGTGGCATTTTTGACGTTGAAACAATGTTTTAAGGTTCCCTTCACGTTACTTGCCATCCAATGAGGAAAACTCTATTCAGTTATTTTCTCAACCAAAGCCATATGTTCGAATTCATTCTTCCTTGTTTAAAATAATAAATGTCCTAGCATATACAATTCATTGCTACCTGTATACATTTCAAAGATGATACAAGCTATTCCCCACACATCACTTTTCTAATCCCATCTGCAACATTGCAACTGAACCTCAGGAGCTCTATATTGACGTGTATTAATTATACAATTATGGTCTTCATCATTGAATTCTGCTCCACCAAGGTCGATAATCTTGAGCCTGTTATCTGCTGGGAGATACCTAAATGAGAATTTAAATATAATTTTACAAGTCATTCTATTTCTACAACTGACGAATTCTACTAAATAGAATGTTCTCTGGTTTTAGATCTGTGTGAGTCAATTTTGTATCATGTAAGAGCCCAATGGATTTAATTAATTATTTGCTAATGTTTCTAATTAAATTCATTGGGATTCCACGATTTTGATTCAATCTTAGCATATCACTTAAACTTGGTCCAAGCTAAAAATCAATATAATTTAAACAATACTCTCTCAAAGACCATACAATAATATCCTCTATGATAGAAGCTTTCAATTATTTCAACAAAATATCTATTTAAATCTTTCTTTTTCAAATAAAATAGTATGTCTGCTTCTTACTAAGCACTTTCAGCATGATTCCTTCTCACTATCTTCATGGCATAGGATTTCCAATTTCTTCTCACTTTCAAAACTCGTCCAAAAGTTCCATCAGAAATATGTCTTCTTATTTTATAGTCCTTGATGTATTCACCCTTTCGAAATCCATAATGTTTGTAGTCATCACTGGAAGAACTTCCATTTGACCCTTCATCAGTCGCACTTGATGTACTTGTAGAACTACCATTCGATATGTATTTATATTATTTAGCTTTTCTATATGATCTACGATTTGATCTTCTATGAGATTCTTTTGAAAACATAGGCTTCTACTTAATATTTTAATTATTAAATGTCATATTAATTTGGGATCAATCAATTATAGAGCACAACAGTTCCAAATGCAAAGTACAAAACCATCCTTTGTCGACATTATCAAGGTATTCAAACTCTTATTATCAAAAATAGCAACTAAATAATGTGCCATCGGTTCTAAATGTTAATTCGCTCATGGGATTGAAGAGTAAAGACAAATGAATGGTAATAGATAAAGTTATAATTCAAAGATCCCTTGCCTGCTTCGGCACTTTCATCAATCACCACTGCTCCTCAAACAGCAATCATCGAATAACAATAAAAAAATTAATAACCTTTGTTTAAAAGTATGAATAATATCAAATAAATAAGTACCTTGCAAGTACCATCAACTCAATTTTTGTAAGAATGGATCAGGATGCCAATATGTTCATGGTATGTATTTATCATTTTTAATCAAATAGATTCGGACATACAAACACAACCATAGCAATAATAATAATAATAACAATAACAACAATAATAATAACAATAACAATAATAATAACAATTCTAATTATTATAACAATAGTAATAATAGTAATTTTAATAATAACAACAACCAGTCGATGCGATGTCCGTTACCTTGTCGCATATCTTGATGGAAATGTAGCAAATCTTCAATCAAGAAGTGAGTTAATTTAATTTTACATAGGATTTACTTCAAAAAATAAGGTTTGCCATTGAATAAGTGAGATAAGGAAATTTAACATTGGCGTGTGACTAGATCAGATCCATTATTAACTCATCAGACAGAACCGCAGATGAAATTCAATAATATACATTGTTATATAATTAATCAGTAGCATATTACAAATAACTATTATAACAATGATAATTTATATATATGTATTTCTATAAAAATTTTATCTATTCATTGTCTTAAACCAGCTTATATTTATTTTTCATAGCAATCCCTATAAATCACTCTGATTAATGCCAAAGAGAAGAATGCTCCAACGAAAGGCAGAATCGAATATATCCACAAATTCCAAAATCTTCCCCAATGTCCATCCTTACAACACTCAAAGAATACTAAACTAATCATCTGTTATATATATCACTTACCCAAATGCAATTGCTGGATTCAAACTGCTCTTAGCAACATAACTAAGTGTTCTTCCGACACCGTATAAAGCACTGATTATTATGCTATGTTCTAATCTGTCTGATGAAAAATCCATTAAGTCGTCATATTAAAATAGGAATCCTGCACAGAGTATAAGTGAACCCAATATTTCTCCAATGATTACTGCGAAGTATTCTTCGATATTGGTCTAAGATATATATGGAACATCATTCACACTATTGTTTGTAGACTATAATATTTTACTAATTCTTAAAGCACAGAAAGCCAAATAAACTTGCCATAAAGGCTCCTCCAAATTAACTTCCTATAGCCACTGACACCCACAATCCTTTATCGTTTCCTGATAACACAGTTGTGATTGCAGGATTGAATGTGCATTTTTAGTTTTAAGCCACCAAGATTAACATTCCATAGGCACAAGCAAAAACAAAGGGATTGTTACTTAGTTTTATTAGTACATGAATACTTGCTGGCATAGATGCAGAAAGTGAGCATGAATGTTCCTATGAATTCAAACCAAAATATATAGATTGCTTCCTTTTTCATTTGTCCAACCTTTGTTTGAGGCATGTTGTCCACTTCCCATTTAATAGGTTTATTTTGCTATATTTCTTGATTCACCAAATCACTATAATTCTATTGTTTTTATTCTTCTTCCATTTTATGATTATTATTAATAATAGTAATGTTAGCAATATTCTTATGTACGTAAGTTTATTATCTCAAATTTTAGTTATTATTTTGATGAACTCTAACAATGCTATGGATCTCAGTAAGAGGGAAACCTAAAAATATCAATAATAGGTGAATCGCATTGAAAAACGATAAATTGGATCTTTGATTATTTCTATGATATAATTGGATTAGCCAAAGATAAAACAATTGATCGAATAATCCATAGAGGATTTTGAATCAGAATATTCAACTTTGCAGGATTTTCATATTAGTAGGAAGACATATATTTATTAATCTATGTAGCAATTGAAAGCGTAGCTCTTAGATTTAAATGTGCTACAATCCTCTTTTATTGATGGACCTCAAGAGAAAGAAAGAGAGTTTCATGAATAGAAAATAGCAAGACTTAATTAACTAATCAATCAAAATTATAAGACCATTGACTAAAAGGAAGTTCAATTGATAAAAATGTAAAACAGGTAAAACTCCTATTTTTTATTAGTTAGTTTAAGTTCTTTAATTGATGAATATGATCTAAATATCAATTACATAGATCAAATACTGTAAACGATTGATTCTATTTTGTATGATGATGAGAAAGTTGGCATGAAATTCTTCTAGAAGAGAGGAAGAGTCAATGAATTAATTGAAAATCTAGGGAAATCTCCTATAAAAAATATCAAACTTGACTTACCCATGCTCAAATAGATAGTATAAATTGGAATTAAAAGCAATTTTGCAGATAAATAAACTTATAAATAAGTAACTAAGCGTGTATATTATTAGACTCAAGAACTCCTGATTACCTTAAGGAAAATACTAGTTGGAGAATTAAATAATCTTAATACCGACAAGATCGATTAACTTGAAATTAGTATCAATTAATTAAAGAGTGAGACTCTCAGATTGAAAAGTCAATTGCTAGAATCAAGCTAGAAGTTGCAAATTGAGAATAGAGACATTAGTGCAATCACTGAATCTAAGAAGAGAATTGAACAAGAATTAGGAATTCTTGATGAGGACTTGAGATTGGAGAATGAGTTGTTTAATTAGAAGGAGGCCTTTTTGATCGAGGAGGTTAATGAATTAATGGAGATCGAGGAACTTTTGAAAAATAGAGAATTGATTTAATACATCCAAGAATAATAATGATAATATAAATTAATATAAAATTTGATGGATCATCAAATGTAACAAAAGGAGTTTTTCAAAAGACTGTATTAGTAGATGAAGTCTGCAGTGACTCTGTAATCGAAGATTCAAAATGTGATTTATTTGCTCTCATAAACATCTGATTTTTTAGATACGTATTCTTTATTATTTAATTGAGGTTTGCATAATCTAATTCAATGAAAATAATTACATAGTACTTAAAGGACGCTTTGAAATCCATTCAAGTTAATGAAGAATTGATTGATAAAATTTTGGCTTTATTATTGAGGATGAATTTAAGCGAAGAAATACTAAAAGAATCAGAAATTGCTTAGCCTCTATTAAAAATTAAAGATAAAAAGCTTTTTGATAACATAAGATCTAATCTCATTGAACAAATGTAATAGAAATGGTCTAGATGCTATATAAAATTCAAACCATTGCTAGAAGAATGGAAAAGAAACAACAATTAGAAGGATAAATAAGAAGATCGTAAAAAGAAAGGGAAAAGAAATCAATCATCAAGTTCTAGTGAATCATCGAATAAGAAAAAGAAGAGCAGAAAGAAATTTGTCAGGTAATATTTTACTGTATATTGAACAGATTTCAAAGAGACGATCTTTTGCTTAATTTTAAATATTTTAAGCGAGAGGACGAACCTAATCAAAGAGGAATGACCATGGAAGAAGTTGCTTAGTTCTAGAAACAATATGCTGGCGAGTTAAAACGATTGAATCAAATAAACGGAGCCTATAATATTAAGCATCGAGAATCATTGATGGAAGGCTAAGAACATAAAATGCAATTAGACATTATTCAATAGATGTTGGAATAAATACCATTTATCAAACCTACAAGTTATACTTTATTTCTAATCTCTAGAACTGTTTTTGTAATCATAAGTATCCTACGACACCAATTACATTGAGACTGCAATCTAATAAAAAAGAACAGAATCTAAAATGTCTGCATTTTACAATAGAGATGTATATAAAACCATTAAGCAATCTTTAGAGCATACCAGATTAGCCTGGATATAATGAGATTTCCAACACTCAATCAGGCTTATAACCTAAAATTATCCATTTAGATCCTCCAAAAAGAGAGGATCTAATGTACATGGTCTAAATCATTTGCAACAGAGGTCTTAAAGAATTGGAAGAGAAGAACAAAAATGCCAATAAGAAACAAATCAAGGGAATTCTTAAAAAGTAGCCTGATGAATAAACGAAATAAAAGGATGTTCTCAACCAAGCCAAGCAAGACTTACAACCAAAAATGTAATAATTAGTCCAAATGGTTGAGTAGAAACATTAACATAGCCAGGAAAGCATTCGTATTAATATTTCATTATTTAAGTAACTTTATTACATGATATTATATAAAAATTAAAGGATATTGGTGAGGAAAAATATATAAAAAATTTTAAATCTATCCTTGAAACAAAACTGAACGACAAGCAAACAATAATGAGTGAAATTGATCGTATAAAAGTACAATAAGATTAACAGAGACTTCGACTTGAGTAGTTATAAACTATCAATCCTGCTCAAGCCCTACGATTAAAAGCTTACAAAACCAAGCATTGTCACAATTTTCATTCGCCCATAGGTTGTGCAAGAGGAGATAATTGTAATTTCATACATGACTCTCGTTATCCAGGAAGACCAGCCCCAGTACTTTAACATCCCAATTTCCTGAATAAAACTCTATATCCCCAATCCAATATGCCTGTAATAGTTCCACCTCTGCTTCAATAACTAAACCCTTTGATTCTGCTTGGAAGACAGAAAAAGTATGAAAGTCTATGAGTCAAAAATTATTATAAATTATAATATCATAAGAATGTAAGTTTAAACAGTATCCTTGAAAACATTTAATATTACTAGAACTTTCTTCATTTTCAATATTAATGCTCCTTTTTATTTTCAGTTTATTAACAATACATTAAATAAGGCTAAAAAAAATTATATAAGATGGCTTCAATTTCAAACAATCAATATTTTCTCATTACTCTATCTTTAAAGCTGAGAAATACAAAATAGCACAAGTGCCATTTTAATAATTTGATAATTAATAAAAATATCCTTGTTTTCTAACGTAAATATATATTCTTTTATTGAGAATTTCTAAAGATTCAATTTCAAATTTTCAATTTTATAATTAAATGTTTACTAAATTATAGATAAAATATTATTATATTTAATAATTTAAATTTAGATTCAATTACTTTTTGTCTCTTCTTAATCCAATTCAGCCATTTTCATATTTGTTGATTTGATATTTTTGAATAACTCTAAAATAGTAGAACTAATCATATGAATAAAAAGAAATCATTAATAAATATCAAATAGCACCATAGATTTCCTTTCAAATCTTTTTTTAAACTCAAAATATTTTAAAAAATAGCTTCAAATTAATTACTTTCTTAGAAAAAACTATTCCTGTTATTATTTCAAATAAAAAGAAAGAGGAACGAATAAAGGATAATACTGATTGTTGTTTAACTAGTTCCTAAAATGATTACTCAATTATATGCTAATTACTTTCAATTTTTTTTTGAAGACTGTTTTACATTAATTACATTTTTAATTATATGATTAATAATAACGATATCCAAAATTGGAGTAATCTTACATAGATTTGGTTAGAAATTCAAGTTTATTCATTTCGTTTACTTTCATCTTCTGAGTTTTTACTAAATATACCTGATATTTTTATTCTTTTTAACTTTACGTATGTTGAGTTATTTTCTAAATTAAATTTATATGGGATGCATTTGTGGAACGATGCCAAGAAAAAATTAAATCATGTCTATGAAGACGAGAAATAGGGATGAAGTGTTTACTTCAACAGAAGATATTCAAAAAATCTACATTTTTGGTAAAGTTCTTGGAGTTGGCTCTTTTGGAAAAGTGGTAGCAGCAAAAATGAAGAGTAATCCTTTGAAAAGATATGCTATAAAAATTATAGAAAAGAGAAAAGTCAAAGGCAGAGAGGATATTTTAGCAAATGAAATTTACATACTATAGAAGTTAGATCATCCTAATATTATAAAATTCCATGAAGTTTATTAAAATAGGTTGAACTTTTATATTTGCATGGATTATTGTTAAGGAGGAGAGTTAGTTGATTGGATTCCTAAAAAATACAAGAATTTTCATGAAAGTAATATTTAGGAAATAATGAGGAAAGTATTATTATTTTTATAAATAGATCATATCAGCAGTAGCTTATGTTCATGATGAAGGAATAGTGCACAGAGATATTAAGGCTGAAAATATTATGATAACAAATAAAAACGAAGATGCGGAACCTAAATTGATTGATTTTGGATTAGCAAATAAATTTGACAGCACGAAGTTAAGAAGACTGAAATCTTTTGTTGGAACACCAATGTACATGGCCCCAGAAGTTATTCAAGGGAAATACGATGAAAAATGTGATATATGGTCTTTGGGAGTTCTACTTTTTACATTACTTTCAGGTCATATGCCATTCCATGGTGAAACCAAAGAAGAATTGTATGATAATATTCAAAGATCAAATGTAACTTAATTACAATGTTATTAGATCGCATTTAATTCAAATGCATGGAAATTTGTGAGCAGTGAAGCAAAGGACATAATCAGAAGAATGCTTTAAAAGAGTCCTTAATTAAGACCCTCAGCCAAGATATTATTAAAACATGATTGGTTTAAGAAGAAGTTATAATCTAATGAAAAAATAGCATAGGATTAAATCTAACAATTTAAAAACTAGCTTTCATCCTCGCCTTCTATATTAGACAATAGATCCATCTATGAAATGTTATAATAAAATGCTTCAAAAGGAGGAAGTAAATTCAGAAAAGAAGTGATGACTCTACTGGTTAAATAGCTAAACGAATAAGAATTACACAATTTAATAGAAAAATTTAAATAAATTGATATAGACAATTCAGGCACTATCACCATTTTTGAGTTACGTTAAGCCTTAATAGCAGAAGTAAAATGTAGTATTATGGAAGGGTTCATCTGTAAGCCATGAAGAAGTAGAAAAACTGTTACAAAATATTACTCCAAAACATAATTAAATGTAAGATGGAAATAAAAAATCAAGGCCTTCTCTAGAATTAAAATATAGTGAATTTTTAGCATCTTGCATAGATGAAAGGAAATTCCTTACGAGAGAAAAGGTAAGTTTATAAATTAAGTTAGTTATGGTCTTTATTTAAGTTTTTCGATACAGATAATTCGAATTTCATTACAAAAGATGATATTAAAGAAGCTTTTGCAAGAAATTCAAAGTCTTTTACAGATGAGTAAATTGATGAAATGATAGCTGAAATTGATCCAAATCATGACAATAAAATAAGTTTTGAAGAATTTTGTTAAATGTTTGACAATGCAGGAATTTATTAAAACTTAGCTGATGATGATGAAATAATGGAATGATGTAAAAATTATAATGATACTAATTAAATAAAAGAGTTCATTTTTCTAATTACAACCTAAGTGAAGCTATTTCTTCTTAGTACTTTTTGATTATTTTTTGTATTTCTGGTTCAAGTCCAAGAACTGTCAATTATCGTATTTCTTAGGTTTTATTTTTCTCCCACTACATTCTTGATGCTTTCTCCTTCTATGCAATTTATTATTTTTCTTACTAGAATTGATATTATAATTTTTCCATCTCTTACGAATGAGATTATTATAATGTCTTGATCTCGTTGGTTAAATTAAGTTGTTCTTATTATAATTCTTTCTTATCTAAAATCAGCTATTCTATTATTGACAATTATCTTTAAATCGTAATTTCATATTGATCATATGCTTATTTTGATAATGATTATTCAGTCTATTTTATAAAATTTATTTTTTCAGTCATTTTTTGTGTGATTTCTTCAACTTATTACTTTAAATGCAAGATCTCCTATTTTAAGGAAATGTTTTCTTCAATAATTTTCTGATACTTAAATTTGTGTTTTTAGAATAACTCCTCTTATTTAATCTAGTCATACATTGATTATAAATAATATTATTAATCAATATTATCACATTGCATAAATTATTGCTCCAACCACACCCATAAATAAAATAAACGTAATGGACATCAAAATCAGATACCAAAATACCACATATCGTAACAAATTGCATGGCTCATTTTTAGAGTATTGAATCATCAGATAAATATTGCTAATGACAAACCCGACAAGCAATATTCCTGATACATAAAGTTTGATCCGTGAATTTGATGAGGATCTCCATTAAATCATTATACTAGTAATAAATACAATAGCGCATTTACCCAATTATAATGACATATAAAGTGTATAGACAAAATAAAAAATATGCACATTGTCTTAATGCAATGCACTCATCTCCTCCATACAGTTCTGGCTTGGATGTGAATTAGTAGAACAAAAAGCTAACTAACGAAAGGGAAACAACAGTGAATAGAGAAACTTTATCAAAAGCTTATTGATCTTCTGACTCTAATTGCATGGATTTCAATTTATGTACTTATTATTTATAGTTTATTTATAAATTAATTTAACTTAATTTGGAAATACTAAATGTTATTATGAGTTTCATGCATACATACTTCCATCTTCATTAAAGTTTTTATTAACTCCTCCTACATTGTCAAACATTTAACAAAATTCTTCAAAACTTATTTTATTATCATGATTTGGATCAATTTCAGCTATCATTTCATCAATTTATTTATCTGAAATCTATTTTCCATTTCTTGCAAATGCTTCTTTAATATTTTATTTGGTAATGAAATTTGAATTGTCAGTATCAAATATTTTAAATAATGAAGATAACTACAAATTAGGATAACTTTTACTTTTTCTTTTGTTATGAACTTTCTTTCATCAATGCAAGAGGCCAAGAACTCACTATATTTTATGATAAACTCTTTTTTCCTTTTTCCAACTTCCTCTTGTGTTTGAGGAGGTGCAACGTTGTTTATCAATTTCTCTATGTCTTCATAAGTAGCTGGAGAACCCTATAATTACTTTAAATTAGAAGTAATACTTCAGCCTTCAAAGCTTCTTTCAATTCTTGAAATGTAATAGTACCAGAATTATCAACATCTATCTTCTTAAAGATTTCTTTTAATGAATTTAATTCTGTCTCATTTAATTGATTGATTAACAGAGTTTTAACTTCTTTTTTAAATTTAGCCCCTCCTTAATTTTACTTAAGTAATGAATATATAGATCTATTTTCAACAATGCTAGAAGTGAGAGAATTGTTTAATCCTGATGAATTTTTTTCATCATTCTTAAAGTGTTTTTTGAACCAATTATGCTTAACTAATTCCTTCGATGTTGGTCTTTATCCTGGTTACTTGGAAAGCATTCTTTTAATAATATCCTTTGCCTCACCACTTATATGAGCCCAAATTGCAGAATCAAAGGAAATCTATCTTTTAAAGAGAATGATACATTGGCGGTTTATATGTTGTCATATAATTCCTCTTTCGTTTCCCCATGAAATGGCAAATGGCCAGAAAGTAAAGTAAAAAGCAAAACCCCCAGAGACCAAATGTCGCATTTTTCATCATACGATCCCTTAATTACTTCAGGTGCCATATACATAGGAGTTCCTGCAAAAGATTTTAGACGTCTTAATTTAATATTAAGGATACTTAAGATGAGATGTATCAAACTTATTGGCCAATCCAAAATCAATTAATTTAGGTTCGCCATCTTCTTTTTTTGATGTGACCATAATATTTTCAGCCTTGATATCTCTATGCACTATGCCTTGGTCATGAATATAGCATACAGCGGAGGCAATCTAAATTTATATTGATTATTTGATATAACCTTCTTCATTATCTCTTGAATGTGCTATTCATGAAAGCTTTTGTATTTTTTAGGAATCCATTCCACCAGTTCTCCTCCTTTACAATAGTCCATACAAATGTAAAAATTTTAATTGTTTTAGTAAACTTCATGAAATTTAATTATGTTGGGGTGGTCTAATCTTTGTAACATATAAATTTCATTTGCCAATACGTCTTCACGACCTTTAACCTTTGCTCTCTCAATAATTTTGATTGCATATTGTTTTTCCAGATTCTTAATCATCCTAGCAGTAACGACTTTCCCAAATGAACCAACTCCAAGTACTTTACCAAATTAATAAATTTTAGAGATATCCTCTGTGGATGTGAAGACTACATCCTAGTTTCTTGTTTTCATCTAAATTATAGAATTCTGTTTTATTTCAGCCCCTGAGGCACATCCCATTGTTATATAATTTAATAGGATATAATTAAGTAATTTGATTTGTTTTGATTTGAAAAATTATGAATATTATGGTACTTTAATAATAAAGAATGCTTAGAACATAGACATTAATGTTGGAAAGAATTAGTTAAATTGGTCATTTGATGGAACCCTAAATTATGGATCTTTATATTTTCTTTGGCTTTCATAACTCTCCTGCCAGATCCTTAGACTAATAAAACTAATTGAAATTAAGTATTTATCAAATTGTCGAGACATTCAGGCATTTATTTATTAGATAATATGTCTTTTACTTCTTTAATAAAGTAAAAGAGGTTTTGAAATACTGCTTAATTATCTATTTTTAGGTACTATTATTCATTAATAGATAAAGTTAGATTAAAGCGCCGTTTCATTTCAAGATCACTTCAACTTTTTTAGCCTGGACCTTAATATTTAAATATCTAATTTGTACTCCTTTGAATTAAGCTATTCTTTTTGAAATTTAAGATTAATCTAAAGTTTGCCTATGTCTTAGATTTGATTCACAGAACTTTCAAATATTATCCTTTTTAATAAAGATATATGTATTATCATCTAAGTTCAAGAATATATATGTCTAGTAGAAAGCTCTAAAATTCTTTCTTCAAATTGCAATAAATCAGAATTACGGGGAGTTCCCTTAAATTTATTGAATACATAGTATTGTGTTAGTATTTTGTCATAAGATCTTGATTACTTTTAGATTTTTCAAAGATTAAAATGATATATTCATTTAGTTATCCAATAATTTTATATCTCTAATTGAATATGTTATAAAGGAATAGGATATAAACCCCAAAAGTCCTTCTCATCATAATTTATTTTTATATAAGTTAATAAACTTTTGATCAAAAAATTTTATAAATTTTAACAGTTATTAATTTTAGTAATCCCTTCTAATTGGATCTTAATCATTCCAATAAGTAATACTAACTAATAATGTTTTAAATTATGTGTAAATAACAAGAATTAATAATTTATTAATAATGTAAGTTATTATATTTATATATAAATTAAGAATGATATCATAACACATTATCAATATGATAATTAGTTGCAATGAGATTTTATATTATTTTATTAATGTAATCAACTTTAAATTTCCACTTCTTTTACTTCATCCCTAATATTCATAGTTTGTTCAATGCCAGCAACTCCCATCATTTACATGAATTCATCAAAACTTATTTTATTATCATGATTAGGATCAATTTCATAAATCATCTAATCAATTTTCTCATCCGACATCTACCTTCCATGTCTTGCTAAGGCTTCCTTAATATCTTCTTTAGTTATATAATTGACGTCTAAAGTATCGAAATACTTAAACAGAGACCATAACTAAATTAATGGACAAAAATACTTTTTCCCTTGTCAATACTCTTCTTTCATCAATACATGCAGCCAAAAAGTCTGTATATTTGATAACAAGAGGAGAGGGTTCTCTGTCCATTTCTAAGTTGTTATTCTCTTCATCGTCTTCCAAGACTATAGTTTATATAATCTATTCGATTTCTTCTAATGAAGCAGGAGACCCCTATTGTAATTAACTTTAAATACTTCTTACTAAAGTGCTTCTCTTAATTCTTCAATAGTTATAGTACCGGAATTGTCAACATCTATTTTTTGGAAGACCTGTTTTAGATGATGTAATTCTTTCTCATTCATTTAATTAATGAGAACTTTGGTAACTTCTTTTTTAAATTTGGCTCCTCCTCTAAACATTTTAAGCATTTAATAAATAGTTCTATTATCCTCATGAGTCTATATTAATTGTTATTAACTCTTTTCTCTATTTACTTTTATGTTCTAAAATTGCATTTCGAACCAAGGATGTTTGAGACATTCTCTGGCAGACAATCTCTTTTTAGGAGTTTTCATAAGCATCTTTTATATTAAATCCTTAACCTATTCACTAATATTCCTCCAATGACGCCTATCGAATATAAGCTATAATAATAATTATTCAAATTACAGTTTGTGTTTTGATGTTTTCATATAATTAGGCTCTGTTTTTACCATAGAAAGGTGGATAACCACATAACAAACTAAATAGCATAACCCCTAAACTCCATACATCACATTTTTCATCATATTCACCATCAATTACTTCAGGAGGTAAGTATAAGGGAGTTCCAACAAATGTTTTCAATCGTCTTAGAATATTCTTGATTCAAATACTTAATGTGAGTAGTGTCGTACTTATTTGCCAAGCCAAAATCAATCAGCTTTGGTTCTGAATATACATCCTTTTCGCTAAACATAATGTTCTCAGGCTTGATATCTCGATGTACCAAACCTAAATCATGAATGTAAACAATGGCTGAACAAATCTATAAATGAAAAACTCAATACCTTTTGTATGATGGCCTAGACTTAACCTTCAGAAAGAGTTGATTATTATTTGGCTATTCTCTCAACAAGTTCACCCCCTTAACAATAATCCATACAAATATAGAAATATAAAGGACTCTAATAAACTTCATAAAATTTGATAATATTTGGATGATCAAGCTATTGTAAGACAAAGATTTCATTAGCAAGTAATGCCTCCTTACCTTTAACTCTCCTTTTATCAATTACTTTAATCGCGTATTGTTTTTCAGAGTTCTGTTTCATTTTTGCTAATAATACTTTCCCAAATGAGCCAACCCCAAGGACTTTCCCAAAGTTATATAATTGATGGATATCAGCTGTTGATGTGAATACTTAATCTTTGTTCATAGTTTACATAGCCACAATTCTATTTCTTTTTTTTGATTCCAGACACCCCATGGTTTATGATTATTAATGAGTGATTAAAATATTTTGATGTATAAAATTTTATATCTAATTCAGATATTCATAATCTTAAAAGGCTCTTAATTTACATATAACCTCGATCCTTTCCACAAAAATTTACTCTATCACTTTCAAATCTTATTCTTTAGAGAATCGTTATTTGACACCTTTTTGGATTTTCTAAAATCATAATCTACATTTTGCCGAATCAATTGAATATCCCAAACANTCCTCTAAACATTTTAAGCATTTAATAAATAGTTCTATTATCCTCATGAGTCTATATTAATTGTTATTAACTCTTTTCTCTATTTACTTTTATGTTCTAAAATTGCATTTCGAACCAAGGATGTTTGAGACATTCTCTGGCAGACAATCTCTTTTTAGGAGTTTTCATAAGCATCTTTTATATTAAATCCTTAACCTATTCACTAATATTCCTCCAATGACGCCTATCGAATATAAGCTATAATAATAATTATTCAAATTACAGTTTGTGTTTTGATGTTTTCATATAATTAGGCTCTGTTTTTACCATAGAAAGGTGGATAACCACATAACAAACTAAATAGCATAACCCCTAAACTCCATACATCACATTTTTCATCATATTCACCATCAATTACTTCAGGAGGTAAGTATAAGGGAGTTCCAACAAATGTTTTCAATCGTCTTAGAATATTCTTGATTCAAATACTTAATGTGAGTAGTGTCGTACTTATTTGCCAAGCCAAAATCAATCAGCTTTGGTTCTGAATATACATCCTTTTCGCTAAACATAATGTTCTCAGGCTTGATATCTCGATGTACCAAACCTAAATCATGAATGTAAACAATGGCTGAACAAATCTATAAATGAAAAACTCAATACCTTTTGTATGATGGCCTAGACTTAACCTTCAGAAAGAGTTGATTATTATTTGGCTATTCTCTCAACAAGTTCACCCCCTTAACAATAATCCATACAAATATAGAAATATAAAGGACTCTAATAAACTTCATAAAATTTGATAATATTTGGATGATCAAGCTATTGTAAGACAAAGATTTCATTAGCAAGTAATGCCTCCTTACCTTTAACTCTCCTTTTATCAATTACTTTAATCGCGTATTGTTTTTCAGAGTTCTGTTTCATTTTTGCTAATAATACTTTCCCAAATGAGCCAACCCCAAGGACTTTCCCAAAGTTATATAATTGATGGATATCAGCTGTTGATGTGAATACTTAATCTTTGTTCATAGTTTACATAGCCACAATTCTATTTCTTTTTTTTGATTCCAGACACCCCATGGTTTATGATTATTAATGAGTGATTAAAATATTTTGATGTATAAAATTTTATATCTAATTCAGATATTCATAATCTTAAAAGGCTCTTAATTTACATATAACCTCGATCCTTTCCACAAAAATTTACTCTATCACTTTCAAATCTTATTCTTTAGAGAATCGTTATTTGACACCTTTTTGGATTTTCTAAAATCATAATCTACATTTTGCCGAATCAATTGAATATCCCAAACATTTACTATCATCATTTTTAAGTCTGTAAAAAAAAATAATTCAAAAAAAAAGGTTTTCGATTGTAAATAAATAACCCATAACAATTATCTTTAATATCCAAAATCTGAAATTCTTACATAAATATTTTTCCATACTGTAAATTCTGATTTATGAGAAACATTAAATTCTTAACCTATTTGTATAACGATTTTATTTACCTTACTTCATTTATCTCTCAAAAATTGAAGAATAATATTATTATAAGAAAATTAAATATAATTCTACTTTTTTTTGATACTATATTAAATACAACAATCTGATTCTTCATATTCGCTGTAGACCTTAAATTTATTTGATTTCAAAAGCAATATTAAATAGAATATAGTTACTAATTATCATTCAAAAATATATCAAGCATGGAATTATATTCTATAAGACAACCTTTAATTCCAACATTTCAAAATGAGTGCAGATCTAAAAAAATCAAAGATAAAAACATTTAATAATTAATTAATGCAAGTCTTAAGTAGGATTTATCTCCTCCTCTTTCAATTATAAAAACTCATAATATGTCTCTGTTAGCATTAAATGCAATTAGAGAGCTTGAAGATAATACATATTATTTACAAATAGAGTAACTTTCAAAGTAGTCGATAATGATTTTTAATGGTTTTCACTAAAACTCTTTAAATTCCTGTATGTGCATATCAATAAAGGAACTACTATAAAATACTCCTAATTTTCAATTATAGTAAAATATCAGCGATCTGCTAAAGCTTCTTGATGAAGTCTCAAAATTAGTAATTATAGCATTTAATTTAAAGTAATAAAATTAACAGATAGCAAATGTTTTAGTGCTCTAATGCTTCTAAAGCCATTTTCAAAATGAGATATTTCAAGCGACACAATTATATAGCCTATATTCCCAAAAATGTAAGTTAAAATTTAATATTTATAGTATTGAAAAGAAATGAAAATTTTCTATTTATCAATATTTCTGGTCTTAACACTATTGAATAAGATATTACAATAATGAAGGAACTTAGTTTACTCAAAAAAAGGAAGACGGAAATGTATTATTTGTCCTTTCACAAAAGAGATTTTTAAACAAAATTAAAAAAATACTTTAATTCTACTTAATCTTTTGAATTATATTTTCTGGAAAGTTAATAAAATCATCCAATAACTTGGCCTTAACTTAAACCTTACTTAAAACCTATTCTAAAAAGAAAAATTAAATTATTTAATCCTAAGGTCTGTGTATTATAATTATTTGTGTCTTTAAATAACATAGAGGATGAGGAAGGTTTAATATTTGAAGATGATTGTATTTTGAAAATTGTTCGCTTTTTTAAAAAGTTCTCTAATGATAAATTAATAATAAATTTATTGATTAAGGATTAAGATTCATCAGCCTCTGCATCTGTATCAGAGTCGATTGAATTAAATGGCAATCAAAATTATTAAGAAAATAATTAACTAGCTAGAAAAAGGTTATGCTTAAAATAAGCTATAAACGCAATTGAGTAGGGGGTATTTGAACATTTGGATGTGGATATAGTTGACAAAAGAAGTTATGATTAAACCTTAATTGATTTTAAATGCCAACTAAGCTAATCACAAAATTAAGAATATTAACAAGTGTTGTAGAGGTCTTTGAATAATTTAATTTGTTACCAGGCAGATTAAATTAGAAATAGTTCTGAGCCAGAGGAATAAGGATTTCATTACATACCCTTTATTGATAACAACAGATCTCTGCTATTTTTTGAATTTTATTTTAATAACAAGAAAATCTTGGTAAATAATTCTACTTAAGTTTACTTGAAGCAAAAGGAAAAAATTGTAATAATATTTAAAGTCTAAGAATTAGAGCTTTATTATTGCAAAATTGAGTGCAAATGTGTTAAAAAAGATTGGTAATTTTTTTATCATATTTTAAAGTAATTTGTTTGATTTAAAGGATTATCTCAATCTTGAGAATATCAAAAATAATGAGTTCATGAAGGCTCCAATAATAGCAGTTATCGAAGACAAAATATTCTTAAATTATGGTTACTTAGGAGATCAAATCATAGAATTTAGGATAAGTGACTAGAAGGCCATATTTAGGAAAAGAATAAAATTATCAAATTTTCCAAAATTATAAGATGCAGCACAATAAAAAAATTACATTTTAGAACGTGAAGGCGCGAGTGTTTTCTATAATTTAATAGAAAATAAAGAAAAAAATAACTATTTTATTGCTGGAGGGGAACTAGGTTAGAATAGCCCACTGTGCAATGTAATTGAAAGAGTAGTGCCGGGAGAAGAGGGTTTTTCTTCAGGATTTGCGTCTAAAAGTTTATTCAAAGTGAGTTTGAAGCCATTTCAACATTCTATAATTTTAGAGGATAATTAGTCTGTAATTTTCCTTCCAGGAGATTTCAACAAAAAACGCTTTAAATATTCTTAAATAATAAATCATTAGCACTACCAATATGCGCAGAGATTAAATTTAGTAAAAAATAATTGGGTGTTAGAAAATATAAATATTGTGTATGACAATGAAGAACTTGGAAGACTTTATCCAATTCATTTAATGCCAAAAAATTAATAGATTGTTTATAATGTTGAAAAGGATCATTGGATAGCTTGCTTTTTTGGATTATAAATGCAATCTGTTGAATCAACTAAACTATTCTCTTAACATATTTACGTAGATGAGATCAATTAGTTTCATTATGAACCATGCAATAACATCAATGAAGGTAATATAAGTTAAGTAATAATAAAAATGGAATTCAAATTCTATTAAGATCAACTGATTACTTCAATAACTCCATTTTAATTCGGAAAGAACAGAACAATAATAAAAAGTACTGTCCAATTAAAAACTGATTAAAATGCTTTATGAAAATTTTGTTAATATATTATTTTATATTATATATATTTTAATGAGGAATAGAAATTCATATTAGGATCAACAAAAGCAGTATTTCTCCAGATCTACTATTAACTAATTAAAGCCTCAGATTGACCAAATCTTTGATATCAATCTTAGAGAACCGCCGATATTAAAAAAGTAATCAAAAATCCAGACCAAAATTTTTAAAATGACCGATTAAGATAAGAAGAAAATAGACTACTTAATTTCTTTAGGATAATAAGATAATATTTATGAAATCAAAAATCCATTATACAATTTCATTTATAATGTCAAATTCCCAGATTATTTGATCAGGAAATGGAGCATAAGAAGAATAAGCTTTAACAAAGATAAATTGATAGTGGATGTTTTTCAAGGACAATATATGCAAAATCATAAAGATATTAACACAAAATATGAATAGTTTTTATACCCTGCAATAATTGGAACTCAAAAGTGATTGCATTATAATTTTAGGTTAGAGCAAGATCAATTACACTTGAATAGTATCATAAATGGATTCATGGTTGAAGGGAAAGCTTAGAAATAATTAAATGTAAATTTAAATTGAATTTAAGTATCCCCTGAGAGATAAACACGCTGATTTATACCTTTGGAGTGGCTTATTATTTTTATTGAAGTTTATGTATAGATTTTATCAGCTAGAGTCTAAATGAGCTATTAATATATATAATTATTTTAATGGATAATAATTTTTTTGGAGACAACTTCGTAAATAAAAATGGCCCATGCAAAATCAAATTGTCAGACATGAAAGTCGTAGTTCTATACTTTTGTGCAAGTATATAAATTGTTAATCCAAGGCTGGTGCCCGCCTTGTGTGAACTTTACACCTACTCTTGTTGAGTTTTATAATGATGTGAATTTGGAAACCAAATAACTAGAAATTATTTGGGTATCTTATGAGGAATCAGAAAGCCAATTCAAAAAGTATTTAGAAGAGGTACAGACATTAAATAATTTAAAGATGCCTTGGCCAGCCATCCCTTATAATGATAAGAGAATCTAGTAACTGGTGGATAAATATGAAATTAAAGGAATTCCTACAGTGACCGTATTAAGGAAAAATGGAGACATAGCAAAGAAAAATGGGAAATAGGATATTCTAAAAGAAGGAGAAGGTGCTTATAATTTATGGGAATAATTGGTGAATAGTGAGTGAACTCAAATTTTTATATCATTATTTATAAAAATATTAATAATATATATAATGTCTGCTGGAATATTCATTGGCACTATTATATTTTTAGGTATTGGAATTGGAGTAACTGTTTGGCTCAAGGGAGTTGTTACTAAGGCAACTAAAAATTTAAGCGATTTGAATGATAATTTATTGTAATGCATCAATCATAAATTTAGGCTAATGTATGTTTCAGTCATTTCAGGCACTATTCAATTTTGGCTTCTATGGTTTTGTATGTATATGCACTAACTCAATCCGATAATATCGCCGATAAGAGGACATGAATGAGTTATTAATAAATCGAATTAAAATTTAATTTATAGATCATTTATTAGATAATTCTTATTCTAAAAATTACAGAGCATTTTATCACATATATACATTTGCTTTCTTTTGATCAAATTTGATTCTTCTATTTTACGCATAGAAAATTTGATAAAGTTAGGAATCTATAATTTACTAGAATTAGTATAATATTTAATAATGAATTTGTGAAGTTAAATAATCAATTTGTATTTATAAATAAACTGAAATTGAGAGATTATCTATTAAAAATTCTTAATTTAGTTTATTTGGTGATTGAATATTTGATAGGATTTCTTGATCACAATCACACACTTTTATTAATTAGATCCTAACATCTTTATAATAATCTGTTGACATTATTGATTGAATAATTAATAAATTAGAAATCAGCTAATATTTCATATATTTCTGGAATCAAATAACTTTGAAAGATTTATTAATATGTTTATGCTATTTATCCATTAATTTGGTAATTTTTTAATTTTTTCCAAGAAACGATTTGGACTTTCTCATGTACTATTATTTGAAGTCATGGATAGATGAATTACTACCATATTATTTATTATTTTGAATCATAAAAAATAAGTTCTTAATATTTAATTCTTTGATAAGTTGATATTTTAATTAAAAACTAGACTTGATTAATAAAAGTGATAGGATTATTATATAAATGTGGTTGATGACAATAAAGAGATATATTTATATATTTTTATTAAAGAGAATATATAATGTAATCTGTTTTTTCATACTTATTTTTTAATAATAAATGATCTACCTTTGCTTGAGGCAGTCCTGGGTGGAGGATACATAGTTTTGTTAAAATATAATGAATATTCTCTTGAAACCCAATTAATAAGTTTGTCAGTTTCTTCAAATCTCCTTTTTTAATCCTTTGCTCCTATCAACACAACTATTATTGAGCCTAATACACTCTCGTAGGAGACTGCAAGACAAGCGCCAGCATTAGGTGTAATTCCAGTCTTAATTCCATTATAATTTTCAAAATGCAACAATTAATTTGTATTAAACCATTCATAATTTCTACAAGAAAAGGATCTGCTATTGCAAATCTATTTTAAAATGGGAATTTTTAAATAAGCTGAACTCATTCTACACATATCTGATGCTGTTGATTTATTAGCCTATATTTAATCTAATATGAATAATTTACTTTTGAACTGAGACCATGTGGATTTGAAAATTAGGAATCTCTCATTCCCAATTTCATTGCATTTTCATTCATTTATCTTACAAATCTATTCATATTGCTCATTTATGTATCATCATAGAATCCTTAGATTGTGTCACATGTGATGTAACTGACAATCTTTTATTTCCTTTAAGTATTTAGAATAGATCCAAAATGCAGTGCAATGGATATTGCAGCATCATTTCCAGATGGTAACATCAATGCATATAACAATTCTACTAAGGATAATATGTCATCTCTTCTTAAAAAGGCAGATGTGCCTCCAATCTATGTGGCAATTCTAGGAATACGAATATTTATTTCATTCTAAAATTAGATTAAAATGCTTAAGTTACATAATCAAGATTTAAATCTTCACATAATTGTATGGCTGTATAAGCTGTCATTATTTTGGTGAGACTTGCTACTTCTAGCTTCAAAGAAGGAGATTTGCTAACTAGTTCATCTCCTATTTAAGTTACAATGCACCAAGATAAAGCTGTTGTTTGTGGAGGGTTTACTAAATTAATAAAAATTATGCATACATAATGACAATGCCGACTATCTTTTGGTGTGCAAAGATTTATTCTCATTCATTTGAAATAAATAATAAATTAAGAAATTAATAGCTTATTATCAATACTCATTAGCATTAATTGTATTGCTCTATTATTTTTTATAGTTCAATTCTCTTCAATTCAACCTACTATTTTAACAGTTAATTTTCTTCGATTAATGCCTTCATAAATTATGAATCCTCGCTGATCATATTGCAAGGTAGATTATTTCCTCTTTGAGTAAAGTCATCCCTTGAAGTAAAGGATACTGTATAGGCATTCGGTTTGTGTAGGACAGGAGTGATTGACCTCTATTATTGCACTCTGGGAATTTATTATTAAGCAATATATTAAGTTTGTACAAAAATTGGTTACCTCTAAAATGGCTATGTTATTGATTATTGGTACATAATTATTTTAATTATTAATAAACTTGAAAAGTAGATATATTTCATCGATTCAAATTAAAGTATTATTAAACATGATTTCCCTTAATTTAATTATTTATTTTATGAATCGAAAACTTGAACTAAAATTATTAAGCCATTTTTAGAGTTTAGAAGGAAAATTATCTTTATTGTTCTTGCACATCTCAGACAATTCAGCTGGTTTCCAACATGTGGGCAGTCAAAAGGAACAGTTTACAGCCTTTTACAATATATGCATACAAAAGTAAAGAACATTTTTCATTTTATAAAGAATCACCAAAATAGTATTTCTCAAAAATGGTACTTAGAATCAACCCTTTGAATAGTCATGTATATTTTGTGCAAAATTAAAGACTAACTCCAGTTAATAATTAATATTGCATTTACTCCTATTTCATAAAATAAAGTATAGCTATAAATTCACTTACTATCAAAATGAAAAAGTTTTGCATATTGCATATTTCAGACAATAACCTAAGATACTACCTAATGTATTCAGACATTATAAGGCCATCAATCAAAATCAATTAGATTGCTTTATGTTCTTAACTTTGTTTTCTTAATCCAATTCAGAATTTTACTAAAAAAATAGTAATAATTATAAAAATTACAATTAGCTCTTCCACTCGAATAAGATTAGTAAATCTCAAATTTGATGAGTTAAAAATAATTCTATTGTGGACCTGCCAAGAATTTTAAACCAGTCCAAAGGATTGAAGAATTCAAAGAGTTAGAAGCATTGGACTTTGAAGCATACAAATAAAATGAATTACTTTGTCTAACCAAATCCTCACCAGAGTTTAAAGGGTCTCCAATTTAATAATTCATGATGCTCTATAATACGAGGGTCTTAGAAGAAAGACCATAATAATTAAAAGACTTTTTAAAGTAATTTACTAAATTGTAGGGAGAGTTGGCAATTTGTTTTTAGAATCATTTATTTACACTACTTTGTTACAGTATGATAGATTAGTAAACATTTGTAGAATTATCTCTTATGATATAAAAATGAGTTTGAGACAATTTACATTATTAGTATAAACTTTAATTTTAATCATAATATCAATTTCAATTTAATATTGTTCTTTAACAATAATCATTTCATAACATTGATGATTATAAGTAATTAATTTATAGCATCGCTGGAATACTTATAAATAAGCTAAGAATTACAATTAAAGTTAATTATCATTAGATTCTTTTTTGAGTAATCAATACCCAAAATTAGAATTCTTTTTCAGAAGTTTGAAACAATATAATTACAGTCTTATTCTTTAAAATTGAAGAATAGATTAATTATTATCATCATTATTTAAGTTCATAAGCAAATTGGCAGCAATTTCTTATGTAAAATTAAGTATTTCTCTTTTATCCCAGATCTCTTTCTATGTTTATTAGTAAACTTCTTCTTTTTTTAAGAGTAAGGATTTTTATATTTAAGAAGTTTAATATTGATTTTATATTGGGATTTGGCTTTAATAGAGAGCTATTGTTAAAGAGTCTAAACTAGAATTTAAGTCTTCCTAAATTTAATATATACTTTCACTTAAACAAATCAAATATATTTTTAATATGTAAAATACACATAGTTGTTAATTACGAACCTTGGGATTTGTAAAAAACTATTAGCCAGATTCCAATTCAAATAATATCATTAACCACACTCTTTATCATAAATATGCATCCTCTCAAAATTACTATTATACTAGAGAAATTAACGAGATTTTAAGTAAGCAACGAACTTCATCTGTAATTTTGTTTTAAGTATCAAAGCGATCTAATAATAGGATTATTTGCATTATGATGATGAGGATGAATATCTTAGAAGATTCTATTTATAAGAGGTATATGCTAATAAAATGAAATTGCTTAAAGAGTTTTATAAATATCACAAAGATCTTCCAAGATTTACATTGACTTAAAAAATACTCTAAACTCTAAATTATTACTATGATAAGCGTAGAAAATTAGATTATTATAGAATCTAGAGATAAATAGAGTTTGAAAATAAATAAAATCCCTAATTACCCCAAAAAGGAATAGTTGGAGACAAGCCTATTGAATCTGAAAGTACACCAAGATCAGCAAGCAGTTCAACCTCAAATGTGAATACAAATGTTGAAAATATACTTAAGGACATAACCAGATAAGAATCAAAGCAATAAATAGAGATCAGTAAAATAACTTAGATCTAGGAGGAATAACAAAGTGAGATCATTAAAATAATCAATATGATTAGCACACCGCAAATCAAGAATTATTAGGTCTTTAAGAAATCTAAAAACAATTTCAAGAAGCAGTTGAAACTTGACGAATTAGGTCTATCATTATCGTCAAGAATACAGCAGAACCCACAAGAAGCCAAAATGCCTCTCTCGGCTCGATATCCTTCTTATTCACTAAGCAGAGTTAATTATAAGCATTAATCATTATCGAAGGAGAAGACTGCTGATACACATTTAATAAAGGATAATTTATTATAATTATTTAACAAATGTCCAACTACAAAAAAGATGAAAATTGAAAATAAAAGTAGCTCAAGAAACATTCAATTTGATTAGAAAAAATTAATACCTGAAATAAAGTAGTTAGAATTGAAAATAATTAAATCACTCTAAGAAATAGAGAAAAATAAGAATACTTAAAAAATAGTGTCTTTAGATAGCAAAGCTTTACACCAAATACTCAGTAAATTTAGTAAACCGCAATCTCAAAGACACATTTAATAAGTTGACTCATTCAAAAGCACTTCTAATCAGTCTATTAAGATAACCAATAGCAAAATTGCTATGCAAAAGGCTTACACTCCAAGAAATAAATTCATGAACTCAAAACCTAATGAAGCCAATCAGTAACATCCCAAAAAATCAATAGAAAAATAGTAATAACTAGTTAAAGCACTTGATCTCAAGAAATTGATGGTCTACAAATCAGAAAAATCTGCAAAGACAGAAAGAGTAAAGAAAAATGTTCCTGCTTTAAATCTAAATGCAGTTTAGATTAACAATTAGTCTTCACTTACATCCAGAAATTAAAGTGGCAATCCGAGCTTTATCTAATTGTTAACTCCAAAGCCACAAACTAGCAGATACAAAGCTAATAATCTTATTCATTGGTAAGTCAAGGCAATTTAAGCTGCTTAAAGAGATTATAAATTATAGTTAAAAACTTAATAAATGAAAATAGAACAATTAATTTGATATATTATATGAACTCATTTTAAATAGAAATTATACAATTAATTATCATTAAAAAAATTAACTTCAATGTCAATCATAAATTAAGAGCTTTTACAAAAAGCTATATAGCTAATAAACAGTTAACCCTCCATTTATCAGCAATTGAATACAACTGAACTTGATAAGGGGATAGATCTCATTGATATCTATTCTGTTTATGGAGATGTAGATTAAAATATATATGAAGAACCAGGCGAAATTCAGTTCAATTTTGAAATGGAATAAGAGTAGCCATGTGAAGAAGTTAAGGAAAGCATTCCTTCATAGAATCTAAAAAAATCACAAATCACTTTGGATTACATTAAAAATTATGATAAATGCGATTAAGTATATAGAACAATAGCAGAAACCTAAGGTGAACTTGAAGTATTTCTGGATCGGAATCAGGATATCTACCGTTCTTTTAAAATCTGGAGCGATTAATTAAATTATGGAGAGCTTTATTCAAAGGACCCGAAGTACATTGAGAAAATTAAATTTACATTGATACTTGTAATCATCATAATCTAATTATTAGTTATCAGAATGGTTGATTGCTGTGTGCTTTAAGTCATAAGTGAAAAAGAGGATTTTAATATAAACTTAAACTTAACCAAGAGTATAATATAAAGCCAATATTTTCTTGGAATATATTTATGAGCCTAAGAAATCGAATGAAAGTAGAAGATCAAGTGAAATTAGACGATAAACTGTGCATGAAATATTACTAGCTGCAACTCCAGATATGGCATATGTTCTTTCTGAAGGGTTTATAATTTAGAAACTAACTAATTAATTGATAGCTCCTATTCAAGGAGGCTACTGTAAAATAAAAGATTGGCTCATAGCAGTAAGGGGAGTCACAAATCTAAATATGAAGGAATTTTAGGAATTACTTAAAATTAGTCGAGAATATTTTTCTGAACAGAGTACTATTTGATTTTTATATAATTGTTTAAAGATATTTAATATCAATAAAGATCTCTATTTAACTAACTATTGATTCTTCCTTTGTATTTATTTTAGTTAGAAAAAGTATAACTGTAAATTGAACTTTTTATTGATAATATTGAAATTTAAATTAAATAAAAAAATGTTCCTAAAATATAAAATAGAGATTAATAACCTTTAAAATGCAAAAAATGATTTTTGTAATTAAATTGAACTCCCAATACGCAAATTAGAAAAATATCTCCCTTGGTATTGATATAATTATTTGTTAATTTGATGAACTAAATTGAAGTAAGTACAATTATTATATAAAGTCGATTATATATATTCATATTCATTATTGATAAGATTGTTTTTTAACAGATAAAAATGCGTTCCCATTTTTGGTTCTAACAGTTGTCGATTATTCTACATTCTCTTTTGAGGTTAGTTTTTGATTTTTCAATTTTTATTAACTATTCAGTTTTAACACTTAAGTGTAAATAGACTCACTGGGATGACTACATAATTCTTTTAGAATTCTTTCCTTCAAAGTATCTTCATTTGAAGCATGTTAACTAGGTTATGAAGTATATTATTAAGAATTAATATTTGCTAATATAAACTACCTTTTACCATCTATGTGATCAAAAGAAGGCTACTTAGCTTATTTGGAATGGGATCTTTTATTTTAATGACTGTCAGTCTTTTAATATTATTATTATTATTAATTATTTCTAGACTAAGGTTCTTAATGAAGTGGAGTAAAGGATTTTTGATTAGGCAAAGAATCGTAATTAATCTTTTAGAACTCTTTTTAACTTTTTTGTTCAAGCAAATTGCTGTTCACTTAAGGATATTAGTATTAAGCTTAGATATAATAAAATAGTTTTACATCTTTAGCTAGCATGATTTGTAATTAGTTTAAAGGTTTGAGGACCTGCTGCAGTCATATTTTTTTGATGTTTGGGTGTTAATTACTATCTATCTTCATAGCTTTTTCTATCTGTATCTTTACTATTTTTTTATATATACAATTAACTTAGATTTTTAATCAAAGGCTAATTAGTTTAATCATTAATTTTATCGAATTCGGAGGAAGTCTTTTATTTCTCATTTTGCTACGCATAATACTTTTCATTCATATTTGATTATTTATTTAAGCATTTTTATGAATTCATTTATTCTCCCACACTAATATTATGTTTGTAGCTTTCTCTTTCATTAGGGGTTATTAATGGATTATTCTTTTGAATGTATGTATTTTGATGCCAGCTCTCAGGAGTGTTTGCTCTACTCTCTCTTCTAGAATATTGCATGGTTGAAGTAGGATTAGAATAGGCATTAGAATTTGTTTTCGATATTTAAATCTATTGTTATTGCAATTAATGCATTGTAATCGGAGATTGAGTATGATCTTTGATTGGGTTAGAACAAGTGCTTTAATAAATATCTTCAGCCTCTAAGATCTCAAATACTTTCATATCCAAAGGAGAACTATTAGTGTTCTATCTAATTTTAGGACTATTTTCTAATTTGATTTATAATGAATGACTATCAGATGTTGAAGAATCATCACTTTTTAATAATAGAAGATTGTAACACATTTTATTCATATCTGCCAAAATTTAGCTTTGTTCAAATTTAATGGGTTTGAGTTAGAATTCTTAACTACACTCTTATAATTATTCTTTTGTGTACAGAACTCTCTTTTCATAACGACTCATGATATCCTCAAAAGGTTTCATTTCCATTTTCTTCACTATATTTTCATGGTTTTTCTCAATGTCAATCTGAAATTACTTTATTTGTGCATCAATTTATTTAATTTAACTAGCTTTAGCTTGAATGGAATTCAATAGCATATGATGATCATTTTAGAACTTCTGCAAATAAGTTTATTTTAATTAATTTGCCGTCTATATAACAGAATCAAAGAACTATTAACAACTTTCTTGATGTTCTAGAAGTTATTTGGCTGATATTTTCTCTATGTTATTAAACTCCATAGATTTAGATGTACATTAATCCATTACCTATTGTAGTAGTTCTTAAAAACGATTTATCCGTTGTTCTCTTTGAATTTCGTGTTAATTTTCTTATGTCTCTTCAATTTTCAATCCTTTCAATGCTAAAGTCAATGCACATTTAGAACAAAATTATTTGCTTTTATCACATTATACGTAATATTTTGCCTTAGTTTAATTATTGCATTTACTTTCTTATTTGGATGCTTGGCACATTTGTTATTACTTTATTCTTTTCGTTTGAATATGTTTGAACTCTTTAAAATTCGTTCTTATTCAGTTAATGCAAACGATGTTTCTTCTGAATCTGAAGATGAAATTGATCCACTCATTATCGGTTAAAAATTATTAAAAAATAATAAAAGAAATTTAATGAAGCCATCATCTAATGCTTCTCAATAAGCAAATCAATGGGCATTGAAAAAGAAGGAGCAAATGGAAAAGGCTGCTCAGATGAGAGCAGAACGAAAATTAGCTGCAACTGGAGAAATGGCTTTGGGTACTAAAACAAATTATGGTACTTATATTAAGTATCCAAAGATTATGATAAACCTCCAAGTTAAAATTCTTAAAAATAATATTACTAATCTGATTTAGGTAATAATAACTTAAGATAACAATAATATGGTCAGCAGTAATTTTAAATGAATGATATTGGTTTTCAAAATGTTTAGCCTAACCGGCAGTCATCCTTAGGAAAACAACAACCCTAACCTTCTTATGATAAGTATGGTTATAATTAAAATCCTCAATTTACGAATAATAAACCTCCTAGTTAGGAAGGCTAAAGAAGAGTTTAGCAAGGAATCCAATAGAAACCATAAATGAATTAAGTACAACAGAACAGATAATAATATGGCAAAATTGATGATGACTACAATTATCAAAATAGATAATACGGATAACCCAAACAATAATAATAATAATAACCATATAATGCTAAATAACCTCCACCAGTTTAAAAACAATAATAATACAGACCACCTTCAGGAACATATGATTAATCTAATGCATATAATAAGCCTTCTAATTAAACAATAAAACCACCTGTTCAATCCATCAAGTAATCAACAAATAATAAGTAATCAAGTAATCTTAGAAATAATTAACAACCCTCTTAATAGCCCTAACAATAATACTACAATCCTATTGATGACATCCCAATTAAAAAAGGTGATAATTAACCTAACATTAATATTCAAAATCCTGAACCATTATACGAGTGTTCAAAAGGATGTGGCAGATCTTTTGCAAAACTTGCTTTACAAAAACATGAAAAGATTTGTGTGAAAGTTTTTCAAAAATAGAGAAAATAATTTGATGCTCAGAAGCATAGAATTATTAGCAATGAATAAATTAATCACATTAAAAATCAAGATAAAATTGAATAAAAATATGAAAAAGCTTTAGGTTTTATTTATTTTATTATTTCAGCTAAAAAACAAAATTGGAAAAATCAATCTGAAGCATTTAGAGCTGCCATAATCGCTGCCAAAGGAGGAAAGTTAACAAAAGATCAAAAGGTTCAATATTAATAATTATATAGAATGCAATTCAAGAAGCAAGCAAATCAAATTTAACATAATGCAACTATTGTGGAAGAAGCTTCAACCAATAAGCAGCTGAAAGACATATTCCATTTTGTGCTTCAAAAGCAAAGTTTCCTCCTAAACAACCTTAAAAAAGGAGATGATCATTAATAATTCAGATTTATATATAAATCGATTAATTAAATCCATCATTCAAATTTTTTAATAAAGCTGTAATATTCTGTCTTTCAATTAAAATCATCTTTATGATCATTTCATAAAGCTCGGATTTCTTGCCATGCATTATCATCAATTGATATTCTTAGATATGATTTTGAAATAATACTCTTAAAAATTCTAATTATCTTACAAACTAAGGCAGCCCTTAATTTAGTATAAACTATTTGCCATTCTCTTTTATCTATGTGATACCAAATTAAGTATTTTCTGATGTTAAGATTAAGAAATTGTTATTATCAATATCATTTTTTATTAAAGAACTAATAATACAATCAAAAATAAAAAAAGTTTGCTCAGGTTGTAACTAGCTGGAGTTAAAAGTTACTAGAACTACAACTGCAATTTGACAAGCATAGGACTAAAATCTTAAATTTGAAAAAAAATTTATAATAACGTAAACCTTTTTACCTAATTGTATCTAGAATTTTTAAATAAAGGATATTATAATCATTAGGGGTAGATGTTTAGATTTTGAAAGTTTTTGCCAAATTTTGATTAAATATTTATTATAATTATTAATTATTATTTAATGTATGAAATAATGTATGAAATAATGTTCATTTTTTTTTAAATTATTATTGAAATTTAAAATTATTTACACTAATTACACCCTTTAATTGGTAATGATATGATTGAAAAAAAGTAATTATTAATATATATCCTCATTTATTATGCTTCACATACCTGAAGTTGTAATTGGAGTTGAAAGAGCCGATCATAAGCATTTCGATGACATCTTAGAGACCTCAAAGCTAGAACAACCTGTTAAAATTAACGTGGTCAAGATATAATACAATAAAGATCATGTCATAGGAATCAAACTTAAGTACAAGGGAAACAATGGAAAATAAGTGAAAGGAAATTGTTCTTTGAAGTTCAAACTTCTTGGAGGAGTATTTTCTGGAACGAAGAAAGAGAAGTTCAATATTGATGATGGTAATTATTTCATCACTATTCTTAGGCGATTATATCAAAGAGATACATGGATTTTCGGGCACAGAAATAAATCTCTTTGGATTTACTACTTATAAAGGAGTATCTCATAAATGTGGAGTAGCCAAAGGCGTAGCATTTTCACACCACTTCCCACTTCACACATTCACATCAGCCAGAGGATCATATGATAAATTCTTAGAATTCATTGCCTTTAGAGTATCCCCACTCAGTCCAGAATAGATCAAAAAATTAGTAATAAATATCCTTATGATTTTAGGGGTTGAGCTAACAATAAGGCAATGTCAATGTCAATGTCAATGTCACAACTCACACTGTTTAACCTCCTCCTCCAGCATAAAACCTACCACCTGGTTAAATGCCACCTCCTGGACAATAGCCACCTCCAGGGTAATAATACCCACCTCAAGGGCAATACCCACCTTAAGGACAATACCCACCTCCAGGATAGTACCCGCCTCAAGGATAATACCCACCTCCAGGATAATATCCTCCTCCTGGATAATATCCTCCTCCTGAATAATACCCACCTCAAGGATAATATCCACCCCAAGCATAATATCCCCCTCAAGGATAATATCCACCTTAACCAAACCCAGGACAATATCCGCCTTAACCAAACCCAGGACAATATCCACCATAGCCAACTCAAGCATAATACCCACCCTAGTCAACTCAAGCATAATATCCACCATAGCCAACTTAAGCATAATATCCACCATAACCTCCATAGAATACAACTGTTATCATAGAATAGTAGGCTCCACCTCCCGCTCAAAAAAGTGGTGTGAGCGGCGGTGTCGTTGCAGGTGCTCTGGTGGGAGGGGCATTGGTTGGAGCTGCTTTAGCAACCAATCATCATCATAATCAGCATCACGGTCCAGATGTAGTAGTTGTGAAGAAGAATCATTGAAAGATATATTCAATAATTACACGAGATTTTTTATTCATCTTAAATAATGTACAAAAAAAAAGTACTCATTTGGAAGTAAAATCAAATCTGATATCAATAAAAAATGGATTTCATTTCATAAGGATACCCGAACTATAGTGTTTTAAGAGAAATAAATGACAATACAATATTGGATGGTTTAGTGATAGAAACTAAAATGTTTGCTAATCATTTGCTTCGATGATATTGGAAAGTCATAAGTTCGATAAAAACTGCAAATATACCTTATTGAAATGTCTATCTATGCTAAATATAAGTGTTTACAGTTCTTCAGATTTAGAAAAATCCAAAACTCTGAGTATTCATCATTTTGTCCTAATTATGTAGGTTTTATATGAATAAACTTCATATTTTTCATGTATTATTTTATGGAAATACATTGAAAGAACTTCAAATTATCCAAATAGGACATTCGTTATTAAGTTTAAATAGATTTTAAGTTTAGAATCCTGAAATCAGAACAAAAATGTATTAGTATATTTTAAAAAGAATTTTTTATAAAAATATAATAATGAAAATTATAATCAATTTTATTATTCAGCTTTCATCAGTATAAAGAGAGTGGATGGATAAATTTGTTTATTGAATTGTAATTTTCTATTAATTTAAGATAGAAAATTACAAATGGAATTTGGCGTATCTCTCTTGAGATGATAAAATTAATATTTTTACCAATAAGGGCTTATAAAACAGTGTTTTAAATTTATTTGATATATTTCATTAATAATTAAATGAACTCTCCGCCGCCCAATAGCAAATCAACTGATGCTCAATTCAAATTGGGACTGTTGAAGGTATTAAGGAGCAATTACTTTGCAGAAGTGGATAGGATGACAGAGGCACATAATTAAGGATTGTTTGTAAAAATCAAAAATAGAAATAGGAATCAATTATTGATGAGAAAGAATGGTTGAATTGTGGTAAACCTATAGTGGATAAACGACCTGTGCATGAAGCGAAGAGAGCTAATGAAAAAGAAGTTTAAGATGAAGGAGAGGAATAGAGAAAATAAAGATTGGAGAATTTGAATTTGTATTTGATGGATGGTGTTTTCAAGGCAGGTGAAGAGATGGGATTATAAGAGTGGAATAAAAGAAGATTGGAAAAATCTCTGATTTCGGAATAAAAATTTTATTATTTCGATGATGATGGAAATTTGGTTGCAGATAGAGAATTTTTTGAGGAAAAAATTTAAAGATTATTTCTAATTGATTTCGATGAAAACCTGGCATTGTAAACGCACCAAAGACCTGCTTCAAGATGTGCAAGAGAAAACCAAAATAAACAGTTACCATTCAGATTAGACATCTTTATTGGAGTATTACAATTCTCTTATCATCCCCAATTTTCAAGGGAAGATTAATATGTTGCAGATCTCAAATATCTGATTAAGAAATATAGAAAGAGGGCAGATTTGGCTCTGATTCCTCATTACTAGAAGACTTTAAACATTTTAGAAAAAGAAACTACAGAGTTGTAAAGTAGACCAGATGATACCAAGATGGAGATGGAAATGATTTAGTTGGAGAAAGAAAGATTAAGAGAGGAGTTAAGAAAAGAGATAGACACTTTACAGAAATTGATGGAATAGATATATGCAAAATGGGATACCATAAAGGAGGAAAGAAAGACAGTTGGAGCTACTTCATCTCCTTATAAGTTAGGTGTCAGATTTTATAATTCAACTGATAATACAAAGGAAGTGGATTTTATATTATAATAAATAGAAATACATAAGGAAAGTAATAAGGATTAGATAATAAGTAAGGCAGAGGAGGCCAGAAGATAGACGATACGAAGTTTTAGAGTTCAATTAGAAATTGTAATAAACAATCAGGTGGTTGCATAAACAAGAAAGGTTAATTTAGATTGGCCATCTTTTGAGGCTAGAATTATGGAGAAACTTTAGGTGTACGTGTTTACAAAGCCAACAAGTGTTAAGCTGAGGATATGGAAGGTGCAATTGATTAACAAGTTAATTGATGAGATTGAGATAGAATTGCCAGGTGAGAAATCTTATGCCATAACCAGTACTGGATTTGTGTTGAAGGAAGCATATTTTGCATAAGGTAGAAAGACAATAAGAGAGACTCGTTATTAGGACTTGATTAGTTAAAACAATAAAGCTTTGAATTACAAATCGACAGAAGAGGAATTTGAAGGGTTCATCTCATTCAGAACAGAATGGCCGGATTTCGGTCCCAAAATGCCACCTGAAAGTCTTGATATGCAGTATCATTAATTGGAGACTAAATATGAAGATGAACTGGGAGATGCTGATGATATTGAGAAGATGATTGTAGATGAGAAATACTTTGATATTAATGATCCTAGGAATGAAGAACTATTTGAAAAATTGACTAAGAAATAGGATAAGCAGACTGAAGTAGTTTCAGGTGAATGTGTAGTTCCATATTCTAATATTAAGAGTAAGAGACAATAATTATTGAAACTAAAATTTGTTTAGCCTCAACTGAGTAAATACAAGATTCCTTTGTTGGAGCAATAAATTGAAAGAGATGGAGAATTAACTTAGTTTTTGGGTGATGATGATGATTAAATGGATTATGAGAAGGAATTGAGAAATTAAAATAAGGAAGATCAATTCCAGATTTTAGGAGATTATATCAACGATGAGGCAACTAAATAAAGATTATTGTCAATCTAAAAGACATTATAAGCTAGAAAGATAGAATCCAAATTGAAGAGAGCCAAGAATTAGAGTGGTTTAATCTCTATTGAAAATGTAGTCAATGAATTTCATTTCGAAGCTGCTGCATCTCTTTTGGCAGAATGTATCAAATCTATATTTACAAAGAGAAGAAAGTTAGGACCTTAAAAAAGAACAAATTTGGATAAGAAAAACCCTACTTAATTGTCTGAAGTTTAAATAAGTGCATTGGTTATTTAGGGAAATAATGTCCCTATCAGGTCATCTGATGTAAGTAAACTATTAGAAGTAAAACAAAAATTAAATCAATATAATTCAGTCAAAGAAACTATAGAATTGCTGGGGAAGATCAAAAAGGTTAGTCCCATTATTTAAGTTTCATTAGACATCCAATCAGAGAATGTGAAGATCATTAGGAACATTGATGTCCTCAAGAAGAAATAGAAACCTCAATTGCCAGGTTAATTGCAAGCATTTGGCTAATAGGAGGATGAGGAATATGAGGCTGACGTTGAAAGGTTAATCATTGGAAAAAAAGATGATTAATTGACATCAGAAGTTGAAGGTGTTAATCCAGAATGGAATGAACTCATAGATTTTCGAATTGGAAGAGAATTTAAATAATAGTAATTTGATCCTGAAGATTTGATTAATTCAAGAAACAAGGTTACATTCACCCTATTTGATCAAATTGGTTGGTTCAAATAGAAAGGTATGAATACCTAGGAACATACACTTACAATTACAAGAAGATATATAGGTTCAGTGAGCATACCATTATTAAATCTATTTCAATAAGAAAAAATGAGTGGAAGATTTAGAATCAATAGACCATTGTTCTTGTTAAATTACAGAACTTTGAATGTTGAGAATTTCCTGATGGACCAAAGGAATCAGACATCCTAATAAAATGAATTATAGAGTATATTCAATTAAAGTATATTTAGATTTGCATAATAATTTCGATATTATAGATCCTCATATCCCAACCACAATAGAATTAACAATGACCTTGGAGCCTTCAATAAAAGTCAATGAGGATTTAAGTGCCACTACCTATTTCCCAGGAGCTGAGAGTACTAATCTCTTCTTGTACGGAATTCGACAATTGAATAGATACAGAGAATAGTTTAAAGATCGTTATATTAAGTTTTGGGCTGAGAACCTAAAAGGGGAATCAGTATTCTTGCCAAGATTCATTACTCCCTTGAAACCTCCAGAGATAGATTTTACTGCAAATTCAATAGAAAAGGCAGCAAGATATGTTTCGTTGATCCCGTTTAGAAATGACACTGAAGTCTTTAGAGATTTACCTGATATCTATTGTAACAGCTAAGAATTCATTGATTTAAGAGCAGGAGATTTTGAAGAACATGCACTGTTATTGTGCAATTTCTTTATGTATATTGACGAAAAGATACTGAAAAGAGATGATATCAAAAATTATGTAGTTATGGGAAGGGGATTGCCTGAAGGCAAAACTTAGTATGTTATGAGAAGATTCACAAAGTCAAATTTTGTGGAGTTGTGGAATCCATAGACTGGTGAAGTGTTTGTCTTTCAAAATTAAGAATATGTTAAAACATTATTCTGTTTTACTGTTTCAAAAGGATATAAAAATTTAAATGATGTGGATGATGATGCATGTCCCTTAACAAACATTGGATGTATATTTGATAATTAGAACATTTATATTAACATCCAAAATACAGAGACTCCAAGTGAAATGAATTTTAATATTGAGGACACTCACTTTTGGGAACCCCTCTTGAATAAAGATTAAATTAAAGCATTCTTCCCAAAAGGCATTTTACCAATTTCAAACGAACTTGTATTTGATGTTCCAAGTGTGGAAAGATCAATTCTTGTACAAGATGAATTGGATAAGTTTTTGAAGAATAAAATCAAAGACTATAGATTTGAGGATCTAGGACAGAAGAAGGCTCACTTTACGACGACGTTCAATAATCAAAGATATGCATAATTGACTGAATTTATAAGAGATAGAGTGTTGTTTGATCTGGAATCATTTAAGTTTAGAATTAGAACTACTGGATTAGCAGTATATATCCATTATTATGTTAGAGTGAATATGGGGCCAAAAAGAACAATGAGCAATAATAATAATAAGATCCATAGAATCAAGAAGAGCAAGAACCGATAAATCATGAGAGCAATCAATAGTGGACATATTAGAAATCTCTGGATTACTTAAAGAAATTGTAGGAGGCGCTGATTCGACAATAGGTAAGAGTTGTGCAATATCAAAGGAAAAACATGTGAGAGGAAGTAAAGAGATGTATGGGTTTCCTCTGAACTTCTCCTTTGTTGATTATGAAAGAGCTTGGGATGAGATCAAAGCCACAGGAATCGCAGATATTATGAGTGATGACATTGAATTTCTTTGCATTACTAGATGTTTCCCATACCCTCACTATGTCTTGTCAACATGGGTATTTATTGCAGTCCTCTATAAATCAAAACCAGCCGATATGTGACAACATTTTTATCAATTTTATTCATTACCATCTTAATTATTAATTATTTCATTATAATGAATTCATAATTATAAGGAATTCCAGAAACCATTGATTTGAAACTAGAATTCTTTAATGAACGCAAACAATAAGAACTACATAAAAGAGCTAGAATGCTAAGATTCACACAGTTAAAAACTAAAGGCTATACATTTGGTTTGGGTAGATATGTAACTTTATTTTTGTATATTCTAGCCATTGGAGAAGTAATTAGAAACCCCAGGGCCAGGTCATTATTCTACTCAATAACCAGAAACTCCAATCAGTTACAGTATGGGAGTGAGACTAAATTAAAAAGGTATTTATGATAAATTTTGGTAAGTTCATAAATTTGAGGTTCCGCCTTTGGGTACTTATGAAATTAAAGGATTAGATAAATATGGTAATTATACTAATTCGAAATTCAAAAATGCTTGTGCAACTCTCTTTAGTCCCCCGAAAAACAGTAGTGCTAAATAAGTACTGTGAATTCATTAAAAAGTCAATTGCATCTCCTGGTCCTGGTGATTATGAATTGCCAGGTAGTATTAATTCAAAAGGGAAGCATTTCATTTCTAATTTTAAAACCAATTAAAGTTGGGCCCTTGGCAAAAAGTCAATCTTTTAAAGAAAACCCTATTATTGAAATAAGTATCATTTAAATTTTCTAAAAATATTTATTAAATGTAAAATTGTCTTACAATTATGTTTATATAAATATATTGTTATAATAGATAAAAGGCTTTACATCTGGATAAAATATGAAATGACTATAAGACAAATGAAATTGATTTTATAGTACATAGGTATTATCATTTATTTTTATATATAGATCCATTATATGATAAGGATTGTTTGTAAACCATATTAAATCTTCATAAATATTTAAATTTCAGAGCAATTAATGAATCGCATTCAAGTATTGCAAAACAGGTTTATAGTACCATCTTTTTGGATGAAGCACTCCTTCAAACCATGATATATGTCCACCAACTTGAGTCATTAAGGAAATTAGATTTGGATTCTTTAATATAGCGTCTCTTGGGTAGACTGCCCTATTATTTATTACTGGATCATCGAAAGAACCCAAAAAAAATACAGGGATTTTGACAAACTCCATATAGTTAGTACATTGAATCGATAAATAATGGAAGTCAACAGAAGGTGCACCAAATATTGGTTTAGTGAAATAGGTATCAAATTCTAGGGAAGTCTTGGCTTACTACACCTTATTCAAGTCCAAATTGATATGCTTAGGTATTGGCAAGTATTGATCTATCTTTCTTACTATTAAATTCATAAGATTACTCCCTCGCTATTCTTTATCGATGCTTCCTTATATAAGAATCAGACAAACTATCTTCTAAGTATCGCATGCCAAGTTGAAAGTCATATGGATTTCCTACACTGACAGCAACCTTAATCAATGGGTCAGTTCCATTGCTTCCACACATCCCCAAATATTTTAGAAGCGTATTGGAACCGAAACTATGGCCTATAGCATATATAGTGCTTTTATTATGTTGTTTTGCAATATATTCCAAAACTCTTCTAAAATCCTCTACATGATGAAAGTTTCCTTTCTATGGCAGTATTTATCTTTATGGATCCAAATAGATCCTATTATTAAATAGTCTATCATTATATAATACAATTCTCCAATCAGATTAATTCTGGCAAAATTTAGAGAAAAAGTTAGTTATATAAGGTTCAACCCTTGAAGCAGTCAAACCACTTAAAACAACGACCAAAGGCTTACCTTCTGTCATTTTTGCTTCTTTCTCACTAATTTTCCCTTCGTAACTTCCCCAATCCAATGCGAAACAACCAAAATCCTTTCCGAAATCTACATATTCCCTCACGAATTTTAGTTTAGGATCCACATCTTAAACTTTAGAAGCAATAATAGCTTATAACAATCCTGTGAATAAATATGGTGTATAGTAAAACATTTTCTATTTCGATTAAAATGGATATGCATACTTTTTTAATAATACTGCATCTATTAATGATTGAAGTGTTAAGATCATTAGCCACATAATCCAACTAACATCTGCAAGTCAAAAAGTAATACAATACCAAGGCTAGCAAAATTAAGAGAATAATATAATACATAAATTAATTGTTTTTAAAAAATAACTTAATCAAGCTCTTTTCTTATCTTGAACTGAATCCATCCTTAGGGGTTATGCAGAGACGAGGAAATCCATAAACAAAGGTAAAATCGAGTTGTGATTTTTTAAAATGGATAAATATCAGTTACATATTTCTTAAATGGTTTCATATAACAATTAATGCAATATACAGCTAGAAATTTGTTTGAATCAATAACTCTTAGCATGTTCTCAATGAAATTCTACATAATTTTGTAATTTAATTGGTACTCAATACTTTATTATATGACATGATTTTATAGAATACCAGTTAATCTTAGTTCTTTATTTATGGTATCTATAAGATAATAATTTCAGTGTAGATACTATCTTTGAATAAATGCTTTATAAAATTTTAAAAATCATTAAATAAATATAAAATGAAAACCTCTCCATAATCATTTTAAAGGGAAACGGAGGAAACCGTTTGGCACACTAGAAAATAAAGATAAGAGACGGAGAAGGATATTCAATTAATGAAGAATCGTCTTAAGTTATTAAAGCGAGGGGATGCTCAGTTATCTAAGAGAATTGATGAAACTAAAAAGAAAACTTAATCTATGATTGACTTAAAAATGAATCATCATTAACAGATTGAATAGGTAATGAAGTTTATATATTTTTTATTAGAAAAAGCTAAATCAAAAAAATGGTGAAGCATAATTGAAGGAGAAATAATAATTAAATTATGATCAAAAAAAACAATAAGAAGAACAACTGGAAATGATTAAAAAAGCAATGGAATAAATTAAATTAGAGGAATATAAAAAAATTAAGTAACAATCTAAAATTATTAAATAGAGAGTTATCAATAAAAAATGCTGAGATGATTAATAAATAAAAATAAGATTTCATGGCTAGAAATAGGGAAAAGAGAGAACACATTAAAGAGANCAACGACCAAAGGCTTACCTTCTGTCATTTTTGCTTCTTTCTCACTAATTTTCCCTTCGTAACTTCCCCAATCCAATGCGAAACAACCAAAATCCTTTCCGAAATCTACATATTCCCTCACGAATTTTAGTTTAGGATCCACATCTTAAACTTTAGAAGCAATAATAGCTTATAACAATCCTGTGAATAAATATGGTGTATAGTAAAACATTTTCTATTTCGATTAAAATGGATATGCATACTTTTTTAATAATACTGCATCTATTAATGATTGAAGTGTTAAGATCATTAGCCACATAATCCAACTAACATCTGCAAGTCAAAAAGTAATACAATACCAAGGCTAGCAAAATTAAGAGAATAATATAATACATAAATTAATTGTTTTTAAAAAATAACTTAATCAAGCTCTTTTCTTATCTTGAACTGAATCCATCCTTAGGGGTTATGCAGAGACGAGGAAATCCATAAACAAAGGTAAAATCGAGTTGTGATTTTTTAAAATGGATAAATATCAGTTACATATTTCTTAAATGGTTTCATATAACAATTAATGCAATATACAGCTAGAAATTTGTTTGAATCAATAACTCTTAGCATGTTCTCAATGAAATTCTACATAATTTTGTAATTTAATTGGTACTCAATACTTTATTATATGACATGATTTTATAGAATACCAGTTAATCTTAGTTCTTTATTTATGGTATCTATAAGATAATAATTTCAGTGTAGATACTATCTTTGAATAAATGCTTTATAAAATTTTAAAAATCATTAAATAAATATAAAATGAAAACCTCTCCATAATCATTTTAAAGGGAAACGGAGGAAACCGTTTGGCACACTAGAAAATAAAGATAAGAGACGGAGAAGGATATTCAATTAATGAAGAATCGTCTTAAGTTATTAAAGCGAGGGGATGCTCAGTTATCTAAGAGAATTGATGAAACTAAAAAGAAAACTTAATCTATGATTGACTTAAAAATGAATCATCATTAACAGATTGAATAGGTAATGAAGTTTATATATTTTTTATTAGAAAAAGCTAAATCAAAAAAATGGTGAAGCATAATTGAAGGAGAAATAATAATTAAATTATGATCAAAAAAAACAATAAGAAGAACAACTGGAAATGATTAAAAAAGCAATGGAATAAATTAAATTAGAGGAATATAAAAAAATTAAGTAACAATCTAAAATTATTAAATAGAGAGTTATCAATAAAAAATGCTGAGATGATTAATAAATAAAAATAAGATTTCATGGCTAGAAATAGGGAAAAGAGAGAACACATTAAAGAGATTATGCATAAATCCAAATCCAATATTTCTCTATATTGGAATGAAAAATTATCTCACATATAAAAAGAAAATGAAAAGTATTTATATCTTATAATATTCAATAGAGCAAAAATAGAAAATAAAAAAGCATGTGAATAAAATAAAGCCTATTAAGAAAAGATGGAAATGGAAGAATCATATATGATGTAGAAATTATTGAGATCCCAAGAAGTACAAAAAAAATTAGCAATTAAATTGGAAAAAGCAAAGAATTTACCTCACGATGAATTTAATTAGATGATTTAAGAGGAAGAAGAAAACTCTAACAATTTGAGAGTAAATAAAAGTGCTGAAATTCCAAGATGGCTACCAACTCCAGAGAAAGATTCTGCAATTATCTAAAATTTAGATACTGAACCAAAACAAGATTCAGATTAATAGAAAAATGAAGATGATTAACAATAACAAGAATGATATTAATATAATATCTAAATTAAATTAGATTAAATGATAATCTCTAAATAAATCTTATCAAAATACACTCTCATAATATTATAAATCTCTGTTTTCTTTAATAATAAATATGGATTTAAATGATTATTTTTAAGGTGTTTCTATTAAACAAAAATAATATAACTATGATTTTAAACCAAACCTTCAATTATTGCAATATAATGTTAAAAAATCATTAAATATATTATTGATGATCTATACCTTTAAAATAGAGATTTATAAAGCTCTTACCCTTAATATTAGAAAATTATGAAAGAACAGAGACTACTCTTAATTAGTATTCATTAGATATTAAAATAACATATAAAATTTATGTAAATTAATGGCCGTTTAACTTCAGGTGATAAGTACCCTGAAGTCAATATAGAAAAAGAGGCGGCTGAAATGGCATCGAGAATTATGGAGAGAGTTCGTTAAAAATCAAATGTCAAATCTGCTTAAAGAATAATAGTGAAACCAGAAAATTTTAGATCAAGTGATTATAAACCTAGACCTTCTGAGATCCAAATCGGTAGGGAAGGAACCACATCTATTACTGATCGTAATGATCTCAATTTTGAACCTAATTTCCATCAATTCAATCCCCTCAAAAATGGGTTTACATCAAAAAACAACTTAGTCGATACCATTAAAATACCTTAAAGGTCATAGTTCAAATCTGCATCTACAGGTATGTAAGACATGTTTCAAAGAACTGTTAAATTAAACAATAACAATTATTATGTCCCTGAAATTTAATCATAATCTACTACTGATAAACCAGATAGTACTAAATTAATTAAACTAACGTATACAATATTATTAATTATAATAGCGATAGTGTTAGTAGTCTGGTAAATTAGAAATACGACCTACAGGCTAAACATCGAAAAGTAGAAAGTAATACACAATTTAAGCCAATTTTGAATACAAAACCTTATCAATTACACACTCCTGTTAAGTAGAATAAAGAAGACATAGTTTCATAATTATTAGGGAGTTTACGAAACCAAAAGAAATACTCAGATTATAAAAACTCAGCTGAAAAATGAACTACTATATTAAAATTTCATTTACTCTAATATAAATAAGCACAAGAAGATTATATTTAAATCCATTTTCCATGTAGTAACTAGTTAATTCATATAATTAATTCACATAGAATATTAATTTATCTGATATTGTTAAATATTTACTTTTTATTATTAGGTAATTTTGTTAGAATAATAATTTTGAATACATCAATTATTGGGTTTAAATAAATAATCATAATAATATATATAAAAGTTAGCATATTTATATTTGATTAAATTGTAATAATATTCGGCATTATTAGGCATTACTCATCGTGACTTATATATTTAATATTTTATGATAAAATGATTAATTAGATTTAATATTTTATTTATGAATTTTGCATTAAATTTCATGCTAATCTTGACATATTTATGAAAAATATAAATTCTTTCAAATTTTAAATTTTTTTCATACCTTAAATCAAAAATGTTAAAATATTCTCTTATAACGTTTCGAAAAAAAAAAATAGTAAAATTTTTGACAATTTTTTAAATTTCCATATTTTATTCGAATTATGATGTTGAGAAAAAAGGCATGGAGTTTTATCGAGTTGATTTTTGAATTCATCAACAATTTTTGGCTTAAATTTATTTAATTTCTTTTAATTGAAGAACATAAATTAAATATCTTTAATTATATGAACAATTTCATAAATAACTTTGATCATAAGTCATTAATATTTAATATATTTAAGATCTTTATAAATAAATTCAAGGTGAAAATATGGAATTTGAATTAAAATATTAAATATCCCTTAATTACTTTAGGAAAACTTCAAAAGGATTAAATTCATCTAATTAATTTAATTTAGTTGATTTTGAAGCTTCTTATTTATCTCTTAAATTCTATTTGACTTTAAAATAAGTAAATACTTCTATTATTCTTAATATTCATCTAGCTATTTATTTGATTAAGGGGTTTCTTGAAGCTGTAAACAAGTTTAGATTAAATATTTTATTAGAAATTATCAGTTTGTATCATTAGGAAAATTCAAGATTTTGAGAAAGCATTTGTGCCTTCTGTAATATATTTAAAAATGTATGTGAGGGGGCATCATATTGATTTGAGATGTAAGTTAGATTTATGTAAGTATTAATTTTGAATGATGCGTTTGAGGTATCAACAAGACAAAATATAAATAAATAACACATAAGGTTTATTGATTTTAAAAATATAAATTAATTGAACCATAATGATAAAAAAATATAGCATTTAATTTGCATCACAAGAAATAGAGTAAATATACAGGTAATCTCTATTAATTGGTATAAAATATCGACGGGAATATACATATGGAATATTATGTATCTATCTAGGACTGATTATAATAAAGTATAATTTATAACACGTTTTGCTACCTCAAATATTTGCAGCAGTTGGAATAACATTAGAATTGGCACTGTTCTTTTTTATGAAGAAATATTGGTAATAGAAGGAAATATTAATAACCCTGAATATGATTTTTATGGCTGCGATCTGTGAAAGTTTGAGATTATTTGGACTCGAGGATTACCAATGGTATTATGGTTAACATTCCACTTCACTAAAATTAAGTAAGATATCAATCTTAAGCTTAGTAATTTATTTGTAGGGAAGTTAGTTTTTAATTTAATCCTTCGTTTTCAGTTGTACCCAAGCAATCAGCATATATAATTTTAGCAACTATGATGTATCTACAATAATTTCTCATTGTCTTATAACTTTGATACTAGTCATGCTTCGCTATCAATATGAAATTATCAGTAGAAATAACTTTCTTTCGGTGCTTTCCAAAGAACAATATGAAAATGTGATTGAGGATCTTCTCCCATCATGGGTAGTTGTGTTGAAATACAATAAATTAGCTGCTTAGTTATAAATAGAAAAGATCAATAAAAATTTAAAGGAAAAGTTCAATCTTCAAAACAGTGAAGCTTTAAGAGATTTTTTGAGAAAATTAAACCTGTATGACCTTGAAGTTAATGGATTATCATAAAATATTAAATTAGAGCATGGAATAATTTAAATATTAAAATCAAAAAGTGAAGACCACCCCGTATAAAGATATTTTGGAATATTGGAAAAGGATGCGAGCTCAAAGTAATGGAGATTCAAAATCAGCTAAGTTTACTTCAAAGCATTTGAACCTCTGGTAATTCTATTATTTGAAGAGATTAAGGAGGACAAATACGATTAATATATTAATTAGATTGAATAAAGAGATAATTAGTAATATGTATTAATATAGATTAATTTAGTATAATTCAAAAGTAAGTTTATCATTAATTACTCAATAAATGCAGCTTATTTAATCACTGCTTGGTTAATTATAAACCTTTACTCCCTTTAAGTAAGACATTTTGAATAAATTCTAATAGACCTTGTAAAAATAAACGCAAATTAGTTATTATTTGTATAATCTTAATAATAATTTATTGAATCTTTTTAAAATATCTCATAGATTGATTAAATACGAATTTCAAGATATCTAAATTGAATAATTTTTTAAAAATCTGTGTGATAATTTGCTTATTAATTATAAATCAGCAAAGATTATACATTTCTCAACGAAAAAAGAGTCAATAAAAACAGATAAGAATAAATTAATTTCTATTATTATGAACATAATGGAGTTCATGAAAATTTTACTGTCTATTATACATTCAGAAGACAGTTTAATTTATTAGATGCATCCAATGAAGAAACCTTTTTGTCTATCCATAAAACAGTCCAAAGTGCATAAAGATTCCATTTAAATTACTTTGACTCATCCTAATTTAAACATTACCAGTTAAATGATTACTCTAATTTAAAATATTTAACCAGTTTCTATTGATGATAAAAAAAGAAATTGGAATTGTAAGAACTACTTTGAAATGATTAATAATTTAAATTAAACACTCTCTGAAATGATCGATCATTATAAAAATGAGATGTAATCTGTTACATCAATTTCTTTGGGATTACAAAATTTCAAATACCACCACTCTAATCCTTCAGATAACTAAAAGAAATAATTTAACACTTTGGGATATATAATGGCCTCATACTTCATTAGTCAATTAGGTCCTTCTAATAAAGTTATATTCAAATAAGCTCTAATAGAAAATGACATGTTGAATCCTTAATACGTTTCAGCACTTTATTAAACCAAGATACAATTTACCATTTATAAGGATTTGCAAAGTTTTTCAAAAGAGGTTTCTCAAATAAAGAACTTCGCTCCTGATGAGAATCAGTATTTTTCTCCAAAAAAATATACTAATTAAGAAATTACTGAAAGATTACTTTAAATTCAGGTGGAAGATTAGATAAAAAGATTATTTTGAATACTTTAAAAGGAAAACTTACACTAAAAATATCATTGATTATTATCATTATCCTATTTTAATTATTAAAATCGAGGGTATTCAAATATCAGGTCTTATTGTAAAGATTTGTCTAAAATACTAGTTTCAAACACACTAGATCTTTTGGCTGCTATACTCTTTTATAAGCTTTATGCTCGCGTTTACTAAGAAAAAATGTACTTAGATTTAGTATCTGAATTAGCTATTGAATTAAATGAAGTTTGCTTTTTGTTTGAAGAATCGAATCTGGCTTTTCTTACACTTGCCTGTATCTACTATTAATAGTCTTAGAGCAATTTTGGCTCATTTGTTAGTAGTTTAAAATTATTGTTATAGTTCAATAGATATTGGTTTTCTTCCAATTCTTCTTTGAATTTTTAAAGTGTTAGTTTGAGCTTTTGGTTTTTCTGGACCTACTTGAATAATGCTTCTTTCGTGAACATTAATTCCTAAATTATAGTTAAATGAATACATTTTCTAAAAACTTATTTGTTTTCTTAAGTGTTTGAACACTGTGCTTTAATTCTTTACATTATTCATTTAGCGAATGACATTCTTATCTAAAGAGTACCATCTTATTTTAAGCATTAACAACCTGCTTAAATATGATCAATTACTTATGATTCTTATTCATTTATTGCAATGTATTAATGAAATTTTTCATTGATTTGTTGAATGTCTTTTTTAAGGGTTTCCAAAACTTGCTTAAATGCATTTAAAATGTTGTTTTGTTACGATTTTAACATCTGATTTACATTTTTGTTAGTTTCACCTATTAAGCTTTCCATTTCTTAACAAAGTTCCTACATATTTTTGGCTTAATCTGGATGTAATTTTTCAAGAGTTGGTAATATATGTTTATTTTCAGTTATGAATAGTGGTTACTCTGTCATTAAATATTTTAATAAAATATAAAAATAAATTAATAATCATAATTTCTGCTAATGATCTCAAGCATTGCTTTTTTGAGAATCATCTGACAAAATATTATAATAGGGATTTGTGATTTGTTTAAAAAAGGACAATCTAGATTTAGGATATATAAATAATTCTTGATCTATGTGTTTGTTATTCATGGTAAGGATAAATCTTTAAATGTCGTTTCTTACATCAGTTTTTAATAATTCTAAATTTTGTTTAAATTAATACTTGATGAAATTGGAGCTTTCATGCCAAGTTCTTTATAAGAGCTTTACAAGAATCCATCAAATTCAGTTTCATTTATTAACTCATCATGAATATATTGACATCTTATCCCATAAGGACAATACCCCTATTAGAAGAATCTCTTGCACGGTTTGGTTTTATATTTGGAATGTAAGTGGGTCTTAGGCTGTAATTCAGTTTATCCATGGGCGAAAGAGCACTTTAAATTTAATAAAAGAAATACTTTATCCCCATATTTGCATTTCCCTGTCATCACAAAATTCTTGCAGAGTTCAGTTTTTTTCTTTTTCGTGTACTCTTCTATATATTATTATTTTTCTTGTATGGTTTCGAAGTGCTTTTTTAGGGGTTTGACACTGATATTTTTTAAACAAATGTTTTACTCTATTTCAAAATTGTTATTCTCATTATCGCTTGTATCAGTATCGAGTGTTGACGATTCATACTAGTTCTGCTTGATAGTCGAAGTAGGGTAGAATAAGTTCATTTATAAATTAAGTTATATAAATATTTATAAAGAATATTGCCTATATTCTTAAAAAGAATTTAAATTAAAACCGAAATTTAAAATGGCCAGTATATACACAAATATACAAATATAAATGCGAATTATTTTTTAATGATAAACAGAGATGAAACCCACATATTCAAAGCTATTTCTATAAATATTCTTTATTTAAACTTATTATTATTATAAAAATAATTTAAGATTAGGAATCTAAAAATTATGTAATCTAATAAAATCTATACTATTATATTTGAATGAAATAATTTTAAAAGGCATTTAAATCTATAATACTATATAATAGATAAGAATTGATAGACAAACAATTTCTATTGCTTTCTTCTATTATAATTATTATTAACTATTTTGTTTTATAAATGTTAAATATGCTTGATGTCATTTCAACATTCTCTATTCATTCTTCTCAAAGTAAAAGGTATGAGGAAATAGTCTAATTAATAGAAATGGATAAACAGGAAATCTATCCAAAGGATCCACAGCCAGACAATCAACAAGGCCAACCTAGAAATTTCACAAAATACAATTAGATGATTAAGCTTTTAAAACTACTCCAAAAAGTGAATAAAGAAAATATAAGGGGATTTAAACAATAAGTGAATAAAATAATTAAAGAGAGAATGAAAATGAAAACAAATTTGAAAGCAACATTTATCCATTGATCATTTTTTAAAAAAGTAAATATTAGTGATTAACAAGTAAGTCTCCTACCGTCAGCTTTTGAAAGAAAGTAATTAATTCATAATTTTTAGTAAAGTTCGAAAAAGATATAAAATCTCTTCATCCATCTGACAAACGAAATTTAGTAATATACAGAATCATTTGTGAACTTTTTTAAGAACTCTAATTTGAAATACAAAACATATTGATTTGTTAACATCCTATTTCAAAACTATTTTACATTTATTTTTCTGATACTAATTACTGTCCAATCTCAAAATGTTGTAACAACAATGTAGTAATAAGAATTGGTGAGGCATTAGGTGGAGAGATTAAATGCTTAAATCCTAAGTGTCCGTTAGGAGTTTTAACTACCTTTGAAATAGAGGAGAAGATTCTTTGGAATTCAAAAGTTTAATAAAAAAGAGCTATCTCAACATTTATTTCAAGCGGAAAATACAGAACCAGGAGTTTATTGTAATCAGTTCAAGTTCCTGAAACCTATAATGCTTATGCTCAACCAGAATAAAAATAAAACTAAAATTCTTGGAAAAGATCTTCTACTTTTTATTAAAAAGCTAGTTAAACAAATTAGGAATAGGTGTATAAATATGAGTTATCCAAAAATTTATTACTAAACTCTTAAATATTCAATAAGAATTTTGATGATTAAATGGATGAAAAATATAGATATTAATGGAAATTTTGATGATTTTAATAAAAAATTTAATATATAGCCAATTTAAGAGAAATCTACATCGAATTCAACATAATCACATTCTCTTTATTATCATTTTCAATTTTAACTTTAATGTTAAATATTTTCAACATAAGTTTTATGATTTATTCATTTTCCCATATTGTTATCCTTTGATTATTTGATATTATTTATATCATCATAATTGTAATTTACTTACAATGTGTTATGTATCTGTTTGCATTTCATTTTAGTATTGTACTTGACTATTAATATATACATCTTTTAGAACATCTGTCCGTTTTATAAATATTTACAATAAATATATCAAAAAATAAACTTAAACTTCAAATATATTTAGTTTTGTTGTTTAAGAAATCAACCAAAAAATAACTGAATTTTGATAATATAAATAATTTAATAATTGATAAATAATAGATAAAATACTTTTCTATGCAAAGTTTTGATTTGAGTTTTACCTTAACACATTTTTTTTTATTTTTAGCTTCCATCATATATAAATTCTATAATTGAATTAAATAATAGGATATATAGTCTCTAATAAATCAACATGTTATAATTAGAAACTATGTAAAATCGAAACATAAAATAATCTTACTTATGACACTAATTTTAACAATGATAAAATATTTTGTTATTTATTTTAACCTGTACTAGGGATCTCAATGTTTTAGTAATTATTATTTAATTGCTGAAATTACGGTATAAATTTGATGAAAATTGTTTTTAAGTTTAAAGAACATTTGTAATATGAAGAATGGATTGGAAAAATGTTTAGAGAAAAAATGAATCAATATATAGAACTCATTATTATTTTGGAAACTATTTTATTGTTCATTTGTTAATTTTAAATATTCATTATTTAACTATCAATATGGCGCACTAAATCCGGGGGGTGGTAAACCAGTATTAGGGTCAGTATTCTTGGGTCGTCTAAATAATAATATATGAGGTTCAGGTCTATGAGTTTCATAATGAACCCATCCTCTAGATTGTTACACTCCAATTGCTCTCCACTCCATTTCATTTAATAATTTTCCTATATTTAACTAGTTTAAATACCTTTGGTAATTTTTTTAAATATGTGTTTGGGCAAGATAACATGTCTATACTCATAATAATCATCAAAATATTTGTCAGAATATTCTATCTCCTCTGGATAATGAGGCATATACTCTACTTCAAATTTTAAATTAAAAATATAATACAATCGTTGAATTAATTTAAAATATATTTATATTTCCCAAAGTAATTATAAGGAACTAAATTAAAGTAGATTTTCAAACTTAAAATTAATAAAATAATTGATAAACAATAGAAGATCTCATATTTATTATAAATTTCTATTAATAGAATGCATTCTAATTATAATATGTATTGAACACTATCTATGTATTTAAAAATAGCTCCAAACGCACTCTTAACACTAAGCTATTTTTAAAAACAGAAGTTTTTAATTCAGATTAATTTCTTTCTGCAGCTTATGAGTGAAACCTTATTAGATGGATAATTGAAAAATATAAAAAAATAAATATTGTCATTTAACTAAATCAAGAATATTGTACTTTAGCTTTACATTATTTTTGTTTTAAAATCGCTTAAATAAATGTCATTTACAATTATATAAAAATAAAAATAAATTATCAATGACAAGAATGTCATCATAAAATACTCAATTTTGAGATTTGCATCTAAACAGTTTACAAGCTTCTGAGAACAAAGTAATTCTTGAGAATAATCAAATTCTTAAAAATTCTAATAATTAAACCATGATTATTCAAGAATTTATTTGATATTTTAATTAATGAAATTCATCCTTTAATGCTCAATATGCTTATAGAATTTAAAAAGTCCAGTCTCCTTGAGTTGTGGACATACTTTTTGTTAGGCTTGCATATAAAATTCTTTTGAGACACAAGAATTTTGTGCATGTCCCTTGTGTCGTTAACCAGCATTACTTGGAAGCAATAAAACTGACGAATTACTACCTTTGGTTCAGTAGATTTATGAATAAGAAGGAACTTAAGGTATTGTTGACCTTTAAATTAGGTTTATTGAATGAATTTCCAACTTTAATTATATGCCTTTGTTGCGGATTAACTCCAGTCAACCCAGTAGTGCTTTAGTGCTAACATATGTTTTGTTAGAAATGCATTGAAGAAAATTTAAAAGAAGAATTATTATGCCCAGCTTGTTCAGATTATAGTTTTAATGTCAAAGTCAATACAAATAAGAAATATAAAGATCTCATTGATTGGTATTTAAAGGAATTCAAAATAGAAGAAGAATAAGAAGAAATTGATAGAGGTGTCTAAAATGAAAAGATAAATGGTATTCCTATCTTTGTTTACGATTAATCTGTCATTATATATGGCTCTACAGAGTTGTAATTTTTAGAATTCCGATATCAAGAAATGATAAAGATGGTTAGTTCTGGTTCAGGGAACTTTATTATATCTAGTGATTTGATTAATGGAGATCTGGTACAAATAAGAAGCATCAAAAAAACAAAGAAAGGTTATCAAGTCTAAGTTGATGGTTTATCAAGAATAAAAATATAATAAATATATGGCTATATTGAAGGAGTCAAGACTTCATATTAACAGTGTAATACTCAATAATTATGGCTTGCTTAATGCGAATACGTAAGAGATTAAATTTTCAAAGAGAATTGCTTTTAGCAATACAAATATATTGTGGCTACTTTATAAAAATTATATTAAAATATCAACTTAGAAGTCAGAGATATATTTAAGGCTTTTATGGGAAAAATAACAACTCTATCAAATTCTGAAAGCAGTCTTATTCTATTAACTTCACTAAATAATAATTTTGAATAATAATACTATGAAACAGATCTAGAAAAACGAGTTTAACAAATTTAATAACACTTTGCCATTTTAGAATAAAAGATAAAAGGAATTTATGCAAAAGATGATTAAATTTAACATGCCAAACTGAAATAAGATAACATTGAAATAATCTCATATCCAGAATTCGATATCACTACTCAATATTTTTTAAATCTCTTTAACATCAAAAAAGTTTTATGTTTTTGATTTACTTATTTCATATATTAATCTAAATTGATATATATTAAAAAAAATCACTTTTTTATGCATCAATTAATCCTTGTTTTAATTATAAAATAAGAATATTAAATTAAATAATTTATTTTATAAAATTAATTAAGAAGCATAAAATAATTCCTATTCCTCAAATAAATTAAAAGGCTTATAACATGTTTCGTTTAAGATTCTGTATTCATCATTATTTGCAGCGTATTCTAGAGATTGTAACTATGAAACAACAAAATTGAAATAGGTAGTTTGTAAATATTTTCCCTATTATTATTTGAGGTTTTGAATAAAAATTTACTGTTGTTTAACTAATATATATAGAGTTTCTTAAAATATATTATGTTCTACCATTTATAATTTGTATTATTTCTTAAAAAAAAAGAGTAAAGAATTATATTTAAGATGTAATTAACGATTTAATCTGTGTTTTATATAATGAAGAAATAAGAGGAAATCATAAATTTTGAGGAATACTTATCGTAATATCTATCAATAATTGTAAAAATAATTTTAGAATCGCAATATTACAGTTTCTTTAATTGAAAATAGCTATTGATTCAAAGAAGTTAAGGAGGATTGGAAATATATTAGGCTATTAAAATCTATACTAATAAGTATATTATTACAATTATTTTGGCAATTAATAATTAATAAATTAAAAATAATAAAAGTAATCCTATTGTATTGATTTGTTAAAATTATAATTAGATTAAACCGAATCTTAGTGTTAATAATAAACATTTTTATTCTTCAATTTGAAGATACTTAAATTAAGTGGGTGTTTAAGAAGTAAGACATAAAACAATAATTTAATAAATAAGCTTCAATGATTTTTAATAAATTCACTCTTAATTTTAATTCGAGATGTATTGAAAATGATTATAGAAAATTGTAATAAATCTACATCAAGTAGGAATTCACACTGTTTTCAATACAAACACTTGTAAAAATGATATTGATTTTAGTTATTTTTTACAGCTTATATATTATACTACTTTTAAGAATATACATTTAATGGAATTATTGTAGCAAATATTTTGGCCTTTATGTTTTCAATAGTAATGCTGAAAATCATAATTAATACTCATCCATCTTGGAATGAATACATATTGCCACTACTTTAAATTTATATTGCCTACATTTGGAATTTAGATAACTTTTTCCCCACAACCACAGAAGATCCGAATTATGATTATGATGCCAGTTATGAGTATAACTGGTATTATGGATTTCAAGCATTCTACTTCCATTTTGGTAAAAATTAATAAATTATATTAAAGCAATATTGCAACTGGGGTATCAAATATGGCCTTAAGCAATTGCTCTTATTGCCATTTATATTTAATATGTTACTTATTACCCTACCTAGACATTAGAATATTTAGCTATGTGCTTGACTATATTTTTAGTATTTATTGGATTGGTTGTAATGAAATATTCAAATGAAAAGATAAAAAGGTTATAATTTAGGGACAGCAGAGAATAGAATAGATGGATAAAGATTATAGATTAAGTTTTAGAGTAATCTATTGTTGTTATTAAGCTTGATCAAAAATAAGATTAATTAATACTGTAATAAATAAATGAATTATCAAAGACGAGATTAAAAATAGAAAATAGTAAAGAATTAAGAGAAATGCTTCGAAATGTAAATAACCATTAATATTAGATCTAGATGATTATTGAAATTAACAACTTGGAAAGGGATGACATTAAAACAAAGAATTTAGAGTAAGAGATAAGAGATCTCATTATTTAAAATGATTCATATAAATTAATTACTCATTAAGTGGATGTTAGATCAAATGTTTTGCATAAGGAATATAAAGTGAAGTTGATTCAATAAGTGTTATAAGACGAATATTGTGTAATTGCAATATTTGAATAAAATTTAAGAAATTATAATAAATAACTCCAAATTGAAGTTAAGTACAAAGAAAATATCTTTTTATTTTTATTGAAGTAATTCTTCTAACAAATAAAAACTGCTAATACTAAATTGAAAATTTTAAATTCAATGATTAATTTTTAACAAATTCGTCTATTACTCTATGATGAAAATCTAAAATGTAGAAAAACTTGGATATCCACTTCTATCCTCGTAAACTAAATCAACCTATTATATTCAAAGAAGATCAGAGTTACAATAAAAAAAGATTTGTAAGGATTTGTGACTAATTAAATATATCTATTTAGTATACTAATGAGTATTCCATAAGTCTTTGATGAATTTTAATCAATGAAAATTAAGGCCAAAACAATACTTAATATTGAGAGAGTGAAGATAACAATGATTGGTAGAATGAATGATGCTTAATCTAATCAAAAATTATTTAAATAAAACTTAAGTTTAAGTCAATCCCTTTAACAAAACTAGAAGATAATTTTGAAGCATCTTTAACAATTAATAACTAATAAAACTTTATAATGTCAATAGAAAAATTAGATAATATCGATCTATTTAAACAAATTTCTGCTATGGGAAGGATTTAGGGAGAAATATTTCTACCTCAAAACTAAAGACATGTTGACTCATCTGTCATTTGAGTTTGAAGTTTGATTTGATTCAGTAATATAAATCTCATTTTCTGATTAATAAATGTGTATACAATTATATTTGAATTTTAGATAAAGACAATAACATCTCTATGTTTTTAAATACACATTTATTCAGAAATATATAAATTTAAGATTAGGTTATTTTTAATATTTGATCAATTAATATCTCTAAATAACAAGGAATTTTCTAAAATATTAATAATATGATTAAAACTAATATTTGTAATTTAAGAATGTTATTATTTTGTAATATTCAATATCTATAAACCGTGCTGTATGCAGGTGCAACATAGCTGGTAGTAACTGGGGCAATTGGAGCAGCAACACTGTAAGAGAGTGGTGAGGCATAGTTGATGGGAGGTGCTGTATTGATGGGTGCAACAAATGAGCTTCTTCTTACTTCTCTTTCTAGGTAGTCCACTCTAGGTACTGTTTTTTCGACAGGAACATAATCAACTTATTTTTCATATGTAACTTAAGGTATGTACTCTTTTTGATATTCCACAGGGTAATAATCTGTCACCCATTTTTGTTTGGGTACCTACAATTTTTATAAGATTCTACTTTCACAACTCTTTATTCCTCCTCCAATTCGACTACAGATTTCTAATAAGGCACGTACTCGAATCTAGATTCTCCCTTAATTGTTGCTGGGGCTGGTTAAACATAGCTTATTGGTTAAGCGTATGGGATTGGTTATGCATAAGAAACTGGTTGAACATATGAGACTGAATAATGTATTTAAAATATTACCTGGAGCAGGTCTTACAATCGATGTACCGATTGGAGAGGCAAATGAAACACCAAGAGGAGCATATGAGTACATTTGATAAATAGAAATAAAATTTATTGAATTTTATTTTGATTTATTCTAAAATTATAAATGTAAAGCAGGTTTAAAAATCTTAAATCTAAAGATTTAATTTGATTCTTTCATATTTTCCTAAAAATAATAGATAAGTCTTAATATTTCATGAAAGTGTCATAATAATAAAAAATGAGTTGATAAGTTTGATTCAAAATATTTAATACTTTTTAGAACTTTTTGATTGTTTTTAAAATAAATGCCTAGTTTTCATTTCTAAAAGCCCTCTTATGATTACTATCACTTTTAATGTTTCAAAATTTCCTTAAAGTCTTTTCTCATTAGAACTTTTTCAGAGGCGACTATCCTTAATCATTTAATAATTAATAGATATCAATAATGATTATAAATTAATTGAATATATTTAATTAGCCAATTCAAGTGTTTTCCAACTCCATCTTTTTGATGCATTATCTAATGAACATTCGTATTTTACGATTGTTCTCTACAACTTTCATTGGTATCATGTTTAGCATTTGCATATTCAGGTTAATCTAACATTATTTTGATTAAATATACTTGAGTGTTTAATTTCTGTAAAAACAATAACCATATCACCGAGACCACTAGTTCTAATATCAATATATAGATTATGACTAATATTAACTAGATGGTTAGAGTTGTTGACATCTAATCAGTCATAAATTGCAATTCAAAGTCTGTTATCTGAGAAACTGCTTATTTTATGTAATAAAACAAGGACTGATCAATTTCATAGATTTCTTCATTATACACAATTTCATTTAGATTTTCATTTCTGAAATACTGTAGGTAATATTGTTCAACATTGTATATGCCTAATTGAAGATTCCCTTCGATAATCTAATAACAATTTGTATCATTATTCATATTAATTATGGAGCAAAGATCTCCATAATATGTTGAGAAAAATAGATTTCTGAGATCTGGCAATTTATTTAATAAATCTTTAGCAAACTAAGTTAGATTTAGATCATACATTTTAGAAGGTTAATTGATTTCCTGTAAATATCGTAAGGTCTTAAGCAATCTTAGTCAAAATAGAAATGTTGTTGATTTGGAAGTCTGAATTCAAACTTGACAATTTGTATAGGTTGATGTAGTACCCGTAATTTTCAATCTGAATGGAACTTTAATAGAATTGGGGCAATAAGTATTATATTTGAGATTTCTCATTTGCACTGCTGATTATGTTGTACACTGCAAAAACTAAGGTTAACAAAGCAATCAACAGAAATCTAATATATTATTATCATACTATACAATTATTCCTTAATTGCCTTTTAGTTTGCTTTTCCTATATTTTTGAATGATCTTTCTCCTCTTCAATTACAACTAATATTAATTATCTTCCTCAATGGCTTTGGAGTTCATCTTATCTTAGCCATCGACATGCTATTGCAATTCAATTAATTGTTATTCTTCATCTTCATCACTTGATTCATCATAATCAAAATTATTCAATTTCTTCAAATCTTCATTATAGAACTTCAAAAACTTGTCAACTTTCTTTGATAAATTTTAGACATCATTTTGTGGAATCTCTAAGAATAGAAATATCACATTTTCTCTATCTATTTTGATTTCCAACATCAAAGTTATAAATTTGATCATGCCAATCGTAGTTCCAATAAATAACACCAATAAAGATATTAATAAATTCAAATCAGGATACTACACTTAAGAGATAACATCCTCATATAGAATTTGAGATATCTTTATCAATGGATCATGTATCTAATTGAAATAATTAAAGAGAACATTTTGAATTGAATTACTCTAGAATACATTATTAGGCTGACTCAGAGACAGATTCAAGCACTCCGACGTAATTAAGAGGATAGAACTCTCTAAAGATAATTATATATCCTCATATTGATTGGATTTCTCATACATTCTCAAATTAATGGTCTCTGAATCAAAGTAAACTCTGTAAAATCCTAGATTAAGATCGTAATCAAAGTTGATGATTAATTATGCTGATTCTTAGATTTCAATTTGCAATCGAGTAAAATTGAATTATTAATCCATACATAAATCTAAGGCTCTTGAAATTAAGAGATTTAAATTGATAATCTCATTATTAATTTAATAAATGGCTTTAATTTCTGAAGTGAATCCTTCAAAGTTTAATTAACAGAAGTAATATTACAGGGCGGTTATCAATGCTATGAAATCAATCCAAATGTTGGCATAGATGCAAAACTTAGTAATCTTACTATGTCTGTGATTTTAGGATAATGCATTTCTTATCTTAATCTGTGATTGCATGTTACTTACCAATTTCTGATCATTGTCATACTCGTCCTAGTTAATATTATTTCTGAATATAGAATTCTCTTACTCTTCTTCTTCCAATTACTTCAAAAACCATATTTCCTTTTCCTCGTCTATATTAAGAATTTAATTATTAACTAATCTTCTCACTCTGATTTCCAAACCATAATCTAATTTGATCTAAGTTTATTAATCCTCTTATTAACTTAACATGTCCTTGTAATCATCATATCGCTATTCTGTATACAAATCTTGCAAAAACTGCACCAAATTCTAATCATACTCAAAATTAGTATCAATTCTTAATGCTAATGTATCCAGTGATTGCACTGTTTGATTGGCACGAGTGGGTATTAATTTCTGAGTGATAGAAATGGATTATCTCTAAGTAATTTGAATAGACTATCTACTTTGACCAGGCAACAAACCCCTAGCACTACTGATAAATGTTGAAGCCTTTCTTCCACCTTAGACATCTGAGAAATCGATTTTCTCCAACTTAACCAACCAATATCCTGATTTTACTAACTTTTTTGATGCTTGCAACTCTAAGAGTAGATTCTCATTGATTATTTAGGTGATCTCTATTTCCTTAACTGAACATTAGAAGTAATACACAGACTCAATGTTGTTCTGACCAGTCTTATGATATTACACTTGCTTCCCATTTTGATTGAGTATATCCGGCAACAGTGTATTCAAAATCACTACCTATTTAATGTGTCTGAGCTCTATGTCGAAGTATTGGATTGATCCCGAAGACATCTCTATAATGGTTGTTTCCGAGTCTATGATGAAGACAGCCTATCCCTTAAAAGTAGGATCACTCTTGAAACATACTAGATATTGCAATGAATCTATGTTGAAGCTGACCTTATAGATGAATGGTATGATGTAGCCATTTCTGTGCTTATAAAATTACAATTGTTCTTAATCAATATATGTTCTTGGATAATCCCCGTCATTTTGCATGTTTATTAGCATATTATCAAAGAACTCAATTAGATAATTATCATGCTACTCAGCATACACCTTAGGCATTAAGATATTAATTGATTTGCCTCTCAATTCTTCCTTCTGATATCCAAAAAATGTTGTAAATAGAGAGTTTAGATTAATTATCTTACCTATTTCTGATTTCCGAGCACACACTTGGAGAAAGGGTATCGGATGTTTTTCAATGTTATTTTCAATCAAATCCTCGTCCTCCACCTTCACTTAAAATTATTGCTTAGCTAACTTATGCTGATTCTTAAGTATCTGACCCATAAAAGAATCATTGAACACTTGGTAATAGAAGTTGGCCAAGGCTTTCAAATCAGCAAAACCCAAAGAATTCTTTTTACTCATCTCTTAATGTTTCTCCATTACTTAATTACTCACCTTAGTAATCATGGCTCCTATGTGCATGAGTCTAACGAGATTTGGCTGATCCTCTTTGAGCTCATTCCAGAAGGTTTTGTAATATAAGGCAGCCATTTTCATTTTGGAATAGAGTTCACTCTTATTATTCTGATTTGCAATTGCATCCACAACATCATCGCTTTTATCTTTGATAATCTTCCTATATTATAATAATTCAAATACATATATCGATAGGTAATAAACTACTAGAAGAACTTGGGTTTGCTCTTCTGAGAGACCAAATTAAATTGAATGTAGGCATCATTCTTATTATTTCTTCTCTCCATCAAAAATAAAGCATAAAAGATCCTTAGAGATGCTGATGACCAGAATTTTCTCAATCCAATCCTAAACATCTTATCTAATTCAATAATCAATCCTCTTTTCAAATCATCCAACTATTCTGAGTTCTAGGCCTTCCTTCTTTATTTAAAATAGCAATCATTCAACTTACATGTTTCCTTGTGCTTCTCAATATATCCAATCAAGAGCATGTAAGAGTTTCTATCACTATCAGCCTAAGATATCAATTAAAGAACATATCTGATATGAATCCATACATCCTCTCCACTTGAAAACTTGTTCTAGGCCCTAACCAGAGTGTCTACCTTAGATTTCTTAGTCGTCAACATGATAGACACAATAAATGGCAGGCCTATGACCCAAGCAATCAAGCCTCCTGAAAACTCAGCACTCTCCTGTACTTTGCATATAACCAACATGACATTAGCCCAAAAATAGTACGAACTGATGATAGAGTAAAATCTTCCGACTTCAAAATCGTAAATTGGATCAGCAAAATTATACTCTTTAAACAACCAAGCAGATAGTGTGAATGTTGTCAATACCAATATCCACGATTCATTTTTACCCAAGAAACAATACAATACTTGGCATGTTACTTTATTAATGATAAATGCAACTTCCCCATTACTGTCCTATCTGGCTGTCCTATTGCCACTAGTCATGCCGGGCTCAAAAAATGCATATGCCACTATTGCACATATCAATACAAAGATCAGCATGAATAGTAATGTTATGAGAGCGTGGAATATATGCCATCCTTGCCAACATTACACGTTAATTTCATCATATCCATAAATGACATACTCATTAGTGACTGGGTCGTTGTAGCATTGGAGTATTGAGGTTAAGGTTTCAGTGATGGGTAAAAAAAACACAGTCACAAAATAAAATGCCACCTATCGCAATACATAGACAGGCCACATAAATTTAAACTTGTTCTATGAAAATGAGTATGAGACGTAAATGATGTTCAAAATTATCAACAAAATTGCACTTAAACAAACATAGACTGAGACTAACAATGCGAAATATGATAAATTAGGTACATATGTTGATATTGAAAACACATTTACAAAATTTAAAATATTGGTTAAAAATGAGTCAGCTTTCCAAACATAGAGTATTTTATTATTGAATGGAAATGAATGCATCTAAACATAATCCAAAGAAGTCAGAATGTAAAAGTAAATCATTTAATCATCAGCCTTTTCTTCTTTGGCCAACACAAACAAAACTTTGAAAATAACTATCTTGACCTTCGTTAAAAAATAATCCAACCCTTTTTATTCAGTCTCAATAAGATTCTCGTTTTCCTCTTCATCATCAAATTATCCTTTCATTTTATTATAATTTTATATTAAATTTCTATATTTAAATCATTTATTAAAGACTGTAATTATATTTGACTCAATTAGTGAACAAGGTACGCAAAGGCTAAAATGTAAATGAAATTTCTCAATTAATCTACTTGGTGGAAATTGAAGAAATTAAATAGACCCAAGAGAAAATTTATAGAAAGATTTCGAAATGCGAGAGTATTCGAATTATGGACTTAATTTAAAAATACTTAATATTAGTTCATCTTGAATATTTTAATTAGACAAAATAAAAATTACTTTTTCACTCTTTATGTTGGAAAAGGTATTAAAGTTTTAGGTAGTCACAAAAGGAGAGAAAATACATAGTATACAACCATTGTTGCCAACAATAAATTTCAATCTTTATGAAAAACAAAATAATTACACAGAGATGATGGATCATCAACAATCAATGAATCGATATTGTGGAACTTATCGTAGTAATAGTTAGAAAAGAAATTAGATAAAATCTATCCGGAGATCGAAGGGAGTGGGTTATTCACAATTGATTGATAATTATAAAAATACTAGTAGATAATCTTAGGAGAATCCCTTTTAAACAGAATTGCTTATAAAACAATTTTAAAGTAGCAGAACCAAGGAGTAGGCTTCCGAGAGATAGAACACAGTGATGGATTGTCCACAACACAAATTTCACACAATAGAAGCCACCACAAAAAACATAAGATATAAGTCCCAACCGAAGAAATAACCAGAGTACATTGACACTGAGATGAAAATTACTCCATATGTACATTAGAATAAAAGATATTAATGTATTGATTATTACTACATCGTTTGAATATAATTTTAAATCGGGTTGTTGTTAATATAAATTTAAAACTCATTTCTTTCCATATGAGGTTTGGTTGGCCATTTCTAAAACTTGTTATTTGAAAATGTGAATGACTTCATCAATAATAGCATTCTCCTCTAAGCACATAGATCGAATACATACCATTTCTTCTATTCAGTTCGGTTTCATACAGGTCTCTCAATTCCTGTAATGAGGCAGTGGCAGCATTGATGGCATTTTAAGAGTCCTTCAAAACACTGTTAGCCTTGGCTTAGACAGCAAGAGCAGCTTATTCTTACTTAAAAGATATGAGAGAATGAACATACCACAACCAATTTATCTTACAATTGAGTCTTTCTTTGGATTTCATCATTAAGATGAGCAACCTCGGATTCTGTGTCAGCAAGCCAATCAGCCAATTAGTAATAAGCAGCAATTTCATTGGCTTCCAAATTGGCTAATGATGATTTTAATTAATCTTCTAGGTCGGACAAAGCATTGTAAACAAGTTATCCAACATTATGGCCTGGTTACCTATCAGATGAGGATGATCCCTCTGCTTCTTATCCTAAAGCGTGTAATTCTGCATTTCCTGAGGCTTGTTCTACAGCTAATTAGGCGAATTTGGTCATGGCATCTTGATTGAATAATTGACTGTATTGTTTTAATTTGTCTGAGACATTTTGGACATTGATCTCAACCAAGGAGGATGGTTATCCTGTTAAGTATCCACTCAAATCATTCTTCAATACTCTTATAACTCCAAGAGCATCATTGTGTTGTTTGATTGCTCTCACAAACAAACCATTTGAGAAACATCTCAACTCTTATAGTTCGACTGATCTTCTATCAATGTCAGCCAATCTTTATGTTGCCCATGCAATATAATCTGTTGCTTCCTAGATTAGATGATGTCAGTTACTCTGTATTCAATTCCGATTTGTTCTCTTCTGGCTTTGGCACTGGCCCAAGCTTTTTGATTCAATTCATTGACTTTTGATAATGCAGCAATTCTTGCCTAACCAATCTCTTCGTCTGAGATATTCTTTTCGTCTGCAACTCCTTGGGCTTCGATATTGCTTGTCTTCAAATCATTCAATAAATCATAAACTGCTTGAACTGCATCGTTTGATTCTGAACCTGTCTATATAATTTATCAACTCTAATGGTACTTGAAGCAGCAAAGAGAAATCAATATCGAATGCTGATACACTCATCAGACCTATCATTGCCAAAATTATGATCTTGTTCATTTCCTCTGAACTTTATTATTATATTAAATAAAAACGGTATTGCAATTATTCATTTTAATAAATGCCCAACCCAAATTCACACTCCCACCAAATCCAATGTCACTTCCACTGGCTTATATTCACCTCAAGACATTACAAAACTATCAATTTATCATGTCTCCAAGTTTATAAACTATATTAATATTTTATTTTTTATATATCTAACTGCTAATTATGAGTGACTCATTGAGATCACTGTCAACAAATCAATCGATTGAAGGACAAATCAGCAAAAAGAAAAAAGTGCAATCTACTTCTTCAAAGACTAATCGTCCTTAAAATATTAGTTATAATGAGCTCGTAGATTTATTGCATCCAAATCATTTATTCATTAATATTAGTTTGGAAGAAAAGTTCAATGCAATTGAAATGTATCAATAATTCATTTACAATAGCATCGATTCCACCTATTTCCCAAATTTCAAATTTGTAGTTGATGAAAACCTAGAAGACACAGAAGTCAAATGGAAGCGTTTGCCTTCATTTATCAAATTGACATCCTGAAATAGATGCAATCCTTTAGTTTTCATATATAATAAATCATCATACAACTTAATATCATCTATACTCCTCTATTTTTATTGTCCTTCTTCTATTATGCCTTTAATCTACCAAAAATCTCATACAATCAATCAATATCCACATTAATACGTAATTAATTTATCCAAATTAAACCACCATTTAAATCCACCTTATATAATTATAATCAATCTTCTAATTTAGAATTACAACTCAGAACAATTCCAAACAGAAATTGGAAGTTTTCTATATAAGGATCACATTATAGTAAGGATATAAACATTCCAAATTTCGATTTCTCTACCTCTAACAATAACTTAAGGATGGAAGGAATCTAAAGAAAGGATTATGAATATAATTTCATGGTTATGTATAGAAAATCATATATGTTTAGCCTAAAAATCAGAAGAGGCTTCTTTGATTCCGTCATGTAACTTCTTCAAAGCTTCCTAATATTGAAGTAATGAAACTTTGTTCTAACCTTATCCACCTGTAGTAGTTTTTCCAGATCCACAAGAGCATTTCTTTACCTCAGATGATGCTTCTGGTTAATCATTGTTTCCTCTCAGTTGTTGGGCTGTCACACTGAGTATCAAAAACACAAGCAATAACACTTTTACTATATTCATTATATTAAATAATAATAATAAAAACGATTACTCTCATCAATATCGAAATTATAATACTTAAAATGAATCATCATTTAGTAAAGATTTCTTTGATTTCTTTTACTAAGTTTGTTAAATGAATATTTTACAAATCTAACTTTGGATGGTGTTATGAATCCTTCAACATGAGATGATTTCTACTTCCTTAGAATGTTTTGAGCATCACGAATGAACTTCCAATCATCCTCTTAAGAATCATTTACGTTTTGAGTATAATATCGAGATGAACAAATCGAATCCTTCTTTTTGAGAGCACTCTTCAGAGGCTATTCCTTCGACTTCTTTGGGCTTTGTTAATTCAAGTGCTACTCAAATTACTCTAAAATTTATAATCTTTTATGCAAATATTCTATTTAAAATGATTCTTCACATACATTCGTCGAGTTGTTCCAACTTCTTCACATAAATCTGCCGAATTTCCTTCAATCTTTTATTTAAAATGCTTTATTCTTCATTGATAATTTTCTCTTTTTAAACGAAAGAATGAATGCGCTATGATATTCGACATTGAGGATGTTCCAAAGATTAATTTGAGTTATTGCCTTATTTTTTATCTTTAACCGAAAAGTCAATATTATCTGATAGTAGTGATATGTAACTTTTTTAATTTGTGTCGATAGGAGATAGTTACAATTGGATTGGTACGTTCGTATGGCAATAATCACCGAAAATCATAGGAGAGGAATTTTTTATTTTTTAGAATGGATCCAAATCTACGGAATCTAAACTCGTAATACTTACAATCATCAATCTTAGTTTTACAGTGAATATTCAGTTTCTATACTACAGCATCAAAATCGGTACTCTTTAAGAGTTTTTTCATTTCTTCTTTGATTGTTATACTTATATAATTATAATTAAATATAATGGTGACAAAATAATATAATTGTAATCAGAACTAATTTTTTATTGTTCCCAATTTATTGAGGTTATTTATGAACTACTCTTTGTTGTGGAAAATGTTACATTTTGTTAAATCAACAACACAAGCATTTTTCGTCCATTTGATAATTTATAATTATAATAATATGAGCAATAGATTAGTAGCTATTGGGTAAAACTCTTTGATTCCAATTAAAGCAACTGGAAAATTGGGCGATGAGTTTTTTGATAGACCAGAATATGAGCCAAATTAAATGGAGTTACTCAAAAAGAAGGAGAGGCACCAAGAATTGAGAGATAAGGGATATTTAGTTAAAGATAAAGTGAATGAAGATGTTCCTGATGATATACCATTTTATGAGATTTTTGATCCTCCAAATGAAAACTACAGAAAGATCTTTTACCCACAAGATCTAAAATCATAAGTAGCTTACTATTATCATTCTCCCCATTTTGAGAATAACGAACAATTTTTGGTTGATTAGGAAGATATAGAGTAAGCAGAATAGGCAATTAAGTTCTAAGAAGAAGCGAATAGAAGAAAAGAGTCAAAGCTGCAAAGATTGAATCAACAATTTAAAAAATAGAAAGAATTAGAAGCAGAAATTGAAAGGAGATAGAGACAAGATCAAGCTATTGAGAATGTAAAGAGGGAGAGAATTTTAAGTAAGCAACCAATTTCATCACCTTCAAAAAATCAGCCTTAGAAGGTCAGTCCTCATTTACCATTTAAAAATTATGGTTTGGCAATAGTAGGACCAAAGGGCAAGATGTCAATGTAAAAGGATAATAAAATTAACAAACCCAATAAGATCGTTTAAAAACAGCAGTAAAAAACAGAGGAAGATAATGAAAATTAAAAGAAAAAAACTGTAACGTTTGCTGAAGAAGACGAGGTGAAATACATACCTAAAAATTGGAAATCTTAATCTGAGGAGTTTAGGGAATAAATCAAGCAAAATAAAAAAGGCAAGAAGTTAAAATGATTCTAGAAGTACTATTATTTTATTTATATTGTTATTGATCTATATATAATGTCTGAGAGTGAAAATTTCAAATTGAGAAGAGAAATTATACAGCTCAAAAAATAGATTGAATAATTAAGAGAGGATGGTCGTTAAAAGGATTAAAGGATAGCATTCTTGGAAGCGGAATAAGAGTTTCATTAGGGCAGATATGAAGAATAGAAAGCAAAATATAATGATTGCTTTACTAGAATGAGAGATTTAGAAAAGATGGTTAATAGGGATGATGCATATACCAAAGAGACCTTGAAGAATCAATTAGATAAAGTGAAGGATGATTTAGATAGAGAGAAGGCTGCTGTTCAATAATATATTGATTAATTGGAGAAGGTGAAACTTGAAAATGGTAATCTGATGTGGTAATTGACCTAATTGTCATTGAAATACAAAGATGAGAATATCGTAAAGGATGAATTCCATTACAGAGATGAAGTTTAGGATAACAGAGAAAAGTTGAAGAATTTAGTGGAGAAAACAAATTCTTTGAATTAGGCTATTGAGAGATTGAGTGCTGAAAACAGAGTATTGAGGAAAATGGCAGGAGTTCCCGATGATTATTAATTTGAATTGGATGATGTGATTTAAGAAGGATAATTGTAAGTAGAGAAGTACAGAGCTCAAGTGATTGAATTAGAGAGAGAAGTAGAAGAATTGGAAGAAGAGAGAGCAAGGTTGAGAAGAAAATTGAGAGAATAAGTTGCTGGAGGAGAAGTGAATTTGGAAGAATTTGATACTTAATCAAATAATCAATTGAGAAAGGAGAATTAGGAATTGAGAAGTAAAGTAAAGATGTTAGAGGAAGAAAATGCCCATATTCGTTAAAATTAATAGGATTATGGAGCTATTGGAATGGGCACTTAATAAGGAATTATGAAAGTTACTAATGATTAGATGTAAGAAATGATGTAGAAACAATAACAGGAGCTAAAAGAACAACTTTAAGAGATAGTCAAAACTATGAAAGGGTAAAACCTCTAGGACACTACATAAGTCAAATAATCAATTATATAATAAAGATAAGTTGTTGATACAGCTGGATTGGATAAATTAAGCATTCCTCCTAATCCCATACCTGGAGCATTCGGAAATTATAATGATATTAAAGATGGTTACAGTCAGCGCTTTAATGTTAAATTTCCAGTTGACATGTCTTCAGCATACGGGGATTCAGGCATGGATCAGATGCAATTGAAATACGAGTTAGCATCATTGCAATTATAGAATATAGAGACTTTGAGATTATTGTAATAGAAGGAAGCTGAGTATATGAATTTGTTATAAGAAGTTACTACCATTAAGGAAGATATAAAGGGAAAGTGTTTGTTGGTTTAAGATCAATTATTTGTGAAATATATTGAAGAGAGAGACAAATTTAAGGTGATGTATGGAGAACTCCAAGAGAAATACAAGGCTTAATTGGATTTGAACGCGGAAGCCAGGATTAAATTAGCTCATTATGAAGATTTCATGAGAGACAGAGAGAAGCCAAAGAAAGAATTGGAAGAAAAGTTAGGAGAGATGGCTAAGAAAACTGCTATATTAGATGTCAATTTGATTAAATTATCAAGGAAGTATGATGCATTGACTGAGGAATATAAATAAATGAAGACAAGTTATACAATAGTAGAGAGTGAGAGTATGGCAAAGGAAAAGGAATTGTTAGAGAAAATATATAATTTGATTTCATGGAAGAGATCAGCAGAAGAGCATATGAGAGTTATGATCAAAGAATTAAAGAATTCAGTACCGGCTGATGAATTCAACAATCTTAGATAAAAGTTAGAATACACTTAGGATAAATTGGCTAATGCCTAGTTGAAAGAGGCAGAGTACTAGAAGAGAATAGCAGGTCTTGAGAGTCATGAAAGAGAGGCATTTGAAAAAGGAGAAAGAGTAAGACAATTGGAAGAAGAATTGGTGGAAATTTAATTGGAAGAAGAAGTTATTAAGAAAAGATTGCAGAGTTTTGATTCTGCTTTTGATAAATATGTCAAGATATATCAACATATTGTTGAGTTTATTAAGATTAAAAACATTTCAGTTATTGAAATATTTAAATTATTCGATGAGAATGGAGACAACAAGATTTCAAGAAGTGAATTCATCACAGCTATTAGTAATATTGGAGTTCCAGTATCTAATGAAGATATGGAAGTTGTATTTATGTTTGTAGACTTAGATGGAACAGGTTAAATAGAGTATTAGGAATTTATTAGGAAGCTTAAGAGATCAGGAATCAATCTTAGAAAACCCGAAGATTAATTACTATATCAATTATATAATGCAATTAAGGAATCAGGTTATGATTTGAGATCTGCATTCCAAGCATTTGATACTAATTGTGATAATGTTATATCTAAAGCAGACATGAAAGAAGCATTGATTTAGATGAATATCAAACATGATCAAAAGGCTATTGATTATATCTTCAGAATGGCTGACACCAGTGGAGATAATTAAATCAATTATGAAGAGTTCTATGTATTATTTGATGAAATTGTCAAAAGTGAGTTAATCAATTAAGGAAAATCAATCTAACTAAGCTTAGATATTAAGTTTCAAATTATGTGTAAATTGGATCAATCAATTAAAGATTAGAGATTAACATTATTAGATGTGTTTAACATGATTGATAGAGATGGTGATTAAACAATTACATTAATGGAATTTTAAGCCTTGTTTAGAGAATTAGAGGGAGGAATCTCGCCTGATTTGGTTAGATAATTGTTTGATTAAATGGATTTAGATCGAAATGGTCAAATTAGTTATAATGAAATGTTAAATTATTTGAGAACTGCAAAAACAGAAGAGGAAAAGTATTAAAAGCTACAATTCATCCAATAGAGAACAGAATAACTGAAAAGTATGTAGGAGACAGATGTGACTCTCCAAAAGGCCAAATAAGAAAATTAAGGATAGACATTAGAGGATAGGTTAAAAATGAAAATAAACATTTTGGAAATGAGGGAAAAAAATGCCTAATAAAAGTGTGATGTGTTACTCAATTAATTAACTAGCACAGAATTGACACTTAAGGATACAACTAAAACTTTATTTGAACTCCAAAATCAAATGGAGAGATCTAATGATACCTTCTATAGAGATAGAGAGGAGAAACTGATGTTGTTGGAAAGATTAAAGGGAGCTTTATCAAGAGAAGAAAGTGAAAAATTGACTAAACAGATTGAATAGCAGAGATTAACCATTTCGGATTAAAACAGTGCAATTACAACTTACAGATAATTGTATGATACAGCAGTCATGTAAACTAAGAGTATGAAATTAACTATTGAAAAGATCAAAAATGATTCTGATACCATGTAATAAACAATAAAAGAGTTATAAGCAATATCTGATCAGAATATGATGATTGGTAAATTGTATCACCATCTTATGGTTGCCAGATGGCATGAGGCACAAACTAATCAGAAGTATGAAAAGGTCTTGGATGAATTAAGAAAACTCAAATTACAATCTGAATCATATGATACTACAATTCTTAAGCAATCACAAGAAATTATTTAATAAAATACTATATTCACGGAGCAAATTAGATCGTATGAACAATAAATTACTGAACTCAAATTAAAAATACTGCCAACAGTCACTTTATAAAGAGTTGAAGAATAAGCTAAAAGAGTCAAAGAATTATCGGATATGAAATCAGAAGTTGAAAGATAAAATAGAGATTTGAGAGATAGGTTTTATGAATTGCAACTTAAGGCAGACTACTTCGATAATTACAAAGAGAAGTTAGATAATCTAGAAAGAAGCTTAAGATAGAATAATCCTGATGAATTAAGTTAGTAGATTATAGCTGTGAGTTAAAAGTTATCAGAGGAAAAAATAGAATTGCTTAGAGTCAAAAGGGAAATGCAGGTGAGTGCTGAGAAGCAAGAATATTATTAAAGATTAAATAAACAATACACTGACACAATTAAGAAATTAGAGTATGAATTAGCACATGCCGATTTGGATTTGAGGAAAAGGGAAGAAGATTGGAGGAGAAGATTCTATGAATAAAGAAAAACTATTTTTGCCTAATTAGGACTCATTGAAAAGGATGATATGAAAGAGTATACTTAGAAGAATACGGATGCAAGTAAGATGTTGATTGATGCAATCTAGAAAAAATAGAAAGAATAAATGGAATAATAAAATTAACCAACTGAATAATAGTAAGTAGAAATCACATAATTATAGAAAAAAATCTAAGAATTAGAGGCTTCAGTAAAGAAGAAGAATATTGAAATTGAAGGATATATAGAAAGATAAAAGATTGTTACAAGTGGCACCATAGTATTTCAATAGTAACAATTAGAAGATTACACTAAGACATTATTAGCTTAAGAGGCTGAAAAGGTGTCTGTTGCTGGTTAATAAATGCTTAAGGCAATGCAAGAAATAATATAGGATAAAGATAGAGAATTGGATAGAAAGGAATAATAGTTAGAAGCTTTGAGGTAGGAGACCTTATTACATAAGAAAAAAGATATTGCAGAAATTTAAAGATTAACAGACCTATTACATAGAAGAGATTAGGCATAACAAGAGGCAAACAAAACAGGTAATAGCAATAATTACAATAACTTTTCATATTTGTAATAAAATTAAATGGCTGAATTGCAACCAGTCTTAATAGAAAAATATTAATAATAATTATAAGAAAAAGATAGAAAAATTAAAGATCTTGAATTATCATATGAAGCAGAGAAAACTGCTTTGAAGAAAATGAAAGAGGAATTAATCAAAACTATTGCTATTAAAGAATAATTAGAAATAGAATTAGATAATGAAAAGAAACTGAATGAAAGCATGTAATATGTGTAAAAGATTGAAAAATTATAAAATTTAGTTAATGAAAAAAATAACTAATTGGTTACATTAAAGAAAACTGTAGTTGCTTTAAAGGAAGAATAATTTAAGATAGCTGGAGAATCTATAGACAAAGAGCAGGTTTACAAAACTAAAGAATCTAAATTAAATAATAATTCAACAGAACTTGAAACCAGATTAACCAAAATGGTTAATGATATGAAATTATTAAAGGAGGAAATTAAAGATAAATAGAAAAAGTTAGAATAACTTCAAGAAAAGGAAATTTAACACAGAGCATAAATGACAGATCTACAAAAGAAAAACTCAGAACTTAAGGCTATCATTCAAGCTGGAGGCGGTAAATTAGATGAGTAAGATCAAACTGTTTCCAACATCTAAGCTAAACTACAATAATTTAACTAAGTATAGATGGAAAAACTGCAATTAGAAAGAGAAATCCAATTTTTGAAGTAATAAGGAGGAACAAGAGAACTATTTGATAAAGATGCTACATTAAAGCCACCTACAGGTTTATATTTCAAAACATTCGCAGAGTTATTGGATACTCTCAAATAATATCTAATAACAAAACCTAAATTTGATTTGCTGTTTGAATTTAAGAAATTAGATAAGTAGTTTACATAAGTATTGCCAATGGGGAGGTTCTTTGAAGTATTATCTAATGCTGGAGTAAAGCTGAAAACAAGGTATACTATGCTTCGATATTTTTAGAGATCAAAAATTAGTTATAGACACTATTAAGACAAAAGATGAAAATGCTGATTATTATACTAAATTCTATTATGTTTATAGGGGATGGTCTGATAATGTAGTTTAAACAGATTAAGATGATAGGTAGTAATAATAACAATAGCAATAAATATAACAATAGCAATCACAAAAATTCAGTGTAAAAAGCAAAAAATGAAAAAAGATTTTGATTGAAAATAAAATAAATAATTAATTATTTACTCAATTCATTTCTATAGATAAATTATATTTTTTATATTTACCAGATGAAATTCTTGGTTTAGAAGTATTTGTACTGGATCTCCTTTCAATATTATAAATGTTTTACTGTTTTATATTTTACTAAGGCTTAATTTACATAGTTGGAGGTTGTTTTTATTAGAATTGTTGATGTTACAGGTTTTAATTCTTTTTAATTTACTATTTTTTCATTTAGTTTAAATATTGGATAGTGCTTTAGGCTCTTACATCCATTCCAGTGTGGCATCTGGATTGGTTTGTAACTGTAGTTTTATTTTTTTAGTGGTTATTCGATAGTCTCGCTTTCATCTCTTCCAAGGGTTCAGTAGAACATCGATTAGAATTTCTCTAATAGCTGGATAGAGAGGAGCGATTCAACAACTATTTTTTCTATAGTATTTATGCCACAGTTAATGCCTATTGCTATAAATCCATAGTTTGACTATTAATATTAACATTAAGATTGATATGACTATTATTAACATTAAAGATATTATTGGTCTTGGATGGGTTGCTCTTGCTTTTCTATTTCAACAATATGGCTGCGAGAGTGGTTTTACTAAGTGACTTTTTGGACTCAGTTGGGATGGACTTCTTCACAGAGGAGGTTTTGGTATCTATTTCAAAGGGTCTTTGATTTTTTTTACTTATACTTCCGTTGATAATGACTATTATAATGTGTTGTGCTGTTGGAATTGCTCTTTGCTCTGGAGGCCCCCTTTTATTCGCATTTTTTCTTAACAAAATCTTTGCAATTTATTGTATGCAACTTCCTTTCTAAGTCGTTTAAGATGGTTCTATATGTTTATTATGTAGCTGCATGTTTGGCCTTTTTAGGTTGAGGAGGCTTTAATTTTTATTAATAAGGTTTTGGCTATAATACAACTGCATCGTCTGATAAATGCTCAGATGAACTATTAAAATTAAAATTTAGATCTAATTGATCTTCTGATTTTTCATTTCCTTCTGTTTTTAAACGATGGGGAGATTCGATTGTTTAATATTTTTCAGGTGTTTCTTCAAAAGGCATTCGAGGAAACACATAATCCTATTTTGATTATCTAAATTTGAATTCGATCTCTTCTATCTATTAACATCTATTTGAATATAATGGTTGGCAAACTTGCATAAAGTAATCATCTGTTCTATTCGAAGAATCGCAATTAAATTTATCAGTCATTTGTGAATATATATCATCCATTTCTTATAATTATATTAATAATTATAGTATTGAATAATAATTGATAATTTACAATTAGTTAGCAGCTTCATTTTTTAAGTAACCTATTCCCTTGGACAACTCGCAATTGCAATTCCTTTACTCTGGCAGCTCTATTCAAAATTTGCTTAATTTTCTAATCATCCCCACAATACTATTCCAATTCACTCACTAATTCCTAATTCACTTTCATTAAATTGTCTATATGTGCCTACAATTGCTTTAACTTATTCTTGTAGCAAGTATTGTCATTGATGATCGTTTGGTTATCCATCCTGGTCTTATTAAACTCTTAGTCCGCTTAAGAATACTATTCTTAACGATGAAGTTGGGTTTTCTGCAATTAAGCCTTTTTCTTATTCAAATCATCCTTTTTCTGTTACTCCATGATCAAATATTTCCTTTACTTTGATAAATCAATCTCATTTTATTGTAATTCTTGATTCATACGATTGATCTGTTACTCTGTAGATTTGTTGTTTTATTTCTCCTGTTGAAATTCCTACTCTATTTTTTTAATATGTTCATTTGTATATGCTAATTGTTATTAATACTATAATATTTATGCAAAACCATTACTTTATTTATTTCCTGTTCCTAATCACTTTGCTATAATTGTATCAACTGATCTTGCAATATCTAACAATCTTATTCTATTTTCCTATTCTTTTGCTAAATCTCATTTATCTTCCTGTTCAAGTCTTTGTTCTTTACTTCTGCATTGTAACTTTCCTATTCAAATTGCTCAAGTTTATGTTGCAAATTCTCAATTATTGAAGTTTCCTAAATAACCTAATCCGATAATTTATTCAACTGTTTTCGTGCCTATTAGATTTCAAGTTATCTTTAATCATTAATTTCTTCTAATTCTTTCTGTTATAAAATTTATCTCTCCTAATCCAAATGTCTCTCTTTCAATATTTTTGATAATTGGTTAATTTCTTAGGTCATCATCTAGATTTAACCAATACATTATTCATGTTTCTATTTATGTTCATGTTCTAAAAGTAACTACAAAATAAGGATATAATTAAACTTTTTCCTCATTTGCCATCTTTATCTTGATTTCCCATTTTCCCATTTCTTATTCAAGCTATTCTAATTCCTCTTATTATTTTTGAGCTTCATAAATATCTGCTTTTAGCTAGGCTATGATAATGTCTTTTTGATCAGATTCGTAATAAGAAGATCTATACATTTAATGTTTTGTTAATAAAATTTTATTGTTTAATTAATTTCTTGATTTTAATTAGAAAATTAGGTAATTATTTTTCCCTAGAAATTATAATCACTTGCCTTTTTCATTAAAGATAATCTCTAATAATTTATTAATCAATTATTTATTTAAATTATAAAAGGAAATGAATACAAATAGAACAGATAATGGTTTGTTGCAAGACTGTTATTTTGGTCCTTGTGTTTTGGTTGATTCTACCAATGTGAACAATTATAAAAAAAATTCACCTTCAAGGAATTCAATCTCATCAGATCTTAGTTAAAAAGAAATTGAGTAGTAATCTAATAATATTTCTCGGAATGTTGAAATCCTACCCATAACTCTGCAAGTGTTAAAGGCCAAACAAAATTTTAGAACTAAGGGGAATCCTAATCAGCAATCATAAAGCAATTTCATTAAGGGAAGCAAGAGACAATTACTTGAACCTAAAAATTAAAAATAAGAAGGACCCTCCTTCTTGAAAACCTATATTAAAAATAGCATCATAAATAAATTTAAAAATAACCTATATTAATCGTCGTATGTACTCCCATATTACATGAAATAAATATTAGATAATGAAAACTATCTGTAAGACTAAAAGGAAAAAACCAAATAAAATTCAAACAAACTAGAGAGAAGGTAATACAATTATATTTAAAGTCAGTAACGAAAGCGGTCAAACAAACAAAATGTTGAAATTAAGTCATTTGCTAATGCCTGATAAAAATCTAACAATTTTATGGGATTTCATATCATTATTAGTTTTGTTCCTTAGACTATTTTTTTGCACAATGATTGCATCTTTTGGATAATCGGACAACTTTTTTAAAGGCTGTGAACTTTTCTTTAATATATACATGCTTTTCGAAACTGTATTGACAATTTTTAGGCCTGTAATTCTTTAAGGAGAAATTGTAAGCGAACTTGAATAAATTTGGATTTTGTATTTGAAACAATAAATGTTAGAAGATTTATCGAGTTTTGTTATTTGGTTTATGATTTATTTTGATTTAAATAAAGTGGTAGTTCTTAATGAAATTTTGGCCATTACATAATTTATCATAACTGTTAGATAAATAGCAAGAAAATATAATATTCAAATCGAATAATTGTATTTAAAAGGATTTAATAGTGATTTTTTAGATTTGATTAGTCTGTTCATTATTATATGTTTTTTTGCTCACACTATGGCTTGTTTATGGCATTATATAGGCTACACCACATAGAATCAAGGTTCATGGTTAACATACTATGAAATAATAAATGAAAATGTTTGGTCTAAATATAACCTTTCTTATTATTGGGCTACTGTGACCATGGTTACTGTTGGATATGGAGATATTACACCAAAAAATCAAGCTGAGGTCGCATTTGTATCTATAGTAATGATATTGTCCAGTTGTATGTTTGCTTACTCAATGAACTCTATCGGAGTGATAGTGAAAATTATCTATGATGAAAAAACCAAATTTAAGTATTCATTTATTGAAACATTCCTAGGAGAACTTTAATATTGATGAATCAATATATGTCTAAAAACGAAGTTGATTCTTCGATCCAAAGCAGAGTGAAGAACTATATTAAATTTAGTATTGAAAATGAAGTCTTGGAGAACAAAGAAGAAACAGCTAAAATAATAAATGATTTACCAGTTGGTTTAAGAAAAGAATTAGAATCAGACATCTAATAGAAAGCTATTTAGAAAATAAAGGTCATAACAGATTACTTTTCAATACAAACTTCGAATTAAGTTAAAAACAATTTGTTTCCAGTCAAATTCACTCCTAAGGATATAATATATCACAGAGACGATGCGAAAGAAAAAAATTTGTATATTCAAATAATTATGTAGATATTTCATTTCTGAAGGGGAAGTGTAAATCTTTGAGGAACAAAGTCAAAAAGTAATCAGAAGATTAAAAGCAGGGGATGTTTTTGGAGAGTTCTAATTTTTTACAGGTTAGAATCCAAAAGAATCTACTATAAGTGTAGGATTTACATAATTGTATAAGATAGATAGGGAGAAATTTATAAAGATCATAAAACAAACACAAAAAGATTATGAAAAATTTCATAAAATCAAAGACTCTATTTTATATTCAAAAAATTATAATACTATTCTATCTAAATGCTATATATGCAACAAATATACACATAGAGATATTGAATGCCCTTATTTAACATATCAACCTTCTAAATATCTAAAAATTTTGAAATTTAATAAGTTTGAACATAATGAAAGACAAAAATACACCAGAAATAATAGAAAAAATATCAAAGCATAACTTGATCAATAATAGATTGAAACTATTATAAGAGACTTTCAAGAATTCTTATCAGAGACAAATTTAGGAGAACAAAATGACTAAGTCCTAACATATCAAGTATCAGACACTGTTAGTGGATAAGTTGAATCAATTCCTTTAGAAGAAGTAAAATAGAAAACTTAGAATTCTATTAATAAAAATATTCAACAAAACTATTTACATCAAAGAGAATCATAAGCCCCCAATCTGGACTTAGATAAGAAAAAGTCAGTTGTTTTAATAAAATAAAGGCAATCTTTAACAGAAGAGGAGAGAAGAAAAACTCAAATTTATCGAGAAACTTTAATTTTTAGGCAGTTAGATTAATTCTAAGTGAAATAACAGTTCTATGTGTTAGAAGGATTTGATAAAATGTAGAATTATATAGATTATTTACCACATAACAACGCTAATTTAGTTATCCGAAATGCAAACAAAGAAAAACCAAAGGCTAAATCTATTAAACCTTAGGTCTTTAAATTTTCGAATAGTTTTAGAATTGCAAAAAATATATGACTTTATAATATTTAAATTTTAAATAATCATCATTCCTGAGATTAATAATGATATCAAAAATATGAATACTTATATCCGTAATTTGATGTACAAGAGTGATGGTGATGGTGGTTATGATGGTTATGAACAGGCTGCATTGAAACCCAATGTTATTAAGTAGTATAATGAACTGGCTAGAAGCAAATGGACTATGGTTTTATGGTATTAGAGTTTGTAGTTTCTACTATCCTTTCGACTTAATATTACTTGAATATATAAGAGTATTAGTACCTTTATTGGTTACTCAATGTATTTAGGCTATTCAATAATAGGAACATATACAGGTATAGTAATCTCCTCATTTTGTTAGTGTATTTAGCAAGGTTATATTGTATTATTTACTTATTAAGTTTAATATAATTAGTATGAATTTTATTACTAATTTAATTACAAGAGTCTTAATTATTTTTCTAATTCATTTATTGTGTTATGTAATCGCTTAAATTATTCATTTTTTTTAAGTATTTCTGACTCAATCAGTTAATCCTGCTTGAGTTCAGATTTAAGGTACTTGATCTCTTAGGATAGAAATTCTTATTCGTTTAAAAGCTACTATTGTTTTTATTTTAAGTCATGAATTTCATTTGAATAGTTTTCTACTTAGATTTTGAAGTGATCGTTTTTGGATTAGAGTTACAATACCTCTTTTTTGGTGTCTTTATATTAATACAATTATATGTACCCATATTCTGTCTTTGTGTCTACTGAAATTAGTTTTTCAATTCTCTATTTTTCCTTTATAGATTATTCAAAATAATGTATTATTCTCTGTCTTTTTGTGTTATTTACTACTCTAAGTTTCTAATTTTCTCAATCAATGCTTCATCCAATTGGTTAGTTGTATTTATCATAAAATAATTTAACGTATAATAATTATATGTTAAATATGAGTATGCTAATTTTATTTAAAATCACTTTGAAATAATCTATGTACAGTTTGATAAACTTTGTCTTGATTCCCTTGTAGTATTTTACTCAAATATTCTACCAATTTAGGTATCAAAATTAGGTAATCTATTAACAAGAGGAGAAGAGTCATGACAATCTTCAGTGTCGAATCTTTGCTTATAGAGATCATACAAATTTGAAAATTAATCATAGGCATTCTTTAAATGTATTCTGTCAGAGATTTTCTTTTCCAATAGAGATTTCAAGAGACTCTATAAATAAAATACTCATTTACAATAATATTATTTGAGAATGTATCACACTTATCTGAATCAAAATTTAATTAGCATATTCTGTTGTTGTGCACTAACTATTCAACTGTATCCCCTTTAAATGGTAATTCATGAAATAACCTAAACTTTGATATGCTATAATTACAATTAGTAAAGCAGACACCCACTGCTAAAGACATCACAACTAAACGAGTAATATGTGCATTGAGAATTCAATACTTCAGGTGCAGCATATCCAGGAGTTCCACATTTATATAAAAGATATCTGTTAATATTGGTGAAGGTTGCAAATCCAAAATCAATAATTGTGAGAGAGTTGAAATCATCTTCTTCTGCTAAAACCAAGTTTTAAGGTTTAATATCTCTATGGATGATCTACATTCAGATATCAAATTACTTCCAATTCAGATAGTTTGATCAAAGCTTCAAATAGACGTTTCATTATTGAAAATATTTGAAACAAGGAGAAGGTTTTATTCATCTTTTTATTATTTTCCAGATAATGAGACAATGAATACCCTTCCAGATAATTCATGATTATTAAATATTATTAATCATCCTGATAGACATCTTAAATCTGAACAAAATAGTCAAATCCTTTGACTTTGTTCATCACAGCTATCTCTTACTCTATGATTGACTAAAGTTTAGATATTCTATTTACATAATTTAAAGGAGTTAAATCCTTTTTATTAATATATTTAACAGCTAATTCATTTCCAGTAGATTTACATTGAATTTTTTTTACATTTCCCGATGACCCTCTGCTTATATCACATTTTACAGTATATAATTCATAAAAATTTCCAAAACTACATCTGCAGCTAAGCGAATTCTTTAGTCTAACAGTCATTTTATAATCAAATATACTTTATGAGTTAGTCAGGGTCTTTACTAATGAAAGTCTTAAATTTTTTCTTTATTTTTATCGTAAACCCGATGAATTTGGGCTGTTTGTTCTCAAATTTAATAATCCATTTTATCAGAGTCATGATTCTGACTAAGACCTGAAATCTAAATATCTAAACACCTTATTTTAGCTTTTTTAATAAGCATGATCATAATACCTTATACATCAAAATTTTATCTCCTGTATATTTTAATTCATAAGGATGATTAAAAAATATATTCTTGCTGTAAACTTGCAAACTGAGAATTGCTTAGTTATCCATTTTTATTAAATAAAAATTTCTTATCTTAATAATATATATGTATATTTCTAATAATAGTTTTGTTATTTTAACACAGTCAATCAGAACTCTATTTCTTAATCGGTCAGTAACTATAATCGCAGATTAAAATACATATAAATTGAAACTACTTTACTTTTACAAATATTATTCAAAATATTGCTAACTTAAACAAAAATGTAAATTAATATTATAATTTCTTTTTTTACCTCATCTTATCTAACTTATTGTCGCGCTTTTGCATTTTCTTATTAGAATACTACTTTAGATTTTAGTTTAATTTCTCAATCATCCCTTTATTCTTTTATCATATATCTTGTTTGTATTCAGATAGAATTCTCTTTATGATAAAAGTTAGGTAAGTCTATTGTAGTGAGTTCTTGGTTATGTAAATTTATTATTTGATTATAAATATCAGACAATCCTTATCTGATTCTCATTCAAAGGGAATAAATTTTAGTTAATAATAGTTATATATTAAAATCTTTAAGATATATTTATATTATGATCTGTAATTATAGTTCCATTGTTCTTGATGCAGTATCATCACTCTATCATAACGTGTAAATAAAATACAACAATTATTAGAATCGTCATTAATTAAAATCTACATATGACATTTTTGATTTCTTAGATTCAATATGATTAAAATGATCATTTTTAATAATCTTTATAAGTTATTTATAGTAAAAAATAATAAAAGATATCTAACACTCTTTATCAAGTTAGGAAAAATAACATAAATAAAAGAAATCATCAATTGATGGACATTCATTTTAAATTTAATTTTAGATTGAATCTAACCTTTTTTTTCAATACTTCCTTATTTTTGACTGAACCTTGATTTTGGCAATATCTTAGGTCATGCTTTAGTATTGATTTTTTTGTATAAGTATCATCACAGTGAATTGATTCATCTGATTCTGAGGAAGAAATATTATCATTTGGAATGCAATCTTATAAGAATTGATGAGACTGCTGTATTGATTCAACTCCATCCACATCTCCATTAACTTCCTTAATTTCTTAATTGTCGCCTTCAAATTTGAATGGTTCATGGATATAAGTAACAGAGGCATCTTCTTTGAAATTTTCATCTTGTTATTGGCATTTCTCTTTGTTTAATATATTCGAAGATGAGCTGCTTTTCTTTTACGAGATATTTGATGAAGTAAATTAATTGAGATTGGTTAGCTCGTACGATTTATCATTGTATTGCCTGCAACAATTCGCACCCATCGGTATTTTAATTTATATATAATAAATCAATAATATAGATAAGCATCTTGTATCAGATTCAACACAAGATGCATTCAATTAGCAAATATTATTTTGTTAATTAAACAACACCTTTTCAATTGCGAAATTTTAATAAATTCTTTAGAGTTGTTCTATTCATTGCTTAAGTTATCAAAATCTTGCCTCTTTCTGAGCTTATTTCTCCCTTATTTTAATCACTATTCTGTCAATATGTAAGAGTTTGTCTAATTGAACCTTTTGTTCCTGTTATATTTTCTTTTCTTTTCGTTTCAAATCAACTCCTTGCATCTAAAATTTTTAATAACGCATCCTTAAATCTTAGAAATTTATTTAACCATTGATTAATACTCATTCTGATAATTATAGAAAACTCAAAAAAAATTTCAAACACATTTTTATATCTTTTTTTTATTAAACAAAAACTAATTGTGTTAACTTAATTAAATATTACTAATATTGTTCAATTTCAGCATAACTTTTCTCATTTTTGATGTAAGGCATCATAAATAGTGATATTATTCAAATAAATTAGGTTTAAAATGTCAAGAATTTAAAATTTCAATAACTATATATATAGTACATGTGGTATATATTTTATAAATATCTATTAGAAGACAAGGCAAGATCACATTTTTAATTAAAATTGAACAACTTATATGATTTCCTTATAATATAAGACATTTCTGTTAAATTAATTCTAATTTACATTAGAACTAAATTTTCAATATTATACGAAGTATTTTAGAGATTCAAGACAAAAGATAAGATCATCAGATTTGATCATGCTTGATATACAATAGCTAGACCAAGGATTAAGTATATTATCATGCCTTTTGAATTTATGAGTGTTAAACCCGTTTTTCCGAAATGTTATTCATTGAATTTTGTCTATAATAACCAGATCTTTATTTATTGCAATTCCAATAAGTGATGAATCTAGCTGAACAAGTTCTTAAAGAAAAAATGCAAGATGAGAAGAAAACATAAAAGATTTTACTATATTCATTGGTTAGTTCTAAGTAATTATAAAGAATAACTAAATTAGTATTAATAAATATTAATTGTAATTATTATAATGGTAATTATTAAATATATAGTTTTTTTAGTAATAATACTAATTTTAAACATTCCTGCTTACAATAATTTATAGATATCATATATATAATTAAACATAAAAATATGAGTAATTATTGAAGATTAAAAGAGATCTTTATTCTAATTCAATTAATCTAATTATATTATTTATTCGGTTCAGTCTAATACATTATTAAATAATCTAATAAACTTTAATATTAATGACAATATAATTGGAAAATTAATATAATATATCACAGTAATTTTTGATAAAATCAGTTTTTTTGTTGCATTTTTAATAGATTTTAAGCAATAATTTATCTAATAATCCATTCTATGACTAAAAATTTACAATTATATCGGCATTTTGAGGGTAATTATTATTCAATTGGCAATTAATTGTATTTTGTTGAATTTAGTAACAATTTCGCATAATTCTCAATTGGAATGACTAAATCTATTGGTATTATGAAGAAATAGAAGAAAAGGCAATGAGAACATTGAATTTGCGTAATTTGTAGTGGATTGATAAAATTTATATGAATGGATATAGAATAAAGGCGGAAAGAATTGATTTTGGACTTCAGAAGATGTTTTAGTTATTATTTTTGAGTGTTATAAGAGGAATATTCGATTTAATCTGAAATAAACTTTATTAAAATACGCTTTATTAAGGAAATAAACCGAAAACTCATTTTTTAAAGCCAAAACATAAAATGATTCAATATTATATTTATAGCAATGTAAAATCCAAATTTCATGCCCATTCTCATTTACACCTAACCTACCGGATATCCCCAATATTATCCCATGTACTACATGCCAATAATGCCAAACTATATGATACCTTAATGTTAAAGCTCTTAAGAACCTGAAATGAATCATATAATCTCAAAAACCAGTGACCAAAGTTCATTTTCTAACTAAATCTTTGATCCAAACAACCAAATAAACTTTTAATCAATAAAACAAAATAATAATGAAATTGGAGTTGAAAATATTGAAGAAATTTAAACTAATACAGAATCAAATAAACCGAAATAAAAATCTGGAAAAAAGAAGATTAACCTCTTACAGAAATCTACTAATATATAGAAAAACTATGCAAAAGCAATCGTCTCTTATGCTTGCGGACAGAGAGTTCTCATCATAAACACTTTAGGAAAAAAGAAAGGAATTGAATTCTTAAAAATAATTAATCAACTTAAAAACAAGTTAAAAAATATAAACCACATAAAGAACTATACCTAAAAGGAATCCTTTTTGAGCATGTTCAGGATATTAGGGTATATTTTCAAAATTAATATTTTTAGGAATAAATTCTTGAAAAATGAAGCCGTTAGTTACATCTATCACTCCAATATCCAACAGAAGAGTTGTCATCTTAAACACCTAAAAATGATTGAGCAAAACTTATTGAAGTGCTGATCGAGTTATATGATATATATTTATTGTTTTTATTTGATAGTAATTAATATCAAATACAATAATCTCATTAAATTATATAACACAAATATAATTGCATAAACAAAGCAAGTGAATTGTACTTCACATTCAAAATCATAATTATTGGAGACTTCTAAAACAGATGAGAGAAAATATTAATAGGCAGTAAGAATAAATGAAGAACCTCTTGAATTCAAATAAAAAAATAATGTTTATCAAAATGAATTTTGATTTCCCTTTGGCCTTGCATTTTATTTGTTTAATCAGATGATATTCTAAATTTTAGCAAACATTAAGGGAAAATTAGTAAAATAAAATTAAACATGTTACCTGATAATTGAATAATTTCTCAAAAAGTAATTAATTGGGAAAGGTAATGATTATTAAAAGGGAAGAAGTTACTAAAGATGGCGGATCTTTAGATGTTCAGTCACACTAATAACGATTTCGAAATATAATAAATGAGTACTATTATTTTACAATATTTAAAAAAATACTTAGAATATATATTATTTTTAAAATAAACTAATCAATTTTATCCTTTAAAACTTGCTCTTTTAGTATTTTCTTGAATAATACCCCTCCCATATGTATAAATAATTTGTAACTATAAATATGTAACCTAAGGGTTTCCTTAAAAAAATAAATCTAAATTTCAGAGGATTTTACCTTCCTAAATGAACATCTGTTAGGATTAACAATTTTATTAATGTTCTTAGCATCATGAATAATGTTTTCTTTTAATGATTATCACCCAAAATAATATAATATAACTCATATTTAGTTCTCATTCGCATTGGTTATCATTCAGGTTTGTTAGAAGGTAACTGTCCTTTTGAGTACAAAGAGCTTTCAGGTACTCGGCAGGAAAGGGTTATATAAATATTCTTAAAGAGCATTTTCTATATTGTACTAATTGAACTAAATTCGATTGTAATAAGTCCACATAATTAATTTTGCATGTTAAATCAGAATTAAAATAGAAATTGATCAGAGATAGTTCCTTTTGTTAAAGGGAGCTAACTTATTAATGGGAGAGACACTTTTATTAAGAAATAAAGAAGAACTTAAAATAATAAGTGTGAATGAATTTGAAATGAAAGGCATAAGGTATTATTAATAATTATAAAATAAAAAAAAGATTTATTTTTGAGAACGAATCTTTTGCATTGGTTAGATAAATTATATAAAGTATCTAAATTAAATGCGTATTATTATAAATGATCTAGTTAAATCAACTTTTAAAATAAAAAATGTATATAAGTCTCAGTTATAAAACAAGATATTTTGCTTGAATAAATAATATTTCAAAAATGCAATTGATATTCCTATTCTTCTTGATTGAAGTCTCTTTTAGTTGGAACCCCATTTTATCATCAAGAATAATAGAATCAATTGATAATGAAAATATTATAATCGAAGAGGATTATTAAATTATTGCTGAGGGGAGCTTTACTATCTCTTATAAAGGTTTGTAAAGTTATAGAGAATTATACTTAATGTTTGATGCTAAAACTAATAATACTGAGAGTGAAATATTGATATTAGTAAATGGAGTTAGAAGAAATATAATTAAGGTACAAGGAGAGTACAAAGAATTTCAAATAAGATTTTAACATTAAGCTTCTGATGTAGTGATCTAGATGAGAATTGATGAATAAACCAAAGTAGAAATAAGAAACTTTAATATGTTTGTTTAAGAATGTCCAAAAGATTGTAAATATTGCCTATCAGGTTCATGTGATCTTTCGTTATATGAGGATTGTGACTAATTAAGATATAAGGGCACTTGTGTTGAAGAATGCCCAGAGGGGACTGTGGCTGAGTTCAACTAATGTGTATAAGTAGGTATTATATTATCTCAATATTTTAGGTTTGAAAGAGATTGAATAAGTGAAATCCTTTTTGCAAGAGGAACTTTCAACAATCTAGAAGTTTGGAGAATAGAAATTGCTCAAATTCAATTTCGATAATGATTTTAATGGTTAATTGGAAATAGTGTTTAATTGTTATAGTAAATCAAAGAGAAATGATGATCAATTAATAAAGGTCGATTTTAGAAAGGGTTAAACACAAGTTATGTACCCATTTTTAAATTCTTATGTTAATTTACAGTCTTACAAAGAGTGTAAACCTCAATACGAATTAGAGTGTGTGTAAGTGAAAGGTTTATTTGATGTTGAATTTAAAAAATAAGATTAAATTCTTATTGATAGTTATTCAAAGAGATTGGAGTAAATTGGCTATTGGGAAGTAGAAAGCTTTAAGATTTACAATAAAAGCAAGAGGTTGTATGATTGTAACATTGAGAATTGCTCTTAATGTTCTTACAACAACATATGTTAACAATGTCAAGATCATTTCCATTTATTTTAAGGCCTATGCATTAAGAAGTGTCCCTTCTACACAATACAAGAGAACAATAGATGTATCAATCTTCATGAGAACCAACCAGGTAATAAGATTAAATATACATTAGATCTTAAATTTTTGGTGAAGTTAGAATCGCCCTTTTAGGATCTCCCTTAAATTTTTGGTTAAATTACTTTTGATTTGAAAGAGCAAATTAGTTTTAGATATGAGAATCAAACAACTTTTATTGGAGGAGGATTATTGGACAGATGGCGACGCACTACATTTTCAAAATAGCTAAATTTGGGAAGACATTATGCAATTAGAATCATGTTTAATATATCCTTAGAAAATTCAACTTCAGATTAGGATAGTTTTATTTTTTCAATCGATGGAAAAACATTCAAGGTTTTGAATAATCAAACCTATGTTGACCAAACACTCAACCATAATAAAAACATTCTAAATTTAAATTTAGGATGCAAAATCTCGAGTAATGGTAGATGTGTAGTTTCCAATTACTATTTTATGACAATGAAAGTATTAGTTTTCGTAAATATTTCTTTAGTGCTCTCCACTTTGTTAAAGTTGTACAGGTCCATCTTAATCTGATTGCAAAATATTTGAGCCCAATATTGATAAATTTGATTATAAGAATTTTAAGTGTTAGGATGGTTATTACTTAAGTGAATACGGTTGCAAGCGCTGTTCATAAGGATGTTAACTATGCGATTCTTAAAATAAATGTCTCAAATGCCAAGACACAAAAGAGGCAGAGTTTATTTGTAAGCCCTACCTTTGAAAAGGCCTTCTTGATTTAATTATTGTTTATTTGAGTTATATGAAATTAATATTTTACATTAAAATATTTTGATGTTAATCAGTAATAACTTAAGATATGACTACTGATCTTGAGTTACATCTAACATTCAATTAATTTGATAAGTATGTTAAGCAGAATCCTAATAATAATTTGAAAAAATTAATGATTTTGCTTTGGCTCTCTCTTTACAGAAACCTAATTTTTGATTAATTGAGTGATTGATTCAATTCCCTATTTATCAGGTAGTCTTAATAATAATTTATTTGAAGCATTATGCAAAATCTATTATCTACACATCATATTTTATAATTAATCATAAATTCAAGATACTTAATTTAGTAATAAATAATTACCAAAATCTTTAAGTCAGCTTTAACTAATCTATTAATCTAATTATTCATAACATTTTCTAAATTGGAAATACATTATTTGAAACTTATTTGTTAGTGAAAACCTCTTAGATAATTTTGAAAAAGGTAATAATAGTGAAAAATAACTAAAGTAATATCATAATCATAATCAATAGTGTCGTTGATATTTCTAAATTTAAGAGTTGTAAATTTTGTTTACAGATATTATAGTTTGTTTGCGTANATAGATGTATCAATCTTCATGAGAACCAACCAGGTAATAAGATTAAATATACATTAGATCTTAAATTTTTGGTGAAGTTAGAATCGCCCTTTTAGGATCTCCCTTAAATTTTTGGTTAAATTACTTTTGATTTGAAAGAGCAAATTAGTTTTAGATATGAGAATCAAACAACTTTTATTGGAGGAGGATTATTGGACAGATGGCGACGCACTACATTTTCAAAATAGCTAAATTTGGGAAGACATTATGCAATTAGAATCATGTTTAATATATCCTTAGAAAATTCAACTTCAGATTAGGATAGTTTTATTTTTTCAATCGATGGAAAAACATTCAAGGTTTTGAATAATCAAACCTATGTTGACCAAACACTCAACCATAATAAAAACATTCTAAATTTAAATTTAGGATGCAAAATCTCGAGTAATGGTAGATGTGTAGTTTCCAATTACTATTTTATGACAATGAAAGTATTAGTTTTCGTAAATATTTCTTTAGTGCTCTCCACTTTGTTAAAGTTGTACAGGTCCATCTTAATCTGATTGCAAAATATTTGAGCCCAATATTGATAAATTTGATTATAAGAATTTTAAGTGTTAGGATGGTTATTACTTAAGTGAATACGGTTGCAAGCGCTGTTCATAAGGATGTTAACTATGCGATTCTTAAAATAAATGTCTCAAATGCCAAGACACAAAAGAGGCAGAGTTTATTTGTAAGCCCTACCTTTGAAAAGGCCTTCTTGATTTAATTATTGTTTATTTGAGTTATATGAAATTAATATTTTACATTAAAATATTTTGATGTTAATCAGTAATAACTTAAGATATGACTACTGATCTTGAGTTACATCTAACATTCAATTAATTTGATAAGTATGTTAAGCAGAATCCTAATAATAATTTGAAAAAATTAATGATTTTGCTTTGGCTCTCTCTTTACAGAAACCTAATTTTTGATTAATTGAGTGATTGATTCAATTCCCTATTTATCAGGTAGTCTTAATAATAATTTATTTGAAGCATTATGCAAAATCTATTATCTACACATCATATTTTATAATTAATCATAAATTCAAGATACTTAATTTAGTAATAAATAATTACCAAAATCTTTAAGTCAGCTTTAACTAATCTATTAATCTAATTATTCATAACATTTTCTAAATTGGAAATACATTATTTGAAACTTATTTGTTAGTGAAAACCTCTTAGATAATTTTGAAAAAGGTAATAATAGTGAAAAATAACTAAAGTAATATCATAATCATAATCAATAGTGTCGTTGATATTTCTAAATTTAAGAGTTGTAAATTTTGTTTACAGATATTATAGTTTGTTTGCGTATATTTAATAACATTAATTCATTTTACTATGCAATAAAGAAGATTAAATATACTCAAATACTCATTCTTTCATCTTACTCAACATTTATTGTCAATTTTATTTAATATATCAACAAAAGATTTTCAAACAGATCGTTGAGAATATAAATTGATAAATCCCCAAAACTTTATATGATAATGATAGTTTTAACTCAGATTCCCTTTTTTAATGTGAAAATTATTTTAGTCATTTAGATGTTATAAACAGATTTAATAAAAAATAATAATTGTTTCTGTAAGATTAATATTCAATTATACAAACTTGCATTCCATCTTGTTAATATTCATAAGCCTGATCTAACATAAACGAAGGCATGCAACCAAGCAAGAATTCAAGGTAATTCGATTACAAAATCAAGTAATTCAAATTGTAATATTTGAAATTGATAATTGACGGTTCTGCATAATTAGTGAAATGGTTAATTTTTTAAAACATACATCTTAAGATCAATGGTTGGTGAATCAAAAGAAATCATCTTGATTACATGGATCAAATAAACAAATAAACAAATGAACAATAATGATTATGTTAATCCAATTATAAAAAATTATAATAAATCCCAAGAAATTATAATAAGATTTTTTCTGTAAATATTTGAGTATGTAGAATATAAGGTTGGCACTCTTTAGAATCATATCAATCTCTTTTATTAACAATTATAACAATTTTACGATGCTTGCTTTTCTTGTTTGGGCAATTGAGTGTTTCTGATAATTCACGATTGGACAACATTGGAGTGAGAGGATTAGAACTGAAACTTAGTTCATACTTACTAAAAGGGATCATTTTAGATTCTAATTTAGTATATACATTAATTTGTTATCACTATTAAGTTAAAAATTGAAAATAAAAAGGTATTCAAACAGAATTTAGAATATTTATATTTTTTAGCAAAATCTAGTAAATAAATTTCTTTTATATAATGATTATCACGATTTCAAAAACTATTTGTTTGGAATTAGATGAGATCGACCAAAATTTATACTTAATAAATTTAGTGAATGAGATTTGCTTTGATAAATTCTGATTCAGAAATTTAAAATTTTGGAGTATAATATTTTATTTGAAAGGCCTTTGCTTTGGTATACTTCGGTTTGAATCAAATGTTTGAAGTTATTTGATAAATTAATGGAGATTGAAAATTTCCTGTTGTAGATCTGAAATTTTAAGGCAAAGTAAGTGAATAAATATAAAAAATTTAAATATAATTTTAGTAAAGAATTTTGGAGGGGTGAGATTTGGCTCGAACTCTAGAGGGCTAATTATTGAAATGAATCGATTCTGATATAAAATTATTATATTCATATCAGAATTTATCAAACATTTTATGTATATCTCTGGATTTATGTAATATGGAAATATTTATATAAATAACATAATGAAATGGATGTAATTGCTTGTCCTGAGAATGCTTATGTAGATTGTATAATGTGGTAAAGATATTGAGTATCCATTAAGGTTGGGAATTATTTAAATCCGAACTAATGGATAGTTCGACCTTTGCCCTTTGGAAAAACTCCAACAACTCGCCAGGTTCAAATTTACTTTAAGTTTGCGACCTACAGCCCACTCTGAACTCTAAATTAATGCAAGGGGATACACTTTTGAGCAGAAATATTGTCATGCCAACGACTCGAGCATTCAGCAAAATTAAGATAAGTTTCGATATCTACTACTTAAATATCTGGAGCGTAGCAGAATCTATCACAGTCTATGCCAACAGTCTGTTGGTTTATTATGGGAAGCCAAGTCCCTTAGGAAACTAAGATTACCCAATAAGATTCTGTGTTTCAAGGCCTTTTGGAAAATCTTACGCTGAATAATTGTCGCGTATAGATTAGGAAATATCATTTAACGATCCAAATTTAAATATTGAAATAATGCATGATAGGGCTTCAACAGGAACGACCAGTGAATACGGAATAAACAATTTCATTTTGCAAGTCTACTTTTGCCCAGATAGATGTGGGGAATGTGATTAAGAGGAATGTTTAGTTTGTCAAATTGGATTTACTTTGGTGAAAGGTGAGTGTTTATGCAATCCCATTCTATAATATTCCTACTTTAACCCTGATTTGACATGTGTTGATGAATGTCCTGCCAATTACGCATCTGATGAGAATAGAATTTGCTAACCGTCTGTTGTTAGTGTAATTTACTCTGATCTTTAAGAAGATACATTTAGTTCTTATAAATTTAAATTTGTTGCTGATAAATATTACAGTTTAAACTAGATCATGATTAATACAATTGGGACGAAATCCATTGCAGGAATGTTTTCAAACACAGACTCAATAATATTTGATGACGTCAATTTGTAACCAAATTTTAAATACATCATCAAATTTAAACTTTATATTACTGGTAAAATGTCAAAGTTGTTTCCTGAAACTATTTAAATTCTATTTAACAAATATGTTGTGGCTTAAATATTGGATTTAAACTAAATTTTATTAACATCCTCAATTAAAGCCTCATCAACTGTAAGTTTAGCTTAATCCTGTACTATTCCCAACTATTCTAAGTGTGCATCATATGAAATAGTTATGCAAGTAGAATTGACTGAATTAGTAACAGAAATAATGTTCTAAACTAAATTTTAATTAAGCACTCCTCAAAGGACCTGGGGAATTAGAGATTTGGAAATTTCTTAATATCAATTAACTTCAATTTACTCTTAATGTTCAAACAATTGTTAGACTTGTAATCAATTGCAACCAAATGTATGTTTATCTTGTGCTGGAAGCTTAAAGCTATTTAATGGTAGTTGTGTGTCTCAATGTCCAAATTACACCACTACTAATGCAAACTCTTGTGATGATCCATAACTTACTTAAGTTAACGAGATGTATTTAATAAACATGTTTCATGATATGAACTATTATAATAAAGATACCTTTGGAATGTCTACTTAGATTTCTTCATCATATTTTATGAATCGCTTGATATTAGGTGGATTCAATAAGTGGAATAATGAATAAATTAATTTAATACTTGGTAATGACAAATCAATGTATAAGGTGAAGGTTTAGTTTATGTTGTTGTTTATTGATTCAACTAATAACTAAATTTAATTCCGTACTAGCATCAACAATGAATTACCACAATATAGTATTTTTGGAAGTAGTATTTCAGTGGGAAATCAAGTTGGTTAAACTTATGCCGAAACTATTTAGAGTGTTTCTTATGTGAAATCATTTGAATCTACAAATGAATTGAAAATTTAATTGCAGTGCATCTAAGGAATAGACTCTGAAGCATATTGTGGTATCTATGATTTTAGAATTGTTGTATCTACTTGCTAGGATAACTGCTTAAAATGTGATGAAAATGGAAATTGTATTACTGAAATGGATACGATTAGTACAGACATCAATGGATGCAAGGATGGATATTATTAAAAAGGAAATAAATGTTTATAATGTATTTTTGGATGCTCAAAATGCAGCGAGGAAAGTATCTGTTAAGCATGCTAACCTGGCTATGAATGGAGATTTAATAATTGTTTTTGTAGCTCAGTTAAAGAGAGGCTCTCTTATTGTGAATAGACCAATTGCTTTCATAATTGTTAAACTTGTTCGAACACTAACGAAAGTTATGGAATTTGGAAGTAAAATCATCCCAAGAATTGTTTGTCTTGTGATGAATCAAAAAACCTATGGCTTAATGTGAATCAATGTAGTTGCTTGGATGGATATTATATGGAGGATTTCAGCTGTTATATGTGTTTACCAACCTGTTTAAAATGCTCATAATAAGCTAGAGTCTGTACTGCTTGTCATCCTGGATAGAATAGAGTGTTAGAAAAGGAGTAGTGTCGTTGTTAAAATGGGTATTTTCAAGAAGACAACGACTTAATTTGTAGTAAATGCAATGACTTATGTTAAAGTTGTAATTTCACAAAGGATTAATGTAATTCATGTTACTCTAGTCAGAATAGGAGATTGAACATTGATACATGTATTTGTATGGATGGATATTATGAAAGTGGAGATTTAATTTGCAAAAGTATGAGTTCATTATTTAACATTAGAATGTCCTCCAAAATGTAAAACTTGTTTAAATGAGACTATTTGTATAACTTGTAATGAGGATTAATTCAGAATACTAAGTATAGATAATGTTTCTTGCACTTGTTAATCTGGATATTTTGATTAAAGTTCCTAAAATACATGTGGAAGTAATCATTAAATTTGATTATTTAGAATGTCACTCAAGTTGTTTAGAATGTAAACAGAATGACAACTATGAATCATGTACAAGATGTCCAAGTACAAGAGAACCTAAATATGAAAGTGGCGGTAGTGTTTCCTTATTTGAATGCAAATGCAGAAGAGGATATTATGAAGTCAATTAGTAAGAGTGTGCTAGTTGTGCTGATTATTTGAATCCACCTACTAGTCATTATTGCTATTCTCATTGTGGTGATGGTATCATATAATGGAATGAGGATTGCGATGATGGTAATAACATTGGTAGAGATTCTTGTTTTAAATGCTTACATGGTAATTCATTTTGCTTTGATTACACTTGCACTGGTTGTTCAGCAGGATAATGCACTGGATGCATAGATGGATTTTATTTAACTCAAGAGTTCATATGTTTGCCTTGCAATTCAAGCTGTAAGACTTGTATTGACACAGCTGATAATTGCACTGATTGTATTATCTACAACGAAGATCAATCTGGATGTGTGATTTGTGATCAGAATTTGGGATACCACATTGTAGATTCTCAATGTGTTCCCATTTGCGGAGATGCTATTAAGGTTGAATAAGAAGAATGTGATGATGGCAATTTAATTATTGGAGATGGATGTGATGAAATGTGTAAGATTGAATCTGGGTATTAATGTGGATCTCTTTGCTAATTGAGTGTCCATCCAAGTATTATATTCGAAGTCAACAAATCAGATAAATCATTTGATGAAGAAAGAGTTATTAGAATTAAAACCGATTCTCTAGTGTCTATCACTAGCAGCATTAATTCTATATTTTCATTCAAAGTAAATAATTGTGATGACTATTCCATTTCTTATGTTGATTTAACTCAATACTCAGATAAATTCACTTACCTAATCCTAGAATTGACCTTGATATTTAAATCCTCAGTGCCTGACCCTGAACTGGTTTGTTAGATCATTCATTAGACAGCTGTATTTAATTAAGAGGGTAATACATTTGCTGAAAAGAATTACATGATAAAATTAAAGGAATATAAAAAACCTTTGCTTTCAACTTAGTAGGCTACAGATGGATTGATGAAACTGAGTAAATATATCCTCTACCTACTCTTCGGATTTGCAATATTGGCATTCCTCTTTGGTGGCTTGAATATCTTCTGGAATCTGTTGGATGCATTACAATTAGTTTCCTATCTCCAATTCTTTAATGTTTAGTACCCTTACAATTTAAACAACTATTTCACTATCTTTGGATTTGCCCAATTTGACTTCATTAAAGATTACTTAGATTTGGAAGCATTCATCAGCCAATTTGTGAACACTCCAGATGCAGACCTGAAATTCAGAGAAGAGGGCTATTCAACAGTCTTCTATGTCAACATCATTACAGTCCTTATGGTGTTTTTCACCACTCTCCTCACTTACATAGCATGCACACTTTTGCTATCCACACTGACAAAGTTTTCACACTCCTTTGTTTATGTGCCACTCCACTCCCAAGAACAAAGCATTTGCACCTTATTCATTTACAGAGCAACAAGAAACCTCTAAATTTAGCTTATGCGTTTCAATAAGGCATTTACATCTGGAGTGATAAGAACCTTCATGGCAGTGGCATTTGATTATAATCTCGCCTTGTTTTTACAATTGAAGGATTTCGATCTTGGTGATCCAATCCTTTTCACCAGTTTTCTTTTTTGTTTAATTGCTTTTGCGATTGAAATTGCATTCATCAAAATGGCTATTAATTATATGTCCAAACCAGCATTTGTATTTAAATAAAAAGCTAGCATTGATAATTTTGGAGCTATTTATGAAGGCATTAAATTGGACAAAAATCCATTCACTTATTATTTCAACATCATACTCTTAATCAAGAAAATGCTCTTTATGATGTGTTTAGTTATGTTCTATTCCTCTCCCTGTCTACAAGTAGGATTAGTATCTCTCCTAAACATTGTAATGGCTCTGTATCTCATCAAAATTCAACCACTTGAAGACAAAGATGAATAATTCAAATAAGTAGGCTCTGAGATCTTCATCTGGCTGGCTGAAATGCTTATCTTAGGTTTCGCCATTAATGAATAATCGAACTCGTTAAATGAGGACTCACAACTTTTGATTGGATGGTGCGTAATAGCATTGACATCCTCACTTATCGTATTCCAATTATTCATAGATGTCAAATAGCACATCTAATTTCTAATTAGAGAGTATTCCATCATTAAAAAATTGCTCTATAAACTTAAGTAGATGATTTTCAAAAGGGAACCCCAATAAGAGTAAAACATTTTCCTCAAAAGAAGAAGAAGAATGGGAATTGAAAATTTGACATCCTAATCCAACATCATGACTAGTAAATTGAAAAGCCTTAGTAATTACAAATAAGGAAGAATGGTAACGTTTACCGTCAGCTCAAGTAGTAGCTGATACCAATCTAAATCTTTTCCTGTGTATATTGTTTATATATTTATACATAATTAAATTTATTTTTCATAATCATTCTCACCCAATCCTTAGGGATAAACTTATTAAATATACTATATCATTTATAGGATGATTACATCTTAACTCTTTAAGATTCAACTTTTAATTTCAAAGAAATCTAAATTTCTTTTCAATTCGGCAATTATAATTTCATTTTCCAATTATATTAAAGCAATTTATCTACATTTTATAATTTTAACACATTTATTTATGAGGGATTTAGACATGAGAGATAACTTTCTTAAATCATATAAATTCTTTTATAGATATCATCTAATTAATAACCCTAAGTAAGTTGTTATGGCAATCACAAATATTTATCATATGCTAAATATTAATTATCAATATAGACTATACAATTAAGTCCAAAAGTTTATAATTAGCAAAAAATTGAAAATTTTATTAAAGTCATATTTTTATCACTCCAGAATATGTCAGCAAAAGCGCAGAGTTTCATGTGATTCTCCAAACTTTGAACGGGTGGTCTGGTATAACTAATAATAATGTAAATCTACAAAGCTTGATATTTTAATCTATAATTGCAGTTCTGATTCAATATGCATTTGTACCATTTGATTCACTAGATTACTTTTTAACAAGTTTATGGATATGCCGATGGAAAATAGCTACTATAATATAAATTCAAATGCAACGGTGTATCTGCATTTTATCAAGGATTCTGGTCCCTTTTTATAGGAGGTTGGTTAGCAAGCATAATGGCACATAAAGCTTTGTAAAACTATAGAAAATAATTGATCAAAGTGAAGATAAGAAAAATGAATTAAGTTTATTTTCCTGTATTCTTCCTATCTAAGCAAAGAAGTAATCTCAAACCCATTCAAGATACTAGCAATTTAAAAATTGACTAGCTTCAAGTATAAATTATATAGATAAATCTATAATTAATTGATAAAAGAATAAGGTTATCAATGGATCTTTTGATCTCTAGACACTAAATTGCTTATTGCATTATTGAAGAGCTCATATATTATTTATGTTTTTGATTACAAAAAACTTTCAAGAAAATCATGAGTTAATTATTTGCATTATCATAATTTATATCAACATTTAAAAATAACACAAATCTAATTTTATAATGAATAAAATAGGTAATCAAAATAATTTAGTGTAAAGTATCCCATACATTCCTATTAGTTTTTAATTCAAACTAATAGCCACTTGAATTTAATAACCAATTAAATCATCTCTTTTCAACAACTCAATTAGCTTCACCTGACAAAATAACTTAACATAGTCAAATTAAATGACAGGAATCTTGGTGATCCTTCAATTTGATTAGATCTAATCACCTTTTCACTAGTACCCTAAAAAATCATTGTATAGCTTAAGGAGAATTATAATCTACTTATTATACATACCATCTATTGGAGATATCATTATCCCTCCAATTAATGAATCTTATTATTTGCTTAAGGTCTAAAAAATCAACGAAGAATAATTTGCCTCCGACTATGAAAAATTATGAAACAGTTTAAAATTTATAATATACCCTAAAAAGGTAGATTTACTTAATTTGCAGCATTAATTATGTATATATATATCAAATTAAGGTTGCTATTAAAAGGAGCATTCGAAAACAGAAAAAATGATAAGATATAATCTATTTTAATTTTATTTGTTATAAATTCAATAATTAAAAGCAATCCAACATTTTAATGCGTTCTTAGGTAATCATAATGAATAATATAGTATTAATTCTTATAAAATTGAAGGGTTATTGGTTTTAAATAATTTTGAAAAATTAATTGATTATATAAAATATTTAACTGCAAATGAAGTAATTTATCCAAATATTCTTGCCTTAGTCAAACTCCATCTATGAGATAATTTTAGTAATATGGATAACAAGGATACCCATAATAATCGCAATAATACAGCTCTCCTAAAGCTGCAATCCCGTAAGATTAGTTTATATATAAATTAGATCGTTTCAATAGACAGCACAAAATCAATAATTGCAGACGTAACCAATTGATATATATGAAAGACAACAAAGCAGACAAGGAAATAGAGCAGACGTTCATCATTTTGAGAGACCGCTTTAAGTAGTGCCATAGGAGGATATTGAATAAAAGTGGAAGGAGAAATGCTGTATTAAAATAGTGTTATGAATGATAGTAAGACTCGAGATGCATGTATATGAATTGCAAGTTGAGATTTAAAGATTGAGATTGCAAAATAGTAGTGGCTAGATTACATACATCTAGGATGACACAAGAGTAATTTAGATATTTAGAGAGTTAGATTAATGAGTTAATGTAAGCAAATAAGGAGATAAGGAATTAAGAATAATAGANGTAATCTCAAACCCATTCAAGATACTAGCAATTTAAAAATTGACTAGCTTCAAGTATAAATTATATAGATAAATCTATAATTAATTGATAAAAGAATAAGGTTATCAATGGATCTTTTGATCTCTAGACACTAAATTGCTTATTGCATTATTGAAGAGCTCATATATTATTTATGTTTTTGATTACAAAAAACTTTCAAGAAAATCATGAGTTAATTATTTGCATTATCATAATTTATATCAACATTTAAAAATAACACAAATCTAATTTTATAATGAATAAAATAGGTAATCAAAATAATTTAGTGTAAAGTATCCCATACATTCCTATTAGTTTTTAATTCAAACTAATAGCCACTTGAATTTAATAACCAATTAAATCATCTCTTTTCAACAACTCAATTAGCTTCACCTGACAAAATAACTTAACATAGTCAAATTAAATGACAGGAATCTTGGTGATCCTTCAATTTGATTAGATCTAATCACCTTTTCACTAGTACCCTAAAAAATCATTGTATAGCTTAAGGAGAATTATAATCTACTTATTATACATACCATCTATTGGAGATATCATTATCCCTCCAATTAATGAATCTTATTATTTGCTTAAGGTCTAAAAAATCAACGAAGAATAATTTGCCTCCGACTATGAAAAATTATGAAACAGTTTAAAATTTATAATATACCCTAAAAAGGTAGATTTACTTAATTTGCAGCATTAATTATGTATATATATATCAAATTAAGGTTGCTATTAAAAGGAGCATTCGAAAACAGAAAAAATGATAAGATATAATCTATTTTAATTTTATTTGTTATAAATTCAATAATTAAAAGCAATCCAACATTTTAATGCGTTCTTAGGTAATCATAATGAATAATATAGTATTAATTCTTATAAAATTGAAGGGTTATTGGTTTTAAATAATTTTGAAAAATTAATTGATTATATAAAATATTTAACTGCAAATGAAGTAATTTATCCAAATATTCTTGCCTTAGTCAAACTCCATCTATGAGATAATTTTAGTAATATGGATAACAAGGATACCCATAATAATCGCAATAATACAGCTCTCCTAAAGCTGCAATCCCGTAAGATTAGTTTATATATAAATTAGATCGTTTCAATAGACAGCACAAAATCAATAATTGCAGACGTAACCAATTGATATATATGAAAGACAACAAAGCAGACAAGGAAATAGAGCAGACGTTCATCATTTTGAGAGACCGCTTTAAGTAGTGCCATAGGAGGATATTGAATAAAAGTGGAAGGAGAAATGCTGTATTAAAATAGTGTTATGAATGATAGTAAGACTCGAGATGCATGTATATGAATTGCAAGTTGAGATTTAAAGATTGAGATTGCAAAATAGTAGTGGCTAGATTACATACATCTAGGATGACACAAGAGTAATTTAGATATTTAGAGAGTTAGATTAANATAAATTATATAGATAAATCTATAATTAATTGATAAAAGAATAAGGTTATCAATGGATCTTTTGATCTCTAGACACTAAATTGCTTATTGCATTATTGAAGAGCTCATATATTATTTATGTTTTTGATTACAAAAAACTTTCAAGAAAATCATGAGTTAATTATTTGCATTATCATAATTTATATCAACATTTAAAAATAACACAAATCTAATTTTATAATGAATAAAATAGGTAATCAAAATAATTTAGTGTAAAGTATCCCATACATTCCTATTAGTTTTTAATTCAAACTAATAGCCACTTGAATTTAATAACCAATTAAATCATCTCTTTTCAACAACTCAATTAGCTTCACCTGACAAAATAACTTAACATAGTCAAATTAAATGACAGGAATCTTGGTGATCCTTCAATTTGATTAGATCTAATCACCTTTTCACTAGTACCCTAAAAAATCATTGTATAGCTTAAGGAGAATTATAATCTACTTATTATACATACCATCTATTGGAGATATCATTATCCCTCCAATTAATGAATCTTATTATTTGCTTAAGGTCTAAAAAATCAACGAAGAATAATTTGCCTCCGACTATGAAAAATTATGAAACAGTTTAAAATTTATAATATACCCTAAAAAGGTAGATTTACTTAATTTGCAGCATTAATTATGTATATATATATCAAATTAAGGTTGCTATTAAAAGGAGCATTCGAAAACAGAAAAAATGATAAGATATAATCTATTTTAATTTTATTTGTTATAAATTCAATAATTAAAAGCAATCCAACATTTTAATGCGTTCTTAGGTAATCATAATGAATAATATAGTATTAATTCTTATAAAATTGAAGGGTTATTGGTTTTAAATAATTTTGAAAAATTAATTGATTATATAAAATATTTAACTGCAAATGAAGTAATTTATCCAAATATTCTTGCCTTAGTCAAACTCCATCTATGAGATAATTTTAGTAATATGGATAACAAGGATACCCATAATAATCGCAATAATACAGCTCTCCTAAAGCTGCAATCCCGTAAGATTAGTTTATATATAAATTAGATCGTTTCAATAGACAGCACAAAATCAATAATTGCAGACGTAACCAATTGATATATATGAAAGACAACAAAGCAGACAAGGAAATAGAGCAGACGTTCATCATTTTGAGAGACCGCTTTAAGTAGTGCCATAGGAGGATATTGAATAAAAGTGGAAGGAGAAATGCTGTATTAAAATAGTGTTATGAATGATAGTAAGACTCGAGATGCATGTATATGAATTGCAAGTTGAGATTTAAAGATTGAGATTGCAAAATAGTAGTGGCTAGATTACATACATCTAGGATGACACAAGAGTAATTTAGATATTTAGAGAGTTAGATTAATGAGTTAATGTAAGCAAATAAGGAGATAAGGAATTAAGAATAATAGATGAGAATACAAAATAAATAATTGTTAGAGGATTTGGAATCTTGGAAATCTAGATACAAGTTGCTTTAGGAGTCGAATTCAAAGAGTTCAGGCTTGGATGAAGAAATTAGATAGTTGAAGAAGAAGATAAATGAGTTAACTGAGGATCTAGCAGGCAGTCACGAAGAAATCTAATCGAGAGATAATGATATTTTGAATTTGAAGCAATTGTTGCATGATAAAGACAATGAGTTAGATTAATTGGATGCTCGTATCAGGGAGTTGGAAATGATGTGTGAGAATTATTCTCAATCCGAAACACAAATAATAAGTCTCTAAGGAGAAGTGGAATTGTGGAAGAAAAAGTTCAAATAGGTTAATGAGTAGAACTCAGATTTGGCAGAGAAGTTGACCATGGCTGAAACACAATTAGAAGCTATTAAAAAGAGATAGGTGACTGTCACCAAGGAGACTGAAGTTAGAAAGAGTGGCACTCATGGGGGAGGAACAACTACTTCATATGAATAGAATGTAATAAAAGGTGCTTAATTATTACATCCAAGAGGTTCATAATATTTAAAATGAATATTTTTGAAAAAACAAATTAAATAAAATCTTTTTTATTTTTTTATCATGGGTGTTGGTAAACCTAGAGGTATGAGAGCTGGAAGAAAGCTCAAAGATCACAGAAGAGTTAACAGATGGGCTGATAAGGAATACAATAAGGCTATGATTGGATCAAGATATAAAAATCCATTTATGGGTGCATCACATGCTAAGGGATTGGTTGTTGAAAAAATCGGAGTGTAATTATAATATTCTATCATCTTAGTGAATCCAAACAGCCAAACTCTGCCGTCAGAAAGTGCGTTAGAGTATTGCTCAAGAAAAATGGTAAAAAAATATCAGCCTTTGTTCCAAAGGATGGTTGCTTGAACTTTTTAAATGAAAACGATGAAGTCACAGTAGCTGGATTCGGAAGAAAAGGACATGCAGTCGGTGATATTCCAGGGGTCAGATTCAAGATTATTGCTGTTAAAGGAAAGTCACTTTTGGCTTTGTGGTTGGGCAAGGTTGAAAAATGATAGTACAAATACATTATAAATATATATATATTGAAGACCTCCATTAAAGTTCACATTATATTTTTTTTATTTAAATTCTTTCCCTACATCCTCAAATTCCTTTATATTATCCCCATACTTTTGAATGGCCTTGCAAATTTACTATTGCTTTCTAAATCATACTTTTCAGGAAACCCTTTTTTCTCAAAACTCATCTATGTCATGCTGTAATCGAGCAATGTGAAATTGATCTTTTTTATTTATCTCTTATCTTATAACTATCTTTTCTAATTATTGCTTAACTCAACAAGCAACGCTTAGATTGACTTTCTTGATAATTTCGAAATCAATATAAGATATAACAAATTCTATTTTACAGATTTTTAAATCTATATGCTGATCGTCTTAAGAAATTATCAGTTATATCTCATCTTGCCAATTCGACTCTTTATCATTAAATTTAATAAAAAATTTCATCATAAATTGGAATACTTTAGGATACTGTGTCTCTAGCATCCAAAATTACTCCTATTAATTTCTCCTTTTAAGTTTCAAGTGCAAAACATAGTTCAATCAATTAAGTTACATTAATTTACTTACTTCACCTTTACCTCTTTTGGTTACCATGCATTTCCTAGAGGGTGTATTTACACATATAATCCATTTTATTCTTATCTAAATAATACTTTTTCTATAATAGATATTTTATTTTCATCCGTCTCTTATACTACCTATTGTTTAATTTTCTTACATATATTTCTTTACTATTTGCAACTGCCAATTTCTTATTATTTTGAAGCTCAATTTTTAATTATGCGCTGATTTATGCAATTAATGATAATCATTTTTGACTTATCATTTCTTCAAATCCCGCCTTTAATTGACTTGAACCCTTTACTTTCTTAATAATTAGATATGGGGTCAATAACCATTGAGTTATTTATGAATGTATCACTATCCAAAAAAAAATAAATTTAATATGAAATCTAAAGAAAAACTTAAGTATATTAATCTTTTAGATTTCCTTCAGGTTTTAATAAATAATATGATTCTATTTAATTTTAATCTCAAAAATGAATTCTAAAATCACTAGAATATGATATTTCTGATCTCAATCCTCTGTGCTGATTTCATATCACTTACTGATGGTAAGCATAATAATAATATCTAGGTATAATTTAAATATATTTAGCTTAAATTTATAATTTGAATTGTGAATAGAAAACAGAGAATGCTAGATAATAAATATTCTTCACTCTAAATTGTCCTAATCTCTTTTGATATTGGTTTTTGATTGCTCAGAGAGAACAATTGATAACCGACATTCACAAAATTATGAAATATTAATTTACTAGGATCTAAGAATATTTTCTCACATTTCCTAAATTTCTGTATTCTACAATGTGTCTTATCTATTATCCACTGTAGTTTAAACATTGTTTTAAAAAGACTGACTAATAATAAATTAAATATATAAATTTTTGAAGATGTTAAATCGATCTCCAACAATGAAAACTTATAATAAATAAAATCAAAGCCAAGATCCATTGCTCATTATGACCCCTCCCAGTAGCTTGCGTGAAATTAGTTGTTCATTTAGAGGGAATCTTAATCGATATGTAACAATATAAAGTAGAAGAAATAAACAAGAGCAATAAGAAGATTAATAACACTCAAGATAATACAGAATGCATTTGCAAAGAATGTATCAAGATACTTTTATTAAACAATTGCTCGATAAAACTAAGCCAACAAGCAAAATGAACAATTATTAAAAGTAAGTTCTTGATGACTTGTAATTTGGATAGGATACATAAATAGATGATATAGATAGTAGTTGTTATAAATTTATGTTCAACTATTTCAACAATTATCCTATTATATAACCGTAAAGCAATTTAAAAATTTGTTCGGATATTATTTTCATTATAAACACATTGATAATCTTGATATGGTTGCCATTAAAATATTCATTCGAACTCGATTAGATTCTATAAATATTAAATTACAATAATAACGAAGTAATTGAATACCTACTCATTGTGGTGTTGACATTCGAAATAATCCTCTAATTCAATTAGGCATACATATTTAAGGGGAAGGTGATTAAGTAATAAGTTCTTATTGCATTAGTTAGCGCTATCATATAATATATAACTATTTGAAGCAAGACATGATCAAGGACCTTATTTGTTTGGTGTCTTTGATAGTTCTTTTATTGAAAACGTTCGAGGCTGGAGAAATGAATTTGGTCCTATTGTGTGCTTTTGGGGTTCTATAAGGATCAAAATTATTGAAGGTTGTGAACAACACACTGGAGTATTTTAACATTCAGTAGAACAATTTAATCCCATTGGTGATAAATGTAATTGGAGTAATTTATTTGATTCATCTTGTGTCTTGCATATAGTACACTCTAATAAAGGATGTGAACAATGCTAATTCCTTGGAGAATGTAATTTAGCAATATGTTCAATGTTTTAATTGGGCCTCAGTCTATTTGACGAGTGCAGGATTTTCGAACATAGAGTCTAGTAATAATGAGCAACTGATATTCTCATCAGTGATATCGATAGTTTCTATATTGATTGATGGATTTATTTCTATAAAAATAGGTTTGTTCTTGTATAATCGTTCTCAAAGGATCAAGCATAATTAATACATCAATATGATGACTAATTTCATGAATTTGAATAGCATAAATTTGAATCTCCAACACAGAATTCGTAGTTATCTGTAATACATTTATAAAGTAATTGAAAAGAATAATAAATTAGTAAGAACAGTAGATGAATGAAGAAGATATTACTCAGATAATGGTTAAGTTGTCACACCAATTAAGAAGTGAATTGAAGCATTAGTTATAAGCCAATATTTTGGAGCAATGCAAAATGATATCCTCGAATTTCTCTATGAAGTTGAGGAAACAATTGGTGTATTATATGGAGGAATTGAAGACAGTGCCTGAGCAACGAATCTTAACATTGAATGACTAAGACGATAGTTCCATATATTTTATCAATAAGGGTGAAGTGAATGTGATATTTGAACAAACCAACAATATGAATGAGAAATACCCCCGTAATCATATAAAGACATTGTAAAAAGGAGAGTACTTTGGATTTTTAGGGTTCATAACTGGAAATGTAAGGACAGCCACAATAATAAGCAAAGGATTCTGCTAATTGTACAAAATCTAACGCAATCATTTTATAAATTTACTTGAACAATTTCCTGATGACAAAGAGAAATTCTATATGATAAAAGACAAAGTGCAATTTCAACAGGACCTGTCTATGATTGATGCGAGATGCTATAGTTGCAAATCCACCAGTCATTTGGTGAACCAATGTCCATTCCTACATTTTGAACCTGATAAGGACAGAGTGATCAAATAGCAATTGTATCCAATCCAGTAAGAAAGAGAGGAGATGTAATGAGTTTAGAAATAACAATAGATAACGGAAATCCAAGTACATCAACGCCTTGTTACAACAGGTAGTAATTCAAGATTTGGCTAAGGAAGTGATGAATGATTTGGAACACGTTGAAGAAAGTGAGAACATATCACAAAGTTAATCTGAAGACATTCAGACGAGAACCATAAAAAGTATTGATATGTAATTACTTGACTAATAGGTACTTCGAATGTCCAAACCAAAAGTCTTAGCAAATCTTTCAGCCAATATAGCAATCAATTGAGTAAGTTTAGTCATAGACCTTCGTAAACACTGACAGTAGCATAAAGTTAAAACTATCAGTCCTTAATGTCTCAAGAGGAAATAGGGAAGTTTGAGTAGGAACTGATAAAGAAGATGCCATTGCATAGAAGGTCTCAATAAAAGGAAACAGCAGGCTTCGGTGCCAGATTTGAATCGTAGATGCATAATCCAATCTAAGACCATGACGAGGATATACCGAACATTGACATGATGGATGACGAGGTTTAGGTGTTCCAATAGGAGAGTTATAAGCCTTCTCAATAATTGTATTATTCAGACAAGAGTCCAAGAATTCATAGAAGAATCTAATAAAAAGTTACATTTGATCAAAATTTACTTGGGATGAAGAACAGGAGGTCAAGCTTAATCTACGAGAATTATATTTAACAATTATTTGAGGAAGAACACTATCAAATAGAATTCGTAAGATTGCTTTCATTACCAACCATAGCCCATCATAACTTAGCCCTCTGTGGGAGACTTTGATAAAATCTGTGAGTTCAGAGAGTATTATCCAGAATATAACATCTCCAGAGTGATGAGATTTCTACAGAGAGTGACCTAGACATATCGTAGACAACAGACGACTTCCTTATATTCATTTTTATTCATTGCCATCCAGAAGGGACATGCCATGAAGGACAAATTGCAGCATTTCCACAGCAGAAGCAACATCAAACCAAGCAATAATAGAAGGATATATAAGTATTTGATATTCACATATGAATTAGGAAGGGCAAAGTCAAAACGGTTTTATTTTGAATTAAATAATCATGTTTTTATTTATATTTATAGTTTATTTTACTAAATGACAAATAATAAAATATATGCTAAAAAGAGATAAGAAACAGAAGGTCGACAAGATAGTGCAGACTAATATGGAGGAGGATCCAAGATAATTCTATTTGATTGACACTCAAGAAGAGGTGAGCGGACACATCTTGGAACGATTGAGACAACAACCCATTGTTTAAATGAAAAAGGTTGCCTTTGACAAAGAACATGGAAACACTATTGACAGCGTGCCCATCAACATTAAATCACATGTTAAATCGGAAAACGAATTATACTTTGAATTGCAATACTAAAACCCAAACTTATTGCCATCTTATTACCCTTTCTACTTCTTAAGAGAGAGATTCCCCAAATTACTGATTGAGTATTATAAGAATAACAGTGTTTTAATATTGAAATGAAACTTAAAAGTCATAATGATTTTTTATTAACTAATTTTCCATTGTCATAAACATTTATACAATATGGCTTATCCCTCAACAATTTGAAAACCATATGTTCCCCATGTTGCTTCCCTTGAACATACTCACCAATCTCTCTCAACCCATTCTCAACATTAGTGTAGATCCCCTACCCATGTCTTTGTCCATCCTTGTAAGTCCCTTCAAAAATGTTGTCATTAATGTATTTATATACTCCTGGCCCTTCCTTTTTATCATTCATGTACTCTCCTGTAAAGCTAACTAAATTATCACTCAATACATCTCGCCATTGGGAAATTTCACTATGGCACTTCCATGTCTCAAACCAGATTTAAATTAACCAACATACAATTCCCCATTTTTGTATTAAAACGATCCAATACCTTCCTTCCTATCCTGCACAAAATCTCCTTCATACTCATCCCCAGTTGCATACTTATACAATCCCTTTCCATGAAATTGTCCCATTTTCCATTGTCCTTAATATTCGTCTCCTGTGGTATACCTCATGATTCCAAACCCTTCTCTAATATCATTCTTTAGATCTCCCTGATAGTATTCTCCTTTGAATTGAGCATGAATCCCTCTGCCTTCAATCTTCCCATCCACCCATTTCCCCTATTTAATCCAGTAACGCTTTTTCTAATCCACCAGCAATTGTTGACCCCACACAAAATTGTCCTCACTAAAAACACCGTAATAATATGTCTAAGCTACCTTATTAAACAACAATCCTATCAAAGTAATAACATTTCTTACCTCTTCCAAACTTCTTGTCTCTTTTGACCTCCCCAATATAGAAATCTTCATTTGGATACACTATCTTAGTTACCTCTGGACTTCGAGTCAATAAAAATTGTGGCTAAATCCAGTCATATTTAATTTCATGAGTTTGCACAAACTACTTCAATTACTCATTCTAAATATTCTTTTCCAGTATGTCATTGACATCCAGTAACTTAATTTTATCATCCAAATCTTCGCTAATTTTTAACAACTCCTATATTCCCATTCTCTATCCAATAAAATTAGTTATATCTTCAATATTGTCTAGGATTCTCTCATCATGAAATGTTGCTAATAATTAGCATTGTTCATTTGTAAATTAATTGATATTGCCTTACTGCAAGATCACAAAACTATCTGCTAAATCCTCCAACATGGAGTACAATTATTGTATGTCGTGAATGTAATATTAAAGCAATTTCTCCAATTGTTCGTTGATATTCTGCACTACCGACTTAAACTAATCTGCTTTCTGCTATAGGATTATGGTTAGTTGCAATTTGTCAAATTTAGAAATGGAATCCTTACACAATTATTGGACTTATGATATTGTCTTCGCATCCTTTACATGTTCACAATGATAATCATTATAGCAGAAGCAACACATTAACCTTTTATCGCAGTGAGGGTTTAAGCAAATGGCTATCAATCTGTTGGATCCCTCTTCATGTAGTCTCTCACACTTTTTTTCTGTTTTTATATATGATTAAGACTATTTCATTAATATAATTTTATTTTCGATAATTGTATAGATGAATATACCTAATTTTCAAATTAATTACTGCATTTTGACTACTACTCAAATGCAAATATTATAATAAACTATACATCTCATTATTCAAGTGGAACATCATATTCAAAGTCCTTCGTCGTCAATCCTTTACATTAATACTACCCTTCTCTAATAAAATGTCCTCTAAAATATCGATAGTTCTTGTATTTCTTCTTAGTTTCACTCACTTTCTTTGGCACTTTTATCTGTTTCACCAAATCCTCCTCCTCCAACTGATAAACATACGGATTCTATTGCTCCTTCTATTTATTCTTTTCCTCATCATTCCCTTACTTTTAAGAATTCCTTTTTTTCTTCGGCTTCAAAAGTACCGAAAACTGTTCATTCTCATTATTATTAGATTCATTAAATAATTAGAGTTTTTTGGAATAATCGTTTTCTAACAGAGTCAGCTTATAGATTGGACATTGTTTGTTTTGTTCAATAGTTTTGTATAGCATCGGATGAAATGTTAGTTGATTCGCATGATTAGTGAAGAATCTATTGATCCTTCTAAATTCCTCCATCAATTGCAAGTAAAAGTAGATCTTTTTAAATTGATGTCTCGTAGTTATCTTGGAGAACTTACTATACCTCTCCTCTCTTGACTCTGAAAAACAGCTGGCATAGCATTTCAATAAATCTTGCAACTTCATTGCGCTTTCCCTAAAATCTATCACAAAGTAATCGTCTTTGTATTCCTCTATGTCATGATCCAGTATCCTCAACATTGATAATACCGTTATAGGCTATATCATTGTATGTTTCTAATAGAAATCAGATCTCCTCAATGACTTCACCACTGAAAATATATAGCAATCCTTAAAACCCAACAACCCTGGTTTCAACCAAGTCTTAACATAATCAGCATATCGAGTTGAATACAATTAGATTCCTGTCAATCTCTTGAATTCGTGTTTTGCGTATTCCATATTGCCCCTTGTTTTTATCGCTGTTTCGAATAGGGTCGCCAATTGTTCCTTAGACATGTTTTCATTGTAATCAACAAAAGATTCCCATCTAAATATTTATCAATGTTTCTACGCTCTTTTCAATCTGTAGGCCTTCTCAATCTTTATTCCAACCTGAGCTTCCAAATGTCTTGCAACTTATCCCCAATTCTTACAATTTGGTCCCCCATGAACATCCACTATTTAAACTAGTTCCTTCGATATGCTTAAGTATTTCCCTTTACTCTTTTGCCTGTCCTTCTATCTCATCAGAATACGTAAAATTATTCATTATTTTCCCCNATTGGACTTATGATATTGTCTTCGCATCCTTTACATGTTCACAATGATAATCATTATAGCAGAAGCAACACATTAACCTTTTATCGCAGTGAGGGTTTAAGCAAATGGCTATCAATCTGTTGGATCCCTCTTCATGTAGTCTCTCACACTTTTTTTCTGTTTTTATATATGATTAAGACTATTTCATTAATATAATTTTATTTTCGATAATTGTATAGATGAATATACCTAATTTTCAAATTAATTACTGCATTTTGACTACTACTCAAATGCAAATATTATAATAAACTATACATCTCATTATTCAAGTGGAACATCATATTCAAAGTCCTTCGTCGTCAATCCTTTACATTAATACTACCCTTCTCTAATAAAATGTCCTCTAAAATATCGATAGTTCTTGTATTTCTTCTTAGTTTCACTCACTTTCTTTGGCACTTTTATCTGTTTCACCAAATCCTCCTCCTCCAACTGATAAACATACGGATTCTATTGCTCCTTCTATTTATTCTTTTCCTCATCATTCCCTTACTTTTAAGAATTCCTTTTTTTCTTCGGCTTCAAAAGTACCGAAAACTGTTCATTCTCATTATTATTAGATTCATTAAATAATTAGAGTTTTTTGGAATAATCGTTTTCTAACAGAGTCAGCTTATAGATTGGACATTGTTTGTTTTGTTCAATAGTTTTGTATAGCATCGGATGAAATGTTAGTTGATTCGCATGATTAGTGAAGAATCTATTGATCCTTCTAAATTCCTCCATCAATTGCAAGTAAAAGTAGATCTTTTTAAATTGATGTCTCGTAGTTATCTTGGAGAACTTACTATACCTCTCCTCTCTTGACTCTGAAAAACAGCTGGCATAGCATTTCAATAAATCTTGCAACTTCATTGCGCTTTCCCTAAAATCTATCACAAAGTAATCGTCTTTGTATTCCTCTATGTCATGATCCAGTATCCTCAACATTGATAATACCGTTATAGGCTATATCATTGTATGTTTCTAATAGAAATCAGATCTCCTCAATGACTTCACCACTGAAAATATATAGCAATCCTTAAAACCCAACAACCCTGGTTTCAACCAAGTCTTAACATAATCAGCATATCGAGTTGAATACAATTAGATTCCTGTCAATCTCTTGAATTCGTGTTTTGCGTATTCCATATTGCCCCTTGTTTTTATCGCTGTTTCGAATAGGGTCGCCAATTGTTCCTTAGACATGTTTTCATTGTAATCAACAAAAGATTCCCATCTAAATATTTATCAATGTTTCTACGCTCTTTTCAATCTGTAGGCCTTCTCAATCTTTATTCCAACCTGAGCTTCCAAATGTCTTGCAACTTATCCCCAATTCTTACAATTTGGTCCCCCATGAACATCCACTATTTAAACTAGTTCCTTCGATATGCTTAAGTATTTCCCTTTACTCTTTTGCCTGTCCTTCTATCTCATCAGAATACGTAAAATTATTCATTATTTTCCCCTTTCTATTTCGCATTTTAATTTTTGTCAAAATATTATAAACATTCTTATAAACATAAATCAATTCCCTTTGAACTTATTGATACATATTATTCTTTTATTATTTATTACTTAAGTAAGATTACAATAGCTTTGATATATAAGAATATGGCATAGAGTTAAATGGATTAAATCTATCTAAGGTTTATATGAGTTTTTATACGGAAATAATAAGGATTTCCTATTATTTAAATGAGCTTTTTTTTTGTAAAATATTCTAAACATATTTATGTATGTCTATTAAAATTAATCTTTTTTCGGATTTATATTTAGTTAATGAAGCAAAATACAAATTAATTAAATATCAGCATGTTTGTCTTTCGACAAATGACTTATTAATTACATTCCATATCTTGGAATGCAAAAAACAAAAAGTAGTTCCTCCTCTTTTATTTTAGGTAGTCATTCTATTTAAATCAGACATACAAACATAGGGCATAGCACTTTGGACGGAAATTCCAAATTTAGAATGGTCTTTTGTATATTTAAATTTATAACCCTAAATATAGATTTTATATTCTACATTATGATTTCTATAAATATTGCTATATGTTTGGTAAGTATTTGTGCAAGCAGCCTCTTACAGACCCCCAGTTCCATTACCCCATGTTTCCATAACCAAACCGACTTTTAATGTAGGAGCAACAATTGTAGCATAAAAGTCGTCCACTAAATTTTGGTTCTTAGAAATAACATTAATGATCATTCCATTCTTGCTCTTAACCTATGAAGCTCCGTTTTATGCTGGAATCTTCCTTGAATTATTTCTTAAAGCAAATATATTTGGATAAGTTGACTCGAAGGTACTAATCTCATTGGCCTTCTGAGTTAAAGTTTAGGCAATAATATATTGCTCAGCTACAACATTAATCTATGATGTTGTCATGGTCACACAAAAAAAATGTTGCCCATTAACACTAGAACTGCTTGGCATTCCAGGTATTATATAACTAAATTTATATTACCAAAATATTACCTTTGAGTATCATCAAAAACAGGGAATTGTGGTGTCGAATGGTTAATTATGAACCCCTATCCACTAGAAGATGCTGACAAAATGCCTTTGGAATGAGCTCTATCGGAGATTGTTGATTTTCCAGAGGGTTAATCATTCCATACTACATTCATTGTTGTAGTCGAAGTAAATGAGATCTAACTCACAGTTCTTTGTAAGGGAGATGTATAATCTCTTAAATCATCACTCATCATGTTCATTGCAGAACAATCATTTTGTGAATCACAATAATAGTATTCAAATCCGCTATAGGGAATACTTGAGTCGGCAGGCAATTTGAATATCAGCCACCAGTCAACTTATGATCCTGTTGAACTTAAACAGCTTTGGCTAAACACCTAGATCACTAGAACGAGCAGAAGGATTTTCATTGTTACAATTATCGATAAACTATCTTTGTTTTTTATTATGATATCACTTTATATGTCATCTGACGCACTTTTTATATATTGTAATACTGTTCAAAATTTTTAATCATTGTACAATAATATTCAATAAAATTAAATTAAGTGACATTTATTTTTAATAATAATGCTACAATTTTAAATCATATTGCATACCAGAGAGAATATACTACTTTAACTAACTCAAAATAATGTTATTATTCTCTTTTCTGATCAAGGGCCTTGCGGTTCCAAATTATGATCATGATATGATTGAAATTCAATAAAATAAAATGAATTGCTTTAAACTTTCTATTTATTGATATTGCAACAACTCAGAACTTGCATTTAACAATTTTCATCAATCATTAAAATACCTACAAGAATAAAGAGCACAATTTATAATGTATATGAAATATTTCTAATTTTTAAATCATACTCCTTTCTACTTCTTATATTATGATCAAATANTTTTTTTGTAAAATATTCTAAACATATTTATGTATGTCTATTAAAATTAATCTTTTTTCGGATTTATATTTAGTTAATGAAGCAAAATACAAATTAATTAAATATCAGCATGTTTGTCTTTCGACAAATGACTTATTAATTACATTCCATATCTTGGAATGCAAAAAACAAAAAGTAGTTCCTCCTCTTTTATTTTAGGTAGTCATTCTATTTAAATCAGACATACAAACATAGGGCATAGCACTTTGGACGGAAATTCCAAATTTAGAATGGTCTTTTGTATATTTAAATTTATAACCCTAAATATAGATTTTATATTCTACATTATGATTTCTATAAATATTGCTATATGTTTGGTAAGTATTTGTGCAAGCAGCCTCTTACAGACCCCCAGTTCCATTACCCCATGTTTCCATAACCAAACCGACTTTTAATGTAGGAGCAACAATTGTAGCATAAAAGTCGTCCACTAAATTTTGGTTCTTAGAAATAACATTAATGATCATTCCATTCTTGCTCTTAACCTATGAAGCTCCGTTTTATGCTGGAATCTTCCTTGAATTATTTCTTAAAGCAAATATATTTGGATAAGTTGACTCGAAGGTACTAATCTCATTGGCCTTCTGAGTTAAAGTTTAGGCAATAATATATTGCTCAGCTACAACATTAATCTATGATGTTGTCATGGTCACACAAAAAAAATGTTGCCCATTAACACTAGAACTGCTTGGCATTCCAGGTATTATATAACTAAATTTATATTACCAAAATATTACCTTTGAGTATCATCAAAAACAGGGAATTGTGGTGTCGAATGGTTAATTATGAACCCCTATCCACTAGAAGATGCTGACAAAATGCCTTTGGAATGAGCTCTATCGGAGATTGTTGATTTTCCAGAGGGTTAATCATTCCATACTACATTCATTGTTGTAGTCGAAGTAAATGAGATCTAACTCACAGTTCTTTGTAAGGGAGATGTATAATCTCTTAAATCATCACTCATCATGTTCATTGCAGAACAATCATTTTGTGAATCACAATAATAGTATTCAAATCCGCTATAGGGAATACTTGAGTCGGCAGGCAATTTGAATATCAGCCACCAGTCAACTTATGATCCTGTTGAACTTAAACAGCTTTGGCTAAACACCTAGATCACTAGAACGAGCAGAAGGATTTTCATTGTTACAATTATCGATAAACTATCTTTGTTTTTTATTATGATATCACTTTATATGTCATCTGACGCACTTTTTATATATTGTAATACTGTTCAAAATTTTTAATCATTGTACAATAATATTCAATAAAATTAAATTAAGTGACATTTATTTTTAATAATAATGCTACAATTTTAAATCATATTGCATACCAGAGAGAATATACTACTTTAACTAACTCAAAATAATGTTATTATTCTCTTTTCTGATCAAGGGCCTTGCGGTTCCAAATTATGATCATGATATGATTGAAATTCAATAAAATAAAATGAATTGCTTTAAACTTTCTATTTATTGATATTGCAACAACTCAGAACTTGCATTTAACAATTTTCATCAATCATTAAAATACCTACAAGAATAAAGAGCACAATTTATAATGTATATGAAATATTTCTAATTTTTAAATCATACTCCTTTCTACTTCTTATATTATGATCAAATATAGTTGTTTAATGAGATATAAACATACTATTATTTGATTTTCTTACCTTTTACTTTTTAATAAATACAATGATATATTAATATAAAGAAATTCCTCCTCAATGGTATACCTTCATCAAATCTCTCAATACTTCATGTTATGATTTTGATAAAAAATGGTATTACTTTCTTTAGATTATATAATTCTATAGTAATATTCTGTGACTACTCGCAGAATTATAAAATTTAATAAAAAAATTTCATAAGAGAACAATATTATCCTGAAGTACGTGAAAATAATATCTATACATCACATATAATCTAATATTGCAATTGAAATTGGAATATCATTATTTGATGGAGAAATAAAATGTATTTTAATAAATCAAGTTAAAAATTTAAACATTCTGATTCCAGAATGACTAATGTCAATATTCTTATCAGAAAATGCAGTTGTTTTGGATTGGTGATTTGTTAAAAATAAATTAATAAACTTCAAAATCAAATGATGTCATACAAAGATACAAAATTGAAAATTTTGAAAACATGAAAGGAAAAGGCATTCGATTATTATTGAGAATTGCAGGATTAGAAGCGTGCATTTTGGTGTGACAGAGGTGATTATTTTAAGTAAATTGAATATAAATTTTATTGATTATATTTATAAAAATTTGTCAGTTAATCGAACAATCATGTAAAGAAAAATAGAATGCTATAATAAAGGACTTTTTACGTCAATGACTCAATTTGAACTCAAACAGAGATCTAACGGTAAGACTAGTTTAGGAACTGGATCTTTTGGAACTGTTAATCTGGTACAACATGTCAAATCATAATCACTCTATGCCATAAAATCAATTTAACAAAGCAATATCTAAACTCCATATGAGCAGGAAGGAGTGGAAAGGGAAATTAAAGTCCATTTAAAGTGCCATCATCCAAATATCGTAAATTTGTATGATAGCTTCATTGAACATGGAAACGTATATATGGTATTGGAATATGCTGAAAATGGAAACCTATACAATTATGTATAAAGGAGAAAAAGATTAGATGAAAAAGAAGCCTGCAAGTACTTTATTTAAACTTGCAAAGCATTGCAATATCTTCATGAAATCAATGTATTCCATAGAGATATCAAAGTAATAAATGTTGTAAACATACATAGCCTGAGAATTTGTTATTGGATAGCAATAGCGACATCAAATTATGTGATTTTGGATGGTGCGCAGAGAACATTCACCTTAAAAGAAAGACTTTCTGTGGAACCTACGAGTACATGGCTCCTGAAATTGTCTCAGACTTGCCCTATGACTACAAGATTGACATATGGTCAGTAGGAGTGTTGCTCTATGAATTGCTACATGGATATGCTCCATTTAAGGGAAAGGAATATAAGGAAATAGCAGCAAATATAAAAACCGGGTTAATACGTTATTCCAGTTCAATCAATGCAGATGCCCAAGAACTAATTAAGAACATCTTATAAAAAGATCCATCGTAGAGATTATCCTTCAAAGATATTTATCAATCTCCATTTGTTCAGAGATGCTATCCATAATAAGGATGTAATATTGTTATTCAATATAATATAATAGAACTAAAGATATCTTTATCACCAAGGTCTAGTTTTTCAGTTGATTAAAATTCAATCTAAAAATATCAATCTCCTTTGATTAGTCACAAATAATAACCAATTGGTAGATTGAATCAAACAAATGGGAATAATTTGAACAACTCTTCATCTTTGAGTATCAAATCTCCTAATATATCAAAAACCAGAGTTGACTCAAAGAAGCAATCAAATATATTTGATGATATCAAAAAGAAAATCATCTATGAATAGACCAGTCCTTTAAGGGATGCAACAAATATGCATAAAAGAAATTAGGCTAGTTTAACTAATTTAATCAAGAATTCTAACGCAAAAATTACCTAGATTAAAAGTCCTTAACCGAAAAAGATCTAGTTGAGCAAGTACTGTTCAAAATCAAGAAATTTTGATGAAAATGGAACTCTTAAACTTTTAGATTAATTTAAATCCATGCCATCATTTACAATAGAGGATCAATAGCATACTTTTGAAGAAGAAAACAGATTAAATTTAAAGACTGATAGAGTTATCAAAGTGTAAAATAAGGATTGTGTTTCGAGATTCAAAAAAGAATCTCATCAATCTTAAGATTTAGATAAGATACTTAAAATGTATCTCAGTATGTGCAGCAGTAGACAATGAATTGTTGTTTTTATAATTTAGTACTTTATTAAATATTATTGATATCTATTATATTCTAAGGTCGGTTAAGAAATTCATTAGTCGTTAAATCTGAAATTATATAATTGCATCAAATATTAGTGTAATTAATATTGTTTGGTATTTGCACTAGGATATCGAATATTAACACATTGAATTAAAAGCTTAATTATGTTGATATTATTTAATAATTTTCTGATCTCAATTTATTGTCTAAATTATTAATTAGTTAAAATACTGACAAACCAATCCATAGAGCAAAATTAATAATGTGTCATCATTTATTAGATAATATGATTCCAAAATAAAATAACAAATTCATCCCAACAGATTCAGCCATCAATAATTATTTGTCCATTTTGGTCATTTAACTTGGCTAATTTTGATCTACAGTAATCACATAAACCGATAACAAAATTGATCTCAATCTAATTTCAATCGATGGCTACTCACAAAACTTCATCAATAAACATTTACGTGACATTTTGCATATTAAATCCAAATTTTATTATTCATTTAGTCCATAGATTCTACGATTAATTTAAATCTCATGGCATTTTAATTACATTTTTAATAAAAATTAAATCCTAATGAATAGTCAAGAGAATGTTGCTGGGGTGAAAACGAGGTCTATGAAAATGTGTGATAAAATGGTAGATATTACTGCAAAACGAGTTTACTGTCATATCTCAAAAGCAAAGAAAACTTAATTGGTTCAAACTGTACTGAAATAAAAATGCAAAATTAAGAAAGTAAGATTTTCTAAAAATTTCAGATAGCCAAAGACCTTAATATTAACTATGCTACTGCTAAAACTATACTTCATTGTTATAAGAAAAAGGAAATTAATTTGAACGAAGAGTCATAGTAAAAAAGGGCTAGTTATAATTCTATAAAGAATGACCCTAAATTATATGTCTAAATTAGGCAAGGGGAAAAAATAATAAACCACTATGAGTATTTTGATGTAATCAAAAGACACTAATGATTTTTTTTAACTCCTCTTAATTTTGCATTTCACTATATATATATACAAAAATAGAAAGTTCCGAGAAAAATTAAGTGACTTCGACCAGAATCCTAAATGAAATACTTTAAAAATATCATATTAATCAACGAATTGGCTTGATGTTTTAAAAACCAAAATATATAATTAATAAAGCTTAGAATATATTGCCAATTAATGGAATTAAAGAGCTTGAATGCTTCAATTTCATATGTCCTAAATCGTGAATTCTTTATAGAAATGATTATTTTGGATTTTATTGAAACCTTTTCTGGATATCACTAAAGAAATAAAGACATAGCTAATGAAATTCAATAGTCAATTAAGAATCGGTAGTATAATAAGCAAAATGATAAATGAATAAAAANGTTTTTATAATTTAGTACTTTATTAAATATTATTGATATCTATTATATTCTAAGGTCGGTTAAGAAATTCATTAGTCGTTAAATCTGAAATTATATAATTGCATCAAATATTAGTGTAATTAATATTGTTTGGTATTTGCACTAGGATATCGAATATTAACACATTGAATTAAAAGCTTAATTATGTTGATATTATTTAATAATTTTCTGATCTCAATTTATTGTCTAAATTATTAATTAGTTAAAATACTGACAAACCAATCCATAGAGCAAAATTAATAATGTGTCATCATTTATTAGATAATATGATTCCAAAATAAAATAACAAATTCATCCCAACAGATTCAGCCATCAATAATTATTTGTCCATTTTGGTCATTTAACTTGGCTAATTTTGATCTACAGTAATCACATAAACCGATAACAAAATTGATCTCAATCTAATTTCAATCGATGGCTACTCACAAAACTTCATCAATAAACATTTACGTGACATTTTGCATATTAAATCCAAATTTTATTATTCATTTAGTCCATAGATTCTACGATTAATTTAAATCTCATGGCATTTTAATTACATTTTTAATAAAAATTAAATCCTAATGAATAGTCAAGAGAATGTTGCTGGGGTGAAAACGAGGTCTATGAAAATGTGTGATAAAATGGTAGATATTACTGCAAAACGAGTTTACTGTCATATCTCAAAAGCAAAGAAAACTTAATTGGTTCAAACTGTACTGAAATAAAAATGCAAAATTAAGAAAGTAAGATTTTCTAAAAATTTCAGATAGCCAAAGACCTTAATATTAACTATGCTACTGCTAAAACTATACTTCATTGTTATAAGAAAAAGGAAATTAATTTGAACGAAGAGTCATAGTAAAAAAGGGCTAGTTATAATTCTATAAAGAATGACCCTAAATTATATGTCTAAATTAGGCAAGGGGAAAAAATAATAAACCACTATGAGTATTTTGATGTAATCAAAAGACACTAATGATTTTTTTTAACTCCTCTTAATTTTGCATTTCACTATATATATATACAAAAATAGAAAGTTCCGAGAAAAATTAAGTGACTTCGACCAGAATCCTAAATGAAATACTTTAAAAATATCATATTAATCAACGAATTGGCTTGATGTTTTAAAAACCAAAATATATAATTAATAAAGCTTAGAATATATTGCCAATTAATGGAATTAAAGAGCTTGAATGCTTCAATTTCATATGTCCTAAATCGTGAATTCTTTATAGAAATGATTATTTTGGATTTTATTGAAACCTTTTCTGGATATCACTAAAGAAATAAAGACATAGCTAATGAAATTCAATAGTCAATTAAGAATCGGTAGTATAATAAGCAAAATGATAAATGAATAAAAATATATAAATGCTAGATATTTTATAAATGCGTCCTTTGAATTTGTTAAAAAATGGCTTGCAAATCAAAAATTATTTTAAATTTTGTATTGTAATTAATTATGAATGACAACAAAAGTTAACCAGAATTAATTAAGACTAAAGTAGTTAATAACAACAACCATGTTTTAATTAAGAAAGAGGAATAATCGTTATCTAGACTTCCTTGGTATCAAAAATATGCTATTATTAAGGTAAATGACTAAGCAACCTTTTGATTCAATTTTGAATATTAGTCAATGTCTTTAGTCACAAGTAATCCCATTTGAAATTTATATTAACCTAGAACTCTCAGCCCATGCTTTACTGGGATTGTTCTAGAAACTAAATATTATCGTTCATAAACTAAAAGAAAATTAACCCAACAATCTAGAATTGAAAGATCTAAACTTGTTATATTGTGAAAGAAAAAAGAGTAGATATACGATGCATTTTAGATTGGATAAATTATCAATTTTATCAAGACCCAAAAATGGTAGAGGAAATTGTTGAAATTATATAGAGATATTGCTATATAGGAAAGATTGATCTTTGATCATGTGTCTACTCATTGTGAAACATTTGATTATGATGGACTTGCTTAAATTTGGTTCTGCATGTTTAAATAACAAACTTATGTTTTAAAATTATTATATTTAAAAAATGATGAATTATTTAGTAAAATAATTGGCCTATTTTATTTGTCTTTGATGATGAAGTTTATTTTACATAATCAATGATAAATTGGATTTTGGGTTATATTGTAGGGGAGGACTTTTCGTTCAATTTTACTCCAATCATTTAAATGTTGGTTTTAATTATAATTATTAAAATTACATAAAGTCTATTGATGCTACATTGTTGTCGATGCAATAAAAGTCGATCTCCAAAAGATAGGAACAAAAGCAATACTAAGTTACAGGATCACTAAATTGAGCAAAGGGTGTAGCAGGTGAACCATTAATAAGCTTATATTGCGAAGATTAAAGAGAATGAATAAATGATTCTGAAAATGTACAAAGAGTTGTAAGATGAAAATAGTAGACTTAGGAGTCTTATAAATTCGTATTGATTATTTGTTTTAAGGTGTAGATTGGAATAGGAGAAATTAGAATTGCAAGAGAAATTCAATTAGTTATAGATTCAAAGCATATAATTTATTCCTCAAAGTCATTCGAGATCAATACTGGAGGAGACTAATATACATTTTAGTACCAAGCAACAGTCGTTCCAATTTAATGACCCTAGCAATATAAAATATTAATCGTTAAAAAAATTGTACGACGAATTAATTAAGGATAAGGACTGGGATGTTTAGAAAAAGAATCAGTATTCATCCTCAATATAGTTTCTGAATAATATTCTTTAATAGAAATAGGAGGACTTGGAATTGGCCTAAGGCCAAATCATTAAGCAGAATAAGATCATTGGGGAATATGAGTTAAAATATAATTAATTATTATGTAATACATATGATTAATAAATAAGAGGATTACTAATAGTTATAATAGGAGGTTTACTAAAGGAAGAGATCATTCTCGGAATTTAAAACCATGGCACTATCGTAGGACAACCCTTACAATGGAGTGATTTAGGAGGCGATCAAATTAAACCCTTAGAAAATTGTAATAAAAACTATCAATTGAGTTCGTCTATTTATATAATTATATTTATAATGATTACTCGTAGTGAAATTAAGGAATTTCTGCCCCAAAGTATTAGTAAACAATATAAAACAGAACCGATAGATCAGAATATCAGCGATCTCTCTTTCAGTTTTACACACAGTTTGAAAAGTAGTGTGAAACCGAAGTTAAACGATTCTATACAATTCGAAACCCAGATATCTTAGAGAATTCAAGCTAAACCTCCTCTTACATCAAAGAGCAACAAAAAGTTCTCAATCCCAATAATAAGGGATAAAACAAACTTTAATTCTGAATTTACTAGTGATTAAATGTCTACCCCTAGATCGAAATTGTAAGATTGTAAATTTTAACTAATTCATCTCAAGCTGTAAAACTAACAAAACCAAAAGATCAATAAGCAAATACTGGTTGAGAAATTATCTAAGCAATTGAAACAATCTTCAACAGCCAACATCTCAAAATCAAAGGAGATCATGTAAATTGAGTTGTTATTGGCTGCATACAATTAATTACACTTAAGTCATTCAAAGTTGAAATAGGAGAACAAGACTTTAGAATAAGAAATCACAATATGGAAATCAAAGTATCAGGATTTGGAAAAAAAGACAAAATCAAGTATCCATTCTAAAAGTACATCATTACAAGTGTAATTCAATAAGCCAATTAATTAAAATATATAAGAGAGATTAAAAACATCATCACATACTTTTAAGTTCTCCTTATATTGATTTATATAATTCATACTATATTTATACATAGATATTATAGATTAGTCAATTTTTTCTTGATCCAAAATTACTCAAACTTGGATATTCCCCATAATTATGTCTCATCTGTCTCTGCGATCCAAACTATTGTTAACTTTATTGCAAGTAATTTTTGGAGCTAGGCGATTGATTTATGTATTATGCTTGCTATGAAATCTCAAGTCCACCTTTTATTTGACTTTATGAAATCTTCTGTTCAGATTATCTTATTGATGCTTTACTATTTATAGTTGATCCAGCATTAGATTTCTAAGTAGTTATTTCTGGGGGTGCCAACTTGTGAATATTCAAGTATTCTGGTAGATCATAATTAACTACTTTCAGAAACTCTGAAATAAATCCTCCTAATTAAGAACTAGATATATGTGTAAATATCGTACGATTTCTCAGAATCAAAGCTGACTTTGGTTTAATGAAGAGCATATCGTTCTGTGAATTCTTGTGTTTGTAGAAAATATTGTTCATTTTCCTCTAAAGTCTTGGATTTCAAAAATCGTATTAGTGGTCTCATGCAATCCTGATTCTTTAAATTTTCTAACAATTCAACATGAGAATTCCATCTATCTTGAATTACCTATTTGAAGAATTGAGCATCTCGTTTATAATTTTCAATATTTTTTGTATGCTTTCCTTGGACATCAATTAGCAATGAATTGAAATATTATTCAATGATCTTAATGATCCTCTCCTTCTTCTCATTTAATAGTTTTATGCATTACATATTCATTTGGTCTGCCATTATTACAGAATTAGTAATATTCTAAAAGCAAGTTGCCAATTTGTTAGCTTGTACATATATTTTCTAAAGGTACCTTCATTATGCACTGTCAATTGTATTTTATTTAAGACATTTTCCAGACTATCCAATTTAGGTTTGGACTACGATTCAAAATGCTCCTGCACATGTTAAGGAATACATTCAGGACATAATGGGAAACAGCATCCTTCAAGTTAACAGAAGTTCGTATAATTATATCCTTAATGATTGTAGCAATTAATCTAAACGCAATTCAAATAAACAATACTCTTGGGATGTTGTGAGTGTTAAATTCATTGCAATACTCAAGAATTTTAGGTGCTTATAAAATACTGGAGGCCAATTTTGTTTCAACTATTGGATTGTTGGCCTATTATTATTAAGTTATCTATCCTAAAGAAGTGACTGAAGCTTGATATCCCTTTGACATGACTGTTATAATAATATATTAAATATTAAATGTAGTTATATAATTCACAACTCTAAGAGTTGAGTGATTAAGTCTTTTTTACCTTCCACTTCTTCATCATTGAGCCATTTTACTCTCTACCCATTTTGCCACATTCCAATTCTGTATTATTTTTCACTCTGATAATATATTCCAACACCAGATTATTTCCCATTAATCCAAGTTCCTGCATATTTTCTACCATCTCCAAAATAGAACACACCTCTACCTTGTTTTTTATCTTATTGATAATTCTTTAATAAAAGATAGAAGATACTCCTTTGTAGCATTTTCCATCTGGCCATTTAAGAGTGCCTTCTCCATGCATTTTGTTATCTAACCAATTCCCAACATATTCTCTTCCATCTGGCCATTTGTAAACCCCAAATCCAGAAATCTCGTTGTCAATGAAATTACCTTTCCTTTACAAGTGAATTTTACCTTCATAACTAGCAGAATCAACAAAGGTTAATTGTCCTTGTCCATTCTTTTTACCAAATTAATACTGACCTTCGTACTTTGCTCCATCAGGCCAGACTTCGATACCATAACCATGTTGGTTGTCGTTAAGCCATTCCCCTTCGTATCTGGCTCCATTAAAATGCACATAAGTTCCTTTACCGCAAGCTGCATCATCTACCCATTCTCCATCATAGATGTCTCCGTCAGCATGAATTAGTTTTCCCTTGATTTTAAAAGTCGCTTACTTATCCATTTGATTTATCTTGTTTCCATTACCCTTCATAAATTGATCCATCTGGCCATAACTATTTTCCATAGCCATCTCTCATACCATTGAGCCATTGTCCTTCATATTTGGTTCCATTTGGCATTAGCATAATCTAGTTAAGTTGAAAAAGTACTGGAAGCAATTTACGCTCTTTCGTTTGATTGGTGTCGATAACTTGTTAGGGTATGGGATGTTGGGTTGTCATCAAATTTTAGGAGATCTCTTGGTTGGAGACTTTGCTGCGCATTGAATTCTTCATAATGGCTGAGTCAAAATCATTGTTAATAAGGGCATCTATTTTATCTGAGTTCTAATCTTTCTGAGGTTTGTGATGCTTGATGGAAACTTGAATGGATCTGGTCGATATTTTTTATGATGTTAATTCATCCTTTTAACAACATTATGTAGCACATTTACACTAACCCATTTAAATATTTATATTTGTAATATTATTATGATAGCTCATCTATTTCTAGCATTGATAATTTTATTGCCCTTTCTCCTTGTTTGCTTCTTCCTTGCTCTTTTCTTTTTCTTGCTCAGACAATCCAAAACTGCAATCGATTGCTCACAGTAATGATTGATTATAGGATCTTTTGAGTTTGATGCAAAAATCTAACTCTGAGGTATCTGGTGTCTCTGAATACGCAGAGCCTGTAAATAGACCTATGGCGAATATAAGGTAGATGATGACATCAATCTGGGATAAGGAATTGCAAATCTCCCCATTTATGAAAACACTCTTTACATTTTGAATAATAAATAAATAAATAATAACAAAGCAAGAATGAAGAGCAATCTCTTTGGAGGAATCCCATTCAATTGTGGTGAAAGATATAGGTTGATAAAACTGGTTGGTACAGGTGCCTATGGTTCAGTGGTTCTGAGTTTTGATCAATAAAACTAGAATATGAAAGTTTAATCATACTCCTATATGCATAGGTGGCTATCAAGAAACTCAATTAAATCGAAGATGTCATTGATGCAAAAAGAATCCTAAGGGAAATCAAAATCCAAAGATCAATGAATCATCAAAATATTCTCAAAATATATGACATTATTTACGACAAAAAGACTGATCGATTTGGAGATATTTATATAGTAAGTCCCTACTTTCCAGTTGACCTCGATAAAATAATTAAAAGCAGTCAGGAATTGACTGTCACTCAAGTCTAATTTATCATGTATCAACTCTGCAAGGGACTCTACTACTTGCATTCCTCTGGTTCCATTCATAGAGATATCAAACCTGGAAATATATTGGCAAATGAAAAATGTGAAGTTTGCTATTGTGATTTTGGCTTTGCTAGAAAGTACGATGAACTTCACGACTAATTCGAAGAGAATATGACTGAATACGTCGTCACTCGATATTACAGAGCCCCTGAAATCATGTTATCTAGTTAATAATATTCAAAACCAGTGGATATCTGGTCTTTGGGATGCACTTTCGCTGAACTTATGAGTCGCAAAACTCTCTTCAATGCTCCAAATTACATACAGATGATTAAGATGTTCTTTAATATCTTAGGCAAACCCTCTGACGAAGAACTTAATCAATTTGTTACCAACGAAAATGCCCATTCCTTTCTATAAACCTTACCACCCAAACCAAAAAAACCTGCATCAAACAGTGTTCCGTATCCAGATCCCAAAGCCAGAGATCTACTTGATTAGATGCTTGAAATCAACCCAAAAAATAGAATAACCGCTTAAAAAGTATGCATTATCTTACATTAGTGTTTAGAACACCCTTTTTTCGAGTCAATTAGAAACCAAGCAGAAGAAATCACATTTGCTGGTAATCTAGAATGCGATTTTGAAAATGATGATTCTATTACCCTAAACAATTTGAAACAATTAATTTTGATCGAAATCAACCAAATCAAAGCAAAGAATAATGAAGCATAAATTATTATCGAAGAAGAGATGAAAAGACTTAACCTTTATTGATTTATTTAATTATAACAAATATTAAAATATTTAATCATTTTATCTTGCTCTTGATCTCATCACAAACCTTCTATTTCTTATTAAATTGTATTAGAATTCTGTATTCAATGAAGTTTATTAAAATTATTCAATATAATTTAGATTTTATGTATTGTGTTTCTCAGAAATATTTAAGTTGAGATTGCAACTTCCATTTCTGACTAAAAAAATTATTATAATAATAAAACCATATTATTATTTCTGAAAAACTTGGAAGACATTGGATTGTAAGTTTATTTTAATTAGTTTGAAACTATAATGACAAAATCTAATTAGTGTTTAATATAAAAACTAACTCGAAAGTATTTAGTATCATTATTTATATCTATTAAATAAAGTTATTTTGTTGATTTAATCTAAGAATTTAGTGCATCCTATAATTAATATGACTAAATTCTTATTAATCGATTTAAATTTACTAAATAAATTAATACTAATGATGGATTGAGTTAATGTAAGCTAGAAATAAAGTTAAACATATTAAGCTAACTAACTGATTATCATGATATGACTAATATATCCATTAAAGGTTTGATAACTATTTTATCTATTGATAATTATTAAATAAATAATTAAATAGGCATTACAAGATAGTGTGAATAAGGATTAGGAACTATGTTATTGAGATTCGATTTAGTTTTGTATATTAATTAGTAAGTTGATTAAAATCACTTATTGATATCTATTATGATATCTCATTTTAGAATTGAAATCCGTTACTTAAAATATTTCTTAATTAAAATGTGTATGCAAAGTAATCAATGAGAATAAGAAATCATGATAATTACAATATTATTAAATAAGTTGTAGAATTTAGGTTTGAATAACATTTATTAGATAAATAATTTAATGTAATTCTATCAGGCTAAGTAGGTTCATTATTTTACATTTAGATTGTTGGGGAAATGTAATTTGATCTTTAATTAACTTACGAAAAACAACTACTGAAAAATAATTTTAAGATAACAATATAAAAAAAATGATTTCTTAGCAATTAAAGGCAGGATTCTATGATAATTCAATTCCTAAATTTAAAATATAATTGACTAATCGTCCTACTTATGAAAAACAATCGATGAATCTAAGAAAAAAAATGTAGATTGGCATCTAAAAAGAGTCAACTTAAATCTAACAGTTATAGAAATAACAAAATCATTTGTGGAGATTAAGGGTTTAGAATACTTAAGAATATCATAAAAAGTAGTGCAATCTAATATTTCGATCAAATACAATTAATATTAAGAATTCTAATTCATTAAACAGCCAAAAATATGTTCATTTGATATATAACAGTCCTTAAAAAGCAATCACAGAAAGGGGGAGACAACAGAAGCCGAATGTAAAAATAGTTTCAATTAATTTAAGGAAATAGGATTAATAAATAGATCCTTGGATTGTCAAAATATGACTGAAATATTGAATGATAGAAATTAGATATACAAAAGAAGAACCTTAAGATTAAGCTTGGTTTGATTTATTCATATTTTAACTTTTATCATATTATTTTCTTTGGGATAAGGAGATTGGTTGATGTAGCAATGTTATTCTTAGGAGATGTCACTAGATTTGTAATTGTATTTCTTCCATAAAACCTCTGTGTATTGATGGGAGGAATTTGAGTTCTGTCATAGGTTTCAACTCTGTTCCTGAAAGTGCCTGTCTCTAAGGCTGAGTCATTATTCATTCTATTCAAACCCATAAAGAAGGATGTCTCTGATTTTCGGAAAGAGTTTTGTTTGACAATAGGTTTTTGTTTTTGTTTAACAGGACTGATGGATACTTATGTTGATTCAGTAAGTGCAGGTAAAAGGAGTTTATTTGATTAGGATCCTCTCAGATGTTTTTTGGGAGACTCTGGATCAATTGGAACAATGAATTATTCATTATCAACACTGAATTATTATTATAATTTGATTTTTTTTAATTCTCTGATTGGTGATTCATTAGTTTAATTGAGGATGGCATTCAATTAATAATGTTTTCCTTTGTAGGGGATGTTATTGAGTGTCCGAAATGATTTTAAAATTTTGCTAGGTCTTTGTATTGATAATTTATTGAAGAATTATTGATTTTTAGGACTGTTGGTATCTTCACATTCCTGTTCATAATTGTCTTCATCAAACTCAACAATTGATATCTTAAATTCTCCTAAATCAGTCTTAGATTGAATTGGGGACTGTTTAATTGAATCCTGTTGGACTTGATTTAAAAATAAAACAGCTTTGATGTATTAAAAAAACTAATTGTATTAAAAATGATACTTTCTTTTTTAATTCTTGGCAAGTACCAAATTCTTTAACACTCATTGGAATAGGATGATTAAAATGTCGAGTGATCCAAGGATGAACCAATGCTTAAGCAGCTGTATATCGAGAATCCTAGTCGTATTGCAACAATCTTTGGAGGAGATCTCTTGCCAATGGTGATGCATGCAAGGGTTGCTCATATTTAAGATCTGGAAAACTATTGATGAACTCCTTTTTGGTTGAAATTCGAGGATAAAATGGATGCTTGCCTTGATTTAACAGCATAAACAAGACTACGCCACATGACCACATATCAACAGCTTTATTGTATGCTTTATTTAAAATTTATTCAGGTGCCATAAATATAAATGTGCCACATTATTACGAAACTGTTTAATAATAACGAATTTCAGGCATGTACTGATAACTCAAGCCGAAGTCAGCAATCTTAACACTCGAAAGATCTTCACTATTTTTAATTAAGATATTATCTAATCATGTATACTATTCAAATGAATACCTGGTTTAATATCTCGGTGGATAATCTATTTGGAATGGAGATACTCTATCGCTGTGAATATTGATTTCATGATGCCGCTTATTGTTTCCTCCTCTAATCTTTGTTTCATGTAATCACTCAGAGAACCACCCCCAGCATATTCCATGATCAAATACTGACTGTTTCCCTGCTTAAAATACTATATTTAATCCTAACAATCGAAACCTTGTAAAATTTAATAATGTTTTTGTGTTTAAGACTTTCCATTATTGATGTTTCCTATAATTATGCCCCTTGCATACACTATTCATTTCACATTTATTTACTTTTATTGCTACTTCCTCCCCTTTGTAAGAGGCCTTGTACACTTGTCCAAACGCCCCTTCACCAATTTTCTCAATTATTTTTAGCTCCTTTTCCTTCAGAAAATCATGTTTCATATTAATTATTATAAATTAAATATATATAGCTACAAAGGATCTTAATTTATCAGAGCACAGTGTAAGTTAATAATCACTTATTTAATCCCAATTTTAAATTGAAATCAATCTATATTTAGTTCATCTAAGGTCACAACCTATCCAATAGTTATGGCCATACTGATAAATCTTCAAAGTACAGAATTGAAATAAATTAAGTATTAAAGTCATAATCTGTATAAATATATTTTAACTAAATTACGTAATGACCAACATGCAATTTAGTTTAGACGCATCTTTCCATTCCTACTAGTTTTGTGATATCGAAATTAATGACAGGACTCAAGACTTTCCACATTTTGAACCCATTCACATAGTCTCTCAACAAAATAAATTTAACAACTTAAAAAAAGAAATAAAGCTTTCTCCCTTAATCAACTATGATAATAATAACACTTCATAAATGTATTATTAAATAAAAGTTTAAAAAATGAGAGTTAAAAAGGCAATATAATCCAGGAGTTCTAAATACCGCAGAATACCTGATTTGGATTAAAATTCCTATTTAAGAATCATATAACCTTCATCAAAGACTATGAAAATTACTCAAAGACTATCTTCATAACCACAGAGATTGCCCACAAAATCCTTTTGTGATTTCACAAATCCCAAAGACTATCAACAAAAAGTACAAGCAAAAATTAAAACTCGATTACCTAGTATCGAAAAACATCAAGTTGAAACCCCATCTAAAAGCTCTTTGAATTGTTGGACAAGATAGACCTCTTCCAGTTTATTTCAAGAAAACTGATGACTAAACTTTATGTATATAGAATAATCAAAATTATATATTTTTTGCAAAAAAGATTGCCATTATTCCATTTCTGTCCAAGTAATTGAAACTAGAACCTTTGATTTATTGAAGCACATTAGACAAAATTCATTTGTAGAACGGAAAGCATTTCAAAAGATATTTCTATTATGTATTTAAATAAGTTAATCATTAAAGATCAAGAAGCAATATAGGAACTTAGGTAATGTTTATATATCTGTCTTAAATTGAAAGAACTTCTCACATTTTTGAGTATTCCCCTATTGACAATACAATTAATTATTATCATACTCCCAAGAATTTAAATTTGAAATGGATTATCAATTTCGAAATGCTACTTCATTAGAATGAACTTATTAGTGTTTTGATAATCATTCTTTCTCATTTAAAATTTTGTATATTTTTTCCCAGAACTTACAAAAAATCATTAAATAATAATTAAATGAATCGAATTCATCATTATTCAGGATTAGACAGTCGGCAAAAATCTGGATAGGAAGCAACAGAGCCAGCATCTACCAATAATAGGCTTACTAGAAGTTTAGGGAAGAGCAGATCTTCCTTTAATAACAGTGTTACTCAATCAATTACAAGTTCGATATAGAAAGGAAAATCTTATTACTTGAATCAATTAGAAGCATACTATAATATGCATTTAATCGAAATATTGGCAGGTTCGTTTTTAGTTAATTAAGGGGTTGTCTCCATTAGATGAGAAGATGGAATTGCTCAATAAATTTAAGGAATTGTACCAATAGATAGTCGAGTAATTATAAGACCTACTATTCCTAATTAAATAAGTTGATTTTGAAGCTCCCAACTTTGAAGAACTTTATTAGACTGATGCTGAATATTTCAGTGAGATTGTGTATAGGGATATAAAGGTATCTTCATTTCCCTATTTATTAGCATCTAGAATAACAACACTATGATTTCATTTACTCATCTAGTTTAAGATTTTTACCAAATATTTTAGATTGTCTGTAATATAATTTCGAAATTGATATTTATGAATTTGATATTCGTAATTGGGCATAGTAAGGATTAGACCATATTCTGAAATTTAGTGGACTAAGAAGATCATTTCGTTAACCTATTGGTTGCTGTTAAAGATATTGCAAATGCATAGCCGATTTGTTTAAAGGGAATAGACAAAGAAGATGAAAAAATTCAACAATTAATAAAAACAACCAATTAATTGTTACTGAATATGATTAAATTTATGTAACTAACTATTCATCATAATTCCATATTCATGACCAAATTTCTGATGAAATTTAGTATATTTGATAATACTAAAATTGAGAAAAAATCAATTAAATTTCTTAGAGATTTAGTTTATCTGCAAATACTATTATTATTTTGAAGGAACCAGAAGTATTGGTAGCTTCATTCTTTTATGAGGTATTCTCTCTTAGAGTCTTAAATTCATGCTACACTTTTATCAAGATCGAATTGTATTTTAAGTTCTTTTGACCTTATTTGGATCATATAGAGGTTGTCTCAAATTGTTTATCATTAATCGTCAACAATCTTAAATTATGTGCTCTGTAATAAAATTACTCTATATTATTTCCCTAATAGAAATAAAGTCTTACATTAATATTAATTCATGATAAGGAATGAAAATGTTCGTAAAATCGATGATTACAAGATTATGTTGAATGAATTGGTGGGAAAAGGAGCATATGGATAAGTCTTTGGTTGTCAGTCATTAAAAGATCCTCTGCTCCGTTTATGTGCAAAAGTAGGAAATACAATATTTTTAGGTAATGATGATCTCAGATAATTTAAAAAATTATGCAGATAGGGAATAATAGATTTCAGAAATAGTTTCTTAATATCAATCTAATCAAAACATAGTCAAAATCTATTAAGCAAAATTTATATAAGAATTGGAAAAAAAATTGATTATTATTATGGAAAAATGTGATATTAATTTGAAAGAATACATAGAATAATAACATCCACAAACTTTTAGTGATAATGAATTGTTTGATTTTTTAGATTAATTCTTAACTGGATATTCTGTTCTTTTTGAACGAGATATAATACATAGAGATATAAAACCAGAAAACATTTTGATTAAAAAAGAAAAAGAAAAAATAATTTATAAGCTAACTGACTTTGGAATTGCAAAAATTTATAAAGCCCATGATTTTCATTTTACTAAAATTGGCACTCCTGCTTATGCAGCACCTGAAATAAATTCATAACTTAATGACCAAGAAGTTGTTAATAATTTTATACATTTAAAAAAGTTTTAACATTCTAAAAGTTAAGTGGATGTTTACTCAGTAATAATACATTATAATACTTAGCTTGGTATAATTCTCTATTAGATGGCATATGGTAAACTTCCCTTTGATAAACAACAAACGTCTATAATTGAATTTTTATAAAAAATAAAATCGAACCCTTTGAGATTAGCAGGAACCTCAAATTACAAGGAAATCATTGAAAAAATGTTGGTATACTATCCTGAATAAAGGATGTCTTTTGAATATTTGTATGAATTTGTCAACGAGAAAAAAAAAACAAAAATTACAAATCCAGGCTTGTTTAAACTTGATAATAAAAATTTTAAAATAAAAGAGGTTGAGAGAAACTAACCGGTTTTCAAAAGATAATAACGTTTTGATGGGTTTAGCAATATGGGTGAAAAAAATTAACCTATCTATTAAAAATTTCCAGATCACATTAAAAACAATCAGTTTCCTTTTTAATATAAACCAAATGAAATTAAAAACAATCAACCTGCTTTTTTATAAAAACCAAATGAAATGTATAGAAATCAGTCTCCTAATTTAATAAAACAAAATGAAATTAAAAACAATCAACCTGCTTTTTTTTAAAAACCAAATGAAATGTAAAGAAATCAGTCTCCTTTTTTATAAAAACCAGATCAACTTTTGCGTATAACAGTCATCTCTCCCCATTAAAAGATAAAAGAATATATGCAATTTATATTGTAATTGTAAAAAGTTTAAACTTAGAAATGATCAGGGAGATCTAATTAAGGAGGAAATCAAATTACGTTTTTCATTTTATGTTAAAAACTAAACTTTCTCATTTGATTAACTAAAAGATTTAGTAAGAATTTATAAAAGGTAAATACAAAACCCAGATTAATGCTAAAGCCAAACACAATTTTTTTTCTACTGCATACTTTGTCTTCTTGATGGTAGTTAAGTTCAAAATTATTAATTCCAAGATAAGAAAATATTAGATGATATTAAAAGATTATACAAAAGTTTAGTTGAAAGCAAGACTTTAGATTAATGATATTAAATAATATTATATTTTATAAGAAAATGAAAGATTACTTAGATTAAATTTTTTTGTTTTTAATAAAATTAGTAAAGTGATTGTAAGCATTTTTGCTATTCAACATTTCTATTTGAATATTAAAATCAGTTTAAGCAATATTTTTGCTGTTTACTTTTACTGAAATAAATTTATTTCTTGAAAAATCATAATATATTGAGATAAGAATTTAGATTTAACAGATATTTCATTAGTTACATTATTTTGTAGATACATGTAGATGGTCTTCATATTTAATAAATAGGTTTCAAACTATAGAAGTTTTTAATTAATAACCCTTACATATTAAAATAATTCCTTTTAAACATATTAGAATTTTTTAAATTAATTGATATACTAAAGTGGTGGTTTTTACAAAATAATATTAAGTAAAACATTTTTGTCTTCATTTATATCAAGGTTTCTAATAATTAAGGATAAATATTTATGAACGAAAATAAATAATTTAAAAAATAAAGCTTACATGCTTAATTTTGTTAAGGTCAAAATTCAATTATTCAATTAATTAAGTAATATTGTTTTATATATGATGATGATAATAATTATTTATATAATAGAGTTTTTATTGTTGTGCATATATTAATAAATAAGAAAGAGTATTTAAAGGATTATTGATATAATATAAAAAGGATTCTAAATTTTTTAAATTTAGTTTGAACAAAAATAACAATTCACAAATAATTTAAATTGAAACTATTCGGATAACAAATTACCACATAAGCAACTCCAGTTTAAACTAATAATATTGATTTTTGATTAATTAGTTCAAATAATAAAGAATTGCACTCTTTCAAATAAGTAAATTAATAAAAAAATGGAATTCAGGATGTATAAAGTGTAATTTTTTAATTAGAATTAATTTACAATAATAAATGCAAGTTGTACATATTTTGGATTATATTATAAATGAATCTTTTTATTAAAATATTATTATAATATTAATGACGTAAATTAATATTACTGAAAACTAGTAAATAGGAAGTCTTAAACTAATTCAATAATGGGGATAATTAATTTAAATTAAAAATAAAGAGAAATGTACGGAAATAAAAACAAAAACGCAGCACTGATATCAATTTACTGTCAGAGATACAAAATGAGATTAAACTCAACTCCTCATGTAATTGCTAATGAACTGTCCATAAACAATTTAAGTGGTTAGAGAGTGTAAACTGACTCTGCATAAATTAGAAGAATCAAAACAATGAGAAGTCAGAGATCAAAGTTATATTATAAGTCTGAGAGCAGAGAACCCATTAAATTTTCTAATTCATCCAAATTTTCATCAATTGATTCTAGAAAACATTCAAATTATGATTCTCATGTCAATACATCAGCTTCTGACAATGAAGACAAAGCTTTGACGATATCAAAAATCATTTTTTCCGTAAAGTCCCCTCTTTAAAGTTTAAGGTTTTAAGGATTTACTCTTGACAAAAAGCCTTCAAATATTGAAATGAACAGAAGGAAAACATTAAGAAATTCTTTATTTGCAAATTCCTACAAGAATTCACATTTTTTAATGACCGGAAATGAATGTGGTTGGTCTAGAAAATCTTCAGAAAGTCTTATCTATCTATGTTGATGAGGCTAGTAAAATTATTTGTATATAGTGAATATATGTTTATTCATTTTAAATAAAATAACATAATAAATATTCTTAAATTCTAAAAATGAATTATATTATTCTAGAAGTGTTGCATGTTCTATTTTAGTCAAAACAACTTAAATAGCATCAGAAAATATTATCCAATTTATACGTTAATTTACAATTATTTAAGAAGGATATACAAATATTTATATAAAAGGACTTATGTTTATAAATAATATTTGAATTTTTACAAACTATTCTAATTAACATAAAACTTGTGCTTATAAGAAGTTGGACAGCGATGTAAAACCGTAATTAAGTATATTCTGATTCGTTTAAATTTATTTGTATTGAAAAGTTCTACACATAGTTAAATAACATAAAATAAGGTTTCATATAATTAATTCAATTTTTATTCATCTTAGATTAAACCATCAAATTTTGGCTGTTTATAAAATATCCCAATATTTATAGGCAGTAGATGATATGTATTGCTTTTTTATATCTATAGTGAAATAATGTGTAAAAACTTTATGAACTAACAATATATATCTATTAGCATTATTATTAGTAAAATGCAATATTGAATATTTCTTTCTTAGAATTAATTTTAGATGTTATTTGTACATAGGTGCAACAGAATCACATAGCTTCAGATCATTGTAGTCAAAAGTATCTTCAATAATAATTCATTCTGAAATTTGATTGGTGGACAATAAGCTTATTTAACCAATCAAATTGTTTAAGAATGTAATAAAAACTCATTCAAATAATAAAATATTAACAAAAACAACCCTTATCAACCATATGAATAAAATAGATTAACTTTTAACTTATCTATTAAGAATGTAGTGTTGTTTAAGCTATACCTCTTTAATAATTGATTTGTTTAAAGGGAAAAATCTAAGCTCGTTTTTGATTAATTTTGATTGGTGATAATTTAAGATAATTTCAATATCATAAAATGGGCTATCCTTTCTATTAAACTAACTTAACATATAATGATAATTTTGTAATAATTATTATAGTTATAGTTTTACAAAAAAATCGAATATAAAAACTCTATTATATTTTAAATTTAATTTTACATAATACTATTTTACTAAAACTACTTGGCTTAAATGTTCTTCTTTATAAACAATATGGTCAAATAGAATAATTTACATTAAGGATTGAATATTGTGATAAGAAGGAATTAAGACATACTTAAAAGTTTTGAAGAAGATTCTATGATAATAATTAATTTTTGTTTTCTCCATAAATTTTTAGCTAAAAAAAAGCTTAATTAATAATTAGTTTTTAAAACTAATATTAATAATATTCAAATTTTCGACAATTATGCATCAAGAAGAAAGTGGATTTAAAGTATGTTGAGTTGATTTCCTCGACCTCAGTACTTTAGACCAGAAAAATAGTAGATTTAGGAAATTTAATAATATGAGATGAAATCAATTTTGAGCGAACATTCATCAATTGAAAAGAAATTAAACTTGTGAAAAGTTATTATAGATTCTTATTCAATTCAAGTATTAAAATATAATTTTATATAGGAAGAATTTGAATCCAAGGATGTAAAAAGTCCTAATTGCTATCATATTTAATGATAATAAAAAAAGTATTTTAGCTTTGGACAATTAATTTGGATGATAAGGAATGTAATTGTAGCCTGTGACAAAGACTATTTGTCATATAATTCATATAATTCTTAAATATTACTACTAATAAATGCTATAAATTATTTATAAAAAATTAATTATATGGTAGATAGTTGCTGTTTTTAAAAGACTAAATTTAACCACTAAAAATAATAATTTCAGTGTTAAAGTGGATCTCTGATATATTTAATTTATTTTCTTTAATCTTATAAAGATCTCAACAAAAAATTTAAACAAAATGCTTTGAAATTAATGGTGTAACATCTATATTGAATGGTAAAAATTTGAATTAAAAAAAAGTAAAGTCCATACGAATGATCAGAAATAGATTGGGCTAATCTATGAAGGGCTTGAAATTTCCATGCTTTTTAATCAATATTTAATTTTAGTTTATGCAATATTTAGTGCTAATCTTCTTAATAAGTATTTTAATCAATACAGTGGTAGGGGGTTGGATCATTTGTTACAATGGAATACATGAACTTAAAACATTTACATGCACTTCAATAGGTTGTTTATATGGATTCAAGAATTAAACATACACAGGACCAGCCTTATATTTAAATTGCTTAACAAATCCATTAACTGCCTTAAGGCTAGATAGTCTATAAATGACTTCGTTAGAAAATTATGTATCTTTAGCACCAACACTATCTAACGCATACAAATTGATCATGTTTGATGTATATTATACAAGTCAATGGGTAGATGATGTCATAGATTTTGAGTTTAATAATTAAATTTTTTAAATTAGACATTCAACGTCAGATCCATTGCCTCAAACTGAAGGTTTTTGTGAATCCATATAATATGAACTTAGAACTTATAACTTTACACTACCTTATAGTTCAAATCCTTATTAATTTCCCAAATTTACAATATACAATCCCTCAGTTAGCGCAATGATTAGAAATGTGCATTTGTCATTTCAAAATTGCTATCCTGGTTGCACCTAATGCACAGGGCCAGAGAAGAACTAATGTACTGCATGTTCACCAAATTTGGCCGTAGTTAATGGAGTATGCAGATGTCCCATAAGATAAAGTGTTATGTAAGCATATGGATGTGTAAATAAATGTTATATAACAGGATCTAAAATAAAATCATAAAATAGAATTTGTTTAGATTTTGCACCAACAACACTCATCTACTCTGTTTTAACCTCAGTTAATTTAGAAACTTGGTATAATTGGAATATCATTTATGACCCTTAACATATAGATGTAGTTGATAAGAAATTAGCTCCTTATAATTTTGGACTCTTTAGATTTCGAGAAGGAGTCTATACATCTATTAGTACTGCATATGGGATATATCCTCTGGGCTCAATAGTTTAAATTGTATTTTGTAATGCGACTCCAATAAACACAGGAGTTCAATTTTATGTCAATTAGACCTATGTTGGTTCTGTGTACTATGATGGAACTTAATATATATTTGATAAAGTAGAGTTGAGATCGTAATAAGTGTATCCAATTACTGGACAATGTACAAATAATTAGTTTCTATCTGTTGAGATATTTACTACTCTGATTGAATAAAAGTTAACTTTTTCTATCTAAGGGAATTTTACGTAACATTCCAGAATAAATTAGTTCACCAGGAGCAGGATGGTTTCTAAGACTGGTGTAAATCACAACAGGTTATTGTCCGAATGCGTGTTACAAATGCGACATGTTTTATAGATGTATATAATGTCCATAAGGATATGTAAAAATTTCTGATGGAACATGTTAATACTGGGGTTGTCCAATTGAAACTACTTATAATGGTACTCATTGTGTAAAATACAATGAAGCTACAAAATGTAAAAGATCATTTAACATAAGATTCATAATATTTTGTGAGAGAATTTTTTGACTTTACTGTCACAGATACTCTAAATACAACCTTCGTTTTGGAATCATCAGTACCAACTGATTTGTAAAAAGGTCCTTTTGTATTTTGGTCTTACATTGATACAAAAAGGGTATTTGGAGGTAAATTTGTTTGGGCTTAATCGAGATTTTCTTAGATTTATACTTTAAATCCGCATCACTCATTAACAATATATTTTTAAGTTATTTTTGGCCCAAACTTTCCAACATCACCTACTAATTACTTTTCATATGAAATTAACAATGGTACTCAAGTAAAGATAACTAAAACTTCAACATTAAGTATTATAGAAAAAGTGTTAACATATAATCCTACTTTAACAATTGCAATTTAGTGCTATGGTATCAATGTTATTGATTCATATTGTGGAATGTCAAATTATTACATAGTTGTTCATTACTGTAAGCCATATTGTAATAGATGTACAAATGAACTCACTTGTGATGAGTGGATGGCATTTGATCCAAATATTGTGAAAGTAGATTAATCCTAATGTTCAGGTAACCAATTTGTAGATGAAATTACTTCAACATGTGAAGATTGTCCCTTTGAATGTCTTACATGTTTTAATGAATATGAATGTTCAACATGTAAGCCTAACTATAAATTGGTTCTTACAACATGTGTAATAGGTTGCTAACTCAATTAATTTCACGATGGCACGAATTGCATAGATTGCCATTATAGTTGTAAATAGTGCTAATCAACCAATTATTGTATTCATTGCGAATCTACATCTTTGAGATATTTAGAAAACGGACAGTGTAAATGTTATGATGGTTATTATGACTAGAATAATATCTAAATGTGCTAGCCATGTGATAAGTTATGTACGAAATGCAATGGACCTTCCAATTAGAATTGCTAGTCATGCATAGTTTTAGACTAATTAACATTAAATGGAAGCTCTTGTGAATGCAATTTCGGATATTACTTTGATGAATTTTAGTTGAAATGTGAATTATGTTAAACTAAATGTGAAACCTGTTTTGGTTAATCCGACACCACTTGTTTATCATGTTATTCAAATTAATTTAGAGTATTGAATGGATTTTATTGCAAATGCTAAGAAGGATATTTTGATAATATTTTAGATATTTGTGTTTTATGTCCTGCTGTGGAAGATGCCTTATTAGGATCTTGTTATAAGGTTTGCGGGGATGGCTCTTCAATTTGGTTTAATTAGAATTGTCCTTCATTTGTTTGTCCCTTGGGATACAATACTGTAAATAATTAATGCAATCCTATATGTGGAGACCTAATTATTGTAACTGGAGAATAGTGTGATGATGGGAATACAATCTAATTTGATGGATGTCACAATTGTAGATACTAATGTCCTGCTTAATGTAGTGTTTGTGATAATACTACTGTATTCCCTTGTCTGGATATGTGTGGTGATGGTGTGGTAAGTGGACTAGAAGAATGCGATGATTCAAATAACATATAGTTTGATGGTTGTTATGAATGCAAAATTGAATGTTAACCTTAATGCACAAGATGCACCAAAGGTGTCTGTTCTGAATGTCAAACATTCGGTTGGATGTTTAACCCCTCTTCAAATTTATGTATAGAAAAGTGTGGAGATCGATATATAGTGGGAAATGAGCCTTGCGATGATGGATATAATTTTGATGGTAATGACAGTTGTCTTGCTTGTAAAAGAGTATGCAGAGATGATTGCAAGACTTGTAGTGATGATGGAATCACATGCCTAGAATGTAAAACAATCGGATTTAGACCATACTTATACTATTGTGTAAATATTTGTGGGGATGGATATTTAGCAGTAGATCCATATAACAGATATATTGAATAATGTGATGATTTTAATTTAGCAAATTATGATGGGTGTAATGCAGCTTGTTTATTTTAATGCTAGACGATAGACATTTGTACAAGTTGTGTAAGTAATAAATGTTAAAGCTGTATCAGTACCTACTATTTGGATACATCAAAAAATAAATGTATTGAAATATGTTATGATAATATTATTGTTGGAAATGAAAAATGTGAAGATATGAATAGTCTAATGTTGGATGGCTGTTATAATTGTTAATTATCATGCTAATAATCATGTCAGACATGTACAATTAATGGATGTACATAATGTAAAGCAGGCTATTTGCTAACCAATTATTAATGTGTTAATATTTGTGGAGATGCCATTGTTGTGCTTGGAGAGGATTGTGATGATGGCAATTTAAATCCTTTTGATGCATGTCATTAGTGTGTTTATCAGTGTACACCTTATTGTTTGACCTGTCATAAAGGGTAATGTCTATAATGCTAAAAGGATTATATCAAAATAAAAGGAGGCTGTTGGAGATATTAAGATGTATTAATGTAAAATTAACAGAATTTGTAAGTAAATGAGGAAACCTAAATTATTTTTTTTGAATTTTGTTCTCATTATGATAAGATGAATTGCTATAAATGCCAATATCCATATACCTATAATTAATTTGCTTAAAAATGTGAAATTAAGTTAGAATATTTAACTCATTATGATGGCCCAACTGGTTAAGATTATATTTAGCCTTTATTGGAGTTTTGTTTAATTTAGTATCATGAAAAATGTTTGAAATGCTATAATAATTTTGAATTGGATGATCTGAATAACTCATGTTAACCAATTTGCGGTAATAATTAATTGAATGGCTATGAATAGTGCGAAGACAATAACGCTCTGCTTTTTGATGGTTGTTATGATTGTAAATATTCATGCCATTACTCTTGTGAGTATTGTCAATTTGGAAAATGTTTCAGATGCTAATAAGATTACATTTTAGTTGATGAAATATATTGTCAACAAAAGGCAATCTGCAATTAAATTGAAGGATTTTATCTAGATGAAGAAACAAATACTTGTATTGAAAATTGTGGAGATGGTATTTTATCAAAAAATGAGGAGTGTGATGATGGCAATGATATTTAATATGATGGTTGCTATTAGTGCAAATATTAATGCTAACCATATTGTTCTTAGTGTATTAAAGGAAATTGCATAATAAAACCTTCTCTTTGTAGTGTTGGATTTTATTTTAACTTTGAAAGTCTATCATGTGAATCTATGTGTGGAGATGGCATTCTAGTTGAATCATAAGAGGAATGTGATGATGGTAATCAAAGTGATGAAGATGAATGTACCAATAATTGTAAGTTACAATGTGATTCTAAATGTGCTTAATGTGAAAAACAAAATAAGTGTTAAGCCTGCAAAGAGAATTATTAATTAATTAATAATAAATGTGAAGAAATTGAAAATTTAGATAATTGGATTAAGAATTGTGAAATATCAATAGAAGATGAATGCTTGTAATGTGAAAAAGGGTTCACCTTAAAAAATAATAATTGTATTATTTTTTGTGGCGATGGCATTCTAAATGGTAAAGAGTAATGCGATGATGGCAATAACTTAAATGGAGATGGATGTGATATTAATTGTGCTCCATCCTAGGATAGTTATTGCAGAGATTCTGAATGCACGATCTTAATCTCACCTAGTGCTCAACTTGTTTTTTCAAAGGAGTTTTTTGGCTTATAATATGCAGAATTAGTTTATAACCAAGATATGAGATTGGAAGAGGACTACACTCAACAAAATTATCTTGATAGCTTAGCATTTTTTATTGAGAGTAGAAATGAGAGTGCTAATATATTGTATTCGACAAGCTCTATCACCTAAGATTTAAATTATGTTGTTATTTCAATACAGATTGAATTTTTGGAGTATGTTCAAGATCCAGTCTTAAAGGTAAGGTTTAATAATAATGAGATATTGGCAAATGAGTTTGGCTTATCCATAAAATAAGAGATTCTATCAACAAAATTATTATCTCCAAATGTTCTTTCTTAAAGTCAATAACAAAGTAGTTAGTCATTAATTTCAATGAGTTCGTAATTATTGAAGATAATGGCTGTATTTATAGCACTATCTTCGATAACAGGATAACTACAAATAATAACAAACTTAATCGATATTATTCAGTAATTATATTACTTAAAATATCTAAACTCTAGGATTGGTATTAACCTTGCTCAATTTTACTAAACCTTCAAAATAATATAGCTAAATAATATTTATGAGCAATTCAACATGAATCCAGACTCGAATTTTAAGGGCGTGTTGACATATTACAATTCCGAGCCAATATTTGAATTTGATGATAGAAATGCAAATTTTCTAAACAACATTTCCCAACTAAGCCTGGTGTATATCATCTTAGCCGTTACACTGACGATTTTGAAATTTGGTACTGTACTGATAATGAAAAAACTGGCATAATTAAATTAAATCCATTTAAAATTGTCATAGCTTCATATTGTAAATTTCATATAGAAGAAATGTATAAAAATAAGAAGAATAAAATATTGGCCTCAAATTCGGAGTTTGTTTATAGCTATGATTTACGAGTTTGGAATAAATATATTTCTTGCTATCAAGTACTCATAAAGAGACAGTGAGGGTGACTGTGGGGTTACGATAGCCATTTCAACTCTGATGGTAAGTTTGTTAATGTTGCTATCGAAATTGAAATAGAGTAATGGTCTAATCAAAAGATTGAAATTGCTAAATAAAGAGGACAATGTGTACATATACATGTGTGTTCAGAAGTTATTGTTTGTGATGTTTTTGGTGTTCTTTTTTTAATCTGGGGCGATCCAGATTTTGCTATGCATTTTAAACGAGTTTCAATATTGTTACTTTTTGTATAGTTACAAAATAATTAAATAGCCGTCAGAGAATTTGAAGCAACTGTCTTCTCACGTTATCCAATTCATAATTTGCAGTCTATATCTAATTAATAACTTTTATTAAAATGACCCTCAGGTTTTGATTATGATTGGGTGGAGCATCATTAGTTTGATGAGTACGGTTTTGGTGATAACAGTAGTCGTAGATTTTTTTGATTTAATTTATCCTTTTTTCAAGAAGATCTTAAAAAGACAGACAGTTCGGAATAATGAGATGAGTGAAATATTTTGTGTAATTGAAAATCAGGTAAATGTTCTCAATCGACAATAATTTTGAAGATTTGATTTAATTCATTAGTTGTTGTAATAAATATAATTTATAATTATTGTTTTGTATTTAATTATATGATTAGCGAACAAATTTAATCGATTACATCAATAGTGCACAATGGTACGTAATCGATATTATAAAGAGTTCTATATAAAAAGTGGGAATGGGCCTTGGATCCAGAGGAATATTTTCGAGAATGTAGAATACGATGAATATGAGAATAAACAAATAGAGATTTTGTAGCAGAAGGTAGAGGAGAAGGGCTTGAAGATCAATTTGAAGAGAAGTACGTTATTGAAAATGTTGATGGCAGCTCAATATGATGTGGAAAGAGCAATAATAGTATTGTAATAAAAATATTAGATAATTAGAATTGTTAATTGCACTTAAAGTTTATGAAGGAGTACAAGAAGAGTGATTTTCAGAAGGACCTGATGAAAGGCTACCTGTATGTGTGCGGATTCGATAACCAATACAGGCCAGTCATTATCTTTAGACAATATTGTGATATCAAAATAATTACTTATTTTTTGGAAACAGTTAGGAGATTTCTTTTGATAGATTATTATGTTGAAAATTGGACCATAATAATAGACCTGGAATTGGATTTGCCAGTGTTGGAATTGGAAGATCTATTATATTTGCAGCTCCAATTTTATGGAAATTTGAATAAAATGTTAATAATAAATGGCCCAGATGACATTTAAGTAATCTTGAAATAATTTACTGGTGATTATCTTAAATATATGATTAGATAAATTTCCCGACCTTAGCGTCAAATTGTAAGTGATAACCGAATATTCCTAATTACTGTAGTACATTCCCAAGGATCAATTGGAAATTAAGTATGGTGGAGACCAGCCAAACGTCATACAATTTTGGTATTCCCATCAATTTATCATAGGCCAATACAAAAAAGAGAAGGCATTTCTGGATTAGTAAATGGGAATAATAATAAAACTTCGCATCTCTCAATAGTCTCATTGAATAGTAGTTCTGTAAATAAGAAGTCTAGTTTCATGAAGATCACTGTTTTGGAGGAGAACGGAAATCCCCTTTTAAATTAGCAGATGGCTGTTTTCGAAGACAAAGTGTTGTAGTCATCTGAGTCCTCAATTTAGGATTAGGCTCCCCTGTAGGATTATGAGGAGAAGTACAAATCTTACTTAAGTACGTCAACAAAAAAGAATTGTATCGATAAGGTGTAGTTTATGGATATGGACGATTAGAGTGGTGAGGAGTAATAATCTAAGGAGGGTTAGAATGAAAAGAAAAAGAAAAGGAAACTGCAAATGGATGAGAAACAAGTGAAAATCTAAAGGATAAAAATGGAGGGAGAGAAAGAATCAATAGTTGCCAATCCATCTTGCTGTTCAAAGAATTGTTCTATTTTCTGATTACTACATTTTATATAATTATCCATCTATTAATTAATATTAAAAGTGTAAATCATGAATTATATGAGAGATAATTATACGAGTGCCAAAAATGATGTGCCCATCCTTATAGATTACGGAGCCTCAACAATCAAAGCAGTATACACATTCTTTTTCATCATAGGGTTATGCCACATCTCAAACTCCAGATGTAGTGATCAGAAGCTACATCAATAAATTCAAGGACTCGAATACGCAATCCAATCAGATAGCCCAATGGGACACAGACGTGTTTAAGAATTACAGATCACCTTTTGAGAAGAATCTCATTTAACATTCAGGGGCACTAGAACAATTAAATGATTTCGTATTCGAAAGACTTTAAGCTGGAAAGCATGGCAGAGTCAATCATCCAATAATATTAACAGAATGTTTTGCTACCACTGATTTAGCAAGAATGATAGTCCTAGAACAAATGTTTGAATGCTATCAAGTCCCAAATGTGATGTTGGGAGTGGATGCATTGTTTTCAGTATTTCAAGATGACTTGGAAGCCTATCTCAAACAAACTTAACTGATTGTTCATCTTGGCGATCAAACTGTCCATGTAGTGCCAATAGTCAATGGTCAGGTGATATATTCAAATATCAAACGATTGAACTTGGGTGGTCTCAACAGTTTAAAGTACTTTTATTAAACCATCCAATTGAGACATCCCCATCTGAAATTCACTTATCCTTAGATTGATTATTGGCATAAACAATATACCAGTGTTGCCATTGATTATCAACTCTAATTGCGTTATTTCCAAGGACCCTAATAATACTATGGATACAGAGATTAAATATCAGAATAAAATAGATTCCATGAAGATCATCTACAATTCTTGGATCCCATATATATTGACATTCCCATCGTATAGAAAATTGTGAGTGCTGAAGACTTAAAGAGGAAAGACGAAAATAGATAAAGAATGAAAGTTAGATTGCAGGAATCCATCTAGCAAAGTAGAATTAACAAGAAGTCACAATTGGAATAACAATTACTGGCACTCCAATAGGAATTGGAGGCTGACTTAAATAATGAGGAACTCAAAAAGAAAATTACAACTCTCTAAGTTAAACTTGGTTTAGCACCCAAAGAAGCCTTGGATGAATTGAAGTACAATTTATTAAATGTGCCTGATGATAAACTTACACCATCTTAATTGAATTAAAAAAGATATCAAAAAGTCATGTATGAATAAGCATTGATGAAAAAATAAAAGAACTAGGAATTTAAGCAATTACAAAAAGATGCCAACAAGTTCAAATTGGAAGAACCTGAGAAATATTTACAAATGCTCTATGAGAAAAGAGATCGCATAGTTCTCTAAATACAAGAAAGGAAAAAACTACAATAGGAAATGAATAGTAGGAATTCAAGGTTCAATTAAAAGAGGATCTAAACTCTAGCCTACCTAGGAGCTGATGATAAGGCTGAAGATGATTTTGGAAAAGATGATAAGGATTGGGAAATCTATAGGAGTGTTACCAAAGAAATAGATTCTGCTGATGAAAAGTCTAAATACAAACTATAGGAATTAGAACAAGAATTAAAAGACCTAGATCCTGATTTCGAAATCAAGATCCTTAAATCTATTGCTAACATACATCAATTAGGCATGAATCTCAGTCAAGTCCAATTATCGGTTGATCGGGTAAGGTGTTAAGAAATCTACTTCTAACCTAGCTTAATTGGAGTTGAACAATAAGGCTTAGTGGATATGATCAAATTATCATCTAAAGGTTTGGATAAACTCCTATTGTAAAACATCATCCTAACTGGAGGCGGAGCAAAAACATAAGGAATTATCTAAAGATTACAGAAAGACTTAATATCAGAATATGATTGTCCCATAGCTATTAAAATTGCCAGTGATCCAGTCTTTGGAACATGGTTGGGAATGAAAAACTTCGCCAATAAACATTCAAACATGCTTTCCTAATTTTCAATATCAATTGATGATTATAATGAAATTGGTACTTAAAAGTGGGAAATATTTAAATAGCATCCATTTTCAAATATTGTAGATTGATAAATTTATTGTGTTATTATTTATATAAATGCATGTATCTATTATTAATTCTGTTGATTTTTGGTTTAATTAAATATCTATGTTAAGATTACTTAATTTTGTTGATAATTTTGAACTAACATTTGAGTAAAGGGATTATAATGGAAAAAACTATAAAGATTAATAATAAAAATATGTATTCACCAAAATATCCAGTCGATCAAAGCATAGTTAATATTGGCAGCAATCCATTGAAAACAAGGAGAGCCTAATCTGAATTTCAACCATCTAATTTTTAAAATTAAGGGAATAAATAAAGAACAAAAAACTTAGTAGAATTATTAAAAGATGATTTAAATATTCAATATGTGGAGTATCCAGAAGAGTTATTTTAAGTGCCTGAAAATAGCGTGGCTTTAGTTCCTATATAAATAATGAGAGATATCTTAAAGAGTTATCAATATAATAATGAAGAATTGCAAAGAATGGGAAACAAAGCGAAGGAATATGAGTAGAAAAGATTATTACTAAAATTCAAGTCTGGATTGAATTATATAAATTAATGAATATATAGAATTAATAACGTTAAAATAATAATGATGATTGTGATTGCTGTGATTTGAATGATTGTTGTAATGGATGTTGTTGTGAAGATTGTTGCAAGGATTGTGAATGTCAAGAATGCGGATGTGATTGCATTAATACAATTCAAACTAATTGTTGTGATAATTGGCAATGTTGTTAGTGTATGTAATGTTGCACAGCAGGAGATATCCTTACCGAATTAAATTTTAATCGTCATATTGAATTGGAAGATGAAAACGAAACCTTCTTGGCTTAGTTTAAGGAATTGATTAGCAATTATAGAATTTATAAAAGATATCGACATCCATTATTAGAAGAATCCTTCTTATTGAAGAAAAAGAAAACATCGACACTTCAGTTTTATGACAAGATAATTTTGAAGACTTATTGGTTCACTAATTAAAATGAATATTCAAAATCTTTAAGTGTGTGGCATTAGAATATATTCAAATATACAGAGATGCAATTATACGGAGCTAGAATTCAAGACATTTGTGTAGATCGTTGGAGGATAGCAGTATTATTACCTAAATTGCATCACATTCAAAAGAAACACAAGTTCTAGGTTTATACTTTTCTCTCTCAAATTTCATCTTAAATCTTAAACTATTCCGAAGAAAAATCAATATTTAATGAGTTACTTATTTATTATGATACCAATTATGTGTTGTTGCCATCAAATTTATTAAAACTATCAGTTTATGAACAATATAGAGCTAATCATAAATTGAGACATCCTCCTGAATGGGAAGATGAAAATGAGTAGATATTCGATTGGAACAAAAGCGATTGCTTTTTACTTGGGCTATTTGTATTAAGTTAATTAGTAAACTCATCATTAGATGATGTGTATGAAGAATCAAAATTTAATAAAAATAAACTCAACTTTTACTTATAAAAAATAAATAGTTAAGAATTCTATAATGTTTTGATCTATATGTTGTAGACTGAACCAGATGAAAGGTACTCATTATAACAGATCCTATAGTTAATGAAACATAAACCAATCACACCAATTACATAAGATAATAATAAGAGCCAAGCACCTTTGCAATCAACTTAGAAATAATAGCCAATCAGCGTAGTTAGTAGAGTCTAAAACTAGAATTTGAATACTGGAGGTGTTTATACAGGGGATTAGATTGATAATAAAAAGCATGGCCATGGAAAATTGCTTAATCCTGATGGGTCTGGGTATGAAGGAGAATGGTTCTAAGATTTAATGCATGGGAAAGGTGAATTGTTTTTATCAGATGGAAGGATACTTTATAAAGGATAGTTTTAGAATGGGAAATATCATAATTTTGGGCATCTTATCAATCCAAATCCCAATATCACTTAAAATTATAATTTTAGGGATCTCAGAAATATCGGAAATTATTGGTCAAAATATGAAGGAGATTTTAAGTAAGATAAAAAACACGGTTATGGCATCTTGTACTTCTCTAGTGGAGAAAAGTGGGCAGGAGAGTTCGTTGATGACATTCCGAGTGGGTTTGGCACATTTTTTGGATTATCTGGCGAAGTAACAGGAAAATGGGTTAAAGGCATTTTATTTGATTGAGTTAGTGATGTTTATTTTTTTACAGGATTTTTAGATCTTAAAGATCAATTAAATAATACATTATTTATTATATTATGGAACATAGATAGCTATTAGAAACACTGGTGGTTGATTTATTAAACAGTCCAATCAACCCATTAGTTTAAGTACGCTTTTCAAATATGTTTAGTATCGAGACTTTCAGATTTAACACATCTGTAAGTAAATTGGGGTAAATGAGTATGGAGGTTAAAAGGATGCAATCTTTTTTAAGCATTTTGCTTCCCATTTTATTTCATATTTAAATGAAAAAAATGAGCTCTCTCCTATCATATCATAAGCTCAGATCACCAGAAATAATTCCAAACCACAAGAACTACAATCAAATAAACAAATAGCATTACCCTAAAAACCTGAGCCAATCGTAAGTCCTGTTTGTTTAAAACCAAAAAATGATATAGTTTAAATCATTGATGATGATATCGTGGACTCAAACAAACCTAAAATTGGTTTGGAGGTATTCCTCCCTAAATCCTTAATGCCTGTGCCAAATATTATTGGGGTTAATTTAGACATAAATAATAATCAATTTAATAAAACAAATGATCACGTTAAACATATATCTACGAAAACAGCCTCAAATAAATAAGAAATCAAACCTAAAGATCCTAAACTCATTCCAGATCTCATTCTCAAAAAGAAAAAGATTAAGAGTCCTCAAAAACATGAACTTCCTAACAAAACATTTACACTGCTTGAGCCTGTTGAAATTAAGGAAACCCAATTAAATAGGTCTCTATAATCTAAAACAGAACTCCACAATCATTAGAAAAAGAAAAAGTTGTCCCCCTCATTGGATATAATAAAAAGAAAAGATAGTAAACCATCAACTTTGAAACCAGATTCTTTATCTGAATCGTTTGAATTAAGAACCTCTGAAGACTTATCAATGAGAGAAGATAGCATTAAAAGGAAGGAGAATATTAAATTGTTTAATAAGCATGAGAAGAAATCTATTAAAGGACCAGAAAGTGCAAATAAAAAAGAAAAACTCTAAAAAATTGAAAAAAAAAAGCATTCAGAATCTGATATATTATAGAAAATTGAAAAATAGACTCAATAGATTATACCATTCATTGAGAAGAAGGATTAGAAGAAAAAAGATAGAGTTGATAGTAATAATAAATAGAAGCATAATAAAGCAGAATAGGAAAAGTTCTAATTAAAAGAAAAGAATGTAATTTTAGAAAGATTAGAGAAAGAAAAGTAAGATAAAGATAAGTTAGAAAAAGAGAGATTGGAGAAATTCGAAAAAGAAAGAGCAGAGAGATTAGAAAAAGAAAGATAAGAAAGAATTGAATATTTAGAAAAGCAAAGGTTGGAGAGAGAAAGATAGGACAAATTAGAAAAGGAAAGATTAGAGAGATTAGAAAGAAGTGATAAACATAGATAAAAAGAAAGCTAAGAATTGGAATTAATTATTGAAAAACTATTATGTACTAATCCAAATGAAGTTTAAAAAGTTAAAAAGAATTCAGAGTAAATAATAATAATGGAGGGCAATGAAAAAGCATTCAAGAAATTAGAAAAAGAGTAATCAAAACTTGAAAAACCCTCATGTAATTATTGTCTATGCACAGATACAAAAACTATTGAAATTTAAGATGGTGTAAGAATATGTACATAATGTTTGCTAGTATCAATTAATCCATTCTAAAAAATTATTACAAAATTAGCCTTTGCTGAATACAGATCTTCAGGTAAGGAGAATGCTAAAACATGTCATAGTTTCACTATTGAAAATTCATTTGATTGCAATCTTGAAATCAGATGTGTGTCTCTTAATAAACAAGGATTATATGATCTAACTTTTCCAATGTCTTGCACACTACTGATAAATGGTATTCCCATCAAGGAGATCAGACCATTGCAAGAAAAGTCAAGCTTAAAAAAACGAAGGGATTCATCGATCTTTCTGAATGTAAAAGATATCTTAAAACAAAATAACTTTTCTAAGAAGTTTGTATTCTCAATTATAGAACATTTGCCGGAATAAACATATCGAAAAGATACAATTGGCGCAATCTATTCTTTCGGTTTGTTTTTAGTTGAACCTCTGAATGTTATAAAAACAATTGAGAAATTTAAATCACTCGACATCTAACCAAAAATCAAATCAGATTAAGGGAAAAAAGAGATATTGGTTGCTAAAACGATTATTAGTCTCTACTGTTAATTCACCTTGGAATTAATTCAAATACCAGCAAAGTAAGTCATGGGTATTAATTATATTAGGGGTGAATTTTGTTAGCATGAATAATGTTTTTGTTTGCGTAGTTTCTTGGAAATGATGATTAAAGTAGAACACAAAAAATGGATTTGTCCAATATGCAAAAAGGTGTGTTTCCATTTAATTATTGATAAATATCAGCTATTCATTATTGAGAGAATCAAACAGTTAGAAATATCTGTTGATTAGATAGTATTAGATCATAATGTATCATTTTGAAAATAGACTAGGGTTAAATGGATAAAGATGAATAAATCAATTTAATATTATAAGATGAAACAATTAAAACGTACTAAGACATAATTGATAGAGGGTATCAGAATATCAATAAAATCAACAAAAATGATGATGAAGATGATATACCACTTGTAAATAATGATGGTAAGACTTAAAATGTTGCAATAATATTGATTGATGATTGAGAATGTATTTCTTTTAAATTTATACCAATATAAGTTGTTGATAATTTAATGTTTTAAACGTCATAATAATACATCATTTTCCTTGTACTTCTCTTCAATTGTAGATTTTTGATTCTCCTGATTATAATATGATTATTAATTAACTTTATGTAACTCTTATTAGTTCATTTTTTAACTATCATTATTATTATTTTTATCATTATTATTATTATTTAAAGTAGAATTGTTGACAAACTCATAATAAGGATCGAGTTCTTGCTCTATTTTAATTTTACCTAAATCCTTTTGTTACTCTAGAAATGTAGTAATTTCTGTAAACTTCAATTTAGTCTCTCTTAATTCATTATACTCAAGAGTGTCCACTTTAGAGTCTTTGAAAACAAATTGAATTGTGTAATACTCAACTGATTTGTGACCCTTTTTGGTTATCCTTATATCTTCCAATTATTCCAAATCCTTAATGATTGTTATTTTACGACAAAATAGAAATGGATTCATTCTCTCTATTAATAAGATTTGATGGGTTTTGTGCACTTCATATTTCATTCGATCGACGCTTGTTAGAAATACAATTCCCAAACTAAAATGAACATTTAATAACTAGAATACATTGTCATTCCAAGGATGATCAAGAATCTCCACCACAAAGTTAAATCTCCTTTATCGTACTTAAGTAATATGTAGAGCAATGATATTCCTGAGGATACAAACACCAATCCTAAAAACCACGCTCCTTTTGGATATTAGCAAATGCTATATATATTCTTCTTTTTCAATTGAGATTGGAATTTTTGTTGATGATCCAACAAGTATTGATGTGGCAACTTGCCCTTTTGATCAAACTTCCTTTTCGCATACAAAGCCATAACCCCTGCTTTTCCTAGAAACATTTTATAATAAATATGATAAATAATAATAATGGATTTCACTTTTGAAGTTTCCCCATATTCCACTTGCCTTAAATGGATTGCCCATTTTTATACGAGTAAGTACCAAATCCATGAATTTAGCCATCTTTAAATGCCCCAATATACTTATCCCCATTGCTGAAAGAGAGTGTTCCAAAGCCTTCCCTGTTATCCCTCTTGAAAGCTCCTTCATACTTGAGCCAACATGTAATATTGGTTAGATTATTATGGTCTAATCCAGAAATCATGGGTATTTAGTCCTAGTTATATTCGATTCCCTGACCATGATATTGATCATCAGTCCAACTGCCATCATAGATTACTTTGCCTTAAGAATTATACAACACTCCCTTCCCACTCATTTTATTATCCTTCCACATTCCATCATAATAACTCCCATCAGTGTGAATAAACTTCCCTTTTCCGTGTCTCAAACCATTCCTCTTCATGCCTTAATACCTGGATCCATTGGGGTATCTCTCCTTTACATTTTCAACTATAATAGTTATTCAATAGAGTATACCCAAGTCCTTTTGCTTCGTTGGTTCATTTCCGATGAGACCCAACACATCATACTAATCAAACGTATTTGGTTCTCCTATAAGGTCTTATCCTCCTCCACCAATCAATTAAGATACATCCTATTGCTAATACTGTTATTCCATTTGTTAATCTTGATGCTGCTCCAGGATTATTTGGACAGGACTGATAGATTATTTACATTTTGGATTTTTGTCTAATCTTTCAAACAATTACTGGGCAGTTGGTCGTTATGATACTTTAACAGTCAACATATCTTTGATGATGTAAAAGAAGAAATCATGACATGAAATTTTGATGGTTTACAAATGAGAGGATATCTTATCTTCGAAGATCACTCCCTAATCATAATCGTAACAGAGAGACGATTGTTTTCCACTGCATAGTTGTAGGAATACCATCCCTAAAGAGTAGATGTCTGACTTAAACCAATCAACATTAGGTTCCTTATTGCCTTTATCCAATTCACTGACTAGTTCAGGAGATAGGTAGGCTATTTTTGAATACTTCTGTTTGTCACTATATATCTTTTGATAATCGTTCTTGTGATCAAACAAATGAGGATCAGCTATTTTGTATTTGTCTTGTGTGATAAAGATGTTTCTCATCCTCAAAGCTTGATGCATAATTCCATTTTAATGCAAATAATTCAATCCATTAATACATTGGTAAATTATTGGATAGAATTCGTCTTGCTGATAAGGGATTTTATTTTCCAATCGATATTGGAATTCAGAGGCAAAGTCTGTTAGAATATAATCGAAGATCAGAAACGATTTATAAATTGAAGTGCAGAATCCCTCCTCTTATCTTGACATGTATTCATTCAATTAAACAATGTTATCATTTTATAACAATTTACGTTAGAGGAATTGTTAATTCTACTCTTCAAAATCCGTTTGATATAAAAACTCTTAAACTTTTAATATCGCAAGCAATTTAGTTTGCTTATTCTCCAAAAGAATGACGTCCCCATACCATTCATCCAGGTAATGAGTTTTGTGTTCGTAATTTTATAATGTTTATTGAATGTCAGGAGTGGATTTATCAAGTATCAAACAGGGATTGGTATTACATTACAAACACTATCCAAATCCTTAACATGAACATATAGCACAGCAACTGCGAAATTCGTCTCTCATCGATGTGCAACACGGTCTCATGCAAACATAACATTATTCACAACCTTCACAACAATACTATGCACAATCGGACAGCCCTTTCCAACCTTGGGTGATATTACAATTTATAATTACAATGTTCACAAGTGTTCCCCATACTGTTATAATTTAAATATATATATAAATATATAATTTATAAATAAAATTATCATCCTATGCACAGAAAATTATCAAGTTTGCTATCATAGACAACCTGTAAAAAGACTTAGATAATGTCTCCAAATTCCAACACCAGCGTAGATATCACCTAACTAACTAATGTACTGTAACACTTCTATCAATAGTTACATATGTAGATATTAAAAATGGTCGAAAACAACAGCAAGGATACGGATATCATGAAAATTATGGACACCATTAAAATATTATCAAAAGGCCTAGAAAAGGCATCTTAAAGTGAGTTGGAATTGGGTTATAAAGATCGTTAATTATAGAAGGCTCAATAATTATATAGTGAATTAGAATAGAAATTTTAAGTGTTGAAAACTAAATATGATGACTTGGAGGGTTAAAATAAGAATCTTAAGACCAAAATTGATGAGTTGATGCATCAAAATCAATTAAATTATCATTAATATTAATTACAAACTAAGTTAAGTGGTGATTTAAATCATAAAGTAACTAATTTAGAATAAAGGTTAGAAATCATATTAGAAAGTGATTTCCCTAATGAATCTGTTAATATTAGAAAAACATTAACTGACTTAGTAAAAGAATGTGAAAGATAAAAAAGAGAACTATAATTAAAGAATTAAGAAATCTCTCGACTAACTGAACAATATAAATCATCTCAACAACGAATTAGTAAACTAAATTAAAAACTCGAATTAATGAAAAAAAAAATATCAATAAGAGAACTTGAAAATTTGGCTCTGGATAGAGCTGAATGGATTCAACAAGATGACAAATAAAATGATCCAACTCAGATTTTAATTCGATACTAAGCTTGTGATAATTTAGATTTCAGAATCAATGCTCTTAAACTAGAATTTGCAGATATCATGAATGATATCTAAGAATAAGGAACTACTGTGTTTACTTAAAAGGTGATGTAATCAACTTAGAAATAAATCAAGGAATCCATTCAATTGGTAACCTCCTAATATTTGTCATTTAAAGACTTTTCAGAAAAACTTAACATGATGCTTAAATAGCTGATATCCTTATAATTGATTGAAACTCTTTAAGAGTAGATGCAGTTCATTGAATATAATTTTAAACATGTCTTTATGTGTTAAAATACGAGGTTGTGGATATTAGATGCTTAAATGGGAATCCTTTATTCAAGCAATAATTAACGAGTCTTAATTAATAAGGGATCTTTCAGTGAAGTGTTGCGATTCTAAAAGCCTTTGCACAAACGAGATTATAACCTTTTATGTGACAATACCAATCATGTTGCCATGTACACAAATCAAAGTCTCCTTTATCCTATCTTCAACCAGAATTAAATATTATCAGGCATCTTAGAAATAAGCAATTCTGTAAGTGATTACTTCTCTTTTGATGAAGAGTATTATGGCGTAATTTTGGCTAAGTTCTGCGAATAATTGATAAAAACTTAAATAAAAACTAGGTTGCTGTCAGTTACACTAAAGTTCGATTCTATGGTTTAAAATGCCTTTCATGATTTTCTTGTCAGTAAAACCCAGTTTGAGTTGTATAAACATATACGTTATTGGATGGAGACAATTTTAACTGTTTCAATGATAGCCTTTTATTTTGTTAAGAATGACTCATTTATTACTTACAAAACAATTGGAACTAGCTGGGATGGTATGACTCATAAAAATGCAGTTACTTAGGGGAGAGTTTTAGACCAACCGATTATTTTAAGTAGAAAAGGCATTGCAAAACAAGTTTGTGATCGCAAGAAAGTAATTATACTTATCAAATTAAGGAATTAATAGTAATGAACATGAGAAAATCAATAGAGTTCGATGAAACCATAGATTTGGATTCGATCTTGCCAGTTCTAATACATCCAATTATTTATGATAATCAAGTCATTGCTGTATTTGAAGTTCCAATTAAACAAAGAAATCTACTGAAGTAGGAAAAGGATAAAATTATGCTTGGCAGTTCAACCATTGTTGGATTGGATTAAAGTTTTGAAATGATGGCAGCAAAATTAGGAACTACTATTATGAATGCAATTAATATTTTAAAGCTCTAATGATGCTTTTACATGTCTAATCATTATTAATAATCTTTTAATGCTATATTCTAATGATTCACAACTTAGTTGTTATAATTTAATGCTATCTATTTATATATTATAGTTATAAAGGCTTCTTAGGTAATATTATAGAACAATATATACACAAATATAATTTAAATATTTTCAATTTTGATCTGTTTGGTTCGTGTCTGGAATAGTCCATGCTCGTATTTCAAACTTTTATTTCATTAAATTCTCTTTGTCTGAAACTCTGGTTTTAAGCTTTAACTTTTCTTTTTTAGGAGATCTATAATGATTGTTTTTTAAAGGTAAAAGAGAGTATCTCCTTTTGATTTCTAACAATCTTGAGTAACAATGATATGTAGATTAATTTTCAATGCAATTTCTCATGTTAGATCGAGCAGAAAGTAGATTAGATCTTATTTCAACACCATTATTCTTTCTAATTTCAGAAATTTAGAATTTATTTTTCCTAATTGTTTAATGCATTTGATTCTTTATTGATGCAATCAATATATTAAGTCCATCTTCGTAACAATTAATGTTCAACATTATAATAATTTATGAAAACTAAATTAATAACATTTAAAGATTAAATTTAGCAATTTATGGAATATTTTTTCAGCTTAATTATTACATATAATGTGGAATTTATTTGAATGAAAATTCTGTTTTTCTTATTAATTAAATTTTTTATATTAGTGAACAACATATATTCTCTCATATAATTTTTACAATAAATTATAAATTATATTTTGATTTTCATAATGTATGTCTATGAATTTTAAAGAAAAGCAAGAGAATATCTCCTTGGTTAAAAATTATCTTTGAAATCGATTACCCAAAAATATAATAAAGAAAAATTAGAGTAATAGCGATCTTTCAAGCAAATGTCATCTATACTAAATTCTAAGACTGAGTCATCTGTCATTATAACTGATTCTTTGATAACTGAGATAAGATAATAGAAGAAAGAAAAGGCATTTTTAATCAGAAAATCACCTGATAATTATAAAAATTATTTAGAGAAAAAGAAATATAACTCAATCTATGCAAGATAAATAACACCTGTGAGATAAATGAGTATAGCTGAATATGTTTATCCTGAACCTATTAGACATGTAAGAAACAAATAAGTAACTTAAACTTCAGCATTCAAAAATTTTGTTGCATAAAAACACATTAAAACTGAAGATTCAGCCCATTAATAATTAATCACAGCGAGAAGCAAGAAACCATTCTAAAGATATGTTAGTGAATCTAGCAAGCAGCCTTAACCTAAAAAAAATCTTATAAATCAAAATAAATAAATGGAACAACTTAGAAAATTAAGTGGATGGAGTATTAATAGCAACGAAAGCAAATTTTGATTTATTTTTTCCTAATCATTAAGATATTCTCAAGCCTGATATAAAAAGGTTATTAATTAATATTGATTTCTACAATATGTATAATAGCATATTCAGAATGTACTCATAATTCTTAATTTTTCATAAATGCACATCTGCTCCCTCAATGAAATGAGTCTCAGTTGTTATTATTATGACATAATAAAAAATAGAATATTTCAGTATTAATATTCAAATTCACATTAATTCTCCAATTATGGGTTTTAATTCATAATCTTCCACATTTCATATTTTCAAAAAATATTTTAGAGATAAATTACCTAATTATAAACCAAAATAATTTCAAAAAATTTCTTAATTTATTGGAATTGTGTATATACTCTAATAAATGTGGCAAATAAACTATAATTAAAATTATTGTCTTGTTTAATATAAGTTTCTAAGAAGATATGATAATTATTTTAATTAAAGTCATAAAATAAATCATTAAAATCAACACATACTATTGTAAATTAGGTAAATAAATTCATCAAACTATGAGGAAGTCAGGTTTAATATTATTTGATGTTATCAAATATAAATTAATTATAAAATTGTCATAATTATTTAGAAGTTGATATTGAAGATACACCGCATTTTAAAACTCAGAAATATGATTTAACTATTGCAACCCTCTACCAATTCCCTAGCAATTTAGTTAAATATTCTTACGGAAATTTGAAGCAAAACGAAAAGGAATGATAATTATTATAAAAAAATATATTGATTGTGAATATTAATTTATTTAATTATCATAATTTATTATAGTCACAACTATATTTAGGTGTTATAATCTTGATTCAATGCATAATATATATACTGAGTTCTATTAATTTAATTAATTCTTATTATTTATAACTTTCTTTTTATTGTAATCATAATTTAATTTATGGTATTTAAACTAGTAGATGTATTTATTTATGTTTTATAATAAACTTTGTTACATCCTTCATCTAATAATCTATACTTTTTCTGCTTTTTAAACATAAATTAAATAAATTTTACTAAATATACAAAATAACTAAAACCAAACAGAATATTTAATCTTATAAATAAGAAATTATAATGATTATATTCTTGTTTATATAATTAATAATAACATAAAGGTTTAATTAATTTTATAATCTTTCATTTTAAACTTATTTATAGAAGTAATATGATAGTGCTACAATTTCTTAATATGTTTATATAATGAAAAACTAACTCCAATCAAAAAATATAAAGTTGAAAATCAATAAAGTTTGATCTTTTTTTTTAATTCTTAACTTTCAATTTAATAAATTTGATCTTTGACTTTATAAATGAATTATTTAATAATTGTAGCTTAAAGGTTAATTTAATGATGACACATTTGTATAAAAGCTATATCTCATATCATTATTATTACCATTTCTTACTCAATTAAAATTAACTAATCATTAAAATCAATTGATTTTTTGCTTTTAAAGTTTTCTTATAATAAAACTAAAATTCATATATGCAAAAGCCAATAATTTTAAATAAATCAAAAACAGAACCTCCAAACAATGAACTTGCTTTTTATCACCTTTAATAAAGTGAAGTAATAGAACTGTAATATTTATATGCAGAAGTTGATATAGAATAATTAAATGGATCATGCATAGGAGGAGATAAATAAGGCTTTAAAATTGGATCCAAAATATGCAGAAGCTTATTAACTGAGAGGTAGTGGAGTGATATTAATTACATTTAGGACTGATTCATTTTAAAAAAGAGGAAAAGCTTAAGGCATTAGATGATCTAAACTAAGCCATCTTCCATAATCCAAGTTTGGTTAGCAGCTTCTATCACAGAGGTATTTCGAAAACTGATATAGCTACAATCTATTAGAAAAATTAAATGCTAGACAAAGCTTTAGAGGATTGCGATCTGGCAATAAAATTGAATCCTGATTATGCGTTGGCTTATAGCAAAAAAGGTTTTTATAACTTCTTAGTAACAAAGGTTCATTGATGAAGATCAAAGGAAGATTAGATGAAGCTCTAGATTTGTACTCCAAGGCAATTGGTCTTGATAAAAATTGTGCCAATGCGTTTCTGCACAGAGGTAACTTGAGAATATGAAAGTAAGCTCTTCTATTTAAGGAAATTCGCTAACTCGAAAAAGCACTTAAGGATTATAATTAGGCTATTGAAATCAATCAAAATAATCCTAATGCATATTTTAATCGAGGTGAATAAAAGATTTATGATTAGGAGTTTTATTGAAGGAAATTGGAGAGTACGAATAAGCTCTTTAAGATTACAATAGGGCAATCTAGTTAAATCCAACAAATTCCATAACTTTTTTGAATAGAGGTAAATCGAGATATAATAAGGTGTTTTATTGAGCAATATGAATCAGAAAGAAAGAGCTTTAAAAGATTATGACAAGGCTATTGAAATTAATCCAGAATATTCTAATGCTTATTTGAATAGAGGTATATATTTGTTAATGAATAGCTCTTTTGCTTTGTGATATGGATTAGATTGGCAAAGCAGTTAAGGATTGCAATTCAATCATAAAGATTAACAAACACGATGCAAATGCTTATTTTAACCGTGGTATTGAATATTTTGAAAAGAGGGTTTTTATTTGATAAGTTGGATTAGAGACAGCAAGCACTTGATGACTACACTTAAACAATAGAAATAAATCCAAAAGATTCTAGGGCATTCATAAATAGAGGTGAAAATTTAATGAAAACGTAGGCCTATTGCATTGGAGAATGCAAGAAAAAGAAAAAGCAATGAAAGACTGTTTTACTGCCTTAGAAATCTGTCCGAACAATCCTCTTTATCTCACTATAATAGGTGATTTATATTTTCAGGATTTATAATATGAAAAAGTGCATTAATATTTCAATGAGGCTTTGAAAAACATTGAAGGAATGCAACCTGAGGATTAAACTAAATGGGGTTTGTCAGATGGCAATATCAGTTTCATTAAAATAAAACTTTAGATTCTATAAGAAATAGAGCGTGACATCATATTAGCAAAAAAGCAAATATCCCAATTGCCTATGATTTCTGCATAAGATCAGAATTAAGCAAATGAATATTTCGAGAGAGTTGAGAGAATCGGAAGGTCAGTTTCTATAATAGTTTCACCAAACAATGAATCATAGAAACCAGAAATGCAATAGAATATGATCAAATAATTCTAAGAGATGTAGTAGCAACTTAAATAATTACAATAATAGTTGTAATAATAAAATCAAGTGATTAACAAGATTTAAAATTTAGATAACTTCTAACTAGAATTTATGATGGAAGAGTTGAAGAAACCAAGAAATAAGCATCAGTTTATATATTATAAATCATTATTTTGGAGATTGTACTTCTATATGCATGCGATGTAGGAACTCTCTACAAATCTATTTTAAGTCAATAAAGAAGCCTTTGTTGAAAGTACTTCAGAAAAGGTTGCAAGCATATTATAGAAGGTTTTTAAGGTTGGATCAAAAGCTTTAGAGCAATTACCAATTATTGGAGAGGCATTCAATATAATTAATTCTGCATTAGATTTTGGAATAGAATATCAAAAAGATGCTAAGTTTAAAAGAAGGATAATTCGTTTGACTAATATTATGAAAGTATTTGCCATAACCCCTTCAGATTTAGAGAAAGAAGTATAATTTGCAGCTATAGAGTTAAGTAAATTGTAGGAACCTGGGATGAAGGAAATCCCTATGTCTAAATTCACATAATTTGTGGAAAAATTATCTGTACTAGAAAATAGTTAAGAAGAGTATAGCAGAGATCCTTATTGGAAGAAAGGGACAGTAGATTCATTGATAATCTTGAAATATTTAGAGGATAATAATGATGTGATTATTTTGGAAGATTAGCATAAAAAACTTAGGCAGGTATTCATTGATGCCATTCTAAAAAATCAAAATTCATCTTCGAATACAATGAAGAAATCAGAGAAGTAGATCTCTAAAGACAAGGAAGAAAACGATAAATGTAAAATATAATGAATCATGATAAACTTAACATGAACGGTTTTATTGTTATTCTGGTATATAATAATTATAATTCCAATATAAAATATCAATTAGATATCAAAATCGATCAATTTGAACCTACTTCATAAAATTCAAAATTAATCTATTTGGATTATCAATAATCTAAATAAATTAATAAGCAATATATATATTTAAATTTGAAAATTATTATTATTAATTACTCACAATATTTAATTCTACCTCCAAACATTTTTAAATACAAAATAGTGCACTTCCTTATTTATTTTATAGGATATTTGAGTCCTAGAATAATCTGAAGTAATAATTAAAGAACTTAGACATATTCTTTTGCATTGGTAAAATGGTTAAACAAAGATATAATTGCGAAATTCAGAATTATTCAGTCATCTATAAATTCTATCATTTTTGAAGAATTTAAAACAAAGCAATTTCAAATTCAACAAAAAATTTCATGATCCAATACCCTAATAATAATCTAATCTCTAAAGTGAAAAACCCTATTGCTATTAATTTTCCTTAATTTAAATGTTTTTGGTTAATTCCAATTTTTTTTATTTATATTTTATATAATCTCAACCTTATCAAATAACTTTGTATTATTATTATATTTTTGAATAAAACACATAAGAATTTTAATAGATTATTATTTTCAAACCTTTATTATGATTCTAATTATTTTCCAAAATATGTAAATCTTTAATCATGATAAACTTGTCTAGCACTTAAGTGATTTCATAAAATAAATTGTATCCTATGTATCTATGAAAACATTTATATCATTAAAATAATTAAATACGTTTATAGTAATATTTATCATTATAGGAATAGTAGTAGTGAAATATTTATTTTTCAATTATATTTAGTATATTTTATGAAATTTTATAGTTTTGTATTTCAATTATAATCATAATTAGATTTTGAATCAATTATGTCTTAATTAAGAATTAATTATAGAGTCAAGTTAAAAGACAAAATAACTTGTTATTAATTAAATATATTTCATAATTATATTTTTAGTTCGTAAAATCAAATTAGAGTAAAATTAAATTAAATTTATGAAATCACTTGAAGCAAGTGAAGATAATGTATAAAAATATTGTAAATGTAATATATTCATTTATAATCATAGGTGATGAGAGATGGCAAGAAGGAATATTCTAAGCAGAAGGAATTGAATAAAGATAAAGAACTTTAAAAAAGACCAATTTTCTTGTACAATACACTAAAGATAGATGGATACATTATATTTAAGATGGATGTATACTAAGAAAGTAATGTTAATATTATCTTTAGAGATAGAGCGTTATCGAGTAATTTATAGCCAGAAATCTATAAGAATTTAGAGCATGTTAAATATCTTAGATGGAAAGGAGAATATGAAGGGAATTAAAAAAAGGTAGGAAAGTGGAACGCATTTTGGAGAGGTGAAAATATAAAAGTTGGAGGATTTTATAATGAAAATGGTTTGAAATAAGGAAAATGGGTTGAGCAATTTCTAAATTACTTTGAGTAACTGTTTTGCTTTGAAAGCAGTATTTCTTAGGTCACTTATTCAGGATACTATAATAAAGGTGTAAAAATGGGAGAGTGGACTTGTTATCTATATGATAAACAAATGTAGATTAATACATTAATTTTAGAGCAAGTGGTATTTATAATTAATATGGATAAAAAAATGGGATTTGGGTTGAGCTACATGATAATTTTAGTATGTATGATCAAAGTAATTTATTAAAGTGATCAAATGGTAACATTTGTTGGGGAATACGATAATGGAGTTAAATTTGGAAGATGGAATATATTCTTTCAATCCAGTTTCTATTATGAAAGACAGTTGATGTAATATATCAAAATACTTGATAATAGAGGTGGAGGAGATTATAATGAAAAGGGATTGAAAAATGGATTTTGGATAGACATTTATGAAAATTATAATCAGTTATACCGTTAAGTTTATTTTATTATTAGTGAATATGAAATCTNTATTATTATATTTTTGAATAAAACACATAAGAATTTTAATAGATTATTATTTTCAAACCTTTATTATGATTCTAATTATTTTCCAAAATATGTAAATCTTTAATCATGATAAACTTGTCTAGCACTTAAGTGATTTCATAAAATAAATTGTATCCTATGTATCTATGAAAACATTTATATCATTAAAATAATTAAATACGTTTATAGTAATATTTATCATTATAGGAATAGTAGTAGTGAAATATTTATTTTTCAATTATATTTAGTATATTTTATGAAATTTTATAGTTTTGTATTTCAATTATAATCATAATTAGATTTTGAATCAATTATGTCTTAATTAAGAATTAATTATAGAGTCAAGTTAAAAGACAAAATAACTTGTTATTAATTAAATATATTTCATAATTATATTTTTAGTTCGTAAAATCAAATTAGAGTAAAATTAAATTAAATTTATGAAATCACTTGAAGCAAGTGAAGATAATGTATAAAAATATTGTAAATGTAATATATTCATTTATAATCATAGGTGATGAGAGATGGCAAGAAGGAATATTCTAAGCAGAAGGAATTGAATAAAGATAAAGAACTTTAAAAAAGACCAATTTTCTTGTACAATACACTAAAGATAGATGGATACATTATATTTAAGATGGATGTATACTAAGAAAGTAATGTTAATATTATCTTTAGAGATAGAGCGTTATCGAGTAATTTATAGCCAGAAATCTATAAGAATTTAGAGCATGTTAAATATCTTAGATGGAAAGGAGAATATGAAGGGAATTAAAAAAAGGTAGGAAAGTGGAACGCATTTTGGAGAGGTGAAAATATAAAAGTTGGAGGATTTTATAATGAAAATGGTTTGAAATAAGGAAAATGGGTTGAGCAATTTCTAAATTACTTTGAGTAACTGTTTTGCTTTGAAAGCAGTATTTCTTAGGTCACTTATTCAGGATACTATAATAAAGGTGTAAAAATGGGAGAGTGGACTTGTTATCTATATGATAAACAAATGTAGATTAATACATTAATTTTAGAGCAAGTGGTATTTATAATTAATATGGATAAAAAAATGGGATTTGGGTTGAGCTACATGATAATTTTAGTATGTATGATCAAAGTAATTTATTAAAGTGATCAAATGGTAACATTTGTTGGGGAATACGATAATGGAGTTAAATTTGGAAGATGGAATATATTCTTTCAATCCAGTTTCTATTATGAAAGACAGTTGATGTAATATATCAAAATACTTGATAATAGAGGTGGAGGAGATTATAATGAAAAGGGATTGAAAAATGGATTTTGGATAGACATTTATGAAAATTATAATCAGTTATACCGTTAAGTTTATTTTATTATTAGTGAATATGAAATCTTATATACAGGGTTATATTCTAATGGCAAGAAATAAGGATAATGGGATATAGAATTTAAAGATAGTAGATTTGCCCCATCTCATCCAAAAATGTATTTAGTTATCCAAAATTAATTTAGTGGAGGAGGAGTCTATGATGAAAATGAATAAAAAACTGGAAAGTGGATAGAATTATACGAGGACTTTAGAAAGTAAATAAATTATTTAGTGAAGTGTCTGTTAGATCATTTTGGAAGGAGAGTATATTAAAGGAATAAAATAAGGAAAATGGACTTCATAATTTAGATTGAATTTAAAACATAAATTTAAAATTATGTAATTTTCTATTAAATTATTTTAGTGGTGGTGGAAACTATGATCTTTAAGGAAGAAAAATTGGCAAATGGATAGACATGAATGATAATTTTTGGAAGTAAAATAAATAAAAATAATATTATTCACTTAGACAATGCCAAGTCATTGAGAGTGGGTAATATGATTGTGGAAAAAGGATTGGGTCATGGATAATTAAGTTTAGGTATACAATAAAAAAAGATTTCAATAAAATGTACACTTTATATAAATAAATCAGCGGAGGTGGTAAATATGATGATTAAGGAATGAAGAACGGAAAATGGGTTGAAATCTTTTAAAGCTTCTAAAAGTACACTATTATAATTTAATTAGTTCATGCTAAGTTATTTTAACAGGAGATTATTTGGATGGGAAAAAAGTAGAAAAGTGGAAAATTTTAGTTAGAGATCATGAAAAAGACAGATTTTAATAGATGTATCAAGTTCTACTATTTAGTGGAGGAGGAATATATGATTAAAATGGACTAAAGGTTGGAGAATGGATAGATTTGATTGAAAATTTCACAATGTATAGTTATTAGAGGAAATTAGCAACAATCAAGTGATTATGAAAGGAGAGTATTTTAATGGAAAGAAATAGGGCTTATGGAATATTTTGTATAAAAAAGATCCTAAATTTGACTTTTATATTCTGTAATTTCTTATTTTTCATTATTGATAGTGCTGGGGGTAGTTATGATAAGGATGGAGAGAAAAATGGAAACTGGATTGATTTGAATTATAGTTTCGGAAAAGAAGTAGGAGAATTCTTATTCATTTTTATGGGAATATATAAAAATGGTCTTAAAATGTAACAATTTACAAGAAAAAATTTATATTTGGATGAATGATAATTATAATTAAAGTAATTATATTACGATTTAAAATATGAAAATGAAGGTTCTCACATTTAAACGTTAAATTCTAATTGATTAGAAATTTAAATATTTGGATATTATAAAATTTAGAACATTGGTCTACCTAGAATTTCTTAATAAGTGATCTATTTTGTAGCTAAATATATCCATAATTAATTGAAGTTTTGAAATTTGGGTTGTTTTTTAATTAATTTTATCATGATGGAGTTGTAGGTTTTATACTTTTCAAGTTTAAATTAAAACTAGAATTTTCAAAATGATTTATTGATCGTTGATTAATTATTGATGTATTTTGAAATCATTATTTAATATTGAATAACCCTAAAACTATTTATTATAATTTAATTAACTTTAAAAATTGAGTATTATAAATTATTATCTCTTAATTTTATAGTTTACGAATACTGAGAGGAATCTCGCTCGAAAAATGGCAAGACTGACTTCAATACTGATTTGCCTAAGTGCTAATCTAATATTCACAAACCGAGTGTCATTATATTAGTTAGAGAAATGCTGTTCATGAATAAGAGCCCGCAGTAAAAGCTTGAGAGTAGAGGGAGGTCTTCTGAGATTAGGTATGCCCAAAACCATTTTATAGTTATGGAAGCATCTACTCCCCTTTGGTTAATCGAAACAAACAAGACTTATGTACTGATAAACACCTAAATTAGATGCAACTATCTATAAATTATTAGTATTATTAATTACAAAAGTAATGAGATTTTATCTATTGGAAACAAAATTTATAATATCTTATAGAGATAATATCATCGTAAGCTCACTATTATTTTAATTTTGGTAAATTTATGAATAAAAAGTAATAAATTTTTGGGTTAATATCTTGATAGACATTTAAATAGAATGGGGATCTTATATAAAATCAAGGAAAATAATAGATGAATCATTTTCCAAATCATTTTCCAAATCATTTATTCTAGTGAATTTAATAACAACTTTTGAATTCATAAATACATATACAAAGCTTTAACGTCGTGTCCATTTATTAAAAGATATATTAAATTTAAACATATAAAATAATTTGAATTCAAATTCAAAAATGATTCCACTGGAATTAATGAGAAGTGGAATTCTGTTGGTCTTCTAACTCATACTTATATTGCTGCTGGTGCTAGAAGAACGCTAGGTAATTACAATAAATTAGGAGGTTTCCACTAGTCTTATCCTAAGATCGGCATCTTAAAGTTAGGCATCCAGATGTATGCTTTCTTTTTTTTTATGTTTAATTTCTCTTACATTTCGAATTTTATCCTTTCCTTTGACATACTTTCCAAATCAGGTTTAAGACTTAGTGGAAGGCTAAATTATAAACTTTTATATCGTTTTATAGTTGTGAGCATTTTAGGATAAGAGGTCACAAACTTATCATTTAAGAGCAAGAAAATCGCAGTATCATTAAATAACTCAATTATTACGAGGAATAGATCCTAGGGCAAGAACCATCGGCTCTTTGGAGAGCTAGCTAATATTTGGGCTAATATAAAATTAAAGAAATCCCAAACCCAAACCCAAACCCGGGGGGAGAGTAGTTGGATTTGAGGATGAAGCCCCCTTAAACCCGGTCGAGCAAAGATGCTCGGAGGAGGATGTTGAATTATGTGTTATGAGTTATAAAGTTATCAATATGGTAATTTTAAACTCTAAAAGAGATAGATATTTAATAATCATAGGTTTTTTCAATTTATCAAAGGAACCGTAAAGATGCATGTCACAAGGTTTTAAATTTTAAATAGTTTAGGTGATTCCAAGAACGAATTATTTTAATAAATAAAAATATGAAATTTTTTAATAATTTTAATAGAGAAAGAAAATGTTAATTGAGCAATTGTTAAAAAGCAATTTAGAATGTCAAATGAAAGAAATTGAGAAACATCTACATGTATTTGTTTATTGTTTACTGTTAATTTTAGTCATCATTTGACAAGATAAACAATTTTATTGATCAGGTATTCAATCTTGATTAGTAAACTTCAATAATCAGTAGTCATGGATCAGAATTATCATTGCCAAAGGTTAATGAATTCAATTTAGTTGGCCAATCCAATTTTCAATCAAATATGGTTTAAGAATTGATGCTCCTTGTTAATTAAAAAATCAAATCATAACCGCAAATGGAATAAGACCTAAAATTTAAAACTCCATCTTAATACAATTTAAAGCCATTTTCTTATCAAATTATTTAAGATAATTCCATAAAATAACAGAACTTTTGTGGTGCTTTTGCTTTTAATAAAGATTGCTCAATTATTGCAGTTGGGTGCGGTAATGAAATATTAATATATGAATTCGAATAAGGAAAGTTTAAATAAACTTAAGTATTAGTTCAACATCAAAATAGCATTTTTACATTGAATTTTATGAAAAAATCCAATTAGTTGATATCTGGAGATTGCGATAATGCTATTTTAATTTGGTCTATTAGTAACAAAAATTAATGGGTATGCTTATAAACGGTCCAAGGACATGATTCTTAAATAAATTGTTTGGTTGTGCATAAAAATGAAGATCTATTTATATCAGGCAGTAATGATAAGACTATTAAATTTTGGGTAAAGGAAAATGAATGGAAATGCTCCTAAACAATCACATATCATCAAAATTCCGTTTATTCTTTAAGTTTAAATGAAAAATAGAATTAAGTTATTTCTTGTGGAGGAGATAAATTTATATTAATAACCTAGTATTCAGAATAGACAAGAAATTGGGTTATAATATAATAAATTGATATTGATTATTTTGGAATTCGATTACACTTTATCAACAATAATACATTCACATTTCAATCATAATAAGGTAGCATGATGTAAGTCTATGAAATGGATAGCGAATATAGAATATTCACTAAAACAAAAGAGATTATTCTTAATCAAGGTGATGATAGTAATATATTATTTCCTTAATTATATGTTAAATCAAAATAATTATTAATAAATAAGAACAATAAATACGTCAATTTTATAAGAATGACAGAATATGGAGAATTTAAACTTGAATAGTCTATATAATTTGCTAAAAATGGTATATATGGGTCTTTAAGTGATGATGGAGACTATTTGATAACTTGGGATTACTCATCATATGAAATTTAAATTAGAAAATATTAAGAAGAATGATAGTTATGATATTCAAATTATTTTAATTATTTCTAAATATATTACTATTTCAGCTTCTCCATAATCTAGTTTTTTCCTTGAAGTCATTTTTGAATAGATTTTGAACAACAACTATCAGCCTTACACTACTAACTATCTATTAAAATAGTTTTAATAGAAATTTCTATCATATAATAAAAAATGAAATGTTTTCATAGTATTTATTATGAACTCTGATTATGAAAGGGTCAAATTTATCTTTCCAAGTTTGGATAAATATATCATAATGGTATTACTAAAATTTAGATTTAGGATTTCAACAGGAAAATCACCTTGGAGGATTTGAAATTTACATTTACAAATGTTCTGAAAATAGATTTATTTTCAAAGAGGCCCCAATTTTCTATTTCTAAGGGTTTCAATTTGATTTAATTAAATTCTCAAAAAAACTTAAGTGAGCAAAACATATAGAATTTTTTGTAAAAGGATAAGAATCACATTGAAATTACAGTCAAATTTCTGGAAGAAGGAGCATGATATTGTTAATTATTTTTTCTTTGGCAAAATATTAATGAAGTAATCTAATTACCATATCCTTTTTCATTTATGGATTGTTAAGCCTCTTTCAATAATTATTAGTTAACTTGGATAAGAAATAACATTTAATTTCTACCATAAAAGATTTATTCAAATAACAAAAATTATTTCAAAAGCATAACTTAAGGTTAAATTACTAACTAAATATAAAATCAAATGAAAGTAATCTATGTGAATTGGATCCTTAAATTTTTATTTGACCATTTATACTATTCTGATCACAATATAAAAATTAATTTTTTTAAAGTTAATATTTAATTCCTTCAATTATAAATTAAAATTTATTCAAAATGTATTGACTATGATTCTGAACTTCGAAATCTTGATAAAGCTATTATAAGTTTTCCTCTGATTGTGAAATTATTATTTGCCAATTTTAAGAAAATGTTTTTCCATAGAATTTTTCTAAACTCTTGATTCCTAAAAAAAAAAACTATTTAAACGTTCAAACACCTTTATTTATTTATATAATTTATCAATTTTCTTTTGCTTCTTTATTTTTAATTAACTTGCCAGCATCTCTTTAGATTCTTGTTTCTTGTTTCTTGAGTTTAAATTTCAAAGGATCTTACTCTACTATATTTTATCAATTGATTTATGAATTCTCTTAATCTTTAGACTTAAAATTCGATTTTGAATCTCGTTCTATATTTAAGTTGATCGATGATGATTATTCATTCTTCTTATTAGTTAGGAATGTTTAATTTCTTCAAAATTGATTAAATTTATTGATTAAATTACTAAATTTCTGGTTTTTAAATTGAATTTTGTTCAGTTTTGAATACTTCTTTTTTTTAATATTTTGAATAAATGAATTGTCTTCCTTAAATTTGATTCAATCTTAGCATATCCATCACTTCATTAATTAGGATTGGAAAAATCACATCTAGAAAAAATACTTATTTCACATTTAATATTTGGGGGGAAGAATTGTAACTTAGCAACAATAGTGCTTAATCTTTAATCCCAGTAACTCTCTTATTATTCTATAGGTACCTTTCCAATGAAAAAATTACCTATAGAACAAAATGATAGCTCTAAATAAGTTTATATTAATTTAAATAAGTGACTGCTTAATATTCTTTATCCTTTCTTACTAGATATAACTTTTGCAAAACTAGTTTAACCTATTTATGATGACTTCATGAAACAGCTACAAAAATTAATTTAAGGTTTACTCAACATTATCATTATAATAATCATGATTGCTAATAAATTTTGGATAATCCTTCTTTGCCATATTCATAAAAAATACTTTCGTCAAATTTGTAGAAGTAGAAAATATTCTTCCAAATAATTAACTATCATAAAAAAGTTTAAGTTGAAATTGAACTGAATTTGATTTTGAAAAAAGGCTTTCAATATTTTCGATAGTAAATTTGAATATCTTGCTGTAACTAAATCCCTAACTTAGCTTTCTCAATTATTATTTATACTATCAACTTATGATCATTATTTTTATCTTTTAGTCCTTTTCATATTCATTTTAGTTCCTCTAATTATTTTATAATGCCTAAGACTTTCCATCCTTTGATTCAGCCTTCATCTTTATGATAAATAATTTGATTAAACTTGCATTCTTATTCCATAAAAGCTCATAGAGTTATTTGAAGTTTTAAGTTTATTTTATTTATTAATAAACTAGATTAGATATTACAAATATAATTTACCTGCTTGAGGGATATCAATAATTTAATTTTGAATCTGAATGAATGAATGAATGAATGAATGAATGAATGAATGAATGAATGAATGAATGAATGAATGAATGAATGAATGAATGAATGAATAAATAAATAAATAAATATATAAGACATTAATTTTAGAGAAGACCTATCAATCCGGATATTGATTATTCATTAATTTCGATAAGTAATTCAGTGAAGTGAATTACTTGATAAAGGTTTAAATTATCATAAGTTTACTAATTAATCGAGATACTTCATAAAGCAACTCCTGTTTTGCTCCTTTACGGACGATTTTCGATATTTATTGCTTAAATTATTTAAAGTTTTTCTCCTAAATTGATCAAGGACTCTTGAGTGAATGTATTAATATGCTACTTTTGCTTTTAACTTTATGAATTTATCTTAATCTAAATGAATATTTTATTTATCATTTGTTTTGTTCTTAAATAGCGGAATTCTGTAACATGCTTGAATAGAGGCTAAGATTTCGATTTTTTCATATAAATCTACTGTTTATTAATTTATTTTTAAAATTTGCACTTTATTTAAAATTCCTATTTCATACAAGCAAAATGGACTAAATAAATCTAATTTTTCAAATCTCATTTAATGAATTTCCTTTCAGTCATAACAGATTTATCTTCAAAATTAAACTTACCTTTCAAAATTCAGTAAAAATTAATACATTTTTCCATATTGGAGAATTTGAGTATTTCAATAACGTTTCTTAAATTATGGTTTTCTTCTAAGTTCTCAGCTTTTTCTACATGTTAAAGAAAGAAATATACAAATGTTAGAGTTCAATAGTATTTGTAAGATATCATTTTAACTGATTCTTAGTGTTTACTTCTGCCAAGTGAAATCCAAATATCTCTGAGCAAATAGTTGAAAAAGAAACTTTATTAATATAATTACACTTGAAAATACAAGTATTTCAAATAAATTTATAATCTTTTATTTACATAGAGCGTTTTCAAATGTAAAAACGAATCTTGATAGAATTACACTTAATTTGAAATTGTTTTATAAGTTTAGAAATCAATTAAGAATGATTGTTGATTATTTAATAATCTAATTTATAATCTCAAACAATATTTTCTAATCAATACTGTTTTAATAACAATTCCATTGGTTCTTATTCTACTTCCATACTTTCTGCAGGCTTTACACTTAATCTATTTGTCTCCTTAATACTTACTAAATCTAATTAATGAGTTATCAATTTTCCTCCTAATTGATGGCTTTGGTATAAAGCTTAATCTCCAAATTATTACTATAGGAAAAATTGAATCCTAGATATTTCATATAATATGTTATCAAGTCGACATTTTTCCTTAGCTTTTTTAAGTAAATTCTGATATTTTTCATCAAGATTATCAATAGATTGAAAATTATTTATTTATTTTTCATTGTTCTTAAATAGATTAAGAATATTAAGCTTGGAGTCCTTAAATTGAGGATAATACATAGTTATTATATCATGATGCAATTCATTTTCTAGTAGGTAGTTATTATAATAAAATACACCATACCTAATTAAAAATAATAATTGTACAATAGAGCCAATTTCAGCAAGTACTTACCCTAATTTTGGCAGACTTACTTTTTCTTGTATTTAGATATTATCAATTCTAAATAAATAGCATCCCACACTTGTAAAATTATATTAAACCTTAGATATGGAATTTACAAGTTTGGATGGAAAGGAATTGTCAATTTCTTAATTTGTCAATTCAAAATTATTTAAAAAAACATAATGTTTATTGTTGTTAAAGAGGACACCATCATCTATCACAGTTTCTTAATGCTTTAACATAATTTAAGAATATAAAGGCTTCTTAGAATCCATTGCTGTATAATAAGATTTTTCGAAAACTTCTAAATTTCTTGTCAATTAATCCAGTTAGTTTAGTTTAACTGTTAAAATAAACAACCCATGAAACTTCTATAAATAGTTGTCAATTATGCTTTCATCAGCACAATAACTTCCGTCATTATGAAAATTAGATGAACATCTTGCCAAAACAAGGAAGAATTATGTATTGTTTTTAAAAGACTCATTTTACTCAGAGCCGTCGTTGAGAATTAAAGTTCCATTTTATGCTTCAATTTTATATTTACTATCTTCACTGCTATATACTGGTACTGGATCTTATAGAATTGTTGTGTTTTCTATAATAAAAACTAATGGAGTAATGATATTATTTTCTTTTCTAAATGGATCTATATCAGATGAGAAATCTTATAAAGTTAATTAAATGGAAGCCGTCGGCAATTCAAATTCAGCATAGCCTAAAGTTAATTGTTTTGAAATTGTAGTTGACGGTATTTAATTACCGGTCCAAAGGACAATAACATATAAAAAATACATAAAACTTGTGCTTCCAATAATAACAGCAATTAATCCACCAAGGATGCTTTAGAATTTATCTTCTTTACCCTTAGTTAAAAGATTTATTGGAACTCCAAAAAAATCCACTTCTGCTATATATCTCACAAACTTGCTCATAAATTAGAATTTTGTGTAATTATACTAATTATTAATTATTTTCATTTAACTTATAAAATAGAAAAAATTATAATAATTGTTTTTATAATTAATGAAACTAAAAGCCATTAGCTTTATTTTTTTACTTTTTTATAATAAAGGGCATTTTGGCTTATGAAGAGAAGCTCCAAAAATTGAGATTATAATAGCCATCTTTTGAAAATTTTTTTTCAAATCTTGACTAATAAAGTTTTTATTTATTAAATATTGATTTTATTTACTACAGAAATGCAAACACCTGATAATGTGTTTAAGATGTGAAAAGTAGAATATCTAGAGGATAGATAATATCAAAGAATAAATGAACATTACATTTCAAGTTCTAAAGTAATTATGAGTTATTAGAAATCAAATAATATTATTTTAATTTTGTTATATTAGTTCTTCTATTCTATAGTTTATAGTTACTTAGCAACATTAATTATTGTTATTGAAAGAGAAACTTTTATTATTATGGAAGTTAGACTGTGAAGGCTATTCGAGCAGAAGAACAATTTAATTACATTATCTATTCTACTAAATAAACTTAAAATAAAAAATTTCACCCTTGTATTTGCTTAATGAATTGTAATGATTCAAAACTAACTACAAGGTTTTTAATTGATTACTATAAATTGTTTTAGCAACTTCTTCAGATAATTGTAATATATGTAAAATTTTTATATTAGTCCTATATCAAAATTCACACTTTTTTATTTTGATAAGTGGAGTAGATTTTATTTTTTTATGTAATTTTGTTATTTAGACAAATTAATACGTATATTAAAATTATTTTTCACTTTATCCCGCTAAATGATCTGTTTTTCTTTGGCTTACTGGATAAACTACTTCTAAGTTTAGCTTCTAAATTAGCTAAAAAAGTATTTAATCCTTTACCTTTTAAGTATAATATATGTGGATCATCACAGATAGAAAGAGCGGTATCATAATGAAGAAGTGCTTACTAGAATTACTCTAATTAATGTAGAGCAAAACCTATGTTAAAGAATACTTTACCCTTATTCATATGGGCGAAATGGTTTTTTGGGCTAATTTTTATAGCTCTGTCATAACATTCAATTGCTTCTTTATATCGTTATAAACTATTTAATGAGAAACCTAAATTATGCTTTTAAGAACTATACCCTTGTTGTTCTCTGCCATGTCATTTTTGGGATCAATTTAAATTGCTTTATCAAATTTTTAAATAGCTTCTTAATATCTGCCTAAACTGTTTAGTGCGAAACCTAAAAACTTTTTAATAAATACTACCCAAATTATTCCATATCTTATCATTTTGAGAATTTAATTTTATAGCCTTTTAACAACACTCAATAGATTCTTAATATCTTCCTAAATTATTTAATCCGTAACCTTAGATTATAAAAATTAATATATATTACTTTTCCATAGATAAAAATCGATCCCTTGTCTGTTTGGATTATCCAACATATTCTAAAGATCTTGAAAATTTTTATCTTTATCTAATTTCTCATCTAATTATCTTCAATAATAATCATACTTTTGCCACTAACCAAGCCTCTAGTAATTTAGGATTGATTATCGTTTCCACTTTCAACATTAATTTCTGTAATTTTAATTTTCCTCCCAGTATTAATTTAAGCATTCACTTAAGTTTAAATTTTTGTCACAGTTTCTATTGTAAGAACAATTTTATTCAATTATTGTAGTTATAATTCTATCAAAATATTTGAAAGAATACATATTTCTTTTTCTTTTTCCTTTGAATAAATTGTTTTTATAAATTAAATTTATGAATTTAAACTTGGGTAATCATTTTTTACAAGTTACTAGTTCAAATTCTTTATATTTTCAATTTCCTGATCTATTTTTTTTTTAAATTTCTCAAGGCAAATGTTCATTTAGTCAATTATGTTTATGATTTACTAGCATGATTCTTTGTAAACTTCTAAAGAGTCTTGAATATATTTGCTCATTGAAGTGAATTGAATACAATCGATAATATGATTTGAATGTTAAGCCTTTAAGCATTCAAAACAAAATTAAGTTTTTTTATTGCAATTCTGATTTAGACAAAATCCCAGTATCGATTCCTTTTCATGATCTATATACGTACACTTAAAGTCATTCATTTTATAAATATTAAAATATATATTTCATTCAATTTTCTAAGCCAAATATGATATTATTCACTATAAATTATTATCACCAATGAAACAGAACTATTTAATATGATTTTGAATTTAAGCAAATATTTTTATTAATAATTTCCTTGATGGAATGTTTATTTAATAAAGTTAGAATATTGGATACCTTATGAAATTCTTTCAATTTAATATTATAAGTTTCTTGAATCAAATAACTCAAATTTTGATGATAATAGAAAAGGGAGATTTTTCAAGCAGAGTTAATGAGGGCATTTTAAGTAGGATTCAGGAACCTATATACTCCAATTTCGATATTTTAAAGATAAGATTTATCTAAAACCATTTCAATACTTCTAAATTATTTTTAATCATCCTTAATTGATTATAAAGGTCCGAAATTTGGTTTATTTAATTTTGAAATATCAAACCACAGCAGATAAGATGATAAAAAGTTCTTACAATATAATAAGACCGTTTTGGATATTGATATACATAAAACATTCAAAAATAACTTAGTACAGTAAAAAATTCATTTTTTAATAATTGGCATTCTCATTTTTTTCTCTTATTTCAATTAATTATTTATTTAGTCATTGTAGTTAGGTAGAAATACAGCAGCCAAATAGGAAAAAATGATCTATTTATAATATCAAAATTAATTTACATGATATTATTTCTCCCTTTTTTTTTGAATTAAACTGAATATTTTCTTAAAATAAGGGAATTATTTATTCATTTTATCAATATTAATTCTATATTGATTATTATAAATTTATAGAGTGGTGAAGGTAGAGGTTCTGGATTGATTTATGATTTGAGTCCAATGCTTCAAGTCTGTGGCATCTGCCAAAAATATATATGTGACATAGTGGATTAAAATAATATATTCATATAACATAGGGGATTAGCAATCTATTGTAATAAAAAATTAAATTAAAAAGATTTTGTTGGTGATGTCAGATTTGCCGTGTCCTGAGGAACTGCCCCCTGAGCCTGTCCTGCTACCTGGGGAGCTGAGACAGACTCAAAATGGACACAATGACATTGAAAAGAACAACAGAAGAGGGAAAGGCGTGAGATTTATATTAGGAGTCCCAGACAACCCGGTCGGGTTTGGGGTTGGGTTTGGG